TTCAATGACAGACATCCCGCAGATCCGACCAGTCCTTGTCGTTGTATCCGATGATCTGCTGGACAGTTCCGCAGTTGATGTAGCCGGGCGGTAGAGGCAGGGGGGGAGGTCGCCGGGATGCTTTCTGTTGCTGTTGGGCGTCTCCAGTGATTCCAGCAGCAGCTTGGTACACATGCACGGCTGCGGCGTGCTGTTCAACAAGGTTAAAGTGCCTTCGTTGATTATCTTCTGGCCTCTCTTCCGAGTCGAAAGGGGCGTTTTTGGAGGACCTGCCCTCCGTTGGTGGACTGGTGTAACAGGTGGAAGACCTGATTGTGGCTGCGCTGTGTTGATGGTCCAAACAAACTGATTGGTTGGTTGGTATTGTTGAGAGCGGGCAGGGTGTGGAACTGCTGGTGTATGTTGCACCTGCTCGTGACCAGTGCTCGGTGTTTATGGCAAGGGGTTGACAGGGTAAGATTGAGGTGTGTTAGATCCTTCTGCGAGCATAGCCATGAACCTAGGATCTTGCCGCGTCCACGGTGGAATGTTGTGCAACCAGTTCCCCTCAGGTTGACCAGACATGGCCGGCGAAGCAATGAGCTGTTCTTATATGAGCATGAACCATGAAGGGCTCCCTGCGTGCACCCCTTACTCACTGTTCAGCAAACTTGTAGAGATGGTGGTGAGGTTGGTGGTCAGGACGAGTTGCTACATCAACCATTTCAGAATGTCCTTCCTTAGGAGCAATATGTTGAGGATATAGAGCATGCCTTCGAGGTTGAGCAAGTAGCTAACCAAGACTGACACACAAGATGTAACAAGGTGGTTGGGGGTGGTTTGTATGCGGAGCTGGAACAAGGGATGACTTAGTTGAAGGATACTTGAAGTGGCGTAGACGAACGAGATACCCAAGAGGTTAAGGAACCTACTTGAGCTGGTAATGTAGTAAGGATTTGGGTTTCTCAAAGACTCTTGTTGCTAACTAAAGAACTAAGTTGGGGGGAGAGAACTCCCCTTTATATAGTTGTTAGGCTATGCAGATGTGCGTAACTCAAACTCATGCAGATGTGCGTAGTCCTAACCTACGCAGATAAGCGTAAGCCGTGCTGGTGCACCACCATCAGGCCATCAAGCCACCAAGCCATCAAGCTACGGCGCATCAGACCAGAAGTACGGAAGACTAAAACATTAGCTAAGACATAACCTTAAGACGTAACTATAAGTCATAAACATAAGACGTAATCATAGGACATATACATGAACGTGCATAGACGTTGCATGATCACAATAAGAGTGTGGGAAACCGGAGGTTGTGAAGCCACTCATGACAGCCTTAGCATATTCGCGATAAATTTTAGTAGCACGGCGAAAGCACAGACTTTAGAACGAAGGAAGCACACGAAAAGAACAAAGGTGCCTTGTATAAACATGAATGCGCATACAGATAAGTTCCTTTTACCCGAGAACGTAAGAGCACAGATGCTAAATCTGACAAATACTAAAAGCACAGGAAAAGGGCATGCACTAGGGTCAAGATGCAAAAAGCACACAGTTCATGTTCTTTTAACACATGCGCGGACTTCATAGGGCAGCTGATGAACGAGATAAAGTTATTTTACAAACACATGGTCCAATCGTGTGGATATTGTTTGTCACTTCCTTAAGCTTCAGCAAGCTTGTACAGCATGCAACCATGTACATCCCTACGTGTGTCAAATCACCAATCAGCTGACAACGAAAGGCTGCGAGCATACTGTACCTAGCCGTCTCTCTCATGGATTCGTTGCACTAAAATGTGCCCTCCTCTCTCGCCCCATATACCTATGTATGTAGGAAGGCAGCTCCGCAGAAGCCTTCGCTCCGTCCTGGCTACGTAAGGTCATGCATTTATTTACCCACTCACAGCGGTACGTACCAGTACGACGTCAGATATGGTAACACGTGCATGCATGAGAAGGCAAACACATTCAGTCCCAGTTGCAACATCTCATTTCCGTATAAGATCTGAATCCATTAGAAAGGACCGCGTTCGGGGTCGTAGACGGCCCGGTTTTGAATCAGCTTGGCCTTTTTTCTCAAGACGAGGCTGGTGGGACGCGGCGATCTCGCAAGTGCCGTGCTTCCGGGCCGAACAGGCGAGGGCGCGCGCTCTTAGTACTTTTTATGACACGCTGACATATCGCCGATACTGCTACCCCCAGACAACAAAACCACTCCGACTGCTCGCTGGGTGCTTTACCTGTATCAGCTGCTGCACGGTATCGGTCATCTGAAGCCCCGTTCATCGCGTTCATCTTACGCAACCGGCTCCGATATCTGCGCAGTCTTGCGGCAGCGACAGACTGCGGTCATCACGCGCCAGTAACGCAGCGATACTCTCAGCGCCGAGTCCATCGCACTACCCTTGACGACCTTGAGAAACGCGCTCGAGTTTTCATCTCTTCAGTCAATACCTTTTCGCTTCGCCGGTACAATATGGCCAAGATTCGATGGGCGACGCAGCGACATCCCAACGGCAGACCCAAAGATAATGAGGATAAGAACAGGAATGGCGGACTTACAAAGCGCTTGTCTGTGCTCAGCCGTCTGAGCCGTAGCTCTGGATCCTCCAGCCAACACCAAACTGCGGATATTGAGGGTACAGGTGCGAATTTTGGCGGGCTGAACCAGGAGGCGGTTCAGGCCCCCGAGGAGGATCAGGAGCCGGAACGGGAAGCGTCGAGAAGGATATACTTCAACCGCCCGCTACCTCAGGATTTGTTGGATGAAGACGGTCATCCGATAGCATCATATCCGCGAAACAAGATCAGAACCGCAAAGTACACTCCTTTATCTTTCATCCCAAAGAACTTATGGTATCAGTTTCACAATATTGCAAACATATACTTCTTGGTTTTGGTTATTTTGCAGGTATGTATATGATGCATATAGAGGGTGTTATATGAAACTGACAGACTGCTGGCAGATTTTCTCCATCTTCGGTACTACCAACCCTGGTTTGGGTGCCGTTCCTTTGATTGTCATCGTTGCAATTACTGCCGTCAAAGACGCTATTGAGGATTGGCGTCGTACGGTGCTTGATAATGAGCTCAACAACACTCGGACTTATACGCTCCATGCGTGGCATAATGTCAATGTCACCGACGAGCATATCGGCTTGTGGCGCAGGATCAAGAAAGGTACCTCAAGGCTTATTCGTGCTATGCACAATAAGAGGAAGGGTGTGTCTGACCCTTATGAGCTCGACCGTGTTGGGACTGGAGTTTCGCGGCCTTCAGGTGATTACCGTCGTAGCCATGACATCCGTCCTTCATCCGACGGTTTGCCTCCCCAGTCTCCTTTCGCGGATCACAACGGTTACACAAACCCCAACGGATACTTGGAGGCAAAGACCGAAGGCAACGGTCACATACGCAGGGATTTTGGATCTATTGTCGATCCGTACAAGCAGGTTCCGGGAAAAGCAAAGTTTAAGAATACTCAGTGGAAAAATGTTCGCGTGGGAGATATTGTTCGTCTCCGCGATGATGACCCTGTTCCAGCTGATGTCGTTATCCTTGCTACCTCCGAGGAAGACGGCGCTTGTTACGTCGAAACCAAGAATCTGGATGGTGAGACAAACTTGAAGATCCGTCATGGTCTCCGTGCTGGTACTTCGATCAGGACCGCTGCACAATGCGAGGCTGCAGATTTTTGGATTGAATGCGAGGCTCCTCATGCCAACCTCTACTCCTTCAGTGGTGTGGCGAGGTGGATTGCGCGTGACCCTGACAGTCAGGATCCCGACGCTGGCGAGGAGATGGCCGAGCCTATTTCCATTGACTCTATGCTTCTGCGTGGTTGTAACTTGAGGAACACTGACTGGATCATCGGTGTGGTTGTCTTCACTGGAGACGAGACCAGGATCATGATGAATGCTGGTGTCACTCCCAGTAAGCGCTCTCGCCTTGCGAGGGAGTTGAACTGGAACGTCATCGCAAACTTCCTTATTCTTTTCGTCATGTGTTTGGTTGCAGGTATCATCAATGGTGTCACCTACCGTGACAGGGCAGAGTCATCCGACTACTTCGAATACGGCTCCATCGCCGGTTCGCCTGCCAAGAACGGTATCGTTACCTTCTGGACATGTATCATCTTGTTTCAGAACTTGGTTCCCATCTCTCTTTACATCTCCATCGAAATTATCAAGACGGCGCAGGCATACTTTATCTACAGTGATATCGACATGTACTACGAGAAGCTTGATTACCCTTGTACACCTAAGTCCTGGAACATCTCCGATGATCTGGGTCAGATTGAGTACATCTTCTCAGACAAGACTGGTACACTTACGCAGAACGTCATGGAGTTCAAGAAGTGTACCATCAACGGTGTTCCGTACGGCGAGGCTTACACAGAGGCAATGGCTGGTATGCAAAAGCGTCAGGGAATCAATGTTGAAGAAGAGTCTGCCAAGGCTACTGCTCGCATCGCGGTCGATCGTACTGTCATGTTGAAGGATCTGCGACTCCTGTCGGATAACCCATATCTTGATGAGGACAAGCTTACTTTCGTCTCGTCACACTTTGCCAAGGACATGCAAGGTGCTTCTGGTGCTACCCAAGCCAAGGCCTGTTATGACTTCTTTCTTGCTCTGAGTTTATGTCACTCGGTCCTTCCGAGCAAGCTATCAGATGACCCTCCGCGATTCGACTTCAAGGCGCAGTCTCCTGACGAGGCTGCTCTCGTTGCTGCAGCCCGTGACGTCGGTTTCACTGTCGTGGAGAGGACACAGACCGGTATCATCGTTGACGTGCAGGGTGAGAAGGAGAGCTTCGAGATGCTTACCATGCTCGAGTTCAACTCCCAAAGGAAGAGAATGAGTGCTATCTACCGCATGCCAGACGGCCGCATCATGCTTTTCTGCAAGGGTGCCGACAGTATCATCTATTCGCGTCTCGCTGCCAACCAGCAGGGTGACTTGCGCGCGAAGACTCTTACGGATCTCGAGGCGTTTGCAAATGAAGGTCTGAGAACTCTTTGTATCGCACAGCGCGAGCTTTCACCCGAGTATTACGAGAAGTGGGCTAAGCAATACGAAATCGCTGCTGCTTCTTTGTATGACAGAGAAGAGAAGATCGAGGAATGCTCTGACGAGATTGAGCATGACCTTGTCCTTCTTGGTGGTACTGCCATTGAGGACCGTCTTCAGGATGGTGTGCCCGAGGCCATTGCGATGTTGGCTGAAGGTGGTATCAAGCTCTGGGTTTTGACGGGTGACAAGGTTGAAACTGCTATCAACATCGGTTTCTCGTGTAACCTTCTCGGCAACGACATGAAGCTTATCGTGTTCAAGGCTCCCGAGGGAGATGATGTTGAAAAGGCAGAGACGCAGTTGCATGAACACCTTCAGTCGAACTTTGGTCTCTCCGGCTCAGACGAGGAATTGGCAGCTGCTCGGCTTGATCACAACCCCCCGGCTGCTACTCATGCCCTCGTTATCGACGGAGATGGTCTCAAGCTCGTACTTGAAGAGCCATTGAAGAGCAAGTTCTTGCTTCTCTGCAAGCAATGTAAGGCCGTTCTGTGTTGTCGTGTTAGTCCTTCTCAGAAGGCATTGGTCGTGAACATGGTTAAGGTTGGCTTGAATGTCATGACTCTCTCTATCGGTGATGGTGCGAACGACGTTGCTATGATCCAGGAAGCCGACGTTGGTGTCGGTATTGCTGGTGAAGAAGGTCGCCAGGCTGTTATGTCAGCTGATTATGCTATCGGCCAGTTCCGTTTCTTGAGTAAGCTTGTCTTGGTGCACGGCCGTTGGTCATACCGTCGTATCGCCGAAATGATTGCGAACTTCTTCTACAAGAACATTGTCTGGACGTTCACGCTCTTTTGGTACCAGATTTTCAACAACTTCGACGGTTCCTACCTGTTCGACTACACCTACATTCTTCTGTACAACCTTGCGTTCACTTCTCTGCCCGTCATCTTCATGGGTATCTTTGACAAGGATGTCAGTGCGAAAACCTCAATGCATGTTCCTCAACTCTACAGGCGGGGCATCCTGCGTTTGGAATGGTCTTCTAGGAAGTTTTGGCTGTACATGATTGATGGACTCTATCAATCAGTCATTTTGTTCTTTTTTGCGTATTTGTTGTTTTACACCGGCAGATCTGTCACGTTCAACGGCAACGACCTGGGTGGGCGCATTGGTGAGTATGCTACATTTCAAGCCTTTCCTCTATGCTGACGTGTTATTTAGATATTGGTGTTTACGTTGCCGGACCTGCAATCTTCGTGGCAGATACTTACGTCATGCTCAACTCCTACAACTGGGACTGGCTATACGTTCTCATTTGGCTCTTCAGTGTTCTCCTCTTCTGGACGTGGACAGGTATTTACTCCCAGTTCGAGTACAACCTCTGGTTCTACAAGATTGCGGCACACGTTTTCGGCAACCTCGTCTGGTGGCTTTTGTTCCTGTTGGTCGTTGTAGTGTGCTTGCTGCCTCGTTTCACCTTGAACTCTTTCGAAGCCATCTTCACGCCAACTGACGTCGACATTATCCGCGAAAAAGAACATTATGGCGAGTTCAAGCATTTGGAAGACACCGACGATGCGGCCATGCGTGCTGTGCAGGAGCATGAGATTGGAGTTGCTACGCAACAGTCAGGACTCGCTTCCGCCGGTGGATCGATGCAATCAATCCACAAATCAAATTTCAGCCCAAGGTACGATCGCGAGGATGAGCATCCCATCGTGCAGGAGTCTGATCAGTCCGCTTGGCAGAAACGAAACAGTGCGCTCTCCGGAGCCTCAACCTTAAGAACGGAGACGAACCCTTTTGGTAATGACGGTGGTTCGGGAAGCTCACGCGATGATAATAAAGGGCAGTTGTAATGATTATGGTTTTTAGTTGTGGAAAGAATTCATACTTAATCAGGCGTTTGGATTAGTGATAATTGCATTTTCAAAAGATCTTCTATACTTCAAATGGTTCTTTGGTATTTTAAATGGATAAAACGCCCGCTCGCCTCGCTGAGAAGAGATGCCCAATGTAAAGTCAGCCCGACTGTTACCCAAATGGCCCATTAAAGTCTCTTGGTTGGCGGCGAAAACCCGCCTTTCTTTCCTAATGCATTGTCTTCGGCCCACATCGTCAGCCTTTGTGTTTTTCTCAATCGGTATAATCCAGTCGCAGATATCAGCAGACTCAAGCTGACTGCAAGCATGGAGACCGTAGCGAAAGCAGCATTCGAGTCTTCCATAAAGTTCTTCAAGTTCATTCCGAGGAGACCTGCGATAAGGGCACCAGAACCAATTCCGAGCGTGAGCATGGACACCTTCAATTCCAATAACATCAGCGAGTTGCGATTCGCATCGAGGATGATGTTGACAATTTCTTCCGTGTTTCGGATGTTGGATGACAAGTTCTCCACAGTTTGTACGATTTCATCCGTTTGCTTCAGGTAGGACTCCAGGAGCATTTCGACTTCGTCATGCTGATCTGCTGGACGATCCGATCCCTTCTGGAGCTTCTCCGACAAGTACATCCCTGCCAAATCTTCATCCTGCTCCAACATTTCGTCCAGAGCATCTCGTACCAACGTGGCTTTCTGTTCGAACGTCGATAGCTTCTTGGAGTAGACCAAGAGCTGCCTCAACTTGTCCCGATCAATGCCTTCTTCCAATTCCACAAGCAGGTTATTCACCATCTTCCGCAAGACCTGCATCTCTGACTCCAGTGCACTTGTGACACTAATCAGAATCGCTTCAAAAGCCCGCAATTCATACGGTAATCCACCCATAGCTTTACTCCCCTGTCGCAGCTTTCCCTCCAAATCGTACATAAACACACTTTGCGTATGCGAATCTGTACTGCCAATAACATCGAACAACAACACTGTGTCAGCCTTAATTAACGCCCGAATATGTAGAAGGTTGATCAAAATTGAATTCTTGCGGACGAGGATTAAGGGCACGATGGTATGCCCCGTATCGACCTTTCTCAAATCTCGTGGTAGCAAGCCGTGTTTCGTACATAACTCTGACTTCCGGAACTCACCCGAGGCGACTTTGACGTTTCCTTTGGCGTCGAATTCCGTGCATCGTAGCAGGAGTTCGTTTTTGTGTGGTACGAGACTTCGTTCAAGGATCACGGTATGAGGTGATGGCTCCGTGCCACTCAGGAGGTAATTCGTAGGTTTGCGGCCTTTGGTGAGGTGTCTGATCCCTATTCTCGCCGTGATCCATTCCGAGGTCGTGGGTGGATTTCGTGGTCGTTGCTTCGTAGCATTGATCCGGAACAACGAGGCTGCCGTAGAGAAGGGTGAAGTCCCTGAAGAGGGCTGTGGTGTTGGGCTACCGCATATACTCCGCTTGAATGCTAGTCGTGAGCTGACTAATCGTATTGAAGAGTGCAAATCCGAGGTAAAGAAGGCCTTCGAAGGCAACTCGAACGTACAGCGAATGGCCTGTCGAGCAGGCAGCATGAACAGTCAATGATGAAGCTGGCAAGGCGACGCAACCGACCAGGGATGAATGCTAGAGACGCGTTTCTGGAGGCGGCGACTTCCGTCCCACTGCCAACGCCCAAAGTCCGTGCAGGCAGGCAGGTGCCTGCGGGTCAATCGATTGTGCCTCCAGCGATACGCGCGATACGGCACACCACACCGCTGGGACTTGAATGCCAGCATGGACCGCGATGGAGAAGCCGCCATAACCACCCTGAAGGAGCACGCCGCAAGCATGGCCGCGCATTTGGACGCCGTGGTCTCCTCAGTCTCGAGCAGGATCACCCAAGTAAGCCGCTGTTTCCCTTCCGAATTGAATGCCATGTTGAACCCGGTAAGCTGTCTGATCAGGCCTTGATACCAGTACAGAACCAAAACAAGCTGGTGCGGGAGAACGTCGAGGTATATGAGTCCAACGTGGCTCTTTTACGGCAAGTATGGACAGAGTGCGACGAACTAGATGCAGAGTTTGAGAAGATTAGACAGCTATCCACGGTGGTGTAAGCAGCAGCCGCCCCTCTTGTCAACCTTGAAGCTTACAGAGGGCCGTGTAGGAAGAATTTGAAAGAGCGCGTACATGCACTTGAACAGCAATTGAGATGAACCCCTGGTATACTGACTAAAACGAACACGATGTCCTCCACAACCTATCATGGCACTCTGTAATATGTCCTCTAATCCTTGAACTTGCGGTTAGGCGATTCACTGCACAACACCGTTAGCATATCCACACACATCATGACAACGACAACTCACCCAAAGAGCGCAATCCTGATCGCCGGCAGCGCATCATCCTCCAACAGTCTCAACCTCTCCTCCAACGTATTATCAACCTCAATCCGCCCACTCAACCCAACAATAACCATACCCCCCGAACTCTCACTTGGCAACGCGCCCTCCTCGTCAATCGAAACACTCGGCTCAAACCCAGCCTGCTCATTAAAGTCCTTAACAGCCTTCTCGATCGCCTTCTTTACGACATCCTTATCCGCATCGCGGACTCGGACCTCGACCTCCTTCTCCATGAGGGAGTAGAGCCCCTGCAGGAGCAACCCCTTCAACAATTCCTCGTACATGGTCTTGTCTTTTGAGACGTTCTTCAACTCGTTTCTGGCGTCTTCGAAGATAGTGTCGAGGACTTCTTGACGAGCTGCGAGAGTCCTCAGACGAGTCTTGTTGGTGATGAGGGACTTGGAGATTTGTTGCTGCATGGCGGCTTGCTTCTTCTTGCGCTCGTATGTCGCGTCGATGTTGGAAGTCTCCTGACGGACAAGCTTTGCCTTCTCAATAGCAAACTCCTCGTCGGCCTGTCCACACCACCTCTGTCAATCACACCTCACGTAGGAGATCAGGGGCCAAGACATACCTTAATGTGAATCTCCCTCGCCTTCTCCATTGCTTCCTGCTTGATGAAAGCAATCATCTTCTTCATCTCCTGGTTGACTTGATCATCGCTTAACGACATGATGAATGCTTGTTGTTGAATGGAATGGTTTACTCCGTCGAGCGTTGCAGGTTGTGCTTATCGTAGGGGGTGACCGCCTGATGCAGGTTGCTGCCAGTGCGTCATTGGGCAGGCAGCAGTCTACGAAGAGCAAGAGAGGAGAAAAGAGGCAGCTGGTGTCATCTAAATGCCCTATTGTAAGAGACAAATGCTACTATTCCAGAAGTCATACATTCAGGATGGTGTCCAGTGTGCCATGGCTGGTGTTCCACGCAGGCCCGATACACCGCGCAAGCAACCCGGATGCAGCTACCAACACATCGGTAGGCGCACATACGACTCGTAGGTAGCCGGCCTCGGGGTTCGCCAGGCATGAGCATGCCAGCACCAGAATAACAACCCACCATAACCAGCACATCCTTACCAACATGCCTTCACAGGGAGTTCCCTCTCTCATTTGGGTCGGATGTGCTATCGCTCTCGTTTCAAACGTCATCCAGTCTTTGGGTGCTTTCCCCTTCCGTTGGTCAACGGTGGCAACCTTGTGCTAATGTGTGTGTGTGGATAGGCATCACCTTGCAAAGAAAGTCGCACATTTATGAAGAAGCTTTACCTCAAACACTCCGACGAGCTTCGTATAAGCGACCGTTGTGGCAGTCGGGCGTGTTGATTTACATCCTCGCTAATGTTTTCGGGTCGTCGGTACAGATTACTACCCTACCACTCGTCGTCCTCGCACCCCTACAAGCATCAGGACTTGTGTTCAACGCAGTTTTGGCGAATGTCCTCCTCGGTGAGGCTTTTGGCTTGCAAGGATTGATCGGTACCGTCTTGACGAGCGTGGGTGCTGTCCTCATCGCTGCCTTTGGAGCCATCACTGAGCCATCGCACTCCCTCGACGAACTTTTGAGGCTTTTGTCGCAGTTGCCGTTCGTGATCTGGATGGTGGCGCAACTCATCTTGATCTGTATCATCCTCATGGGGGTGGAGCTCTACCGACGTACCACGCGCAAAGCAACTGGCAAGTGTCGCCAGAAGGCCAGGACTATCCGGGGATGTGGGTTGGGTTGTGTCAGTGGATTGATCTCTGCGCATTGTCTACTCCTTGCCAAGAGCGCGGTGGAGCTGCTGATTAAGACGTTCGTGTTCCATGAGAATCAGTTTGATAGGTGGCAGAGTTGGGTGTTGGTGGTGGTGTTTGTCGTGTTGGCGCTCGTTCAGCTTTCATACCTCAACCACGCACTACGGCTCACACCTATCACGATATTGTATCCGTTGACGTTCTGCGTGTACAACATCACGTCCATTGCTGACGGCTTGATCTACTTTGCACAGTACGGTGCGTTGTCAGTCCTTCAGATCTCCTTGGTTGCGCTGGGTACAGCGGTCTTACTCCTCGGTATTTTGACGATGTCATGGCCACGAGCGGAATTCGAGGATGAGGCAGCCACGATGGTATTGAGCGATGACGAATCCTACGATGGAGATGTCGAGGATGTCACGAAACGCGACCTGCCGCCGAGGGCTGAGCGGAGGTACAGCAGCACGGGGTCCTGCTCTTCTTCACAACGCTCGCTACACAGAAGGACTACAAGTGAGAGAACACCTCTTCTACCAGTCCAGGAAGAAGGACCATCAAACGGAATGGGACGGGGGAGTTGGTACAGAACACTGCAGCCCTGGCGGCGCAGACATGAGCGGACATGATAACGGGTTTACGTTAATGTTTCTTTTTCTTTTTCTACGGGGTTTATAATGGCGTTTTCTCCTCCAATCCGTGAATGTTTCATTTTGCCTTTGTCCGTGTCAGCGGCGCTCTCGTACACCGAATTACCCTGTTTGTGAGTCTGACTGCTTTCGAGTGATCCCTGACAGGGGTGTTGCTCTCGGGCCGCGTGACTTAGACGACCAAGTCGGTAATCTACACGGCACAGGATGATCCACAGCATCTTTAACAATTGACCATTGCGATCGTGTTGTTTACAAACGGCAATTCGGACTCTTATACTTGACAGTTGCAAGTCGAGTCGGTCGTTCGCCGTTTCGGAGTTTCCCGCAGCTATAGCTTTCAGTATTTGGTATACCTCTTCAATCGATCGTGTATTACCGATCATGGACATGCAACTTGCGAATTCGGGCCCTCTGAGTCCTGCCAGGCAGAGGTTGGAGAGCCATGATCCTGTTGATCGTATCCGGACAAGTAAGTCTTTGCCTTTATCACGCCGCCGTCTCCCGTCTCTTCAAACACTCCAGGAAGACGGACCCACCGGTGAGAAAGCGATTCTGAACATATCTAACGTATCTATCAGTCGACTGTAATGACCCAAGCACCGGCCAGCCCATCACCGCTACTCACTATTCCCAACCTCCTCAAACCGAGCACGACCAATACTTCCGCAACCAGGACGAGATGACTGGTTATGTCATTCGTCAGTGTTCTAAGAAGAGGTGGAATATGCCGGTGGATAATGGGGAGATCCTATTCCTCGACACTCGGCGTTTGCCGCAGAGTGAGTACGGTGAGTTGATCCTGCGCCGTTAGGGGAGGCTATAATGCTCATATGTGGTGTATAGGTACGAGAATGTATGTGCTGTACTTGAAGTTACAGGCGCAGATGAGGGAGGAGTCCAAGGTCGATGCCCTGATGGACGAGATCGAGGGCACTTTGAGGGTGGGATGAAGTCCCTGGAGCGGCTATCTCGTGTCAGGGCGTATGCCACGACCGAAATCTTTTGGACAGCGAGTGTAGGTATCCTTATCGGTACTCGTCATTTGCATACGTAGTTGAGAGCGTGAAGTGTTTTTGTTGAAAACAATTGAAACCGACCTTTTGTCCTAGATGCCTAATCTCCCGCACTACCAACCCCACAAACTGCGATCGCGATACCCTGCACGCGGCCGCAGTGTCGGTCCCACGCAATCTAAAATATAACCTCCATCTCAACCTGGCCTTGCTCCCTTCAAACCATAATCCTGCCAGCAGGAGAACGGCCACCATTCGACTTCTTTGCTCTATATCCCTACAAACCCTTCATCCATCAAGACTACCTTCGCACGACCTTACCCCTTTTTCTCCTGTCAGCATTCAATCAAGGTTCGTTGTTCCTTTCTGGTCACGTCAGGTTGGCATACAGTCGCTAACACTGGGCAAACAGACTCTTTTCTTTGTTTACACGCGCATAAATATCCTTCCTATAGCATGTCTTCCTTTCAGCACCTCGATCGCCATCTTGACCGCGTCCTCACCGGTGAGTTTCATGGAACCAGCGTTGTATGGACTAAATGCTAACACTATATCTTCGCAGTCGATATCCCTGGAGCTAATACGAAGGCTATCACCTACAGCCCGCCTCCTCTACCCAAGAATGCTCGTTACCTCACCACAAACGCTGAGATTTACAATTACGTCTCCGACATGTGCCAGCGTCATCAGATCCCTTTCCCAGTCGACCATGGGGAGATTCTATACTTCAATGGGTGGGATCAAGCCGTGGAGATGTTGTTTTTCTTACTGACACCTGGCCCACAGGAGTCCGCTCCGCTCTACGGAGACCGGATTGAGGTTATACGTGCTCATGTTGAAGAACGCCAGCGAGAAGAGAGATAGCAACCGTGTTGATGAATTGGGAAGCCTTCTGGGAGGTATGGGTGTTCAGTACGGTGGATTTGATGAGTTGAATGATATTATGGGGGATGTGTCATTGGGGAGCTCGAGCTCGTTGGAGAGTCCATGAGCCGTGGGAGTATTGTCGGAGTCTGCGCTGAGCGAGCTTTTCTGGCCACCTCAATCGTGCTCCTTATGCCTTTCTTTTAGAGTAGCTTCATGTTGCCGTTTGTGGCTCTAATGCTTTTAATACCGTTCTTTGCCTTGCAGTTCTGTTCATGCTTAATACTTGAGTGAGTTGGAGCATTCAGCCATGTAGAACAGAGCCACGAAGAGACAAACATAGAGTCTACTTTACCAAAGAATAGTAAGAGCTAACAGATATAACTGGTATACAAAATGCAAAAGTCCAACGCCATAGCACCAAGCAACGCGTATAATTTATCAAATATATCACACGTTCCCTTTGTTCTACTCCTCGATCTCCTCCTCCTCATCCTCTTCAGCGATCCCATCCAAATTATCATGGCTTAAACTCCGCTCTTCTTCATCTTCTTCCTGAACAGATTGCATACGCTCTCCTTCAGGTTCGGGTGTCTCATCATCCGTAGGCTCGGCAAATTGAACGAACTCGAAATCGATCTTGCCGTATGGCTTGTCTTGCTTGACATGGACGATGTTCTTCGTGGCCAGAACTGTATGTCGGCATATTAGCATATGTTATACACATGATGGCAAAACAATTGACATACGCAAGAGCTTCACAAACCCATCGGCGGCGACCATCCTGTTATGCGTCCTTGGAGGACACAACTCCGCAAAGGTCAACACAACACCCTCACCATCCTCGCTCCCGACAATCTCCGCCTTCTCCAGAACCTTCCCATGTGCATATAACATGAAGTTCTTCGTCTCGTTCTCCAACGTCTTGCGTAGCCATCCCTGAGATTGAGCCTGCTGAGTATCAATCTCAGCAGCGCCGCCAAAGACATCAAAATCCTCATTCACGGAAGCAGAAGTCAGATCTGGACCGAAGCTCTCACGAACATCGCCGAGGATGGACCGATGAATCCCACTACCACGGATGCTCGTACGGCCTCCGCCACCCTGAACACTCGGCGTTCTATTGCCAATGAAAGAAGCGGTGAAGCTGGAGATGTTGAAACCTTCAGGCCCAGCAGATGCGTTAGGCCCCAAAGAGCCAGCACGGGAGTCGTTCCCGAAAGGTTGGTTCCAGGGCAATGAGGCACGATCGAAGCCCGGGGCATCGTCATCGGGGAGACGGGAGGCGTTACGACCGAGTTCGACGTCGGCGTCTTCGTCAAACTGAATGACTTGAGGCGCATCATTATCTCCGCGACCGTACTCATCGCCAAGTTCTCCTTCACCGGGGTCCTCTCCGGCACGCTTCCTCTTCTTTCCCTTTCCTTTCCCACCTGCGACAGCAGCGGTGACTTCACTCTTGTCGTGTGCAAAGAACGCAGCTAGTTGAGGATTTATAACCTCGCCAGCCCATCCAAAAACCCATCCCTTTGCATCCTCGGCAGCAGCTTTCTTGTTGTTGGCAGCGACACGGGCGTCGTTGAGTTTGTTCATCTTGTCGACGTAGGTCTCACGCCAGCTGGTCATCTCCTTCACGCTGACCTCGGTGGACTTGTCAATGACAATACAAGCAGGCTTTCGCTTCTTCCTGGCGGGAGCAGCAGCAGCCTCACCATCCTCAGCGGCTGCGGCTTCAACTTCGGCAGTGTCAGAGTTGCGCATAGGGAACGGCTCAGCACTCCCAAGCTGTTCCGGTCCATACCCAAGATCGAAGCCCTCCTCCTGAATAGCATCCATCCAGTCATCGCCGTTACCCGCCGTAGCCAACTTCTGCCTCTTACGTCGGGCCTCATCATGCTCCTTCCTAACCGCATCTTCAAGCAACGAATCATTAGAGTCACTCCCCGCCTTACTCCTCCTACTCGCAGCAGCAGCTTCCTGCGTCGGACGCATAGCCCCATCCGCACCGAACTCGAAATCCAGGTCACCGATGAATGCGTCCTCTCCACCCGCACCGACACCAAACATGTCGTCATTGAGGTCCAAGGCGAGGTTGAGCGCGTTCACGTTGTTGAGATCGATGTCGTAGCCGCCGACAGAAGTACCGACATTGCCTGAGAGGAGGCCGCCGAAGTCCGGACCTACGCCGTTTGAGAATGAGGATTCGTCCAAGAGGGAGTTTTGGCTTAGGCGGCGACCGGGAGCAGAACCCGTGACACTTGGCGTACCGCGGAGACTGAGAGCTGACACGTCACCAATGTCGTGACCGTCTAACAACAGACCTTGGAGACCGTGCAGGGTGTTGCCCATTCCGCCAAGAGGTTGAAGCAGGAGAACGTCGGGATTGAAAGTCGGGTCATCTGGGAGGGTCAAGGACTCCTGAGCGCGTTTTTGCCCAGTGACAGGAAGGTCGATGTCGCGTGCTTCAGTAGAGAGGGACACCAGTTCACGGCGGACTTTGGCATGTGCGACGGTGACGTCCGCTGCGTCACCTTTTAGTCAAGCATACGCGTGTGAAAAGAGAGACGCACCATAGAAGAACCCGTATTGTTGCGCGAAGACACGTGTGACACCGACCATCAAGTTGGACTGTAGACGAAGGGCCATGGGCTCGGAAGGATTCACAAGGTCATCGCATGTACGTCCGATGTCAACCGACAGAATGTCGCGTTTTTGAAGCTTCTTCAGTGAAGACTTGGACCCAAGAGTCGCAGCGAGCCTTTGGACGCGTCAGCTTCGGTCAGCGAAAACTCCGAGATATATGCTCACCAAACAACACCAAAACCACCCTTGCGCTTCAAAAGGAGACTGTAAAGTCAACGTCAGCTTCGTGAGAAAAAGGGAAGGTCCTTGGCCTTACTCGTGGTTGTAGAACATCACGTCCTGGGTATCCTGGTATCAACGAACAAGAGAAAAACAGAAGAGAAGGAACGTGAAAGAGAATGGAAGGGACTCGAACTTGGTGTTGGTGGAGTGTAGCTGGACTGGGAATCAAGGAGAACTGTACGACGTCAGCGGCCTGGCTAATTGCGAAACGCGCGGTTCATGTAAACACGACGAGGGAGACGCAACATTGGAGAGAACGACCAATTCAACACCATTGCAATTGATAACCAAAATGGACAGAAAGTTGATAACACTGAATACCAACATACCTCAGCTGACTTCTTCGCCAAAGTCGCCTACAAAGACCAGCTCATACCCCACTGCCTCCCCGTCGTCACCTACACGCTCTTCCCTATTTTCCCATGCTTCGTCAGCCGTCGAGTCGGTTGCTTCAACGCTGCAAAACTTGAGACTTGGGGGCTCTCCAACACGAGACAGAGAACGGTCTCCCACGAAGGATAAGAAGTTAGGTCACATCAAGGAGGATACGCATACAGAACACTATAGCCCAGTACGAGGACGTTCACCAACAAAGAATGGTGACTCGGACAACAACTATGATTCGCAGCAACGAAGTATTAACAAGTCAACGCTTCGACGAGGTTTGACCTATGAGGAGATGGAAATCTTGCTGAAGCCAGAGGTGAAGCGCATGGCTACAGTTGCCAATCTTTGTACGTCTCTTTCATGCAGTTTCCAGTGATGTAAGCTGACAGATTTACAGACTTCCTTGACCATTACTTCGATCTCCTACACTATCTCGCCGCTCGTCAACAACGACTGAGCGCATTCAAGCGTGACAATCCTGATCCAGCGGACGTGACCTATCAATCAAACGTAAAACGCTATCTTGGCGCCGAGCGGGTGGCTCTACGAAAGAGACGCGTGAAGGTCCGATATGGCGATTTTGGCGTAATTGCTCAAGTCGGTCAAGGCGGTTACGGAGCAGTTTATCTCGCTCGCAAGCGTGACACCGCCGAGGTCGTTGCGTTGAAGAAGATGAGCAAGGCTTTGTTGGATAAGCTTGATGAGACGCGTCATATCCTGGTGGAGAGGGATGTACTGACTCAAGGAAAGTCACCGTGGTTGGTGAAGCTTCTGTATGCATTCCAAGATCCAGCATATATCTACCTTGCCATGGAGTATGTTCCTGGAGGAGACTTCCGTACGCTTCTCAATTCGTCCGGAGTCCTGCACGATCGCCACGCCAAGTTCTATGCCGCAGAGATGTTGATCGCTGTGAATGAGTTGCACAGGCTGGGGTATATCCATCGTGACCTTAAGCCGGAGAACTTCCTCATCGACTCCACTGGCCACATCAAGCTAACGGACTTTGGGTTGTCGACTGGTGCCTTGAGTCCTGACCGTATCAAGAGCATGCGTGTCAAGCTTGAAGCTGTCAAGGATCTCCACGTCCCAGACCGTACAACCTTGGAGCGTCGTTCTCTCTACCGCTCCCTTCGTCGTTCGGAACCGACCTACGCACAATCAGTTGTTGGCTCACCAGACTACATGGCGCCTGAAGTACTTCGCGGAGAGAAATACGACCTGACAGTCGATTGGTGGAGTGTTGGATGTGTCGTCTTCGAGATGCTGGCCGGTTTCCCTCCGTTCAGCGGTGCCACAATGAACGAGACGTGGGCGAACGTCCGTAACTGGAGGAAGGTGTTGAGGAGGCCAGAGTATACCAGGGAGGAGGATCTCGAGTTCAACCTGCAGGACGAGTCATGGGACTTTATCTCCGCACTTATCGCGACGCGTGCCGAGCGTCTGAGCGATCTCGAGACCATTCAGACCCATCCATGGTTTGCCCCGCTTTCATGGCCACATGTTGTTGCTCGCCGTACCCGTACTCCCTTCGTTCCAGACTTGAACTCTGACACTGACGTTGGCTATTTCGATGACTTCTCGAACGAGGAGGATATGGCCAAGTACAAGGAGGTGTACGACAAGAAGGACGCTTTGGAGGCTATGGATGATCGCGCGAATGGTAACGGAAGAAGGAGTGCCTTTGTCGGATTTACCTACAAATATCGCCCCGAAGAGGGCATGCCCGGAGGAGGAGCGGCTGGTAGAGGAAGAAGCCAAAGTCCGAGGAAGCGGAATGATGACCTTGGTACTATGTTTTGACTGAGATCGGACACTTGGAGTAATGGGTTGTGTTTAGCTTTACGGCGTTTGAGCGTTATTCGATGATTTAATCCTATTGATGTTAAGCTTTATTTAATATGCATTGTGCCGGGCTAGCGGGGCGCCTGCAAAACGACAGCTGCAACATCATCGATCACTCTTCACTCATAAAGTAATAAAGGTACGTGTCCGGGGAGAGCAATTGAAGCTCTGCTTTCGTTTCTTTTTGATCTGTTCGATCTCTAACACTCCCTAGATGGCCGCCCGATCCGTCGTTCAATCCGTCAACTGGCAGAAGCTCTCCTCCGGCCTCGGCCTCTCCGCCGCTACCGTCGGCTCCATCAAGTCCTTCCGTGAACGCGCCAACAACGCTGCTCGCAAGGTTCAGTCCCTTTCCGAGCAGAAGACCGACATCGACTTCGCTCACTACCGCTCCGTCCTCAAGAACCAATCCGTCGTCGACGAGATCGAGAAGTCCTACAAGGCCTTCAAGCCCGTCACCTACGACGTGAACGCCCAGATCAAGGCCATTGAGGCTTTCGAGGCCAAGGCTGTATGTTATAGAATGCGGTAGTCGTCAATTGGAGGACAATTACTAATTCGATGACATAGGTCGAGAACGCTGAGCTTACCGCCAAGAAGGTCGACATCGAGCTCCAGGACCTCCAGAGGACCTTGGACAACATCAAGAACGCCCGTCCCTGGGAGGACGTCTCCGTCGACGACTTGGTCAAGGCCGCTCCCGAGATCGAGAAGAAGACCGAGGATATGGTTTCCCGCGGAAGGTGGGCCATCAAGGGTTACCAGGAGAAGTTCGGAGATCTTTCCCTTATGTAAGATGTTTCTGTTGGAATGTGTTGGAGGGTGTGTGGGGAAGTGGATATACCATACTGGAAAATGTATGTTGGAGGTTGAGGTGGTGTTGAAGACTTGTTCGGGCATGAGAATAGCTGTCTAGAATGGGAAAAGTGTATAATCATTGTTCGTACGCGCTGGTCTTGTCGTGCACGTTTGATCGTTCGATTTTTTTTGAGTTCACTCAGCGGCCTGGCAGGCTCGCGACATCAGAAGGCTTTGCACATTTGCCACAGCAACTCACTCAAAGTTGTTCGACACAACTCGCCTGACCGTATTGTTTGTGCAAGAAGCTGCAAGGTCAGTTTTGGAGTCAGTAGGGATTGCACGATATCAAAAGGACAGTTACATCGTCAAGCTCGATGTGCTTTGGAAGGTTGAAGTACCCTTAAGCTTGCTATCCTAGAGGCAACGTCGACGCAAATAGGTGATTGAGAATGGGCTTAACACTTACAGATTGCACACCAAACTATAGAAAACAAGATCATCATATTAAACAACCGTCTTCGCAGTCGCCTTGATGAAGAGCTTCCCAAAAAATGTTCCGTCCCAAATAATCCCCAAAATCACCATAATCAGACCCAAAAAGAGAAAGGCGGGTATCACTAATGTCCTTCGTTCATCCTTGTCCTTATCCATACTCATATCGTACTCTTTCATACAACCCTGCATTTAGGCAGAATCCTTCTCCCGACGGAGCTTGTCAAAAGTAGCCTGACCAGCAGACTTGGAATCATCCGTCTGCAACCCACCAGCCAACTTATCAGCAGTATCGGTAACACCCTCCTTCGCCTTGTCCAAATAAGACTTCTGGGACTCGGGAGTCAACTCCTCCTTCGCCTCCGTAGTCCAGCTCTTACGGCCGGTATCGGAGCCGAGACCAAGAGAATCCTTGACGTTGGTCAATCCAGACGCAACGGTATCGTAGAGGGAGTTACCCTCAGCCTTGGCGTCATCGTTGGTACCGCGGAGGGAGTCAGCGGCGGACTGAGAAGTGGACTTGTTCTCTGCGGGAACGACAGCGGCAGCGACGCGGTCGTAGGCGCCGGAGAGGGCGTCGCCGGCTTGCTCAAGGTAAGACTTCTGGGAGTCAGGCTTGACCTTGTCGTGAACCTGCTCAGTAAGATCCTTGCGGCCGAAGTCAGACATGTTGTAGTAGTAGTAGTAGTAGTTGTTTGTGTGGGAGTGTTTGTGTGAGGAGGAGTGAGAAGGAGGGAGATGGGAGGGTATTTATGTGCGGGGGGTGGACCCTGGCTTCCCTGTGATGTCATGGCCAACCCTCGCCAGCCCGCGCCACGACATAATGGCTCGATGACGTAGCACCGATATTCAGGGATGACATCGGCGGATTGCAGACAGCTGTCACTGCTCGTCTCGTACCCGTGCTATGTATGCTACTGTTCCAGGTGAGGACGGAGATGTATGCGTGCTCTATTTTCCAAATGGCTCACTGCAGCAGGCCAGCTGTCGTTGCAGTGACTATCCCAACATATCGCAACTGTGTTGGGGACTCATGCGGCGTTGTGCCATACTCTTACGACATCGGCATCCCCCTCCAGTTTTTCAAGCAACTCTTCGAACAGTTGCTCCTCTTCACTCCCCTCCTGAATTGTGACCTGTGTGTCCTCCTTTTTGATCCACGCCAACTCAACTCCTGTAACATCATACCCCTTCTCCTTGAACGCTTTCCCAATCGAACCCGTATTATCCGGCTCACAGATAACCTCAACAGTTCCATCCTCCTCAACAGGCCCCACATCCTCCGCTCCCGCTTCAAGCGCATCGTCAAATACACCGTCCGTGCTTAACCGTGTCCCATTTGGACCACTGGAAAGTGTCACACGACCCTTCCGGTCAAAGAAAAACGCAGTAGGTGTACTCCGTGCCCCACACCCCTTCAAAATGTACTGCACACTCTTATTTGCCCTCGTTTTATTATCTGTCAACCCCTCAATGATCAACGCGACCCCACCCGGCCCGAGTGCCTCAAACGTCGCCTCCTCCAACGCCGCACCCCCCTCCTTGATTCCACTTCCCCTTTTAATTGCGGCTTGAATTTTGTCTTTGGGCATGAACAGCTTCTTGGCGTTCGCAATGAGTCCTGCGAGTCGGAGGTTATCGGCGGGGTTTGTGCCGCCGGCTTTGGCAGCAGAGGTTATTTCTTTCGCGAGTTTGGAAAAGGTCACGGACTTTTGGGCGTCGGCGGCGCCTTTCTTATGTCGGATTTTGGACCATTTGTTGTGGCCTGCGAGGGCGGTGGGACTGGATGCGAAGGAGCGTATGGGAATGTTGGGGGAGAACTGTGCAGCCCTGATGATTCTGGGTGGGCAGTGGCAGAGGGAGAGCACTGTCCGCAGTCTGGTCATGCCGGTTGTGATATAGCTACAGAAGGGAAGACAAGGGTCGGTGAATTGTCGATACGTCCGTCGGTGGAATGCCCATGGACTTTGAGGATCAGGCACCGAGATTCCCCGGCACGTGTGTTCCCAACCTTCCCGTCCTTCGAAGAACTTGGCGAGCAGTTAGTTTACAGATTTACTCTATCTTCGAAGAATCCTGTCAATTGACTCGACTGTCGCCCAATCCAGCGGTCGAAGTTAAGCTCGTGCTTGTCGGCTGGCTGAATCTGGGCGCGTTCTGGCGTTGGCTGTGCTTCGTTCTACGGCACACAAAACAAACAAACATTTACTGCTGTGAGACTTTTGCAGCCGTAGTCACTGTATCGATTTGAGGGTTCACTGTCGCTTCAGTCTTTTCAGTCATTGTGACACAGGCCGGCTGGTAAATTGCGGCCCGTGACGCTCACCACCTCAGCTCACCCGGCCCCTCAGTGCGGGAGCATACTCTACACGAACGTGTTGGGCGAACAAGCCGTACAGTATTGCTCCTACCCGTCCTATCGGTGACGACCCGTCCGTCTACTCCGTCGCGACCCTCACCTCCTTACCCCAATCTTCCGTTCGACTACATAAATCAGGATGTCGACCCCTCCAACACTTCCTCTACATCGCTCACCGCACGTTCGGCGAAGTAAACCCCTTCCAGCGACTCCACCTCGCGGACCACGCTCAAGACCAGTGACGCATTACGGAGGTCCATTACCGCCGTCACCGATGTCTCCTGAAAGTAGACGATTGACAATTGATACCAATACGAATTCGGCGTTTCGGCAGAGTGCGAAGCATAACATGCCTGTTCCAGTTCATCGCGATTCGGGTGTGTGTACTTCACCCATCGACGCACTCGACATCATCGATGAATATGGAGACGACGAATGCTTACGTGGGAGTGACGGGCTCTCTTACCCGTCCACTCCTGTCATCGACCAAGGTTCACTGCACAAACGCGCTGTATCGGATTCGTCGAGTTTACAGAGTGGACCACCTCCTCCCATCCCGCCAAAGTCGATCATGCATGAACGTGAAGCCATCACGCGAGAGATCTTGACGAGTGAGGAGAGTTACTACATAGAGTTGCGCGGAATCCATATCGACATCGTGAAGCCGATGCAGGAGAATGCACATAAGACTGGGTTGTTGCGGGACGTGGAAAGGGGATTCGCATGCTTAGAGCAGATGATTCGGTTTCATGCACAACTGTTAACGGTAGATTTCAGCGCACTGTTTCGTGCGATGATAGCTAATGTACCTTACAGGCATTGAGAAGCACATTTACCCCGATACAGGAGCTGTGCGACCACCTACCCCGGTTAGCGGCACTGTACACACCCTACATCCTCCTTCTTCCCACGTTGCAATACTGCACTGCGAATCTACAAACCTCAACCACGAGCAACCTGACGCCGTCTACTCGACTCTTAGCTCCCTTCCAGCGGTTGACACGTTACCCGTTACTCCTCAGCCGTCTCCTCCTGGTCACGCCACCTCACCTCAGCAACGATGCCTGGCGCACCGTTCGCGAAGCATACTCTGCCGCTAAAGCCGCATGCGAGGACGTACAGAACGCGAAAGCACAAGAGGAAGAATATCAGAATCTGCGGCAAGTCGAGAGAAAGTTGACACCGTTCGACTTTGTCTTGGCTGTACGGAAGAGGCGGAGAATCATCTTCGACGCGGGCGTCAAGCTCAAGTTCGAGAAGAAGGGGCTGACGCTGTTTGGGAAGGACGTCAGTAAGGGTTGGTGTGTGTTGTGCAATGATGGGATTGTGATTTGGGGTGCGCAATCTACGTCGTCGGAGAAAGGCGCTGGACCGCAGTGGAAGGCACTTGGTGGGGTTGAGAGGGTAGTGAATTCGCGGAGAGCCGAGAAGGATGGTTGGGTGGAGGTTGCGAGCCAGGATGTGAAGACGGGCGAGATCGGAGTGAGATGGGTGAAGAAAGAGGGTACGGATAGAGGATGGATGGATGTGTGGTTGCAGGGAGGGTTGTCGTGAGAGGGATATAGGGGGAGAACATATATCCAGCTGGCTCTGGTAAAGGACATTGGTTCGGCGTTTTGTTTTTAGATATTCTTATTGGGGTCGAGATGATAATCCATATTTTTAGAAGCAAATACATTGAAGTTACAGACCCAAGGTACGAGTCAAACTGAACGCACAAGATGTCAATGACAGCAATAATTGATTTTATCCGAGACACTACTACTTCTATCCGTACACACCAGGCGCATCATTACTCAAACAAGACCCTCCTTCAGTTTATTTATTTGGGGCCGATCATGTTCTCAGGCCTGACCCACTGGTCGAATTGCTCAGAAGTCAACAAGTTCAACTGCAAAGCAGACTCCTTCAAAGTGATACCCTTCTTGTGGGCGTTCTTGGCAGCCGCAGCAGCGTTGTCGTAACCAATGTGGGGGTTCAAAGCAGTGACAAGCATGAGGGACTCCTTCATGATCTTGGCGATGTTGGACTCGTTGGCCTGGATGCCGACGACGCAGTTCTTGGTGAATGATCGGGAAGCGTCAGCCAAGAGACGGATGGACTGGAGGAGGTTGCGGATCAAGACGGGCTTGAACACGTTAAGCTCGAACTGACCGGAAGCACCGGATATGGAGATGGCGGTGTTGTTACCAATGACCTGGGCACAGACCATGGTCATGGCCTCACACTGGGTGGGGTTGACCTTTCCGGGCATGATGGAAGATCCGGGCTCGTTCTCAGGGAGAGACAACTCACCGAGACCGCAACGGGGTCCGGATCCGAGGTAACGGATGTCATTGGCGATCTTCATGAGGGAACAGGCGAGGACGTTCAAAGCGCCGGAAGCCTCGACGATGGCGTCGTGCGCAGCGAGGGCCTCGAACTTGTTGGGGGCGGTGACGAAGTCAATGCCGGTCTCCTTGGCGATCTCAGCAGCGACCTTCTCGTCGAAGCCCTTGCGGGTGTTCAAACCAGTACCGACGGCGGTACCACCCTGAGCGAGCTGCTTAAGGCGGGGGAGGGTAGCCTCGACACGGGCAATGCCGTACTCGATCTGGGTAACGTAGCCGGAGAACTCCTGGCCAAGGGTAAGAGGGGTAGCGTCCTGCAAGTGAGTACGTCCGATCTTGATGATGTCCTTCCATTCCTCAGTCTTAGCAGCCAAAGCCTCGTGAAGACCCTTCAAGGAGGGGATGAGGGAGTTGACAATCTCAGTGGTCGCAGCGACGTGCATGGCGGTGGGGAAAGTGTCGTTGGAGGACTGGGACATGTTGACGTGGTCGTTGGGGTGAACGGGCTTCTTGGAGCCGAGCTCACCGCCGAGCATCTCAATGGCACGGTTGGAGATGACCTCGTTGGTGTTCATGTTGGACTGGGTACCGGAACCAGTCTGCCAGACCACGAGAGGGAAGTGGTCGAGGAGCTTTCCGGAGATGACCTCATCGGCAGCATCGCGGATAGCGTTACCGACCTTGGGGTCCAAGCCGTACTCCATGTTGACGGTAGCAGCGGCCTTCTTCAAGACACCGAAAGCCTTGATCAGAGGCGCAGGCATGCGCTCAGTGGGACCTCCAATGTCGAAGTTTTGGAGGGAACGCTGAGTCTGAGCACCCCAGTAGCGGTCAGCAGGGACCTGGAGCTCTCCGAAGGTGTCGCGCTCGCGACGGAATTGTTCCTGGGACATGGCGGGGAAGGAGGTGGTGAAAGTCCTGACGGCGGCGGGAGTGATCTGAGAGAAAGCGTAAGCGCTGGAACAAGTCAGGTAGGAGGATCAGGACGTACACGCTTGGGAGCAATTGCACGAGCGGTCAATCGTGCGACAGGCAGTCTGCGAAGCATGGTGGGGTATTACGAGCGGATCAGATCTCTGGAGCGAGACTTCGACGTCGGGCGTCTCCTAGACTGCTTATAGTAATGTCGGGCTGAAGGGGACCCCCTCGGCAGTTTTCGGCTGTGTGTCCCGGCCAGTTCCGCAGTGTCAAGGTCGTGCATTCACGCCCAGTAAAAGGGCTAAATATATCTTAAAAGTAGGTTCCTTGTATTCAGATGTCACCGGAGCATCAATCGTCCCTAACTGCACGACGCGTTCACCCACGTACATCTGGGGTCGCGTCCGCCAAAAGTGAAACCGCAAGGATCGTGAGATACGAACGAAGGAGCCCTGTGCAATGCCTCGCCGGCTACGTGACGACGAAGATGATGGTTCAGAGGTGGAGGACAGCGTTACTCCGGAATTCTCCGGCGATGTCCCGGATGACACGGCATCCACCACGCCATTGCCTGTGCGAAAAAGGCAGCGCATGTCTAATGTGGCCGAATGTAATTCGCAAGATGACAAGTTGGTTCTCACTCCACCTACTTCTGAAATCTCGGCTCTAACAAGGCCATAGATACCTTCCCGGCTCCATTGTCCGGGTAACGCTGGACCATTTTCTTACATATGATCAGACAGAGTTTCGGCCCGGGCCTAACTTGAACATGATCATTGGACCAAACGGCACTGGAAAGTCTACGATTGTATGCGCCATTTGTCTTGGATTGGGGTATGCACCGAGTTACCTGGGACGTGCGAAGGATGTGTCCGAGTTCGTCAAGCATGGCTACAGTGAGGCAGAGATTGAGATTGAGCTGCAAGGACAGGAAGGGCAGCAGAATACAATCATCAAGAGAAGGTTGCATAAGGACAACAACTCGTCGCAATACTGGATGAACGGGGTCAGCACGTCATTCAAGCTCATCCAAGATTATGTTCGCAAGTTCAATGTCCAGATCGACAACCTGTGTCAGTTCCTGCCGCAAGACAAGGTGGTTGAGTTTGCGCAACTGACGCCCGAGAAACTACTTCAGGAAACGCAGCGCGCTGCTGGTGATGAGAATATGCTCAAACAGCACCAGGAGCTGATATCACTGCGTAATGAACAGAAAGGTCTTTCCAGCGGCAAAGAGAAGGACGACGCGGCGCTTGCCAACCTCAAAACTCGTCAAGCTGTTCTCGAACGCGATGTCCAGCGTTTTCGAGACCGTGAAGCTATCAAGAAGCGAATCGAGCTCCTCGAGATCAAGGTTCCATTTGCTGAATACAACGACGCAAAGCGTGCCTTCGAGGAAGCGCGAGCAGATAACAGGGAGCAAGCAGCTGAGCTCCAGCGTATCAAAACACGGTTTGAACCGATGGTACAAGCGCGCGAAGAAGCAAAGGAGCACTCTCAACGCATGGAGGAAGAACGTACGAAGCGGAAACAACGCTACGACACGGTTCAGCAAGCAATGGTTCGTGTGTCTCAAGACTTGGATCGGACAAGCTCCGCTATGGAAGATCATCGCCGGGACATTGTGACTCGACGCAAACAGGAGCAAACCCGCAAAGAAAAGTTAAGGGAGGTGCGCAGTGATGTTGCGAAATGGCAGCGTAACCTGGGTCCCGAGCCGGAGAATCCAGATGCGTCCGATCTGAATGGACAAATCAGGGAGAAGAGCGACGCATTGCGTGTCTTGAATCACCAGGTGAAGGAGGTTCAGGACAAGCAACAAGCACTCACCGACCGAGGACGGGAGGAAGGTACTCGCCTGAGGAGGCTTCAGGAGGAGCATGGTCGATTAAACTCTGTGCGAGAACAACGATTGGAGTTGCTCAAAGGCTGGCACAGGGATACCTATGAGGCCGTTCAGTGGTTGCGCCAGAACAAGGACAAGTTCGAGCACGAGGTTTATGAGCCAGTATACCTCGAGGTCAGTGTATCGAATATGCGATACGCCAACCAAATTGAGATGGGTTTCCGGGATTCAAATTTCTTGTCCTTTACGTGCATGTCGCGTCAGGATTACAGGAAATTTACCGAGCTTCTCGTTGATAACAACCAAGCAGCCGGTCGACGTCTCTCGCTTTTCGTCGCTGAATACTCTGGCACCAACGCTCCAACCCTTGAGTCCCAGCGCTCCCCAGTGCCCCAAGAGGAGCTGAAGCGGTTAGGATTCGATGGATGGATGTTGGATTACTTGGAGGGGCCAAAGCCAGTGTTGAATGCACTTTGTCACATGGTGAACGCGAACTCGACAGCGTTGTCATTTCAGCCCTTCTCGTCCGAGGACAACAAGAAAGTGGAGGCTTTGACTCGCCAGAACGAGCAAGGAGACATTATCCAGCTGATTCAAAATTACATGGCTGGAAGAGTGCATTACACCATCAACAGATCTCGTTACGGAAGGAAAGAAGCGTCTACTCGTACACGGAACGTGCGGAACGCCAAGCGTTTTGGTGAGGCAGTGAACATGGAGAAGAAGTCGCAGCTTGAGCGCAACATGAACGAGATTAAGTCCAACATTGACGAAGTCCAGTCCGGCCTTGACCAATGCAAGAAGAAGGAGATTAAAATTCGTGCGGATTACGAAGTACTTAAGGCCGAGCGCGATGCGATCGAAAAGGAGAAGAACGAACGCATCAAAGCGAACCGAGAGTGGCAAAAACGGCAAGTTCGCCTCAATTCCATGAAGGAAGATCTTGAGCGAAGAGAAGCCGTACCCGTCACCTACGAGGAAGATATCGCTCAGATCAAGGCCAGGATGGCGAGATCGGCAGAAGAGCGCGGGCAGCTTGCCGTTCAATACAAGGACCTCGTCGTACAGGCAATGCAGCTCATGACCCGGTACCAAGTTGCGTATCTCAATGCCCTTCAGGCGGTTTCAGACAACAAAGGTGTGATCGCTCGTTTCGGTGAAATCTCTCAGCAACTCCAAGAAGCCGAGAACGCTTCCACTGCAGTTAAGGCTCTCATGGCTGACAAAAAGCGACTTGCGCAGCAAAAGTACCAGACAGCCACCGCCAAGTCCCAACAAGTCAGCGAAGAGACTCGGGAGCAGCTACAAGCTAGTCTCGAAGACCTCGAGACTGTTGAGGAGCTCAGGGATATAATTATGCAGGAGAAGAATAATCTTGAGCTCATCTTCAACACAAACTCGAATGTTATCGAGCAGTACGAGAAGCGTCAGAGAGACATAGCCGAGTTGCAGGAGAAGGTCGAGACCAGACAAGCAGCCTTGGACGAAGTGGACACCAAGATTGAGCAAATTCGCGGGGACTGGGAGCCTAGGCTACGAGCGCTCGTCGAACGAATCAGTCGGAGCTTCTCCGACGCTTTCAATTACATCGGCTGTGCCGGTGAAGTGCAAGTCGGCCGCAAAGACCCCGAGAGAACTCCCGAAGATGACTTTGCGCAATGGCGTATCGAGATTCTTGTCAAGTTCCGTGACACGGAGAAGCTCCAACTCCTCGATGCACAGCGTCAGTCTGGTGGTGAGCGGTCTGTGTCGACGATTATGTACCTGATGGCCCTCCAGGATATGGCTACAGCTCCTTTCCGTGTTGTGGATGAGATCAACCAGGGTATGGATCCAAGAAACGAACGTTTGGTCCATGCGCGGTTGGTGGATGTTGCGTGCAGAGGCAATACCTCACAGTACTTCCTCATCACGCCTAAGCTGCTACCCGATTTGATGTACCATTCGAAGATGAAGGTGTTGACGATCTACAACGGTGAATGGCTGCCGGAGCCAGAAGAGAGCAAGATGGATTTCAAGAAATATCTAGCGATCAAGAAGGCGCAGAAGGGACTGGCATGATACATCATGTCTGCATTTGCGTAGAGCTTTGTGAGTAGCTTGAGTAGTTAGGGGATAAGGGTTGGGCGTATCAGGCGTTATTGCTCTTGCACAAGTTGCGGATACATATGCTCTCATATCTAGACATAATCTATGATGCCTTTGCTTTCTGAGTGACGTCGTCGAGTTCCGCATACCGTCTCTTCGCCATCGCCACACATTCTCGCAGCGTCTCCACGCTCAGGTTCATCCCTCCTCCCTTGGAGATGTTGCATAATCTTCCCTGGCTGTTGACCACGATTGTCACTGACTCCTGTACCAACTCCTCCTCGTCGTCGTCCATATCCGCCAACAGATATTGTCCATCGAACAACCCGAACGTCGAAGCATAGCACTTGCCTGCCACATCCAGCCTTCTTGTCTCAGTATCACTGCACACAGCATGTTCCCGATCCTCATCCCACTTTGCCACCGGTAATCTCGTGTCCTCCAAAGCAGTCATGAGCGCCATCCACGCCGCGTCGAAAACATTCCCATCATAGTTCAAGCAGATGATGTCGGCGTACAACACCCACGCAGCCTTTCCTTCCTCGATACACAGCGTGTCCAATGGTAGGGCCTTCGTCGCCTTAACCAACGTATCCAACTTCTCGCCCAATGACTGCGCCAAATCTCCCGGAGGTCCGTACTTGAATTTCGTCGAGCAAATGGGGGTTAACTCGATATTGGGCACCAACCACCCCTCTCTCGGTCTCTCCACATCCGGTTCGGCAATCTCACCCTTAACACCACACACCACGGTCGTATTCCCCATCCTTACGACGGCTGATCCGAATGCGTTGCTCAGAGACCCGGCATTGGCTGTTGTTGGGCGGAATTCGCAGAGAGAGCGGCCGTCGGCGCGGACTTCGGATGTAGTGAAGCGGCGGAGGTATTCCTGGGGATGAAGTTTTTTGAAGGTGCTGTTTGCAATGTCAGCAACGATCCAAAGAAGCTGGAGAAAAGCTCATAAACGTACGCTGGTGGGAAGGACAGTGATGGAAGCGCGTCGTTTTCAGGCATTATGAATGGTTCTCAAATCGAATAAAGATTTCGAAGTTCCGTAAATGGGATAGACGTCTTATAAGCCTCGAAATTGAACCTCCAAACTTTTTTGATCGAGGACGGTAACGTCGAAACGGCGCATGCACGGCCGGCGCAGCAGAAGCCCCCTGACAGCGACGTCGTATGCGAAAACACCAAACCATATACACCCCTCATATACAATGAGGTAGACGGTTTCCCGCAACTTCATGAATTCGATGAGAGACTGACTGTCGTTTACAGCGAACTCCAGAACAGACCAAGATCAGAACTTTCCGAAGTCGAGCTCGCTCAACTCGAGGCTGTATGTGTACTTGTACTCCTATCGAGAGGGATTGAATGCTGACGGGGGATCGAAAGTACGAATTCAATGCGGGACCGCTATCAGTGTTGCAGCAGGCGGTGAAGAATCATAACCAGGTGTTGATCAACTGCAGAAATAACCACAAGTTGTTGGCGAGGTATGTTCCCTCTCCTCTGCCTCTCCTCCGCGCCTGCGCATGGGGAGTTTGTCGCGTGAAGCAGAACTGACGATCTGCGCAGAGTAAAAGCATTCGATAGACATTGCAACATGGTCCTCGAGAACGTGAAAGAGGTAATACCAGCACCCGACCTCTTTCCACACCACACGCGAAGAAAGCTAATTGTGTGTGATTGCAGATGTGGACAGAAACCCCGAGAAACGCACAAGGAAAGAAGGGAAAGCCGGTGAATAAGGATAGGTTCATCTCGAAGATGTTCTTGAGGGGGGATGGTGTTGTGTTGGTGTTGAGGAACACGAACTAAGTGAGGATGGGGTCTGGATGAGAACGGTGCGTGAAAGAGACAGGCACAACTGGAGAGAGGAAGCAAGACGAACATCCTTGGAAAATGAGATGAAGCGCAGAAGAGCACGGGAAGGGGATTGCTACATTCGTTACGATCTACACAATTTAAGCTCAGACCCTGCAGCTACTATGACTCCCCAGATTTCGGTCCATGTGCCTTCTCGGTGTACATAAGGACAACTTACACCATTCCGTAGACTCAATTACAATGAGCCACTCAACAGAAGTCCAGATTCGCCGAATAACCCCCGATCAAACCATCCCCCTCCGCCATTCCGTCCTCTGGCCTGATCGACCGCAATCCTACGTCCTCCTCGAAGACGACTTTTCTGACACTGCAACACACTTTGGCGCATTTATCTTATCATCCACCGTCCCAATCGGCGTCATCTCACTATTCGCATTACCGTCCGACGACGCAAACACAGCAAGTTACCGATTCCGCAAATTCGCAGTCGACCCGGCACACCAGAACCGCGGCATCGGCACCTTACTCCTACAAAAAGTAATGACGACCTGTATGGAACGGGGAGCGAGCGAGGTATGGTGTGATGCGCGGATTGATGCGTGCGGGTTGTATGAGAAATTTGGTATGTATAAAAATCAAGGGCAGGGGGAATGGGTGAAGGGAGGGATTGAGTATGTTAGGATGGTCAAGCAATTCAACAGTCCTACAAATGGATAACGCGATCGATTGCTACGTCAAGGGATGAGTGAGGGAGGGGTCCAGAGCGAGGGGAAGTAATCAAACGATGGGTTATCTGCAACCTCTCGAATTACGGTAGACAGCAGGGTCGAGTTATTAGGGTCCGTTTCCGGAGCCGTGTGCCACACCAGCTGGCGCCGACCCAGCAGCATGCACTGATACGGCGGGAGTCTCAGCTGCTCTCCGCGGCCAAATTCGAAGCGGCCGGAGTTTGTTCGCATCCGGAAAGCATCCAAATAACGAAGTGTTTCACCGACATATGCAAGACCTCACCGCGTGAGTCCCAATTCGGCACCCTCCTCTCGTGAAATCCGAATTGAAAGCGAGGGCGCACTCATGGTTATGTCCGCCACGTCCATGGCCACCACACTCAAATTTCCCAGCTGTACCAGCGACCCCCCGAAACGAAGTTGACAGCTACGCCTCGCCGTCTCCACCGCCGCGAGCCAATAACCTAAGCAGCGTTGATCATCGTTAACGTTGGAACCCTAAGTAAGAATAAGGTGTGGATCGTCGTACAGCTGCTGCCGTACATGCAGGGAGGGCCATGGAAGGTCGAGAAGGGAGATGAGGGTGGCGATTGATAAGGCATGACTAAGCGTGAGGAAGCACCGCAGAGAGCAGCAGGCCTGGGATCTGACGTTCTTTTTTTCGTTGGTAGTGCTGGTCGGAGTAGCGTGGCAGCTGAGACAGCGAGGCATCTAGACCGGCAGCATCCCGAGGGGGGGGAGAGAGGTCGAGTCAGAAATGGGAGAGAGAGAAGGAAGGAGAGAGGACAGTGGACGCAACGCAGCAGCACCCAACGTAGCCCGTGAATATCATATCATGATCACAACAAACAGTTCACGGCCAAATCTCGATCAGACCCGGGCAATGCAGCAGCAGGGTCCACCCTAATTAACCAGCTAAACTGACACGGCTCGCCACGTTCCCCGTTTTCCAGTCTCGATCCCTGAAAAAGGAATCTTAGAAGTTTTCAGGCGGGTGAGGATCCTTAATACGCCTCACCCGCCCACTCCACCACAACGCAGCCCAAAGCCGTACCCAAGCTATACCCACCAGCCAGTCCAGCCTCACCGCGAATCCTCGACGAACGCTTCCTCAACTGACCGACTGACTGCTGACTGTCTGATCAACTGCGATTGTCGTCTCTCTTCAATCTCGTCGGCGACACTCTCTTTCTTCCAAGTTTTTTCTTTCTGTCGCCTCCGAGTCAGATCCCCCGTCGCGCGCATCGCAAACACCAACAAACCCGCGCTGTTGCATACATCTCCAAGTATTCTGCCCAGTCTGAATTACTCTACCGCCAAGTTCGCCCAAGACAACTCTCGTTCTTCTCCGACTCGTTCATTACCGTCTTTTCACTCTTTCACCGCTTCCAATCTCGCCGCGCCGGATACCCATCAAGACCACCTATCTGATTCCATGTCCGCACACCCATCAACCGCATCAACCCTACCAACTCCTCCAACCGATTTGGAGTCCAAACCCACCGCACAGCTCTCTGCGCAAGATTTCCCTCGTCCGTCGAGTGTCGATTTGAGTGCGCCCCGATCAGACAACGGTCACAACACCGGCCTCGCAGCGCGCAGACCACTTCAAGGACTTGGTCCATTCCAATTGCCCGGCCTGGCTCAGACGAACGCGCAGTTCATCCCGCAACCTCATACCCACCCTCATCTCTTCGGAAACAACCAGCCGCGCATGTCGCCTGGCATCCCTGGGCAGCTGACCCCTGGCGCTGAACTTCAGCAACAGCACCACCAGCAACAACAACATCATCAGCAACCGCAGTCTCAGGCGCAGCAGCCGCTCCTTACTCCTGGCGGATCGCAATTCATGAACGGCCACAATGGCGGTGGACAGGCGCAATATTGGCCCACCTCTGCACCCTCATTACCCCTCCTCTCACCCGGTATCCAGCAACCCGTACGCGACTCGCAGAGCCCATACTACCACAACCAGATGTACTCCCCCGCGCAGCAGATGCCGCAGCAGGGCATGTACCCACCTCAACAACACCAGGGACATTACCCTTCTGCTCCAAGAACAGCTGAGTCACCAAAGACCATGGGATTCCCCGATCAGCAGTATGGCCAGAGTATGCCCCCTCCGCAACAACAAATGGACAATTCATACGCACTGCCGGGCCTGAGCGCTGGCGGATACGGCGGCTTCTCAAGTGGCTACACTCCATCCCCATCGGGCTACGCACCATTCCCGGGAATGACCCCTGGTGGACCAGGAAGCAACACCACACCCGGATCTGGATCTGCCGCGTCAGCAGGCTACTTCCCCTCCCCTCCCGCCGCACAACACGACCCATACGCTCCCCTCCGTCCCCAGCCTACACCCACACAAAGCGGCCAAGGCGCATACTCCTACCCACCCCCTGCTCATGCCCACTCCTATCACGACCCTAACGGCTGGGGTCGCCACTCTTACCTCTCTCCCCACGGCGTTCCCGCGCCCATGTCTATGAACAAGATGGGACTCGGAACACCGTATGCGAGGTCTGCGACTCCCACGGACAGGCCGTTCAAGTGCGATGAGTGTCCGCAGAGCTTTAACCGGAATCATGATTTGAAGAGGCATAAGCGGATTCATTTGGCTGTTAAGCCGTTTCCGTGCCCGAGTTGTGATAAGAGTTTCTCGAGGAAGGACGCGTTGAAAAGGCATATCCTTGTCAAGGGATGTCGGGTGAAGAACTAGGAAAGACGGGGACAGAGAAGGGAAGAACAGTAATGGAAGGATGCGATGAGTGTACATGATATATACGTTTCTGGGCGTTCGTTGTGTTGGTGTGTCGGGATTTTTGGATTCTATGTTTTTTTTTGCGTTGTTTTATCTCTGGACTTGTGTGTTTGTGAGTTTGTGTGTTGGGTTGATGGGATTTGCTTTGGGAGTGTTTGCTGTTCTCGTGTTTGCTTTTCTCTTCGTACGTATTTAGTAATCTTATCTCGAACATTGTACTCAACTCCTTCGTCCTCTTCGTCGCAATGTGAGTTCTGGGGTCCGCACGGTTGAGGCCGGTGAGTGCAGGTGATGCAGACCGTGACGTCTTCGGAGAGCTGCACCTCGAAACTCCACTCCTCCTCATTTCTCGAGCTCGGCAACACCGAACGATGAGCAACCTCGATTCATGGGCCGTGTTGCGGATACAAGCCATTCTTCCGTTGGATACAGAAAGTTTACAACAGGTTGTCGCTTATGCTAATTCGCTTGATTCGCCCGAAGATGTAGCGAATCACTTCAAGGTTTGTCGAATCTTCCATCCTGATTGGATGGGAAACGCTGACAGGTGGTAAAGGGCATGCTTGGAGATGATTCAGATAGCTTGGACTTTATTTCACAGTATAATGCGAGACGGTGGCCGCCGGCTGATCCGGCGAGGGTGCCGAAGAGGGAGGCGACGAAGGGTTCTACTACGGTACGGCTCATATCGATCACGACCGTCTGAATGTATGCTGATGAATTTCGTACAGCCGAGCAGGGCACAGACACCGGTAATAAGAGAACCATCAAAGCCCAAAGCGTTAACGAAGGAAGATCTGGCGAAGGCGTTTGGTGGGGGCGGAAGTGTGTACATGAAGGGCCAGGAGGATGAGGATTACTTCGGCGGAAGGTGAGAAAGGGCAAAAAGTTGTTGGTTGCAAATTGTTGTCTGACACATTCACTCACAGAGGAAAAGCGAAGGCTAAGCAGCAGTCCATCGCACCCGGACGACCACTTGATCCTGCACCAGAACAAGTCTCGAAACCGGCGGTGAAAACGAACCAGGGTGGGTTGATGACGTCGGATCTACTTGCGCCAAAGAAGAAGAAGACTCCTGCGACATCGACGTCGACATCAGCGGGGTTCAGTCCGAATGCTTCCTCCGCACATCTCTCCTCGCTTGCGGAGATTGACTCAGCCTTGCGACTTCTTGACCTAGCCGACGACCGGAAGAAGAGGAAGAGACGGCCATGTAACTGTCAAGCAATCCTGCATCCGCTCTTCATGGCTGCTCCAAACTGCCTGAATTGTGGTAAGATCATCTGTGCAGCGGAGGGAATTGGACCGTGTACGTTTTGTGGTGTCGATGTGTTGAGCAAGGAGCAGCAGTTGGAGCTGGTGAACGAATTACGGAAGGAGAAGGGACAGTTGAAGATGCAAGCGGATCAGAAGAAGAAAGTACGGACTGGGCAGGTACAGAGGGGATATGCGTCCCATGCTGGTGGATCAGTACACGTACCAGACGAGGCGGAGGCGGAAATGGAGGCGAAGCGCCTTGCGGCTGAAGAAAGAAAGGAGACGTTGTTAGGCTACGACAGGAACTCCGTACGGAGAACTCACATCATTGACGAGGCATCGGATTTTGATATGCCCCAGATAGACAAATGGGCAAGTCCAGCAGAACGTGCTCTAGCTCTGAGGAAGCAGCAGAAGGCGCTCGAAGCGATGAGCAAACAGAAGCGTAAGGTCATGGCTATCGACCTGTCCGGTCGTAGAGCCCATGTCACTTATGACGAGGAGAGCGAACCGGAGGCTGAAAATCAATTCGCGGAAGAAGAGGCTGCGATTGCACAAGATAAAGCAGAAATGGAGCGCGCAAAGGAAGAACGTCTTGGTGGAGGCGCGTTCGCACAAAACCCTCTTCTCAAGAAGTACGCGCGACCAAAATACATCCCACCAAAGGGGAAGGGTAAGGCTGGGGAGACCGATCATTCAGCTACGTGGAGTAAGTTGGGAAAGAAATTGGGAACTGGTGGGTGGAAGAGAGTTCAGGATGACGATGCGGATAGAGAGGCTATGCAGGAGCAGTTGATTCTTGGGGCGGGAGCGATTGATGGGGAGCCAGGGCGGGAGGAGCCATCGAGTTCGAGGAAAGCATGATAAAGCAGATTTAGATCTGGCTGATTGGCCGGTTCGTGCAGATAGGATGCAACTGGCATTTGACTGCTTCCTGGGCTTTGACAGCGAGAAATAATAGACAGTTGACTTTAAGCCTTTGTGTTTCCTCACGCTCGCCTGTGTTCGGCGGGTGGCTTGCAACTTAAACCCCTTACAATTGCGGACTATACAATACATCGTCATCCACAGAGCAATGTCGCAACATCCTCCCTTGGTATCACGTAGAATTTCTATCAGGCTCCTTCCTGCACCGCCATCTGAACCAACGGACACCTTGGTCCTCAATGGCGGAGGGACGTCGAGATTCTTCACCGACTTCCGTCCACTATTGCAGGACCCAGGCGATTGCGAATGGGTCTTTGCAGGCTGCAAGGAAAAGCTAGCGAATGGTAAAAATGAATGGGTGCATCTCATAGACAATCGTGGACCGAGCGAAAGTCCTGACGTTGGGACGTCGGAGACACTCCTGAATGGAGATGAGCTTGAAAGAGGGGAGATGAATAATCCAGAGACAAGAGAGCTATGTGCATACGAGGAGGTTTGGAGAGATGAAGATGTCCCCCCTGGATCAAAGGTTGTTGTTGCCCAACTTAGAAGGGGTGATGGGATCCACGGCATTTGCGTACAAGTTGGAACAGATTATCAAGGTGTGGTGCAAGATACGACAGGCCATGTGACGGCACAGCGATCCAGATATGAGAACGGAGAATGGGGCGTAACAGAAAAGTATGGTGAAGGAGTTGATCTGCTGCCACTTGCGTTCGACGACCTTGGACAACCTATCAAGGGGGTCACTGATAAGGATGAAGAGTGGGAGATTGTGGAGAATTACACGTATACTGGGTAAAGCGTAAGCAATAGTTTGTATGTAGATTTATTAGAGAGGGCAAAACTGTCAAAGTCTGCTTGCTACATTACTCAACCACGTCCCACCGAGCTAACCTTCCAACATCCGTACCCACGTCCCTGACGATACACCAACCCCAGGCATTGCCCTTCTTCTGCTTGCCGTCCCGTTGCACTTCATTCGCGACCTTACTAAAAGCAACAGCACCGACGCCGACACCCTTACCTTCCTTCAAGGAAAAGTTTCCAGTAGAGATGAATCCGATCAGGTGCTCCTTGGAGGGACACGCCGGGTACTCAGGGGTACCTGCCTTTGGCTTTGCTGTATCGGTCCGAGAGGCAAGCGCAGTCCATGTAGGGAGATCTGCTTTAGGGATGCTGTATATTCTTGCTCTCGCAGCGGGCGATCCTCGATGCTGGAGGTGAACGCGTACAGGAATGAGCGCATTGCCGGTGTCCACGCCCTCTTCTCCAGCAGAAGTCAAGAGCTTGCGACACAGCGATGGGCTCAGCAACCACTGCTTTTCGTTAATCTTGACGTTACCGTCAACCTCCATGGCATCTTCGTCGCTCTTTGCTCCCTGAAGTAGTTTCCAGTCACAAACCATTGGGTCACCTACTTCACCTCTTTCTGCACCCTCACTGCTCTCAAAGACCTTCTCAAAGCTGACCCTCTTCGCCTTAGGCTTCTTCTCGTAGTCTTCCTTCCGCTTCCTTCCGGCGTCCTCCTCACACCTCCATCCTGCTTCCGTGCCTGAGAAATCATTCGGGAAGTTGGGTGTCGAACGCTCAAAAGTGAGTTGATGATAGTTTTCCAGGCCACCAAAGCGGACAGCGGGATAGTGCATCAAGCAACGGAAAAAGTGGGTAATCACGTCGCAAGGCGCAAGAACTGTCCATGCGGAGACAGGCGTTGATGTCTTCAAAAGGATGATAGAGATAGTCGGATCATTAGAGGTAGCAACGATAGGGACTCCGGGACCAGCTGCGGTACGACGCTTGTTCAACTCAGATTCGGTAGCCAACTTAGGCTTCCACGTTGTACGGTCAAAGAGAGACCACAGGCATCCTGACATCTGCTGCGGCCAACTTGCCAAAACATCAGTGAGCTTGCCAACCTTTGTCGTACCAACGCGTTCAGCTTGACTCGGTGCGCGTGGTGGGAATGTCAGTCGTGGATCGTTAACCTGAAGATCGAGGGCAGCACCCAATGGAAGACTCTTGACATCTGTAGCCGAGTTGAACTTCTCCCAGATCTTCGCGGCATCCGAGGTGTTCGAACCTGAGGTCAGCTGCAGAACGGCCTGCAAGGCCTCCGTACCACCCGGTCCCACGATGTCCAAAGAACCCATGGCAAATCGCGCATCCTCCATCCTAACATCCGTGGTTTGCCTTACGAGCTCCGCCACCACATCCCAAAGCTCGCGGAACGCGGCCGGGTGTATGCGGATCATCAAGGATCTCTTCGCGTTGTCATCCGACGGACGCCACAAGATAGTCGCGGGTCCAATGGGTCGCTTGGGGTATGAATGCGCGTGATATACCCATCCTTCCCATACCTTGCCTCCAACAGCATACCGGTTCTTATCCACTCCCGTGCCCGGCTCGCAGACCCCTGTAAGCACCTTCTTCAAGCTTCCCTCCTCACCGTGCAAGAAGAAGGTTGCATAAAAGGACTGATCGAAGACAATGCACCCTTTCTGCAAGCTTGCCCTATGCGTAGGTCGATACGATTTCTCCGTTGGCTTGACTGGAATGGAGTACTCGTACAATTGAGTCATGTGCGCTCGCTTCGAGGTGTACATGTGCGTCGGTAACCACGTCTTCGCGACCTGGCGTTTGTGGTACTTGGTTCCAACACGGACCTTGACAGTCTTCAACTCAGGAACCTGAACCTTCTCGTCATAATCCTCATCCGGCTGCGATGCATTGGCGAGCTTCTTTCCAATATTGTATAGTCGCTTCGCAATGAGCGACCGCAGACGTTTCTTCCCCTTCGGACCCTTCCCTCCATTCCTTCCCTTAGTGTCCTGAGTATTGTCTTCTGTCATCTCGCGCTTTGCCCGCTCCCACAGCCTCTTCGGGATCTTCTTCACGTCATGAGACGCAGCCCTCCTCCTCATACTCCGTGGCAAGCTCTGAAACGCCCTCTGCGCACCCGCAGTCCGACTCCGCTTCATCGCATTCTTCAATGCGTCAATCTCATATTTCCTGCTATTCACGAAGGTGTGCACGTCCAGGACACCATCCTTCAATGCCAGCGAGGAGGACTCTGTAGCGATATGCCGCGCATCGAATGTTTTTGCGCGTTTACGCTGTTGAGCCTGTGTACCAGACGTAAACGGCCGCTTCTTCGAGGGCTGGTCCGACATTGGGGGGGGATCTGGGGAGTGGGTGTTGTTGGGCGCACGTGAGACCCGAGGGACGAGATCAGAAAGTCTACGTTCCCGGGGTCTTTGTGCCGAATTGGGAAGAGCCTGTGACCTCACCACCAGCGCAGCAACAAATGGTCAACGTGAAGCAGACAATGTGAACGAGCGATAAGTCAAATGCCGCCGTACATTCTCGTATCACCTTCGTCGAGGGGTATCTCATTTGCCCTGACAAGATATCTCCTCAAGACGACTCGACTCCCGATCGTCGCGACAGCACGGACGAAACTGGATGAAGTCCATGACAAGCTTTCCGAGGGTATTCAGGGTGCAGGGGATAGACTTCATCTACTCGACCTCGATGTGACGGAAGAAAATACCATCAGCGCCGCAACCCAAAAGGTAAACCAATCATTCCCATGCTGCCCTTGAAAGAACGAACATGACCTGAAGAGGCCACAGGTAAAGGCCATCTTCCCGCCCTCAAAAGACACCTACCTCCGCCTCGCCCTCATAACCCCTGGTATCCTCCACCCCGAACGCTCACCCTCGGCCATCTCCTACTCCGACGCACTCTCCACGTTCCGGGTAAACACCCTCGGTCCACTCATGATGATGAAGCACTTCTCCTCCCTACTCCCCCGGCGCCGTGATCACCCCAACGGACTAGAGAAGGAACACGGTGTACCGAACAGTTCAGTGTGGGCGGTGATGAGCGCTAGGGTGGGGTCGATAGGCGATAATAGGAGTGGAGGGTGGTATTCGTATCGGGCTTCGAAGGCGGGAGTTAATCAAGCTGTGCATACGTTTCACCTGCATTTAAAGCAACAGAAGTATGAGGCCGGGGCGATTACGCTACATCCAGGGACGTGTAAGACTGACTTCTCGAAGGACTTTTGGGGAAACGTCGCAGAGGGCAAGTTGTTTGAGCCGGAGGATGCGGCGGAGAAGTTGATGGGGGTGGTTAATTCGTACACGGATGAGATGGGTGGGAATTTCTATGATTGGAAGGGGGATAGGGTGCAGTGGTGATGATGACGCTAAATGTGAATGCATTGTTCCTCCTCTACTCTCGGGGGTCTATCGTTTAGATACCACGGTTAAACTCCAACTGCGTGATCGGGGTTCCGTCCTTATCATTCAATCCCCTGAACCTCTCTTCGACACTCCCCACACTCACTTTCTGCCTCTGCGGGAACACGCCAACAGCCAAAGGCAACGCAACCAAACTCGTAGCGAAAATCAACCCGATGTTCGTGGGGATAGTGATCCTGGGATTCCGTGCCAAGAAACCTCCGGGGCGTTGGAGACGCATGAGGATGAGGGGTGGGATAACCATGATCGGGGATGCATTCAAGACGCGAGAGATGGCTGTCTCTCCGACAGCCGTGAGTGCCGCAGACTGCGACTTGCCGAGAGACGTAGTCGGGTCGTTGGGTGCGTACACATCGATACCATTCCTGAGCTCAGACCCCCTCATCAAAAACACATTCAACGCACCCGCACTCGCAACAGCCGCAAACGGCACCAACCGCCCAAGCACACCCCTCACACTCGGACTAACCCTCAACTTTGGCACGATACTATTCAACCCCACCGCAACACCACAACTCGCCGAGACCGCAACCGCATATGACTTTCCGACCTCGCTCCAGGAGAGTGGAGATGATTTATTGGCGTTGGAGGCGTTGATGGCGACGTTGACGGATTGGTTGACCCATTGCCAGAAGAGGGTGCCAGTTGTTCCGAGGTTGGGTGTTAGCATGCCGGCTGTTACGACGAGGTTTGTGAGGACGAAGGAGGACATGCGGAAGGGCAGAAACACGGGTTCTTGGGTATCTACAACCGTCATGAGCGGTTGCATGGTGAACGTGAGGGATGAAGGAGACATACCAGGATGCAGCGTTGACTCAACAAGTCTCTTCGCCTGCCACAACTCCTCCGTCATCTCCCCGGACATCTTCCCAGCCTTATAATGCGCAATCAACTTCTTCGCCTGGTCGAGCTGCTGTGCACTCGTGAACAGGGTCCGTGGATCAGTGATCTCCATCATGTGCCTGACGCGGCCGACGTAGGTGTCGAGGTCATAGCGACTTGGTGGGAGGGAGCGTTCGTGTTGTGTGGCCATTTCTATTTTGGTGAGTTTCTGGAGGATGAGTTTCTGGAGGTGGGTCGCGGACCCCTGCATTGCCACCAAAGTTCCGTCTTCCCTCGACTGACTTGACCTGCAACGGGACAATATTGAATGCAATTGGAAATGATCCAGTTGGCCTACGCCGTCATCGGCACGTTGGCTGTCGTCCCAATCTACTACGGATCGTACGCTTCCCTCAAACGACCCTCCTCGGCTCCCAAGAAACAGCAATCCGCCGATGACAGTGATTCCGATGACGAGCCAGACACTGAATCCCTGTCCTCCTCCGACGCGTACATCTTCCCAATCCTCGGGAGCGCGGTCCTCTGTACCTTGTACGCAGCTTTCAAGTTCCTCGGTCGGGAATGGGTTAACTTCCTCTTCACCCTCTACTTCTCCCTCGTCGGCACCTTCGGCGTCACCAAAACTACCGCGTCGATCTTAAACTCCTTCCTCCGTCCCCAACGCATCGACAGGATTCGCTTCATCCTCACCCACCGCGCAAAAGTCTTTACCTCCCTCGGCTTCACACCCGCGCACCTCCCCGCGATCATCTTTGCGTGCGCGCTGACAGCGTATTATTCATGGAGCAAGCACTGGATCGCGGCAAACATCTTTGCCCTCTCACTCGCCACGAACGCAATCCAACTCCTCGCCCTCGACTCCTTTAAAACGGGATCAATTCTCCTCGCCGGCCTATTCTTCTACGACATCTTTTTCGTGTTCGGGACGGATGTGATGGTCACCGTAGCCAAGGGCCTCGACGTCCCCATCAAAATTCTCTTCCCGCGGGACATCATGGCTGCAAAGTATCAATTCACCATTTTGGGGTTGGGAGATATCGTTATCCCCGGTATCTTCATCGCGCTCGCACTCCGCTTCGATCTCTACAACTACCACGCTCGATTCCCACGGATCCAATACTACAAACACCGTGCCCGCCAGGGACAGTTTGCGAAACCGTATTTCAGGGCGACGATGACGGGGTACGTATTGGGACTTGCGGCGACGGTGGGGGTCATGCATACGACTGGAAGGGCGCAGCCTGCGCTGTTGTATTTGAGTCCGGCGTGTGTGTTGTCGGTTGTCTTGACTGCCCTGGTTCGTGGGGAACTGAAAGCTGCTTTCGCATACTCTGAAGACACCTCTAACAAGTCCACGAAAGATGACAAGAAGGAGGGAAAAGACGCGAACATGGAGAGCGATGTCAGCGCGGAAGAGTCGGTAACCGAACCCGCTACCCCGACCCCCGCAGTCGAGGAATCGAGCAGTGATGGAGACGTAGCGGATGCGGAGGAGGGTGATAGCACCGCGGCTGAGCAGATCGAGTTGACGGAGGCGATGGCTACGAAGGACAAGAAGCCCCAGAGGAAGAAGCCGAAGAAGAGGGGTGGGAGGGGACGTTGAGGATAGAAAAGTAAAGCGGGAGGAGCATATATGCATAAAAATAATGATGATTCGAATGTTGTATTAGGTGGAGTGTAGAAGGTTTATGCCTTCGCCGCCTTCGAGAAATCCAAATTAAACGAAACCCCACACCCACACTCACTCGCCGCCCCCGGAATATCCTTCACCTTAAACTCCGACCCAATCAACTCTTGCTCATACTCCACTTTACTCCCACTAATCAACCCCAATGAAACTTCATCCACGACCATGCTCACACCATCTTTAGACATGATCGAATCCTCTTCGGGATCGATCGGGTCGGATTTCGGGTCGATGAGGGAGAGGTTATAGGAGAACCCGTGGCAGCCGCCCGATTCGACGAGGATTCGGAGCATCAAATCTGGATTTGCGTCGCGGGTGCGGATATGTTGTAGTTGCGCGATCGCGTTTGGGAGGATATCGACAGACATGGCGAGACCTTTATCGTCGAGTTTTGGATGTGTGATTTCAACGCCGGTGTTTGCGACTAAACGGTGTTGCTGGAGGTATCTTCTCGATATGCGGGAGACGTCGACCCGTCGTGGCAGTGGTAGCGGCCGTGCGGCGAACCCTTCTCGAGTGAGTGATGTCCGTACGGTACTACTAAACAAGCGGTATAAGGATCGGAAACAGCAAGGCGATGGACGCATCATCATGGTCCACTGGAGTCCACTGCAGCAGCCTGTGGTGGTGGTGGTGGTTGGGAGCACTCGTACAGTACAGTGCAGTGCCTTGGGCTGCAGTAGCCTCGTAGACACCCTGACCTCACCGCCTTCAAGGTAAACAGAGGGTAACTGGCATACATCACCGACAGGGACCAAACAGGATGATGGGCCAGTTTGCCTCCGAGAGGCCGATTGCCATGAAAGGTCTGCTACTTGAACATCTTTCCGATGGCTAATGGTGGCTGACTTTGCGGGCAAACAGCTCCTAAACCGAAGGCTACGAAGGTACCGGCGCATGCGTCGAAGATCCCGGCTGGTACTCCACAGAACAAGTCGTTGATGGAGAGGAGGAAGACGAAGGGGGGTGCAACGCCGATGGGTGGGGTTGGGGCTATTGATCCGGCGCTGAGGATGCAGCAGAAGGTATTGTCATCAATTCTGTACTTGAGTGCTCAGCTAACACGCATGATACAGATGCCGCCGCCGAATACACGTATGGACTGCCGTATCACGGTGTACAATGGGATTATGCTAACTGAGGTCTCAGCACCCACAACGAAAAACATCCTCGAGCGGTATAAGGATGCTCCACCAAGCTTGATCATCCACCTCCACCAGCAACACTTCCGATTCGAACAACAAGACGGTAACTTTCAATACAACAGCCCTATGAAGGTGTGGAGGAAAAGCCTATGTTTTTCCAAGACTTTTGGGCTGATGGTTTCTTCATACAGTCTATCCTAGAACACATCCGCCTCGAAACTATCCCACCAGACTGCGTCGAAGTCTTCCGTGACGCACGTATCCGATTCTATGAAGGCTGCCTCATCGTCCAAATCAAAGACCACCGACCCCTAAAACACACACCCCAACTTAACATCCAAGCACCAGCACCACCACCCTCAAACGAACACATCACCCCCTCCCCGCACATAAACGCCTCTCAACCCCCCCAACGACCAGCAAGCAGTACGGGCCCAGAACGAACCTATACAACCGTCCTCCACCCAACCGCAGAAAGTTTATGGGCAGATATGTGTCTGATGTCAGACTACACTGACCCCCGCGTCAATGACGATTTCTCCCTCCGCATGGAATCCCTCGTCCTCCTCGCTACCTCGCCCCCTCTCCACCTCGATCCCCTCCCGCACCCCTCGGCCCTCCCATCCCTTCTCAAATCAATCCTCCCACTCGCCCCTCCACCACCGACACGCAAAAAGAGAACGTCGCATGCGCTACAAGACGAAGAGGCCGAGCGGGAGGAGGAGGAGAGGCTCATGTTGATTATGGATGAGAAGTATGGGGTTGGGGCTGCTAGTGGTGGTGGCCGGAGCGGGAAGGGTAAGAAGAGGGAGTTTCAGCCGGCATTTGGGAGGATGGCGTTTGTCGAGGCATGGAGGAAGAAGCAGAAAGCAAGGATCGCCTCCACTCAAGCAGGCCGTCCGAATACGGCTGCGGCGCAAGCGCAAGCTCAGGCTGCGAATGCGGCGCAGGCTGGTGGGCAAGGGCAGGGTGTGGGACAGGCGGCAGCAGCAGCTCAGGCTGCGCAAGCGGCACAGATTCAGGCGCAGATTGCACAGCAACAGGCGCAGGCTCAAGCACAAGCACAGGTTCAAGCGCAAGCGCAAGCACAGGCCCATCTCGCCGCTCAGCAGGGTGGTACACCTCTCCATCTACCTGGACAACCCGCCGCTGGCGTACCCGGGGTGCCAGTGGTAGCAGGACCAGGAACCCCCGGTACAGCCCTCTCCGCACAAGAAGCCGCTCGAGCCCACCAAGCCGCCATCGCTCGCGCCCGCGCAAACATGGGTCAACCCATCCCCGGCGCTGGCCCCGGTGTCGGTGTTGGTGCTTCAGCGGCACAAGCGCAGGGTGCTCTGGCAAATATGACGATCCAGCAGTTGCAGGACGTGGTCGCTGTGCAGCGTTCAAGGGGAATTCCGATACCGCCGGCGATTCAGGCGAGATTAAATGCGGCGTTACAGGCTCAGGCGCAAGTACAGGCTGCGCAGGCGGCGGGGTTGGGGGTTGTCAAGAGGGAGGGATGATGAATAGGTATCAGAAGGCGTTTGTGTGATGGTAGAAATGAAGACTAATACAATTTCTACTACGTATACGTAAGTCCCGCGCTCGTAAGGTAGGCCATCACGTGCAACGGTACATGTGCCTGAATTCGAGGGTACCAAAGTCATCCGTGAGCGGAAAGTTCGGAAAGTTCGGATTGAGTCGTGACGCCAGATCAAAGAGCCAGTCCAGCTGTTTGATCTTCCATCGACAATATGAACTCGTTCGCCGCCCTCCAGGAAAGCGACACCCCCGCCGCCGCTTTGTCACGTCAACGATGGAACACAAATACCACATCCGCAGTCAGTCATGAGTTGACCGCAATCATTATGGCCGGTTATGGAAACTCGCTCTATCCCCTCACCGAAGAGTCTAATCTACCAAAGGCGCTCTTGCCTGTTGCGAACAGACCAATGCTCTGGTACCCCCTCCAGTGGTGCGAAAAAGCAGGTTTCGGCAACGTCATGGTCGTATGCCAAACAGAAGCCGAAGACAAAATCGCAGCGTGGCTCAAATACAAATACGAAGGGAAAATCAAAGTGAATCTGGAAGCACCATCGAACGCGGAGGAGACGGCTGGGACGGCGGATGTGCTCAGGATTCTGAAGGATAAGATCAAGTCCGATTTCGTGGTATTGTCGACGGATCAGGTGATGGATATGCAACCCTACGCTCTTCTCGACTTTCACCGAATACACTCTCCGACCGTGACCTCGGTCTACTACACACCGGTAGGAGATGCGGCACCAAAGGATACGGAGAATATGCTTTATGTTGGGTACGATGATCAGAAGAAGAGGTTGTTGTATGTTAAAGCTGAGGCAGATGTGGAGGATGAGCTGGAGGTTCGGATGAGTTTGTTGTGGAAGTATCCGAGATTACGGGTGTCGACAAAGTTGCAGGATGCGCATGTCTACATCTTTAAGAGGTGGGTGTTGGATTTGATTGCACGGAACGACAAAATCTCGTCGATTAAGGGAGACTTGATGCCATTACTAGCGAAGGCACAGTACCAGTCGCTGTTGGTTGAGAAGGTGGGTATGGCTGAGTTGACGCGGACAAATTCCCCACCATTACTTCCTACCCAACAAAACACGACTCACTCCCTCGGTAACGATTATGCCGGCAACCCGATCAAGATCTCACTTCTGGTATATCCCAAGAACGACTTCTGCGCACGGGCGAATACTCCAGCATCGTACGCCGAACTCAACCGACATCTCGCAAAACAGAACGGCGAGACTCTCGGAGATGCCCGTATCGCCGGCTCCGCAGACGTCTCACTCAAGGCTCAAGTCGGTACAGACTCCCTTGTCGGTGAACACTCCAAGGTCGACGAACGCACATCCCTCAAGCGCTCCATCATCGGTCAACACTGTGTCGTCGGCCGTAACGTCAAGATCTCGAACTCTATCATTATGGACCGGGTCGTGATTGAGGACGGCGCGAAGATTGAGGGATGTACGGTTTGTACGAACGTGAGGATTGGATCGAAGGCACAGTTGACGAATTGTGAGGTTGGTGGTGGATTTGTCGTCGAGGAGGGATTCCAGGCGAAGGGTGAGAAATTGGTCGATTTTAGGGATATGGAGATGGATTCGGACTCCGACTAGCTATGGCTGCAGTCATAGAAACGTCTAAACAAAATCACAAAACATTCTAGCATACACGTGTTCCCGCGCTCTTCCTTCAAGCATTAGACGCTCGCAGCGTACAGCTGCAGCACCCATCACAAAGTAACGCCAAAAACTTTTTACTTAGTTACAATACCAGCCTTGCTGCTCATGAAGCCGTGCTTGGGGTAAGGGAAAGAAGGACCGACCTCCTTGATAGCGAGCTGAGCCAACCAGGTACCGGCCTCGACACAAGTTTCCAAAGACTCGCCCTTGACCAACATACCCAAGAATGCACCAGCGAAAGCATCACCAGCACCGTTGGTGTCGACGATCTCGTCATCAGAGAGCTTAGGAACAGGGTATACAACAGTCTCCTTTCCGGGCCTGGCGACAATGACGGACTCAGCACCCTGAGTGAAGACGACGGTGCGCTCACGCTTGTTGTTGGCCTTGGGGAGGGCAGCAATGTGCTCGGCAATCTCCTGGACGGAGGTGGTCTCAAGACCGTGAGCCTCAGCCCAAGCAGCAGCCTCAGACTCGTTACCGAGGATGTAGTCCCAGTAGGGGGTAACAGCGTCCATGCCGTCCTTGAAGAACTGGCAAAGGAAGGGAGCGGAGAGGTTCATGACGAAGGTCTTGTTGGTCTCGGCAGCGTGCTCACCGAGAGCTTTGATGGCATCAACGCAGACAGTCAAGTGGAACCCACCAACGTAGAAGAACTCGGCATTCTCAACCAACTTCCAGATCTCAGGGCTCTTCAAGTGCTCGAGCTTGTAGTTGTTGGCAGCAGCAAGGTCGGTGACGAGGGAGCGGTTGTTACCAGTGATGACAACACCACACTTTCCAGTAGGGGTGGACTCGTCAACCAAGTACTCGGTCCTCAAACCCTCACGCTCGTTGGCAGCGTGCAACTGCTCAGCAAACTTGTCCTTACCGACACATCCAACGTAGACGGTGGACTTGGGAGGAAGGACGTACTGGGCACCACGCATGGCGTTCTGGGCAGCACCACCAGCGAGGAACTTGGCATCATACTTGGTCATCAGCTCATCGTAAATAGGCTTGTGCTTGTCCTCGGCGAGGATAGCATCGTTGGCCTTGAGGCCGTACTTCTCGAGGACATCAGTGCCAGTGTTGGCCTGAATGTCAAGGAGAGGGTTTCCAAGACCGAAGAGGACGTATTCCTAAAGAACAGTCAGTAATTATCCTCATGAAAAGCAGCTTTAACCTACCTTGCCAGACATTTTGTGGTATGGATCGAGGAGCTCGAGTCTATAATGCACGCAACTGCCGGTAATTGCTGCGACGACGTCGACGTTCATCACGTGCATTGCGCGAGTTTATCCGGAGCTGTCTTGCCAAATTGGGAACAATAATGCAAACGCGTCGACATTTGCTGGAGACTCTCGATCGACGCTCTTCTACGCTGTCTCGTCCATCTACACCTCGCTTGTCAATCCCCACTTCTTTGCCGTCAGGTGCTTGTTCGAGTGGCCGGCAGCTTCCGCAATGGTTCCAGACGCGATTACTCTTCGTGATCTCACCCCCGACACCTTGAAATCCTTCAAGAGACTGCACCAAGTCCTCTTCCCAGTCGCGTTCGCGGACGCGTATTACAAGGAAAGCTTGAAGATCGGTTCATTGGCAAGGTTAGGTAAGTCACTCACATCTTTGCAGTTGAGTTCACATCTGACGCGCATTCAAAGCATTTCACGACGACACTTGCGTCGGCGTCGTCCGCTATGCCTACGATGAATCCTCGTCAACCCTATACATTTTGGCCATTGGCGTATTGGCACCTTACCGTCATCTAGGAATCGGATCACGACTGTACAATTACGTTCTACTACAAGCACGAGAAAGGGGGGCTGCGAAAGTCGAGCTACATGTCCAGACCTCGAATGAGAACGCGATAGAGTGGTATAAAGCAAGGGGATTCCAGATTGCTGAGATGATAGATGGATATTACAAGAGGGCTCTTGACAAAGACGCTTACCTTCTTCGGTCCGTGATGGAGTAAGCTGGCTACGGGGACGGAAGAGCACGAGCTACGACGGAGGTTATTTTCATTGCGGCGCTGGCGTTTTTGCATTGCTTCTCAGGATACCTAAATTCAGGCATAATAATGATTTACCTCAACTGCCACTTCTTGTTTGATCTTGAGGTCCTCCTCTTCTTCCACCGTCTCGGCCTTGCGTTTCAACATGTCGCTTAAGTGTGTTCAAGGATGTCGCCTCTTGGTGAACCGTCTGAATTGCGGCGCAAAGCTCGTTGTCGTCGTGCTGGGCATCGAGGTGTACGAGCTCACGTGAGACGCGGGGTTCGCTGCAGTGCAGCTCGGTATCGACCATGGGATAAACAGACAAGGTACAATTACGCAAATGATGGCTAAAGTGAACAGAACCCAAGTTGAGGGGTTTGTGTCTTTTCGGTCCAAGACGCACCTACAGACTGACACTGAGGCTGAAGGCAACGGGCCGAGCAAAACCTAAGAGAAACTTTGTATAACTTAGGTATTAAGGAGGTGCGAGCGTATCTACTGCTCAAGCAAAAGACTAAAGAAGAATATATATCTATCACTGTTGAAAATCCTTAACTGGAACGGTACCAGTTCGCCTGGTCATCACCCAAGCACTGTCCGACAGTGACCATCTTGTATCCAGCAGCGTTGATCAACTCCAAAGCGTAGGACGTCAAGTTGATAGTCTGCTCATGAATATCATGCGCAATGACAAGAGAGGATGTCGACGAAACCTCCCTACCGTCGAAGTACTCAGCCACGATGTCCTTAGAATTCTGAATCAAAGAAGGTTCAACGTTGTTGTAATCATCAGTGTCCAAGTCAAAGTCGACGATGTGGTAACCCAAGTTCTGCATAACCCTCTGACAGTTGTCCTCGCAAGAAGAATACGGCGGGCGCATGTAGGTAGGGAAAACCCCAATGATGTTACGCAAGGCCATCTCGTTCAAAATCATCTGCTCAGCCATGTCGGCGTCGGCCAGAGTGGACAAGTCAGGGTGAGTCCAGGTGTGGGAAGCAATTTGGTGACCAGACGCGTACTGCCTCTTGATGATGGTGTCCCATCCGTAGGTCGAGTCATCAATGGGTCCTTTGCCAATGTTGTTACCGGTAATGAAGAAGGTGGCCTTGGCATTGTACTGGTCAAAAAGGTCGAGGATAGCATCGGTGTACAAGTAAGGTCCATCGTCGTACGTAACAGCAACCTCACCGGCCGTGACACAGTCGTAAATCCAAGTACCGTAAGGCACGGAGCCAAGAAGAGTACGGTCAACGGAAGAAGTGTTGGCTCCAGAGGGAATGTACTCTGCATCACAAACACCGTAGGCGGCCTGACAATCATCAGCAACAAGGTCACAGTAGCCGGCTCCAGTACCACACCAACCAGCGCCGGAACAACACTGACTGTCAGGGCAGGTCCAGTTCCCAGGAGAGCCAGAACCGCACTGGCCAGTAATGGAAGCATTTGAGGTAGACGAGTCAGAGTCAGAGTCGTCATCACACTCTCCGTAGCCACTCTGGCAACCAAGCGAAACCATACAGTAAGCATCATCGGTACCACACCATCCATTCGCAGAACAGCAGTAGTCATCACCACATGTGTAGTTACCAGCCGAGTTGGGACCACAAGTGAAATCAGGCGAAGCGGAGGAACCTGAGCTGCCAGACTTGTTCCAGCTCGATGTTCCTCTGGAAGAGCTTGACGAATAGCTTGAGGATTCATCATCACAGTATCCGAACGCATCCTGACAACCGGTCGAGCAGTAACTGTCACTAGAGCCGCACCAACCGAACTGAGAACAGCACATGCTATTGGGGCAGATGTAACCGTTGACTCCTCCACAGGAGTTGTCGGGAGAAACAACACCAGTGGACTTCGCTGAAGCAGACGCGGTGGCGGTAATGGTACCGTTGAAGCAAACCTGAGTTCCGTCGCCACAGTAACTGTCCGTGTTTCCACACCAACCAAACTGCGAACAACACAAGCCTTGAGGGCAAGTGTAGCCGTTGGCAGCACCGCAAGACATGTCGGGGGAGAGCACGTAAGAGTTAATGCAGGAAGCAGTAGAGGAAGACGAGGAGGATGTGACACTGCTGGAAGCGTCTTGGGTGGAGCTGGCGACGGAAGCAGCGGCCAGAGTATCCGTAGAGAAATCCGCGGAGGTAGTGGCATCGGGACTCATCGATGGGGTCTCAACTGAGGCGGAAGAGGCATCGGTACTGGAGGGGTCGGTGCTGGTAGTCGCATCGGGAGACATAGCTGGAGTGGAGACATCCGTGGTCAAAGAAGCATCAGTGGTAGTAACATCGGTGCTTGTGGTGGCGTCAGGAGACATAGCCGGAGTAGAGACATCAGTGGTAGTAGCAGTACTGGTTGAGTCCGTGCTGGAAGCATCAGTAGTGGTGGTGGCATCCGGGCTCATCAACGGAGTCTCAAAAGAGGAGGAGGAGTCGGTCGAGGTAAGCGAAACAGCGAACGCGTTGGCATCGAAGCTGGTCGCAGCAGAATCCGTAGCACTGGCCTCTGTGGATGCTGCATCAGTGTTGCTAGTCTCAGTGGTTGAAGCATCCGTGGTGGGGTCAGCAGTGGTCGACTCGGGGGTGGAAAAGTCAGTGGTGCTGTTGCTGTCCGTAGGAGTATCGGTGGTGGTGGTCATCTCTTCGGTAGCAGAGCTAGAAGTCTCGGTAGAGGCGGTGGCATCCGGGGACATAGCGGGAGTAGAAACCTCAGTGGTGGAGGTGGAGTCAAGCGATGACGAAGTCTCGGTAGAGGTAGTAGCGGCATCGGTCGAGGTTGAAGACTCAGTGAACGACGTAGTAGTCTCTGTGGAGGAAGTAGCAGCCGTAGAGGACGACGAGGAGGCGGCAGCAATGAGCGCGTTGGCGTCAAGAATCGCTACGGCAGTCGTTGACAAAGTGGTTGCAGCCACAGCCGTGGTCGAGCTGGAAGTGGTTGTGGTCGAACTCGAGGCCGTCGTGATGGACGTCGTGGACGAAGAAATGGTCTTCGCAGTGGTGGAAGTCGAAGTCGTAGCGTGCAACTTGTTCAAGGCAGCAACATTCGCGTAACCAGCAGAGTCCTGGAAGCTACCACTGGTATCGGTGGCATCGCTGGCACCGAAACCAACGTAAGAGTACATGGCACAGTAAGGCGTGTAGTTGTTACCAGATCCACCGAACCAAGAAGTGACATAAGCCCAGATACCACTCCAGAAGCTGCCGTCGGCCTTGAAGACATCGAAGAAGGCACAGTTGGAGGTGCTAGAGCAGGTGTTTGCACATTCTTGAGGGCTGTACGCGGACTGAGTAGCGTAGGAGATGAAGGACTTGGTGGTTGGGACGGCAGCGGTCTTGCTGGAGAAGACCAAGGTATAGCCGCCAGTGACAGAGGACGCTGATGCGGAAGTAGTAGTCGCCCGCTTCGCGAGGACGTGAGTTGGGGTACCGGTAGGAGTAGGCGTCGCGGTCGGCGCAACAGTGGGTGTTGCGGCAGGTTCACGTCTTTGCAGCCTCGGGCTCCCTGCCTCAACAGAGCCCATAAGGGCCACCAGGACGAGGGCCACCAGAGTGGTATAGAGTATCGAGAACTTCATCGTACCCGAGGAATGATCAAACCGGGTCGATAGAGTGCAAAGGGCCGAGCCCAAGTTTTATAAAACGTCGCGGATATGGGGGAAAGGCTGCACAAGAGCGGGCCAGCTGCCACCCAAGATTTAAACAGACATCGGACGAGCGAGACCGAGACGATTACCAAATTCGGGTGGACAGAGGTTGGGTTTCACGCGAGGAAGCCTCACACAGTGCTAATGCGAACGGCTCGTCCTTCGCGCAGAGTCGCGTCGAAAAAACGCGCTTGGGCCTCTGTCACACAAACTTACTGGGGCCAGACCCGCATGCTGGAGATGGAAGGACGGGAACGGATATGAATGAATGGCATAACCCTAAGGCGGCAATACCAATCGCCCCCCGCTGGCCGATGGCCGATGGACATTTGTCGGAGGAAGCTTGTGTGAGCGCCTCCATTCTAGAGTCCTACCGATACGTTTCCAAACCATACCACCGATCTTTGACACATGGGCAATTCAGCCGCCGGAGAATTTCTGAATACGGATGTCGTTTACACCTGCAGTTGTGCGACTGGTCCGTGCACGCGTCTGCCAGACTCCGGCACCACCTCTACATGTCTCCAAAACCTCACAATCGGGCTTCCCCACTTTTAATTCTCATCCACGCGGCTGAATCTAAGCCTCTATACTGTGATCCATCCAACCAAAATAATTGATCTGCCACAGCTGCAAGATTCGTATTGGCCTCAGGATCGAATCCGAGTGACTTCAGTGTATTCTTGTCGTGCTTGAAACTAGCGTTCATCGTCATCCTACGTTCGCAGTCCTCGGTTAGTTTCACTGTCCATGTGTCATTTGCCTTTCACCTGAGCGGCAAAGCGGGAAACTGCAGCAGAAACTACTTACGTATCCTTAACAATCCTTACCAACCTCGGTAAAGCATACTCCGGAAGACCCTTCCTCTTCAAATGTCCGTAAAGTTCAGACATGAACCCTTTTACGTCGATACCTTTCTCCAAAGTCAATGCTAAACAGCCGACTTGGCCATCATACGCCTCCAGTTTGCTACCGAAGACGGAGGCGTCGCGAACACCAGAGATCGTGCTCAGATGATCGCGTACTTCGCCTGCGCTGACGTTTTCGCCTTTCCACCTATACGAGTCGCCAATCCTATCAATGAAGGTTACCCATCCGTCGTGATCCATCACCAGCAGATCGCCTGAGCGTTGGTAGATGTCGCCCTTCTTGAAGACGTCTCGAATGATCTTTGCCTCGGTCGCCTCATCATTGTTCAGATATCTGGCCAACGGCGTCCAAGGCTGAATCTTCCCAAGAGCCTCACCGCCCTCACCAAGCTTCGCTCTCACACAAAACCCAGTCTTCGGATTACGATAGGGCCGCTCGTTCTCCGCGTCAAACTTGACAATAATGGTATCATCAGCCCACCACCTCGCCAACAGCCCCCGATGTCCAACCTTCCCCGCTCCCCATAATCCCGAAGACCAATTATCAAACTTAGCCACACCCTCCGTAGACCGATAATACTCTCTAATCTCACAAACCCCAAAACGTTCCTTGAACCTATCCCACACTTCCGCACGCATCCCGTTCCCAGTTGCAACAGTGACTTGATGCTTCCGATCCCACTCCGAGGGCGAACTCGCGACAAGATACCTACAAAGTTCACCGACATAAAGAATCCGTGTCGCGCGGGACTCGGTACAGTCCTTCCAGAAATTCCTGGTCGAGAAGCGGCGTGCGAGACAGAAGCAGCCGCCGTTTCCCACCATGTTGCACATTCCTGTGAAGAAGCACGTACCGTGAAAAAGTGGAAGAGCACTGTATGTCCTAGGGATGCTGTTATCAAATGGGAAGCGGGAACAGACGAACATCGTGAACGCAGCCTTGATGGCACATGCTTTAGGTTTGCCAGTCGTGCCGGAGGTGTAAATCAGGCAGGTGATGTCGTCACCTTTGATTACAGGACGCTTCCACTCCGTCAAGTTCCACGGAGGGAGGTCTTGCATCATCACTGACTCCACTCCAGTCACTGGCTGAGAGTTGCTGAAGGAGGAGTGAACAAGAGAAATAGCAGGTGTCTTGGACTTGAGCCTGTCGATGACGGAGGAGACATGGGGAGCAAGATCAGGCGTCGCGATCACGAGCTTCGCATCGGCGAGATCAATGCAATGAATCAATGTTTCGTCTGTCGAATTGTTAGACACCTTCTGCCAGAAAAGTCGTAGTGATATTACCTCGCAGACTTGAATTGACCAGGGCAGCAGTCACGCCAATCTTTGTCATAGCCACGACAGTGAACCAGAATTCCTGTGCCACAGTCAGCATTCTCGTGTCCAATAAAAGCTCTTCGATGTCCTACAGGAGTATTCGTCATAAACACAGCAGCTCTCTCCTTCGCACTCAACCCACGCTTCAAGAAGTAAGCGGCCAACTTGTCCACTTCAACCTTCGCTTCGCCATACGTCCACGTACGGCCTTCGAACCAAAGGGCATCTCTGTATTGTATCATTGGCTGACATTTTGCGTGCGGCGGTGAGCGAGTACACACCTCATAGGATCCTGCTTCTCGAGTACGCCGTACAAGCTCATATACTCCGCGTTCTCCGTGATGGTCTGCCCGACGCGCCGAACAAATAAGAATTCAATGAGCTTCGTTTGGATATCCTGTCCATGCCATGTCAGCTGTCATTTCAGTTAGAGAGTTCATCCCATGAAACGGACCTTCGAGAAGTGCCACTTGGCATCTGCATAGGCTGCGGAGAGACCGATCCCAATGACGGTGGTCAACGGATCCATTTTAGCAAGTCAGACCTTTCCAGCTGTTTTGGTAGTATTTCTGAGTTGATCGTGCCGGCCTTCTCTATTTAAAGGTCCGTCTCGTCCTCGTATGTTCAGCTGCTGCCATTCGGTGATCGCTCGGCTCAATTGCCGGTATTAAAGTGCGGAGACAGCTGTCACGCGGGTGTACCCAATCTAACCCCCATGAGAAAGCTCAAGGCTTTATCTCACCTTGGCTATCGAAAACCAGTCATGATATTGCTATACTTGCGGCTGCAGGCATGAGAACGAAAAGCTTAAAAGACACGTCTGTTCTCGATGAAGGTAATTTCCCACGCCTGTGAACTTTGTCGTAGCTATAAAATTCACTCTTACTAGCAGACCAGTCCAGGAGAGCATCCAACACAGAGGAGAGTTGTTTTGTAGGTAGGGGAGCTTATCAAGGACTCTTTAGAGCTTTGAAGCATGGCGAAGGAGAAACGTATCGACAGCGAACACAAAGATACAGAACACGAAGTAATGTCGATTTCACTCGTTCAAGAGCAATGAGAAAATGCTTTTTTGATCCCAGAACACCTCAAACCAAGAACGAAAAAGTGGTAATACAATTTTGTGCAAAAGCCATTCCACTCCATAGCCCTTGTAACACCCTATCTTCACACCAGTAGCATGCCTTCTGGTCATGATACCATCCCTGACATCACTTTCTTCTTTATCTTTTCACGTCAAACGTAACGCTTACTCGTCAACGGTCTCGTCCTCAACCTTGGCCTGCTCATCGAAGTTCTCAACCAAGTCGGGGACATCGTCCTCACCCTCAGCACCAGCACCGGCAGCGGCGGCGGCAGCGTTCATCTGCTGGTAGGACTCAGCGAGCTTGCGGAGGGAAGCCAAAGAGTCGGGGCCGAGCTGGTTAAGGATTCCAGGGACGAGCTCGGTGAGCTCCTTGTCCTCACCCTTGCCGTAGATGGCGAAGGTGTTTGATGGGACAGCGGCGTGAACTGGAATCAATATGTCAGTGTCTGATATAAATTGTTTCGATGTTTTGCAAGTGCATGTGTGTCGGTCGAAGAGACGTTGTCCGTGTCCAGCAGGTCAATACACGGCGCGGCATAACAGTCAATCTCCCAAACAACAATCCTCACACCCGACCCAGTCCGACTTCCTCCGCCGGATGCACTCCATAACGTCTTTGTGGTTGCCTGTCACATATCGTACACCCAACATCATCGTTTTGCTGCGCCCGTGTACCATCCATGCTGATCGAACAACTTCCGGTAACCGACACACATGCACCAAACAAATGCGATGAAAACGTACCCTTGGGGGCGGTGAAGTGAATAACGTTGCCGTCCTCCTTGAACATGTTGACCTCCTCAATGCCAGTGATGGGCTGGACGTTGAGCTTCTTCAAAGCAGCGGAGAGCTTCTTGTCATCACCACCGGTGGAGGCACCCTTCTTCTTAACAACACGACGGGGAGTACCCTTACCACCTACACACCACCATAATCGTCAGCCTTCGCTCTATCCAATTGCGCCAATGCCATCACTGCGGAATCCCGATTCCTCGGCGCAAGCAAACAAAGCCAATTCTCAACAGCGGAGGACCGGGAAAAATTGACAGCAAAGCGGGCGAAATAGAAAGACAACATACCGGTACGGGCAGAAGCCTGAAGGCGAGCGAGCTTGGCGTGATCCATTGTGATTTACTTGAGTTATGACGAGGAGGTCCTGCGGAGCTTCGAAATTCGACCAAGTCAAAGTCACCTGAATTAGGGCTTAAGCGTGCGCGCCCAATCAGCATGCGAGATCCCCGAAGCTGATGTGAGGTACAGCATGTTTATTACGTCAAATTCAGTAGGTATATCGGTTCGATTGAAGTGGGTATATTATGTCTATCGCTGGCGAATCCATTCAGTTGGACCCTGCAGGCTTTTCTCCAACTCGAAGCACGGTTCGGCACCAAATATCGATACTTGGTCTTCTCAGGGCTCCCTCGTCTTCACGAAGAGTGCCACTCTCCTGATCTGACTCATTCATCCATTCACTGCTGCTCCACCAATCCCGCCTTAATGATCTTGACTTCCTCGACCGGTCTGTCTGCAGCGCCAGTCCTTACCAATCCCAACCTCTGCACGGTCCTCATTCCCTCCTTGACCCTTCCAAAGATAGTGTGCTTCCCATCCAACCATGGCGTCGGTGCCAGAGTAATAAAGAATTGTGATCCATTCGAATTTGGTCCAGCATTGGCCATGGAGAGGACCCCTGCGCCGGTATGCTTCAAGCCAGGGTGAATCTCATCCGCGAACTTCTCGCCGTAGATGGAAGAACCACCGCGCCCGGTACCGGTGGGGTCACCACCTTGGATCATGAAGTCTGGAATGATGCGGTGGAAGACGACACCGTGGTAGTAGCCTCGTTTTGCCTGTATCGCATATCTGGTCAATTGGAAGTGCTGAGCCTCTCGAACAAGGCTGCATACCAGTTCAGCGAAGTTTTTGCATGTCTAAGAATACAGTAAGCATTCAGCTTCGTCAAAGCGAGTTGTCGAGGATGTGACGTACCCGTGGTGCGTGATCCCAGTAAAGCTCGACGGTTACCGGACCCTGTATAGAATCAGTCAGAAGGCGATGATCCGCAACACAGCATCACCAGATGGATCACCATAGAAGTCTCCAGAACAACGTCGCCCATCTTGCTTGTCCAGTTCTCCGTGGTCGTCCACGGCCGTTCCTGGCCCAACCCAACCCCCTATAAAAGCACCGCGCACCGCGCACCCAACGAACTTCAACTTTAATTCCACGACAGTCTCGGACACCGGTCTCTTCGGATTGACTCGTATCCTTACTTCCTTCTGTTCTTCGTTAGTTGGAGGTGCGTTGGTTGTTGTGGGAAGAACAAGAATTAAGACGCTTCCGTTCATATCTCCTGCGCAGGAGCTCTCTTCCTTTGGGAGGGCGACGAGTGCCTGGGTCGTTAGAGCGGGGATATTCCTTTCCTTTGGTGTACGTAGTTGCAGTTCGGTGGTGTTATTGGAAATATTGCAGTCGTGAGTGACGCGGGTTGTAGCTAGAGGAAAAACTCCGTTCGTCAGAATGTCTTCATATATGCTATCTGCAAATAAACTTCTGTTACTTCTATCTATCCACGATCGGTCCAAATCGCTTCCTGTCTAGGTTCGTTCTCTTCCAGCATCTCCGCCCTTGTCGATCTCTGTCTTGATGCTGCCTTCGTCAAGGCATCGCTTCATGGCGTTTGTCCATCACAAATGCGTCTTTCATATATCCTTCACACATCACCCTACCTCTTCCCCGGCAGCGTCTTTCCTCCAGTGCCCTCACTTCGACTCCTCTCCATCTCCACTCCACCACCATCCCAACTCCCACTCCCATTCGCTCTCTCCGACACAGCCGGACTCGCACCCCTCCCCCCACTCGCCTGCTTAAACTTCTGCACATGACTCTTCTTCTCAATCGGTGGATTCTTTCGTTTCTTACTCTTTCCGGATGCCGCGGTGGAGGCATCGGATAACTCGAAATCATCGTCTGAGGCGTCGGAGTTTGTTGCGAAGGTGTATGGTGAGGCTGTGCCTGATCCCCTGTGCTCCAACTTGTCAGCATATGTCATGTAGGATGAAAAAAGAAGTAGGTCGTACTTCTTTGAGCTTGAGGCTGCTCGTCTCGCCCCTCCCAACCCCAAACACTTCTCCAAATGCGGCGCAAACCTACTTCCCGCAACCTCCCTCCCACAAATATCACACCTAACGTACGCTCCACTCCCTCCCCCACCTCCCGCACCCCCTTCCTTCCCACCATTCACCAGGTCTTTACCCCAAATGTCTTTATTTGGTAGTGAACAGAATTGACGACAGGGTTTGTTGTGGGTAGGGCAGATTTGGCGGGAGGTGTGGGCGTGGGTGTGAGCGGAGAGGGCGATGTCGTGGAGGTTGTCGAGGATTAAGTCGTGGAGGATGGAGAGGGAGAGGGCGGGGATGGAGTTTGGTGGGGGTGGGGGGATGCCTGAGCCTGAGGATGGCATTGTGTGAGGTGATGTGTAGATCAGTAGGGTGAGCGCCAGATCGTGCTGTGTGAGGCCTGATCCGAGTTCACCGAGTTCAACAGGCTTCAAGTAGCGAGGAACGGATGCCGAGGAGCTTTTCGTGTGCCTGTAACGATGACAAAACGGCGATTGCCGAGCTCGACCGCCATTGCTGCGCCTCGCAACGTACGGCGGCTGAGACACCCGCGCCACTGGGAGCTGCATCAAGCTGGGGAAGCACGCTCTTGCTGTATCGCGAGAGTCGAGCCCATCAGCAATCTCAAAATGGTCAAGCCGTTGTCGCGGAAGTCTAAGAGGTGCTTGTTGGCTAACTGCTTGACAGACAACCGACCCGCCTATTGATATCACCACTTTACTGTCGAGACTCCATCCCTCTACAAGCTCGAATCGACACACGTTATTGCTGAGTACTCCGACCGGAGCAGTCATCCATACAACAATCGAGAATCAAGCCCTCGCACGGAGATATGCCGCGCTGATACGCCAACTGATCGGAGAAGCTGGCCGGGTCGCGAGGGGGATGGTCGAAGCGGAGCGGGAAGGGCTGGAGGATGAGCAAGAGGTGACAGAGGAGGGACGGTGTGGATTGTTGAGACTGAGGGTGGGGAGGAGAGAGCTTATTTGTGTGCCAGGTGTGTATATTTTGCCCTTCTGATGTGAGCTGGTGGGCTGAACTCTCGCGTGCGCACAGATGAAGAGTACCTGTTGGTTGTGATACATGATGTTGGAGGTGCCCAAGATGCAGCTTGAAAAATCTGATGCACGCGTGTATGCTGGATCACACGGATGTTTCATGGCAGTTTGAGCTTCTATATGTGCAGCCTGACGGGAGATGGATTCATTGAGATACCGGGATCCAAGCGCCAGATGGCAGCCGCTATGAGCGTGCCAGGCTTGACAAAAAGATGCATAGAGAGTGCAAAGATACCCTTGATACCATATGGAAGAGTGATACACGTCAAGAACGCGTTCCCATGCTCAACCGTCATACCACAAGATGGAAAACATAGCCGACGATGCTATACCGCCGCCGCCCCCACCCCCTTCGAATAGCCATTCCCACATCGAATATGATTAACCACGAAGGTAAATGCCAAAAGAATTCCGCCGAACTCCAGATTGTCCCAGCATCAGCAATCTCCCGCCGCGTGCTATGGCAACCACATGTGCATCGCCCTGGCAGAAACGCGTGCCCCGTGCACGGGCCGCTTCGCAGCCGCATCAACAAAAGCGGCTAAAGGAATAGTACGAAAGCAAGCAGAGCTCATACCAACACAACACAGCATACAACACAGAGGAACCATTGTTAAGCGGTTGTTTGACGAGGATTCGACAGCATTTATCTCGGTGATTTTTTTGGATTGCGGTTATTGAAGATATACGACGAGGAAGGGCTATCGATCCATTCCGGTTTTCGGCTGTTTATACGCTCTCTTGGATCGACGAACACGTTCATTGTTGATACGACATACACCAAGCAACTTCATTGACGACTGAGCTTCGCAAATCGCGTCTCGTACATCGATAGCACTTGCGAGAGCTCTCCAACGCCTTATATAAACAATGGCAACGGCGACATATCAACGCCGACCGCCGTCGGTACAAGACGCCCAAGCTGCCGCCAATAAGCGAATCTCACAAATCTCGACTGCGTCGTCGAAATTCAGTACCAATTCTGATGGGAGACGGAAGATTAGTGTTGGTCCATGGATTCTGGGGAGGACGTTGGGTCGTGGTTCATCAGGTATGTTCTTGGCACATTGTTTCAAGTTCGTAACAGTTGCTGACATATTGTAGGACGCGTGAGACTGGCGAAGAATATGCACACTGGCGCACTGGCAGCAGTAAAGATCGTTCCGAAGACACTGACGCCAGCCGCCCCACCGACAAACTCTGGATCAAAAGGACAGTCCGGCCGTCTCCCTCACGGTATCGAACGTGAAGTCGTCATCATGAAGCTCATCAAGCACCCTAACGTCATGCGGCTGTACGATGTCTGGGAAAACCGCGGTGAACTGTATCTCGTCCTCGAGTATATCGAGGGTGGTGAGTTGTTCGATTACCTTGTCAAGAAGGGCCGGCTTGAGGAGTCGGAGGCGGCGGATTATTTCCGGCAGTTGATCGATGGTGTTGGGTACTGTCACCGCTTTAACATTTGCCATAGAGATTTAAAGCCGGAGAACTTGTTGTTGGACAAGAACAAGAAGATCAAGATTGCGGATTTCGGCATGGCTGCATTGGAGCCGCAGGATAAATTGCTGGAGACGAGTTGTGGTTCTCCGCATTATGCAAGTCCGGAGATTGTGGCGGGAAAGACATATCACGGAGCTCCATCGGATATTTGGTCCTGTGGTATCATCTTGTTCGCGCTGCTAACGGGGCATCTCCCGTTCGACCATGAGAACATTCGTGAACTGCTGTTGAAGGTTCGGGAAGGGCAGTTCGAGATGCCGCCGCAGCTTTCCCCGGAGGCGAAGCACTTGATTTGGAGGATGTTGGAGGTTAACCCAGAGCGGAGAATCACGATCCCGGAGATCTTGAATCACCCGTTCTTACTGAAGTATCCCGCGCCACTCTCTTTGCCAAACTCTGCGACGCTTAGCAACTTTGAGATGGACGCTACGAGGCCCGTAAACTCTCGTGAGGAGATCCACCCTGAGGTCCTCAAGAACTTGCAGACTCTGTGGCGTGAGGACCGTGAAGCGATCGTTCAGAGATTACTCGCACACGAACCGAACTCGGAAAAGACATTCTACTGTTTGCTGATGAAGTACCGACATGATCACCTCGAGAATTACGGCCGTGAGTCGATGACGAGTCCGACGCCGGTCGCAGTACAACAAGATCCCGACGTCGACAGATCACGGCAACCAACTCGGGCACCACCACCCATTCCTACATCGTCCGGGTCGAACACTAGGAGGAAGAGTGTGAGCCGGTCCAGAACGAGGAGTATGGCTGCCAGCACGCCACAAACTCCACGGTCACATCACCGTAAAGCATCATCGATCGTTACTGTTTCGTCAGCACACAAGCGAAATGTGTCCTTCTCGCATGCGAGGGCTCGAGTTGCTGCTGCGCGAGCGAACTCGAATTCTCCGGAGAAGATATCGCCTTCGAAGCGGCAGAGTGTCGGGTATGGCAACGGGTATGGTTCCGTACATAATTCACCAAGGAAGAGTACGGTTAATGCTGCGAGACGAGCTCCGCCTGTTCCGCCTAAGCACTTCAGTTGGCAGAATCCTGCGTTTAAGATTGACGTGCTTGATGAAGTTGCGAGGAAAGTGTCTGCGGATTTCGCCCTTGAGTGTGAGAGTGCGTTCAATGGGTTTGGGACCAGTCCGGATGTAAAGGCTGCACCTCCTCCGCCTGTGCTGCCAAAGCAGGACCTCCTGAACAATGACCGGAAGTCTGGGTTCTTGGATGATGTCGTCGCACACCTCGACGTTGGCGGTACCGGCAACTTCATGGGCTCCATGCCCATGATCTGGGAAGAAGCAGAGCGTTACGCAGACGCAGACGAAGAAACAGCACACATCACAACAGCACAAATAACCACCGCCGTTAAGAAACGCGCAGTTCTATCCGAGGTGAATACAAACCAGTCCCGTGGCCCCAGCCCCGGTCCCCCACGGGGCGAAAAATCCGCCCTGAGGATCTCGAGTATGCTAAGTCCCTCGGAACAGCCAAACCCCCTTACGCCTCCACCCAAAGAACGACGAGCGGTATCTGCGCCTATACCGCATGATGCACCACATTTGATAGCGCTGAATGCGCCGGTGTTGGCGGAGCCGGTGGAGAAGGCTAAGAAGCCGGGCTTGTTTAGGAGGAAGACTACGAAGACGAACATGAAGGTTGAGGATGTGTTCAAGCCGCAGAGGGAGGCACCGTCGAGACCTGATCGGGAGATTAGGGAGGAGGTATTGAGGCAGGTGGAGCATCAGAACAAGGGCGTTGGTGCGAAAGTGCGGAGGTGGGGAAGTAAGAAGGGCCGTGAGCCGTTCGGCAAGGAGAATGATATCTTTGGTAAGTTGCCCGTTGTGATTCTTTTGCAAATCAAAACTGACTGCTATCTCTCAGATGAACCCGTTGCGAAGACCTCCTGGTTCAGCAAGTTCCTCAGTATCGCACCCGCAAGCCGGACGATTCGCACCACCCTGCCCTCCGACTCGTTGTGCCACGAACTCCATGACATTTTCCGTCGGTGGGAACAGCTTGGTGTTGGTATTTCGCATGTCTCCGTCTCCAAAGATGGCCAAACCCTCCGTGCTCGCGTCGACTCGTCCAATGCGATGGATTTGAAGTCTGTCCGGTTCAAGTGCGACATCGCCAAAGGTGGCCGTGGTACTTGTGTCTTCACCCAGGAGAAGGGTGCTGCCTCTAGTTTCGAGAGGGTGGTGAGGGAGGTTGAGTTGTGTTTGAGGGACATGAATGTGCTGATTGACGTTACTGGACGTTTGACGCCGCAGCCGGGCGGTAGGGAGGGTGCAATGAGCAGACAGAGCAGGCATGGTGTTGCCCTATAAATGGTGGCGTGATTGGAAGTTGAAACACTCTTTTTATCTTTTTGGTTTGTTTTTGGGGAACTTTTGGGAAATGTGGTACGCACTACGAAAGTTGCGTACGTGATCTTTTGACAGTCTGGAGCATCTTACTTTTTGATATGGGTATATCTATCTCTTCTAATGTTACGTTTTGAAACGAATCTTGCAATTAACGTACAACTTGAATGCAATGCAATGCCGTACTAGTACGCTCTGCCGTAGCTGCGTGGCAATCCAATGAAGTGGCATCGGTAAAGAATACGATTGGTCATGAAGGTTTGTAATCATATAATAGAAGGTAAACAAATCTAGAGAACGTGAATGTCCGGCATACCCACGCCTTTATATAAGGCTCCTTCGTGGGAAAACATGCAGTGGACCAAAACAAATGAAAACCAGCGAACGTGATGCAGAACTCCGCCATATCCCCAACCCCATCATAACCCTGGGTCCTGCCCAAAAAGAGAAAGTGACCACATCCCAAGAAATCCCAGCTTAGATAACTCCCAACTTCTCATCAATCCTCCTATACCTCTCCTGCTCTCCCCTAACCTTAATCAGCATCAATACCGCCAACAAACTAACACAATCCAACCCCACAAACCCAAAACTCGTCGTAAACAACCGATTCAACACCAAATCCGCAACCGGCACGAACGTCGTAACACACCCCGGCAACCCACTCGCCGTGCTCACATCCGGACATTCTTGACTCTGCACGAACCCGGGATTTGTCGCGTTCCAGTACCCACAGCACTTGAATTGGTCTTGGAGGGTTGCTTGGATGGTTGGTGAAGAGGAGGTCCAGATGTTTGCGATATCGGCGCGTTCGATGAGGGTGATGAACCAGACGAGGAGGCCGAGGATGAGGGTTGTGACGGCGCAGGCGATGAGGGCGTAGGCGTGGACCATGAGGTAGGTTCGGGAGGAGGGGGTGCGACGGAGGCCAAAGATTGCGGAGAGGGAGGTGGTGATCACGAGGGCGCCGGCGAAAATGGCTCCTGTACACTGGTTTTAGTATAGTGTTTTGAGATGAAGGGTCTGTCCTTCAAGAGCTATCTGCGCACCTTTGAGTGGACAAATTCCAAGGATGAGATTCAGTGATAAATCCCCGGTCGTGGGTGTCGCACATCGTTCACGCCAAACAAATGCTTGGGCTATGAGGATGATTCCCGAAGCGAGGACAAAAAGATTGGTCAGGACGAAGGTCCACATAACTTTACTGTCGAGACTCATGGCCATGGTCGTGAATTCGAATATGACGAACCAGCGTCAATAAACAACGGAAGGAGAGCTGCGAGATGCTCAACGGGTGTGGTGTCTAGTAATAAAAGCGACGAAATGGACCTGCCTTTTCGTCGTGGGAGCGACCTGCGCTGTGAGAAGATGAGAGAGTGGTGTTGTCCCAGCCTTCAAACCCGAGCTGGCTGCGAGAAAAATGGGCTGGTGCACAGCCATGGCGGTGGCAGGAGATTTCAGCAGAGCATAGTAAATTGCAGCGATCGAAGGTTAACCTTCGAGGAATGAGTTCTCGGACCGTTGATGCGTGTTCATGCAAGCCATGAGTTTCGGAAGAAATCCTTGCATCCTCGCCTTTCAGCTGGGCATGCAAAGGGAGCTCTGGTTATCTCTATAGTAATAGTAATTCTGCTTTTTGGGAACGTTTTTCATGAGAGCTGTTGAAAAATCTCATGAAGGCTAGCGCGGTCCCACGAACTGTGGGAATTTGCCGGTGGACTAGCCAGCTGCGTCGCGCAACGACGGCCGATACACGATCAGTCAGGAAACCGCATCGATACGAATCCACTCTGGAGCAAATTTTCGCTCCTTACGGCATACATCAGTCACCTTACTCTATCTTACAGTTCCGCCCCAACAGATTGGTATAATCAGGTATTCCTCGGCTGTGCCGTCCCACTTTTAATCCTGCGTCAAGAACGTAATCTTATCCGGCCTCTCAACCCCACACCTTTCACTAAAAGTCCCAACCTCCTCCGACTTCTTCTCCATAATCTCCACAAACTCATCTAAGGGGCATGAGAACCCAGGTCCCGAAGAACACTGTCCAGTTGTAGATGGGCCAAGGGGGATCAAGGCGTCGTTAACGAGGATGCGGACGAAATAGGAGGGATCGTCCTTCTTGTATTTGGGAGAGGGAGGGTTGGCGTGCGTACATGCGAGTCGTTCAATGACCATGTGTCCGCCCTGTCCTCATCTGTCAGCAATTCACATACCTATTTGCGAAATTTCAGAAAAAGGGACCATTGGAATAATCTCAGCAGAACGAAAGTTCCTGTTATACGGCATCTGGTCCTTTGGCAACGGTGCCGAATCGTTAAACAATCCGAATGCGCTGAGGAAGGTCAGGACGTCGGTATCGTGGGTGCTGTACTCCATGTTAGTCCTCGGGCTGAATGCTCGACAAAGAGTACATACAACTGAAAAAAAAGGCTTCCTGCATCACTGCCCTGCTTCAATAAGTCGGTTGTGGCGAGCGCTGTACCCCTTCATCAGCCGTCGCCCCGCGAAACACTGCATCAACACTCACCCCACGGCACCCCCAAAGCCCCATCTCGATTAACACTCTGTCCATACCCCTTCGCCCAATATCTTAGCTAATCCTTCCTCGTATCAGTTTAGGTCGCACTTACAGAGTGATAGTAGGCCCACACATCACGTGTATATTCATGCAGCAACCATTCTTCCTGCGTAAAGATCTGGCACCAGGGCGAGATACCAAGGATATTTAGGTCGTAACCGCAGAGATCTTGCATGATCACGACGTCTTGGTGGGTGAAGTTGAAGCCGGGGGACATGTCTATGAGGATATGTTAGTCAACTGTGCATAATTGCAGGTGGTGATCACAATATTACCGTTGAGGCGATCAGCGATGGGACCTTCGTAGGTTTTCTCGAAGGCTTGACTTGCTTCTGCGCCGGCGCTGCCGCTCCATTTGGGACATGCTGGAGCGGGTGTGAGACTGTCCGCACCCAACTCTGGGTCCTCGGGGATCACGACCAGGTTAGCCGTGTCCTCGTAATGCAGCCCAAAGAAGCCTTGAATGAAGTACTTGGCGGAATCGATGACGCGGTTATCGTCTGACGCGAACACTTTGTGCTTTGTTGAGGATGTAACGTTATGGAGATGTTGGTAGCGAGCACGAAAGAGGGCACCACGGCGGAAGAGGTCGGCGGAACCGGCATAGGGTCCAGAGAGGGTAAGTTGTTCGACTTGGAGGTCCGGAGCTGTACGACCAGGGTGTCAGCATGCATCGGAATCAATGATGTTTCCCTGGACACACCAAAAATTGGAGTCTCGTAGGTGTTCAGAAACCCAAAATCCCCCTGAGCTTTAACACCCTCCTTCATCGCCTTCTTCACACGGTTGAACAAATCCTCGATACGATGGAAGTCGTTTCCGGTGGGGTATCGTTCACCATGACGACTAACCATATGAACCTGCTCGACCTCACAAAAAGGGGGGACATCATAGCCAATTCCAATCCCCTTCGCCGGGACCCAGGGACCGGGACCAGCGAGGTGACGCATTATCCAGGAGAGGGTAGGCTTGGATTCGTAGCTCAGAGTGTCGATTGTGTCAGAGTAGAGGGAGAAGAGGGAGAGGATCACGAGGAGACTGGGTAACGCGGAAAGCCAGATACGAAGACGACGGCGGGGACGGGTGGACAATTGACGTCCCTGAGCTTGGGGAGCGAGTTTCTCGTGGGTGTATGCTCCCTGCATTTTGTCTCGTCAATGGGAGGACTCGTCGATGGAGGAGTCCTGGATGTATGCTCAGCATCTACCCCGGCGCGGATAATCTTAATTGCGTGCAAGCATCGGGGAGGTGATGACGTAAGGTGCATGCATCCAGCTACCTACAGCTGGGAAGAAGAATGGGATGAAACTTCTGCTCGTCGGTGGAACAGGCATTAATGAGTGGACAGGGCATACGCCGGAGAGCTACCCCCGAAGAAACAAGTGCCATCGCAAATATACCAGGTCTCACGTGGCCGAATCTGGCAGCCCTGCAGCCAACTGCACGGTTAGTGCGGTAACGAAGACTCGAAGTAAACATCGGCACACCCTCGAGCGCTCAACGAGGATCCAAGACTGAATCATGCCGCCAAAAGAACAAATTGTGTGCGGAAATCCGCTGTATCTGGAATGGTATCTCGTGAGGCGGCGATACGTTCGTTCGTGGTGCTGATGTGATGTTCCGATACAGGATTGGCGAATGGATGGAGAATGCGAGAGCACTGAACTCGAAGGGGTATCAGACGATGCGAAAGGTATGCTCTTTGTATTTTCGGCGTATAACTTGACGTCTTATCCTGATCATAAGGCCTATGACTCCATGAAAAACTGTCCAATACCCTTCCAGCATCCATCCCAAGCAATCACGCTGAAAGGCATCGGACCGACGATTTGTGACAGACTGGAGAAGAAGTTACGAGAGCACTGCGCTAAGGAGGGAATACATATGCCCGAGAAGCCTGGTATGTGCACCCTCGAAGCGTGTCGCGATAAGTACTAACAAAACATGTCAAGGCGTCGGCGCCGGAGCCTACCAAGCAGACGGTTCTGGAGAAGAAGACACCGCCCCGAAGAAACGCAAAACAACCCGCCCCTACGTCCCAACCTATCGCTCCGGACCCTACGCCCTCCTCCTCGCCCTCCACACTCAGTCCCTCACCTCGCCTCTCCCACTCCTCAAATCTGAAATCATCCTCCTCGCCCAACCCCACTGCGACTCATCCTTCGAGGCCCCACCCGCAACGAACGGCGGCAGTAAGTTCTATACGGCGTGGAATAGCATGAAGACGTTGGTTGATCGGGGATTGGTTTACCGGAATGGGAGTCCAGGGAGGTACTTGTTGACGGAGGAGGGGGAGGAGGTTGCTGGGAGGATTGCGGGGGTTGCTGAAGAGAGGGAAGGGGGTGGTGCAGGGAAGACGAAGAAGGTGAGGGTGGACAAGGAGGGCCCAATGATCACGTTGCCGGAGGTGTCTGCTCCACCAGCACCCGTCGCTCCAACTGCAGCAACGGCAGTACCGAGACCAGCTGCTAAAGCTTACAGCGATGACGTTGTGATTCTGGATGATGATGATGAAGATATCCCAGTTATCGTTGAAGATCTTACAATTGAGCCAGCGATCTCTGCGGCTCCACCAGCAGCAGCACCAGCGCCGCTATCACCGACAGGGTCCGCGGCCGCTACTTTCCCCTCGTTCATACCTATCATCTTACCACCAGGATCTTTTACAATCCATCTGCTCCTCGACACGCGCGAAGCCAAAACTCAACGCGACCGAGACTACATGGAGCAGAACCTCAATGTTCCCGGCGTAAACCTCATCCTCCGCTCTCTAGAAATCAGCGACGCTCTCTGGATCGCCCGCTGCAAACACACCGGACGCGAAATCGTCCTCGGCTACGGCATCGAACGAAAACGCATGGACGACCTGGTTGGCTCAATCAAAGACGGTCGTTTCCACGAACAAAAGTTCCGGCTGATGAAGAGTGGGTTAAGGCATGTTATGTACGTGGTCGAGGAGAGTCATTTGGATGATGTTAGATCGTATTTGGACGCGATTCAGACGGCGATTTCGAGTACGCAGGTTGTTAATGGGTTTTTTGTGAAGAGGGTGCCAAATTTGGAGGGGACTGTGAGATACTTGGCGAGGATGTCGACGATGCTGGGAAGGATATACGAGGTGTGCCTCACTCAGTCTCCCAAGATGAACAGCACTGACTGATCATGGAACCAATAGGGCAAAGTGCTACATGTCATCCCGGATAATGTCATCGACGCACGTACCTTCGGCGACTTCCGCAAGCACCTCAAAGAAACACAGCCGAACATCGATTACCTCGTGTCATACACCTCCTTCTCCGCCTTAACCTCCAAATCTGCTGCGCTTACCCTCGGCGACGTCTACCTCCGCATGCTCATGACCATCCGTGGTATATCCGCCGAGAAAGCCGTGGAGATCGCGACCAAGTTCCCGACGCCAACAGCGTTGATGGAGGGGTATGAGAAGTGTAAGACGGTGCAGGATCAGAAAAGAATGATTATGGAGAAGTGTTGTGGGTATGGGAGGAAGAAAATTGGAGTAGCGTTGAGTGAGAAGATATGGCAGGTTTGGATGGAGAAGAGGGAACAGCAGCAGTGAGCACTTGGTAAGGGAAGGACAACGGCGTTATTGGGACAAGGTGTTTGCACTTTTTTGGCGGGTTGACAAACATATTACGACGGCAGTTTGATCATTACAGGTACCTAAGCTTAATACAGCATTTTGGGATCAAGTTTCAATATCCCCAACATCAGGTCGTATACGAAGAAGAAACCTACCATTATTTCATTGCGATCGGTAGATGAAAGTCTCGACGCTGGATGGCCGGGCTTCTTCGGACGCTCCATCGCTGTACCAGATTCGTCTTGACTGCAGCCAGTGGGAGGCGACCCAAGAGGGACAGCGCCGTTGCGAGGGACGCCCACGGCCCATTTCAATGACAGACATTAAAAAGACTCAATTCCAATGATGCACGGCCACTAGTCAAATGCTTCCCTTCCTTTCCCTTGCCAGGCATCTTCCCCTCCTTCTGCCACCCTATGTCTTTATCTTTCCCAGATGCATCTTGTAAAATGTCCGTAAAAGTACAATACAAACTCTAAAAACAACAAACAACAAAACGAAAACCTCAGGCGCCTGGTCCCAAATAAATGCAAAGATTTCCTCGTCGTCTGCTTGCACAGTAACTGCTGCAACTGCCCCCTCTTCATCCTTTTTTCAACGCCTAGATCACGTTCTGAGCCTGTTGCTGCTGGTGTTGAGCTCGCTCGAAAGAACTGGTGCTGCTATTTCCACTTGCGTTCTCTCCGATGTCACCATGCTGGCTACCACTTCCACCGCTCGCGCTCGCACTACCCGTGACACTGCGGTACGGATCGTTCATAGGGCTCTTCACAGGCGGGGGACCCCTCGGTGGGTATGGTCCATTACCGTTCGACATGGGTCCCGGGTACGGACCAGGGGGATAAGGCCCATCCCTAACAGACCTCAAGGACACCATACTGGGGTTCATGCTCGGTGGCGGGTACCCCCTGTTGGGAATACCTCCGACTCCCATTTGCCTTGGGTAAGGCCCACCACGACTCATCGATGGACCCTGCATCGACGGATACGGTCCCTCTCTCTCCGCCAAACTCGCTGCAGTCAAAGAGTTCGCCCGACTCGTGTCAACCAAGCTCTTTGTGTCGACACCCGGGTACCTGTTCGACGCGAACGAGTGCATGGGGTGCTCCATGATAGGATCATTCAAACCAGCCAAACCATCATTATGGACATTCGCCGAAGACCTATTTCTCGGGAGCCTGAAACGCCCATTAAACGTCATAGAACGTCCACTGTCCCCAATCGCAGCAGCGGACCTGGCAGGAGGCTTCCCTCTCAACGCCCTCTTCTTCGCCGTGAACGCAATCATATCGATCTCATCCGGGTTAACGCCCGGAGGCAACATCGGCGCACCACCACCAATAGGCGCAAAATCATCACCATCATCGCTATCATCGAAATCCATCGTCGACTTCTTCCTGGAAACCTTACCCGGACGGGCCTTCGGAACACCAACAGGCGGAGGTCCAGCGGGTCCTCGTCCCTGAGGAAGCGCCATCTCCCTCTCCCTCAGAGCGAGCTCACGCTGCCTAAGTGCCAACTCACGCTCACGGATCTGCAAGTCCTGCTCCGGGTTGCGCGGTCTGGGGCGCATGTATGGCCCATCACTGCTATCCTGTCCGACCCGGTCACCATACAACGCGATATTAGCAAACTCCTGAAGATCCTCGACAGAGTTCTGCCTCGAGACTGACTGCGGCGGGGCCGTCCGTGCGCCCCGACCATTCATCATAGCTTGCGGTGGGTACCCATTCGGCGGCGGTCTTCTCGGGGCCATCATAGGCTCAGTATTCGTCCTAGGCGGCATGGGCATACGGTGCTGAGACGCAGAGGGGGGAGCCATAGGCGGTCTAACCGAAACATTCGACTGTCTCCGCGACATCGGCGGAGGCATGACAGGTGATGTTGCCCCAACCGGTGGTGGAGGGAGATGAGCCTGCCTCTGATTCATGATATTGGTGTGCTGAAGGAGCGCATACATCGTCTGTAGACGTCCAGCAGAGAGACCGAGTTCCTTGGCCATGAACAAGGGGTTACCGAGGAAGACCTCGATCTCCATGGGGCGGCGAGCGAGGTAGTCCTGGTACATCATCGAGGGGGTAGCCGTTGGCGCCGAGGTCATCTCAGCCATGACCTGATCCCGGTAGCCCTCAGGGAACGAACATCCGGCGGTGTATGCGATGTTCAACAACTCGTCAATGATATCAGTAATCAACTCCTTAATCGTCTGATTCTCGACGAGCGCCTGAAGGTTCGGCTCCTGCATCAAAACACTGATAGGATGGAACCCGATGGGTCCGATCATCTTCTCGAACTGCTGCTGCAAGATGTTCTTTGACAAATGACAGTCAACCATTCCAGCCTCCAAAGTTAACGCCAAACTCTCCGCCATATCTTTCTGCATTTCCTCCGGGAGGGGACTCTTTCCACCTACAGTACCAATCCAGGCGTCTGGTTTACCGGTCTGTTCGAACTCTGCTGGGCCGGTTTGCGAAAGCGTTGCTCCACTGACGAAGCTGAGAACCAAGTTCCGAGGAAAGCGGTCTTGTAATGAACGCTCGACGCCGATAGTGTTGGTAGTGTTGACAAGAATACAGGTGTGTGCCGGCGTAACAACAGACTCGATAACCGAAGCGAGGTCATACACATCAGGCAAGGCCTTCACACACACGAAAACATAGTCGAAAGGACGCTGCGGGTCTGCCGCATCTTCAACAGCACGTACAACTGTAAGGGAGCAGTCAGTAAACAGCGCATGTGATCACGCGTGAACGAGCGACATACCACTGTAAGGCCTGAAGCGGTCGGTACCAAATGCTTGTGATTTGAAGGTGATGCCAAACGACTGAACTGCTTCGAACGTACTTCTCCATACCAAGGTCGTTTCGCATGCGTTACTTGCTTGTAGTCTCCACGAGTAGAAGGCCGATATGGCGTTGCTGCCAACTGTAGGATCGCGTTAGCAAACAAGCAGAACTCGTAGAGCTTCAGTTCATCCCACCTGACAAAATGCGCAGCTTGTCCGTCATGTCTGTTGTATGCTGATGCGGGGAGGCCGAGGGATGCTTGGCGTGATCGGTTTACTCCGGACAAGTAGTCAACGCTGATAAAGTCGACAAAAGCTGTTCACCGGTGTACAAATATCGTACAAATAAAGTCCGTTTGCGAATCCGATAGTTATCCAAACTGCGTCAGCGTATGCGAGCCGGCGTTAAGGCTGTTCCGAACGTGCCGAAATCAGGGATGCAAGGGTACGAGGCTGAGCTGGGCAGAGACGGGAAGTTGGATGTAACCGACTCCTGAATGAAAACGAACGATAACTTGGCGAGCGTTTCCCGTGACCGATTTATCGAGTATTACGAGCTGGATACGGGTACGTTGTCGCTGGTTGTTTGTTCGACGAAACTTCGGGTGTTCTTGGTTGCAGTTCGAAATGAGGCTTCACAGCTGCAGACTAAACAGGCGCCGCGGACGTGCAAGCACAACACTTGAGAAAATAGTCACAGTCTAAAGCTCGTGTACACCAAAAACGGCAGCGTTACCGCAGTTATCGATCGTGATTATTCTGTTTGAGGTACCTATGGAAGTCTACGTGATACTCGTAAAGGTAGCAGGTGGGGCTCTATGGGACATGTAGCACGAGGGGATAAAGCACCGAGAAAACCGTTACGTTTCTCGCGTTCGGGTTGCCAAGATTTACCTTGCCGACGTTTGAAGCTAACTGCACGCCATGTACGTGCGGTTGTCTGGAGGGCATCCTTGAACGTCACCCCAGGGTCCGGACATATGTAAGCTTCATACGAGTGCCCCGCTTAACATATACGACTTGTTACGCAAGCGAGACGTCTTTAGGAGACATTCGTAGCTTCCAAGGGCTTGGCTTGCTTGAGCCGGTTACGAACACCTATGTCGGAGGAACCGAAATGAGGATCTATTTTTGGAATGCCGATCATCGGACGATCGATCGAACGCGTGGGAGGATTAGAGTCCGTGTACCGTTTGTAAAGTGCAGCAGATGAGGAGCACCGCAGGGACGCATATATCCGTGATATCCTGAAAGGTTTGATGCCTTTTTGACGTTTGACGCTCTCAGATACCTTGGCAGAGTGCACCGCGTCATGACGTGCATTGACGTGCATGTCGCGGACTGACCGCCAACTTCGGGGTTAGCGGGGGTAAACCGAAGGCGTGAATCTGGACTTGAATAAACAGGCACATGGCCAGCACGTCACAGCCTTGCTATACTGGTGACTCCAAAAGCACCATGTCCAAAGTACTATCACAGTTTGCGATATCCTTGGTTTCATCGTTGTCATGAGAAACTTGCCATAACGTAGTCCACCTACACCCGCAATGTCCCACGCTAGGATCCAGCGCTGCACAAACCACAACTACTCGAACAAACTGTATCATCCTCAATTATATCCTACAAATCACCCATAATACTTCTAGTAGGTAGCCTCCTGAGCACCAACCCAAGCAGAAACCAAAGCAGGCACAACCATTCCAATCGATCCAGCAATAAGCCCAGGTTTAACCCATCTCAACACCCACCAAACACCCTCATAACCCTCATCCACGAGCCCAACCTGCTTGACTCCATAAATCCTTCCATCCTCACTCGCTTCGGGGGTAGGCACGACCGTCTCGACACCCTCGGTTCTCAACAAGGCGACTTCAACACGGCGGAGGACGACGGACTGGATGAGCTTGGAGGAGTAGTTGAGGACGAGATGGATGAGGGATTGCCAGATAATGGGCTGCTCGGAGACAGCGTCGGGGAGGAGCTTGGATAAGACCATTTGGAAGAGGATGTTGAATGTCGAGGTAGCAGTAACAAGCGGCAAAAGACGAGGAACACAAGCCAAGATCAATCGAGGGCTAACCTGCGTCCCAACATGCTTGCTCGAAACAATAGATCTGTCCCAATCGTATTAGCAAACCGCGAACATGTGGATCACTTGGTTGGCGCGATTAGGACATACGCAGTTCCCCACAACTCGACAGGAGCCAACACGATATCACTCAATACATCACTCGCGGACGCCGCAACGACCATCTGTGTCGTAGTCGTGCATTGCGGGAAGATGTATGCCCAGGTGGCGTACGCAGCGTAATGCTGAGTAACCTGCTTCAAGAGCCAAGGGATCGCACCACGGTAGAGACCCTTGATCGCGTTCGAATCGATCTTGGAGAGGAAGCGGAGGGTATCCTTGAAGGAGGAAGTAAGGAAGCGCTTACGAGGCTAACTCCGGTTAGTAAGGTAATTGCTTCTGTGGAAAGGATCAGAGGATGACCAACCTGGATCTCGGCCCCGGTCTTCTCGCCTAATGTGACAGCCGTAGGGGTTCCGACAGGACGGTATTCGACCGCGGCAAGGGTGGCTGCGGCATAAGTTATTGGCTCGAATGCGAATTGTGCATACTGCCAGGCATTGAGCCCGACGACGACGGTGTTATTCATTGCGGTCGAGGATTGGGATATCGCTGAACGTTGCGGGTTGTGCGCTGACGGGGTCGTGCAGTAGTCAGGGGGGCCAGCGATTGGGTGTGGGAATTCAAAGAAGTTCTGGGGAGAATTGATCTACCCTAGAAATGATTCACTCATCCTCCTCATCGCTACCCTCCTCCAACTCCGGCACACAAACTCCATTCAAAAACTCCACCAACGGTACCAACTTCCTCAACGCCTCCACCACCTCCTCCAAAAACCCCTCCCCACAAACCTCTTCGTCAGACCACCGCTTACTACTAACCCCAATCCCCTTGAGTTTCAACAACGCGATTTCAGGGTGGTCTTTCGGATAACCCTTCGGTGCAACTTTGAGTCTGTCCTCATTTTGACACAACTCATCCAGCCCGCCAAAAAGTTCCTTAAACCCCTCCTCCTCGATGATGGCTTTCAGTTTCTTGAGCGCACGTCCTTGTTTATCAATCATCCTCCTCAACAACCCAAGCTGCACCGAATCCGGATGCCACTTGCCACCCGCAACAAAGGTCTTCCCACCCGGCTGCACACTCAAATAATACCCAGCCCAAACCCCACCCTTTCTCCCCATCCTCCCAAACCCAGCCGCAAAATACGTCTTATACGGCGTCCGATCATTGCTAAACCTCACATCCCTATAAATCCTATACACCAAATCCCGCACCGGCAATAACGGGACCGTGTCGTCGATCTTGGTTAAGCGGTGTTGGAGGGTGTCGATGAAGGATTCGAAGTCGCGTTTGGAGGCGTGGTAGTGGGATTCGTGGGGTTGGAACCAGGTGCGGTCGTTGTTTTTGGAGAGGAGGGAGAGGAAGGAGAGGGAGTTTGGGTGGAGGGTGTGGGGTTTGTAGGGAGTGTCGCCAGGGGAGGGGGAGGGGATGCGGGGGATGAAGGTGCTGCCTAGGCCGGAGCCGGCCGCTGATGTGGCATCGTCCGCATCGTCGGGTGAGGGTGATGTAGCCTTCTTGGTTTTGCTCTTCATGGTCGGCTTTGGGGTGGCGACTTTGCGCTTCTTCGTAGGTGGGCGCTCATCCTCCTCCTCCTCTTCTTCACCATCCTCGCTCTCCACATCCTCCTCAGACTCGCCGTGCACTTCTTCCTCATGATCACTCTCCTCCTTCCCGCTAAACTCACTCTCACTCTCACTCCCATACTCCTCGCCCACCGAACTCGGTGGCGAACTCGCCACCCGCTCCGATCCGTCCTCAACTGGACTCTCCGTCTTCTTTGCGGATCTACTGGGTGTGCGCTTAGGCCTCGTCGTTGGCATTTCGCGTCGGGGGAGATGTGCGACGGAGGACCGTGCGCTGTAGCGGGTTCGTGCATGAGCGCCTGCACAGCGACGAAATCGCTCTTGGGTCATCTGCCTGCCGCTGTTACGCTCCCCCTTCGATCCAGCTGGGCCCCTCCAGTTGCAAAACAAACAGATACCGCCAAGATGTCCATGAGGTTCCACAGATCAGTCCCAATCCTCTCAATCTTGTATGTCCTCCTACAACTGCTGTATCTCACCGTCCTGATCACTGACTGACATCATCACCAGCTACAAACAATCCGCCCCCACAACAACCCCCCTCCTCGCCCTCCTCCACCGCGCCAACCCCTCCCCCGAAACCAACCCCCGCTTCGAACTCGAAACAAACGAACACCCACCAACCCACTCCCAGCTCTCCACAATCCTTTCCTACCTTGGTCCCAATAATGCGTCCCAAGTGATTGAAGGCGCGAAGAGTGTAAGTGAGGCGATTGCGGAGTTTGAGAGGGATCCGGAGAAGTTTAGGAGGCCGGTGTTGGTTGATTGGGATAAGGGACGGGTGTTGGCTGGGTTGGGGGATGGGGAGGAGGCGTTGAAGAAGGCGCAGGAGTTTGTGAATAAGGTCTGATGAGTCGAGTGGAGAGAGATCGCTTGCGAGCAGTGAGGGAAGTGTACGATATAGCATACCACCAATATTACCATTGATCCAATAATAATGCGCCACAAACTCTCGTAACCAGATCGATATGCAATAAGTCATAAACGCCGAACATTTGCAAAACAAAGTATCTTTCCTTACGCTTCATACTCTCTTACTGTCCGAGGAGAGAGCTCAGATCGATATCAACGGCTCCCCACCCAATCCTTCAATCCCGGACTCATTCCTTACCACCGCCCCTTCACTCTTCGCTTCTCATCCATCACTCCCCGGCGCACTGCCCCTTATCAGTTAAGGGAGCGAACGCGTACCATATGTTGGCGGTAGTGCTGACAGTCAAGGCACTTTCTTTCCGAATCGAACTCGACCTGTGAGGTGCATTGCTTCGGCGACGGCCGCTGGGGTGAGATGAGGTCAGTGCACTGACGAACGAGAGGTGCGATTGAATAAGATGGACAGAAAATAGAAAACGGTGTTAAGAAAACCGTTTGAGAACATTCGTTTACATCGCAATCGCTTGTGCCTACGCAACCAGGCAGGCATCACTGCAGGCTCAGGCACCAGAAAACCTAAACACCACACCAAACGGGATTCCTCGCTCAAGTGCAAGACCGTGCGCGTAACAGGAGGTCCAGTTGATCCGTCATGTTCTCCTTCCAACAACCTCAACACGCTCCACCACCAATGCAATCGGCGCAACAGCCATTCGTGCCACAACTCCCCCAGCTGCCTCAGCAACAGCAGCCTGTATACCCTCAGATGCAGCAAGTACAGACAGGCGAACCATCCGCCTTCATGTTCACCCCTCAAACGCCCTCCAGAGGGCCCATAACGTCCGAATTCGCTTCTCCGGCACCTCAGCCACCCTTGACTGCATTCGATCTACGACCCGCAACCCCCGTACACAGAAGAACAGCGGGTACTGAGCCAACACAATGGGGTTCCTCATTCGCCACGCGCCGTGAACCACGCGAGGACGCATTCGCCTGGGGTGGTCAGGAGCAGCCTCGAAAGCAAGGCTTCGCTCCATCGCATTTGACGCATCTGCCACTGCGGTCCAATATGGCGAATGAGCGCTCAAGTCCAAACCTGGAGAAGAGCGTCAGTTTCGCGCGTGATACACGTTCTGGGTCACCGAGTGCGCTTAGGCGGTCGTCGCATGGTAAGCCGCCCGCGGTTGAGCAGCAACCGATGTGGGGATCTGGGTTCGGTGCGCCGAGGTTGAATGTTTCTGTTAATGGTGGTACCGGTCCTGGAGGGAATGACTACGTTGATTGGGCTACGCGACGACAGATCATGGAGGATGACGCCCCGCCTGTCGAATCCTTCTATGACCTCCGCAAACAGGACGACAAAACCAACAAAACAAAGAGATGGATCCCTGCGACTGCTGGATTGGATGTTACGGCGCCAGTGGAGGACAAAGCTCCTACCCCCGAACCCGAACAAATCGACGAAAAACCCACCGAAGTTATCCTCTTCGGATTCCCACCCAGCCTAACCCACCACATGCTCGAAATCTTCTCCCGCTACGGCACCATTCTCCGCTCCCACGCTTCCAACTCCGGCTCGGCCGGTAGCAAGGGCATGAACGAGATGGGCGCCAACTGGCTTAAGATCACGTATGCTGATCCCATGGCTGCGTCCCGTGCCGTGGCTGCGAATGGAACGTTGGTGGGGGGACAGTACATGGTTGGGTGCGTGTATGCCGATCCGGACGAAGCGAGGAAGACGATTACGAAAGCGATGACCGAGCCCGCGCGGACGCCGACACCGACGAACACGACTACGGACCTTCCGACAAAACTTGGGTTCGGTGCGGGCTCGGTATTCAGTACGGGTGTGTCGAAGAGGGTTGCGTTCGATGATGCGATGGATGTGGATGTGGAACCCGTCAAGCCGGCTACGGAGCAGAGGAAGGAACAATATGGGCTGATGTCGCGTAGTACGACTATGCCCGCCCTTTCCAACGGCGGTGGTATGGCCAGAAGCACAACAATGCCAAACCTCTCCGAACAACCCCTCACCCCCGGCCCTGCCGGCCCCGGCAAACGCATCGAAGTCATCCAAAAAGGCGACGCAATCTTCGCTGACCACAAAGAAGGCACGGTATGGTCTCGTGGTCTTAGCTCGATCTCGTCTTATATCCCTGCCGTGATTCCGGCGGTGATTACGGGAAGTACGAGGCCGATGCACACAATGGAGGAGGTGATGGCGGCGGCGAAGAGGAAGGCGGAGGAGGAGGTTGTTGCGATTAAGGAGGAGAGAGGGTGGATTGGAAAGACGGGGAAGAAGGTTTTGGAGGGGTTGTTTGGGTTTTAAAATCAGGGTGAAGGATTAGATCGAGAGTGTAGTGGAGGAGTGATGAAGATGAAGATGGAACGAAATGGAAGGAAAAGAGAATGGCTGGGAACGAACTTGCATTGACTTGACATTATTAGGCGTGCGTTTCAATAATATGAGATACCTAATCACTTCACATCATCCCTTCTTGGACCTTGAGCTTGTCGTAAGCATCGTCGATCACACCGTTTCCATTGGTGCCAGTACTCGTGCCAGACTTCATCGTCTGGTTGGACCTTTCGCCCCGCATCTCGGTGGTATCATTAACGCTAACAGCGTTTCTCCCGTTAGCTTGAAGGTCGTGTTATGGAATTCAGGGCTCTCCCATCTTGTTGGAGACTCCTAGTCGACAACTGTCACGGTCAGTATTCCCGTGTATGTAACTGTGTACACCAACTCGGAGCTCGCTTTGTTCAGCCAAAACAGCCTTGCTCGTTCAACAGTAGATTTTATGGCCGTAGTCATGACGAGCAAGCCCTTGCACGCAGCTGTTGCAGTTGTTCGAGCCAGCATCCACTCACAGACAAAAAGACAAAAAGCAGCTCACGGTAATTTGCTTTTCACACGTCAACTGACAACTCCAGCCGCAGCCGCAGCCGGCGCTTCGATTCTTCGATCTCTCATCACACCCAGGCCTCGAAGTCTCGATCCCTCCCGATCGCAGTGGCCAGCCTCACTTCATTTATCCCAGGGAGTTCCAGTCCTCATATCCCTTCAAGAGCTCTTCTCATCTTCAGTTTCCACCTCGTGTTCTAGGCGTGGTAAATAGTTCGGATGGCGTTACCGACAGTTGGCCACGGCATATATGCGTTCCTCTCACGGCTTGCATGCTCGCTTACGACAAAGTTTTTCCGCGATTCTGGCTACTGACCATGATATGAGGTTGGTTAATAGAACGGTTTTCGGATCTGATAGTTGTTATGCGGTGTAACCGTAATCAAAACAAGATACCGGTCAATGAAGAGTACTTTGTTCTGGACGTACGAACATTGTAACCATCCCACACTTGCGGTTGTTATTCGACACCACTCGGCTCATCTACTCATGACATCAATCGATCAACCCTCTCTCACTGACAGCTTTGATCACCTAATCCTAGCCTCCATCCATCCTGAACGCACACGGAAGATCCGATGAGCAGCTAGGCGGTATGAGCATGATCGCTCGGCGCCGGCCTGTCTTGGAGACTCGGAAGCTAATTGGGGTTGGGAGATCAGGAGATCATTTAATTTGGTTGGGCTTGGGTTATTATGTATGTACACCAGCATTAGGTCGGCCAGCCGGTGAAGGTACAGTAATTTCGGCCGATGTTGTGGAGCTCGAAGGTTGGGCGCGCGCGGTGTTAAACGGGGATACGCCTACAGGCGGAGTAACGGACCGAACAAACTCCCAGCCCTCGCCGTTGTGGGCGCACTATTTCGTTTCGGGATTAGTCAGGGCTCTTCCCTATATCTAGTCGTCGAGGGGGGCTTACTCCTAGACCTTACCAATACCCAATACACTGCTTTGTTAGCTCCGAGATACTTTGCCTTCACCGTTCGTTACAAGCTCAAGCTTTTTAAGTCTTAAGAGTTTGGGTCACCGAACTTGGCAACAAATCCTGTGCTATTCCCCTTCCAATCGCAGCAGCCCCACCAACGCGAATCTCCTTACCGGAGAAGTAGCCGAGCACTCTAGTTCCCCCAACAGCAGCACGCGCACGCGCACATCTCCCTCATTAAGGAGCAGGATTTGCACAGGAGCGTAAGCGAGGAGGGAGAAGTAAAGTCCGACTTAAACCCATGCCTCTCGTTTTCGTGCTCGTGCTCGTGAATGAGCGAACAATGAACCCCCTCGAGTATATGACGAGAAACCTCAAAACAAACACCGACAAATGAAATTACACACACCTTCGGTCCCCCTCGCCGAGCGCATTCCGACGCATTGCTGGGCGATCGTCTCAACGCCGTGCTTTTTGCAGGTTAGCGGGAATTTGCGGGCACTACGGTTTGGTGCAGTAGGTGCACCGCGCCTCATTAGCGGTATGTTGCAGCTGGGAACGAAAATCAACAGAAGGCAGCTTGATCTAAATGCTTGGTTGCGAGCTTCGGCCGTGGGAGGACTAAGCAGGGTTCCTGTTGTCCGGAGATAACTTAATCATAACTACACTTGGCGTCGACGAAGGGTCGGTATGGTGTCATCCACTCTCGCTTACCGAGAATCCAATTGCATGTCCAAACCTGTTGTACACTCGCTCCTCCGTCCTGGGACGTTCTGACACATGAATCACGGTCTTCGATTTCGAGCCCATGACCATCGATGGCCAAACCGGTCATTTAACCTTCCAAGACAGCGGCCCGTGAGGGGCTGCGGCACGGCTTACCCCCCTCGACTCAGTACCGTATTGAGGCTTTAACCGCGTACCGCGTACTGCGTACCGCGTACCGCGAATCGTACTCAAGGTCTCCAGGTCTCGTGAGGCGGACAGGGCACATCGATTTAATAAAAGGCAGGGTATGAGCCGATCATTTGATTCGCAATTGGTGGGCCGGGGCGATCCAAGCGCTTTGCCCGAACAAGCTGGGTAGGTAGTGAGCGACGGGCTTGGCAATTGCGATTGCGTAACCTAATGCTTTCGGCAATTGCATGACGTCGTCGATCCCTTTCTTCCCTCACACCCAGTTTCCCCCAATCTTTCTTGGCTCAACCTACGACGATGAGGGACCAGCATCCACTTTCCACAAAATTCAAGCAGGGGCTGAGTCAGGGTGTTGGCTATTTGATCGCCCAGCAGCCATGGGTCAGCTCAGCATGAACAGATCATGCGCGGCGTGGTGTGGATGTACACGATGTGCGCGTGTGGAGCATGTGCGTGCCCGATGTGACAGGTTGGGCGCATCGTCTCAATCACACGTAGGAGCCAACTGTAGGCGTCTCGACGAGGAGTACGGCAAGGCCAGGAAATAGCTGGGCTCGTTGAACGACTGGTCTACGTTACACTCCCTCGACTCCCCCCCAATGGAGCAAGTGCAGCCCGCCAATTCCAGGAAGCACCCTCATTGCAATGGCGCTTCTCGGTTAAGCAAGCCACGGGTACGGGACGGTGATTGTTCCATGTGGGCCAGTTCAGCCGCGCTAGACTGTCTTGGTGAGTGATCGCCCCAATGCCAGAGCTCGCTCCCCTTCGGGCTCCGGAACGTCTCAATGTGAGCGTGTGGTCAGCGCGGTTTCACCTCCGTGTATGGCCGTGTATATACCCAGCCCGGCGCCCTGCTGCGTTCACGACAATTGCTCTGCACAGGCATGGGATTGGATGACATGTTGGGGAACTACTCACTACACGACGAGAGACGGGATCGTTCATCACACCAGCAGCTGCCGTCGGTGTCGCAAATGATTCCTCCGGTACCGCAGCCGCCGCCGCGGCCGACACTGCCTCCTCCGTCGAGTTTGGAGATGCCGAGTTTACCGCCAATAGCGAGTTTGTTGTCGATGGGTATGTCTCTTTCGCTGTTGCGATTGATCTTTGTGGGGTGAATGCGTTGCTAATGGGAAGGACAGGTGATAACCGACCCCCACAACCCAGCGAACCAAGAATAAGCCCAGCACTACCCCCCCCACCGCATTTATCCCCAACGTCACATCCCCGATCCCGTCAGAATTACTCTCCACCACTCTCGCACCCCAATTACCCTCACCACTCGAGTTCGTCGTACTCGCCACCGAACCCGCAATCACACGCATTTAGTCAAGGGAGTGGGAATTATCAGCAGTACAAGTATGCGCAGTCACTACCCAATACCCCGATATTGATGAATCAACGCCCGACAACGTCTTCCACGCTCGCGGTTTCTATCCCTCACACCCCCATGAGCGTGGGTGCTGCTTCTTCCACATACGAATACGAACGGGAACGGGAACGGGAACGGGAACGCGAGTCGTATTTCCCACCACAACCGCAGAGCATGGGTGCACCGGTCTCGATACCACCTTACGCACGACAAAATTCCTCTGAATACGGCTGGCCGAACTCTCGGTCTTCACAAGCTCAAAAGCAGCAATCATATCAACAACAGAGAAGGTCGTACCCGGATGATCCATACGCCGGGAGTGCAAGTGGGTGGGAACCGTATCCGATCACTGATCGACGGCGGGCGTCGTTTACGTTGGGTGCGTCACCGGGTACGACAATCCCTTCCTACCTCTCTATGGCATCGATGGGTGGCCATGGACAAGGTGTGCAAGGACAGGGGATGGAGAGTATCAGGGAGAGAATTGTACAACCTAGTCATGGCCGAACACAGGGATATGGTGGGGGACAACAACCGGCAACGTTACAGACTCACCAAACCTATCCACAAAGCACCTTCGAAAGCCGGTATAGTACCTCCCTACAACCACACCCCTTCGCGCCCACCCAATCCTCTACCGCCCCACAACCGCCAGCATCACAGCCCCTTCCCACCCCTCCAACGCACCGCCCGCCCCAACAACACCAACACCAACACCCCTTCACCCAACACCCCCCTTACTCAGACGACCCTCACAACACATCCCCCCGCTTCACCTGCCCCGCCTGCTCCAAAGTCTTCTCCCGCCCCTCCTCGCTCAAAATCCATGGGTATTCACATACGGGCGAACGGCCATTCGTGTGTACTGTTCCTGGGTGTGGGCGAGCGTTTAGTGTGAGGAGTAATATGAGGAGGCATATGAGGGTTCATGGGGGGGAGGTTGGTGGTGGTGGTGGTGGTGGGGGAGGACAGGGAGGCAGGGAGGTTAGGAGGGCTGTTGAGAGGTATTTGGATGAGAGAGAGCAGAGGTGAAAGAAGGAGGGGGGGGTCATGGTTTCGAGGTATCATATACGGTATCAACCTCATTTTCTCATCTCGAGAACGTGAGATTCGGCATTCATTTGGGGGGAAACATACATACACATAACAGCAACGACGACAAACCCGGAGTTTTTCATTCGCTTTCGATGGATCATGGAAGTACGGGTATATGCCTTTGCAATGGATTTTAGATACCCGGTCGTGTTTTTGTCCGCAGTCGATGCCGGCTGGGAAGTCATGTTAGGATAATATTTAGGAGGGACCCTTTTGGGTAGTCTTGTCTGGAATCATATCTTTCTTGCTCGAGCTCAATTGAGCATTTACCCTCGTCAACCTCCCAGCTGCGTTCTATTTTTAGTACATACGAGTATCAAGATCCCGGGTACGCATCACACCTCCAATCAGCCTAAAATACTTTAAGATCGCATGGGATCTACATTTACGATTATGCTTGCCTAAGCTACACTTTATAGCCAGCCCGCCGCCAGGCCTGCAATGGCGCTGGCTTGTGATCTACCTCCTCCTTTCCCCATGGCTCGCAAGAAACCCTCCGAAACATCCCCGACACTGCCACCCCACGATGTCCGAAGGTTACGTTAACGTTTGTCGAAACGGTCGAAGGGGGTATTCCCGCGGGATTATGTCGAAGCGCCCTAATTATAACCTTCTCAATTCTCCGATCAGATAGCTATAGCTCCCCAACACCCAGTACATACGAATCCCCAGGGCGTAAGTTTAAGAAAGGAGGCGCGGACGTTGCAATTGGTGGGGTTCGGATGCACCTTCCTCCTCAACTCCCGACGCGAATACGAGATCTCATCTGGAGGAGGGATGCGCATGCGCTCCACATGCGCGCGGGACGGGTCGTCGTGTGTGCGCCGGTCTCCTCGAACATGCTGAACGTGGCGTGAGTATATTGGTGCACGGACCTTACTGTACACCGCTGTCAAAACCTCATGATCTTCAGTCGTAAATTGCAAAAGGCCAAAGGCCGCGACCGAGGGCGATCCTGAGTCATGACATGAGACTGAGGACGAGGTGGGTTCAGATCCAGATCGCTTGAGTGATATTTCCGGAGGATCAGTTCAGGGTGAGTTGGATGTGGTGTGATCTTCGTTCAAGTCGGCATGGTCGCCGAGGCACTCGAGGTGCACGTGGGAATTTTGTTTACGATTTCGAGTGATCCTTGACCAAAGTCATCGGCCATGCGCTGCAATTGGTTCTCGCACGAAGTGTACGACGAACATCCGTGGCGACGAAGGATCCAGTACGTGGCCATGTGTGAAGTGATTAAGCTATCGATGAGTGTACCGGGTAGAGTTGCACCGTTAACATCTAGAGTTGCGACAGCTTCATACCCAACGCAACCGGCGAATATCGAACATACGAAGAAGACTTGTAGAGCACGATATATCCATTTGTAATCTCTAACTATGCAAATGCTATTTCCCAAACCCAAACCCAAAGAAACTTCTAATAACAACCTATGGCGAAGACAAATATGCAGTTCTAACAGATATACTCCAAACAACACTCAACAATGCATGCATGCAAAACCCTCATGTCTCCCTCCCCTCCTCACTCACTCACTCCCCTCGCTCTACGCCTGCCGATCGCGATTCACCGGCTGCGGCCCCGTCGCTTGATCCTTGCCATCTGTCGCCCTCAGAGGCCTGTTAATTGGCTTGTTCGTCGGACGAGACGATATACCCAAGCTATACTCCTCCTTCTTCCTCGGCGGCATGACCGTCCTCGGAGGTGGTCTGACAACAGCCGGTGGGGCCTGAGGAGCTGCCGCGCCCTCGGCGACGACGTTGGCGGTCTTCGTGTCTGGAGCGGGAGCTTCGGACATGCTCATATCGAGGACGTCCCCAACGGCGGTAGCCAGAGCGGGAGCGGGAGCCTTAGCGACGGGGGCAGGTAGCTGATCCGTACCCATCTTCCTCCTCTTAGCCGCTGGACCCTCCTCCCCGTCCTCAACCTTATGCTTCTCGGTTCCCGTGGTGAGATCCTTCGCGCTATCCCTACCAACATTCTCCATAGGCAAAATAGGATACGCATGTCCCTCCATCTTAACCACCGGCTCCGCCTTGACCACGGAAGTCTCCACCACCGGCTTCGCTCCAGTCCTCGTAGGCTGCCTTAACATCTCCGGTGTAAAATCCGTCAACAACCCACGCTCCTTGACATCCTGAATCAACATCCTCCAATGTTTGCTGTTGCTAGATCCGAGGTGGTCGCTGTTACCCAGAATAAAGATACTCGCCTTCGCACGCGTGAGCGCGACGTTCATACGACGGACATCAGCCAAGAAACCAATGGACTTTTCACCGCTCCCGGCACGGACACAGGATAGGATAATGATTTCCTTTTCTTGACCTTGGAAACCGTCAATGGTGTTGAAATCGACGATCGTGGTGATGGTCTGTCCATACTTCTTCTTGAATTCATCCTTCAGAGCGAGCATCTGTCCACGATAAGGCGTAACGATACCGATCTTTCCATCAAAATCGATCTCGGAAAATTCGTTCCCGATCTTCTCGTACAAATCCATAGCTGCTTGAACTTCCATCTTGTTCATCACTGAGTGTGCACGACCGAACTGTTCACGCCCCTTGACATTAAGGAACCTGTAGGGCGTGTACAACGTACTTGCATGCCAAGGACGAGCGGTCTGTTTATCCACGCTCGGACCGTCGATAAGCTGAGAGTCGTAGAAAGTCTTCGACGGAAATCGACTGATTTCCGAGTGCATACGGTACTGAATGGACAAAAGATGCACAGACTCAGGCGCACGCTGATACATACGCACGAACAAAGACTGATCATACCCGTAACTCGATGCCTTCTGCGACAAAACCGTAGGAGGTAACTGGTTCGGATCTCCGACGAGGATACAACGCTTACATCCGTACTTCAACGGAATTAATGCGTTAACCTCGACGGACTGGGCAGCCTCATCGATGATGACGGTCTCGAAGGTGATAGACAACTGTCCAACCATTTCGTGACCGGAACCAGAAAGGGTACCACAGATGACATCAGCATGAGCGAGGATGTCAGACTCGATCTTGCGACGAGCAATATCCTTTGCACGGTTGTTCGCCCTCTGCTTATCACGACTCTCGTCAAGTGCTTGACCAAGGTTGTTCTTGCGGGTGGTAAGAGCCTTCAACCTAGACTCAAGATCGGAAGTGAGTTGTCCATGCTCACGAGCCTGCTCGATCTGAACACGGATCTCGTCACGCTCCTTCACAACCCGGTTCATTTCATCGCGCAACTTGGTAGCATCCTTGACAGGTCCGCCACTCTTGTTGATTTCGGCGGCAATGTATGCCTCGAGCTGGTCATCAACGAGAGCCTCGAGCGTAACATCTCTAACGGCAGCGTTGATCGCATCACTCATACCAAGACGAACAATGTTAGGCTTGTAAAGCTTTCCTTGACCATCATAGATACCAGCCTTGAGACGTAAGACGATTTCATCGACGGCAGCGTTGGAAGGAGCACAAATCATGATCTTCGGTGGCGGCGGAGGAGCACCCTGAACCTGACCAGGAAGAGCAATGCGCTGACCTTTAGCACGACCTTCCGCCATGAAAGCAGCGACGATACCCAGAATGGTCTTTGTTTTACCAGTACCAGGAGGACCCTGAATCAGACTGAAACCCTGAGATCTGATGGCGCCAAGGACGGCAGCAGCTTGAGGCTGGTTGAGATTGTAAGTCTTCATGGCACGCGTAATCTGCTCAGGAGTAGGCCTGGGTGACTGTCGAATACGAGCCTTGATGATATCGTCGACGAGGTCGTAGTACTGAAGACCACTGAGCGCAGCATACTCACGGTGAAGAGGCGTCAAATTCCATAGCTTCGTTGCGTACAACTCCATCTTGGGACGGATGTAAGACAGCATGTCCGGCGGCGGGATACAGCGCAAGCAAACTTCGACCACATCCTTCTTCCTCGTAGTACTCTGGACCTTGGCGAGACAAGCCAAGTTTTCCTTGTCCTTCTTGAAGGGTTGAGGCATCTGAGAAATGGCCATGACGTCCGTGTCTGAGAGATGAGTATCCTTGAAGGCATCGTGCGAGACAGTGACGAAGATGTCGATAAAGTCATCGACCGAAGCACGGTTGTGAATCAAGAACTTGAAAGGCTGATCCAACTTCTCTTCCTTGCATCTAACAATCTGTTGCCATGCCTCAAGCAAGAAAAGTGGCAGGAATGTGGCACTATACCTGTCAGCCGTCGCAAAAGTGGATGCAACCTTCTGGTAATTTTGTCGGTCGGCGTCGGGAGGCATATCACCAGCATGCTGAGGATCCCACTTCAACATTGCCCGGTGAAGTGGCGACAAATCAGGCGAAAGACGTGCTCGGAGATTCCTCTCAGCATTCAAGCGTTGCCGTCTCATATCATCAACATTAGGCCTATTCGCCATGGGCATATTGATCATCTGAATCGGCCTCCTCTCAATCGGCTTCCTAACCACCGGAGCAGGCTTACTCTCCTGAGCAAGTGCAAAAAGACCATTGTCCTTCACTCCTTCCTCATCACTCTCGTCGTCAGAATTTCCAGGTGTTTCGTTTTTCTTTACGACGGGCTTGCGTATCTGCGGGTGAGGAATGGGCCGTTTGGCGCTCGCTGCCATTTCTTGCCGCAGGCGGGTAATTGCATCGCTCGCCTGCGGCTTTGCTGTCGGTTTGACGCCGAGTGCTTTTCTCGGATCGACGGGCCGGCCCGCAACGGGTCGGACCCGGACATCGTCATCAGTGATGCTGATCGGTGCAGCAGAGGAACTTCCAGCGTTAGCCTGCCATTTGCTGAAGTCAATCTTGGACGAAGTAGTAGAGCCTGGCACATTTGACTTTGGCGGTGCTGCTACAGGAACCTCAGGCTCCGGATAATGCTCGCTGAGAGCGATGCGCAAGTCCTGCACCTGCTCCTCCGAGAGGTTGTTGTTCTTCCCCTTCTTCGCAGCACTCCTAATGACCTTATCGATCAACTTATGGACGCCTTGATCCATAATAATCGAGTACTGCGCCATCTTGCCCAGAATCCTGCAAAGCACACTGACCGCATTACGCAGCAGATACTCATCGTTAAGACGAAGCCAGTTCGCAATGGCTTTGAGCGGAACAGCCATATCCTCCGGCAACGTCACACACGTCTTCCCACGCGACGCCTCCGTCGTCGGCATATCCGCAAGATGACAAAGCACCTCGTCTATCGCCGTGTACCCATCCAGCAAATTCGTCGTCAAATCGAGCATATCACGCATGAGATCAACCATCACATCACGATCAATCTTCTCCGCCCACGCTACACAATTCAAAAACAACACATCCAACGCCTTCCACATCGCCTGCCAAAGGTGATACAGCGCCCGCAAATTCCCCTGCGAACGCACCACAGAATCCTTATCCGTCGTCAACACCCCAGACCCCGGAGACGTAAGCACCTCCACAATCGTTGCCAACGTCGACACAGCCCGCGTCGCAGCCTGAAACGGCTTGTAATGACAGAATTGCTCGAAGGCATTGGTGAACCCCTCACACGTACCCTCAAAGAACGTCGTGAACATCCCCTGGATAGCCTCCGCACGACTAGCTGCGTCGTTCGCCTGCTTGACGATATCAATCGCTTCCTGCTGAAACGACTGATTCACAGAAACCGTAAGCTGCAACAACGCATGCACAGCCTCCGGATGCGCCAACACCTCTTTCAGACGATGTGATTCGAGTCCACTCAACTTCTCCAGAATCTGCTGCATAATCTCCTGAAACGAATTCCTAATCCTCCTGAACATATCCTCCTTCTCGCTCGCCTTCCCAGCCCCTCCCGCTGGTTTAGCGAGGTCCTCCATAAACGCAATCGAAGCCGTAGCTTTGAGTACGATCGCACACATCTCCGGCGAATCAGCCGAGATAACACTTAAGAGTGGTTCCCAAAATGACTCCATCCCACGCTCGAAACCATACAACACACTCGGTGCCGAATTCCCCTCCGTAACGCCTTTGTATTCATGTTTGAGTCGCTTACAATCCATCTCGGCGCACAACTCGATGATCTTGCACGCATCCCCATGGATGGTGACCCACCGCTCATTCGTGAGGTAAAGTTTAGAGAATGCTTCCTCGATGATAACCGCAGCATTCGCATCACCGATTTGTCGAATCTCCTGCTGCATAATACTATGCACCTCACTCTCAATATGATACATCTCGCTTGCCTCAGCCATAACTGTCCTCATCACGCTCAGCCCCTCCTCCAAACATTTCGCTCTAGCATTCACCGGCAAATTCGGGGTCTTTGGCAAGCTTCCAAGCACGACAGGCATGATACGGTCGCAGAATAATCGCTTGTTCGACGCTTTCGCGTTCGTGATGAGGTAGGGGATCCAAGCGAGTGGATCAGTCCACCCCAATAGCTCCTTGTCTCTCTGCTCCTTCTCTTTCTGCTTCTGGTGGTAGATCCAATCCAGATCTTGTGGACCGTCGATGTTCATCAACCAATCCAACAATGCTGAGCTATTGAGGATCAACTCGATACAAGTACCTTGTTGTGGAGGGTGGACACGGAGCCAGAAATCCGTACCGAGATTTTTGACGAGGGCTGTGAAGCATCGGATTACGGCGACTAGGTGTGGGCCGTCTTGTGGGAGTCTCGAACAGGTGAAGTTGATGATATCCCATCTCTCGCCCAAAATAGAGTCAATGACAGTGCTTTTGTCGAAGAGGTTGATAAGAACCGCAGTTCCGTTCCAGAAAACGAGATTCCCGTCGAGTCCTGGGTCGGGAGGTCCATCCATGAAGCGCTGTAGAGCCCGGAAGAACGAGCCTTTAGCGATCTTGTTGAATGTATCGGGCTTGATCGGCGTGTCTTTTCCAGTCTGGATAGAATCCGCGAGATAAGTCAAGGACTTGATCGCCCACCTCCGTAAATGCGGATGCCTCTCATACAACAACTCCACCATCCCCCCCAAAAGCCCATCCTTGAACCGCAAAAACGGTTTAACAGCAATAAAACACTCCACGAACGGCTCATAAAGTTCTTGTGAGATCAAGTACTGTGGAACACAGAGACACTCGTAAATCGCGCACTGCCACGGTCCTTGATCACCCCTCTGTTCCGCCGAGGTCAGCGGTGGTAGCCGTCGTGCTTCGTTGTATAGGTGATTCCGTAGTCGATTCTTATCCCAGTTAATGACGGACTCCATCGTGGCTTCGATGCCATCTTGCTCAAAACTGCACACGAGCAACAATTAGCAAAAGTCTAAAGGGCAAAGTGAATGCTACGGTGAAGATCTACCCTGCGAGCACTAATGATTTTCTAAATGCCTCTTTCGTCTCGACGTATTCGGGCACACAGTTATGGCAATTCCTGACACTATCCGCCACTCTCGTCAAGAATGCGTTATCACCGGCCGCACCTAGTCGCTTCGGGCTGGAAAAGACGTAAAGGCAATTGGTCATCACTTTTCGAAGTCTCCTCTCGCAAAACAAGTGAACACTGGCAGGCAGGGCCGTGATATAGGCACAGCACCGGTCAATCGTGGCGTCCGCCTGCGGATCGGCAGCATGTTCGTCGATGTAACGCTCCAGATCTTTCAGCTCTTGGGAGACCTGAAAGGCACCTTCACTGTTTGCCATTTTGGAGCAAGCTCTGATGGTGTGGAGTGAATGCTCAGTGCTCAGTGCTCAGTGCTCAGTGCTCAGTGCTCAGTGCTCAGTGCTCAGTGCTCACACGTACAAAGTCAAATACGTATTTACGTGCAATGGGACCTGCGTGGTGGTGGTTCACCGGGCAACCGACATCAAGGGAAATGGCCAGAGCTTATGCTAGCCTGGGATAATAATCATGGAAGACTTGTTTGTACTAAGCAACCTGTGTTGGTTCAGAAAAAGTCACTCGAGCTATAGCTATGACGCGTTCTCCATATCGATACCACCCACAACGTAATGCACAATAAGCAACCTGATGAAACTCCATGTCCACCCCAGTAAGCGATGAAATTCCAAAGTAAATCCACGATATATCCAGCAACATTCCCATCCCCCCATCTTACTGTCCTCCAGAAGCAAACGCACCACCCTGCTGAGGCATCCCAGGCACCCCCTGCCCGTTGGTCATCAACAATTTCAACGCCTGCTCCAAGATCCAATTCCTCTCCTCAAGCGCCTTCATCCTTGACTCCATATTATCGCCCTGCGGTTGACCGAGCGCACTCGCTATAGCGGCTGCTCCGGCTGGGAGAGAGAGTGCGGTTGCAGTAGGCGGCGGGGCAGCAGCGGTAGGCGGAGGGAGGAGGCCTGCTGTCGCTGGAGGTGCGAGCGTCGCGGGCGAGGAAGGAGCTGCTGCGGTGTTGGTAGGTGCGATTGGCGACATCGCCGGAGTAGGCAGGTTATGTTTCGGTGTAGACGGCACAGGCAACTTCGGTAACGGCGGCACTGGCGTCGTGCTCCTCGGCGGCATCCCCGCATCCTTCACAACCTTCGGACTCACCTCCCTGGCCACCACCTCCGCCTTCTCCTTCTCAGCAGCTGCAGCTGCAGCCGGAGCCGGAGCAACAACGGCCTCAGGTGACGACGGCGGCTCAGGCATACTATTCAACAACTCCGCCGCACTCAAACCCGGCATAAGACACACCTCGCCCCCAAACGCCTTCCCATCCCACTCCGTCTCCTCAATCATAACGACCGCGCTCCTAATCTCCTTCTCCTTGGTCTCGTCTGTGGTGTCGTCGTCGCCTTCTTCGCCGCTGGTTGGGTTAACGACCATATCCGAATCGTCACCCTCATCTTCGGCGGGAGCAGCTTTCTTGCTCTTGGGGGAGTTTTTCTTCGCAGTCAACCCCTCCACGTCGTCAGACAACAACCTCAACGCCTCCTCTAACTTCCTATCCTCATCTGCGTTCGTCTTGCCCCTCTTTGAACCCGAACTCTTGTCGCGCACCGACCCAGATTGCTGTTTATACTTCGGCAGACCCCTCTTCTCAAACGCCTCATGCGTAATCAACGTAACCTTCGGCGGCGCACGCTTAGGCGGAGGCGGGTGGACAGGCGTGGAAGGCGATAACTCCGCTTTGGAGGGACGACGCATCCTCGACCCAGGCGTCTGCGGGTGCGGCGGTGTCTTCAACGAATTCAAATTCGATACCTGAGCACTCTTCACAGCCGCACCGGTATCATTTGGCGGCCTCGGCGGCACGAACGGCATAGGAGGCTGCGACAAAACCGGAGCAGGGGCTTTCGGCGCAACCCTAGCCGGCGACGTCGGCGCATGCCCAGCAGTTCTCCCCATCACACGCCCAACCGAAGACCCCATCTGGCTATGTCCACTCATCCCCGATACAGACGACAAAGCAGGCGACAACACGGGACTCCCCTCAGACGCATCCCTCCTCGGCTTCTGCATCTGTCCATGCCCGCCAATAACCAAACCGCGTGCACCCGTCTTCCCAGAACCCATGGCCACCTCTTGTGCGTGGGTGGAGAGGGGCGGCGTGGGAAGTGGAGCCGCTCTCTGGACCTGGACTTGACGGGCAGAGATGATGGAGGGTGCTAGGTCTGAGCGACGGGTGGAGACACTCTCCATACTCTGCTGTGCCCTCAGATGCGGGGAGGCGCGGATACTCACGGGTGCGATTCCGAAGACGATGGGGGAGGAGTCGTCGGACATCACGCTCCCATGCACACTTCCCGCCTTACTCGACACCGAGCCGTGCCCATGTCCGACATCAGGTTGACTCAGGACGATATGCGAGAAAATCCCAGGGTCGAGACCCTCGTCCTGCGCCTCATTCGCATTGGACGTGAATGTTTCGACAGCATCAATGAGATCATTCTCATCCGCACACCCCGTAACGAAAACCTCCTCCTCCTCCTCCGGCGTATACAGATCATCAATCAAATTCCTCTGTAACCTCTCCTCCCTCGCATCCCTCGAGCGCTGCGTCGACGTCGTCATGCCCGAATGAAAACTCTCGCGTCGCCTCGGTCCACTCCTCACCGAAAAGGCCGAACTTCCCACTTGCCCGTGTTGGTGCTGGTGGCCATGACCATAGATGGAGGTACCGACACCGGAGAGAGAAGGTACCATACTCCCGACATACTCCTCAACATCCAACTGAACACTCCTACTCTCCCCTCCATCCTCATTCCCATGCGCAAAAGTCTCCTCTTCCTCCCCAAACGCTCCACACTCACTATGCCCATGCTCATCCAACAACGCATCCCTCGTTGCAAGAGATGCCTCATACCCTCTCGCATCCCTAGACCCATAGTACGACTCCGAACCCAAGATAGAGTCGACATCGCTTTGACGACTAGGTCCACGCGCATACCCTCCTCCGCCGCCGTGACCATAGCTACCCTGAACCTGATGCCTCAAACTCATACTCGGCATCGTCGGCGAATCACACCCCCTCTCACCCCCGCCATGCCCACCGCCATACCCCGTATTAATCGCAATATACCTATTCCCAACCCTGGTCTTCTGCTCCCTCAGCGCTCCCGGGCTGACCGCCGAATAGCCTCCCTGCTGAATGCTATACCCAGTACTCGGCGGACTCGGCTCTACCTCCGCATCTGGTCCGAAATTGGAGCCGTTGGTTGCGCGGCGGAAGGCCTTTAGGGGGTTGAGGCTGCCCATTGTACCGCCGCGGCGGGAGGTGGAGGCGGTGGTTGTCACGGTTCCGTTGGAGTGGGCTGAGGCTGTTGTCATTGGACGCATGTCGGAGGGGGTGGGGGTGGAGGTGTATTGGATGTGTTGGTGTTTGGGGGCTGTACGTCATCGTCTTAGTTCTGCTCCAGGTTCGAACTTAAAAAGGTGAAGAGGTACCCATGGCCATACGAGATGGCATTCCCATGCTCTGCTGCAATTGCTGTTGCTGAGCGTGATTTCGCGGGTGGGAGAGGGCGTAAATGTTGACATTCCCAGCACCGATGAATTGTTGCGGACTCAAGGAGCCTTGTGACCTTCCGCTACCATTAACGTAATCCGAATACTCCGAGCCGCCTCGTTGCGGACTCGGAACGGGCGGTGGTTGTCCGTAACCTCGTTGGTACATCTCCTTCCGAGACAATCGAACTGCCAGTAGTCGAGCTGAACTGCAACGTCAATAGTCGTCCGTGTCAATGGTCAAGACGTGGTACCGATGCCGAGAGAAGGAAGGGAAAGACCCAATCGAGAGTTCCGTTAGGACAATGAAAAAGGAGCTCGCAAGGCTAAATTGCCTCCGGCTCGTACTGCCATCTCTGTCCCGACTGCTGTCAGACGTCCTGTGCTCAGGGTGGGGCCCGAGAGTTTCAAACCTTAATCTCGAAACACGCACCCTCGCCCATGTCAACCCCCCCAATTGCAATAGCAACAGCAAAATGAAACAGTGCATTCTCACGTCAATTGAGCAAGATTTGGCATCCAACTACACCTCCTTCAAAGTTTGTTAGATAAGAGGAGGAGGGCATCTTATCAGATCCTCGATCCCGACTGCACCTCTGCCAAACTGCGTTCCTTCGCGATCGAAAACACCGCACGTACGATAACTGCATGTCTCGGGAAGCGGCAACTTGCACTTCCCGTCAAACGTTAATTAAAATGAACGTGTGAAGTAAGTAATAGTACGGAGTCAATCTCGCGTGGGAAGTATACTGATGACTTAATATGTTTGCAGAGTCTACGGAGAAAGGGTATCAGCTGTTCATGTTGTCCATTGCTATACTCGATGATGTCCGCGGATCCAACTTCCATGACGACAAACTGCAAACTCCAAACGCCTCGATGATTTCATTTCCCATCATCTTCGCTTCGCTTTTTCCTTTGCTGATAACCCATATAGTGGGATGCACCTCATCTTGTATACTCATACTCTCCTCCTCTTGTACTCAATCGCAATCGCCATGACGCTCGCTTTTCCAAATGCACTCTCAAAAACATCACACCGTATTCTTTTCACGTCCACTCCTCAACATCCTTCTTCTTCGGACTCCTCACCCCCGGTCCCGGATCCGGACTCAACAACGCCAACATCCCAATATCCGCCGCAGTCCTCTGTACCGGCTGCAACTGTGGTAGTCTCAACCCTGGGCCGGCGTCTCCTCCACTCACACCCCCCGTGGGACTCACGCTCCGTTCAGCACCAGCTGTACCACTACCAGCAGTCATCGGCCTCGAAGGACTCGGCGCAGCAGACCCGACCCTTTCACCTACGAGAGATGGGGATGATTGCATCGGCCGCAAAGTCGGACTCAGACTCCGTTCCGCGCCTACGAGAGCGGGAAGCACAGCAGGCGTAACCGGACTCCTATCCGCCGTGGACGTGGCACTCATCGCAGTCGCACTCCTAGGTCCCTGTACCTCCCCATCCCCTCTCGAGCCCGGACTTAAATTCGAACCTGAGCCCGATGTTGGGCCAGGAGGCATTGGGGCTGCGAACTCGGTGCGGATGCTGGGAAGGACGGGAAGGACTCGACTCGGTTGCCTCGATTCCACGCTCGATATTCTAGGAGGAGAAGTAGTTGGGGGAGGAAGAGATGGTGGAGGAGCGGGAGGCTGTACAGGAGTTTGATACCTCTCCCGTTCCGCTGCACGACTCAACAACGCCAATGGTCCCTCCCCCTCTCTCCTTGCCGATGCAGGTGGTGCTGTCGCCGGAGGTGGTAAAGGATGTTGTGGCTGCGAAGCATAAGCTCGCGGATCCGGACTCGCCGAGCCCTGATGCGTGGGATGACCACCGTACGATGGCTGTCGCCACTGATATTCTGGAGGGTAAAGCCCCTGTCCTGGTCCTCCATTACCTTGCGCCTGCTGTCTTTCAGGTCCTTGCCCGGCAGCATAACTATACTCCCCAGCCCCACCGTACGACCCATGTCCCGCATATCCACCTCCTCTCGGACTTTCCACACGTCTTGGCGGACTACTTGGATAGCTCCTCCGTGGATACGGTGCACCAGCCGGCGTCGTCCGTTCAGGCCATGACGAGGCGTATTCATGTGATCGTTGTATTTTGTGTTGAGCATACACGGGGAGTGGGATGGGTGTTTCGGTAGGGGGTGGTTGAGATGGGGGTGCGGGTTGGGGTTGTGACCACCCGGAGGAAGCGGATCCTCGATGGCGTGGAGGAGGACCAGGTGCGGTAGACGGTGACTGGGGGTATTCATTGTCATAATACCCCCGCTGCGGCGTGACATTCTCAGGCCCCGGCCCAGATCCAGGATACACACTCGACATACTCCTCGAATGCGGTAAATGGCCCTGCTGCGGCATCTGCGGCGGCGGGGGATACCCACCCTGCTGATGGGGGTGTGGATGCTGGTATGACGGGGGTGTATGCTGCGCGATATGGATATCCGCGACGTTTGCGGCAACGGGAGTGAACACGCATTCTTGGTCTAGGCGAATACAGTTTTGGCAGCGGCCGTCGGCGGAGGTCAAGAAGCCTGAACAGCGGATCTGATAAAAATAAATTAGCATTTACTCCGGGCAAGTGGGAGATTGGGGAGCATATACACACCTTTCGTCGCCGACAATACCGACACGCAACAGCCGTCCTCTGCCTCGGCGCAGCACGCTGTGTGAGTGACTGCGTATGTGCCGTCTGAACCATCCCACCCGGAATTTGCTGCGCAGGGAGTGGCGGCGGAGGCGGATACCGGTGTTCGAGCGGGTTCTGTGGGTTGTAGGGTGGTCGTGCTTCGTGGGGCGGCGCATGTTGTTGCTGCTGTTGCCATTGCCGTTGTTCGTCCAGTGAATGTGGGACTCCGTGGAAGGGGTTAATAGGCGGGAGTGGATACCCAGCCGGGACAGCTACAGGCGCCAGCGCACCCTCACTCCTTCGTCGAGGACCGTGGACGGGCGTCATTGCTTGTGCAGGATGTGGGGGTACTGACGGAGGCGGCGGTTGCGACGGATGCTGGTGCGCAGTCGCGGGTGATGAATACGACGGCGGTGGTTGTTGTCGTTGTGAATACGGAGCCTGTAATTGCTGCTGCCTTCTCCGTTCCTCTTCCTCGGCCTCGATTGAGGGATAGTTATTGTATGAAGGCCCTCCGCCTTCCATGTAAGTCGTGGACGGGTAACTTTTCGTTTCGCTCGTGGGAGTCGCTTCGATCGACGGGCGAGGCGCAAAATCTGATAAAAGGTCGAAAAAGGGCCGAGCCGCTCGCTTATAGCATGTGTGATCCTGCGTGCGGGAGCGTCGAACGTTTTTGTCGAGAGACCGTCGTGGACACCGCGACGAGGATGACGGGGGCGGGACACTGTTGGTGGAGAACGGACGGCGGCGGAGGACGGCGAGAAAGTCAACAAGACGATAGACGATCTTCAAGGACAGCGCTCAGCACTTTGAGTTCGGGTCGCGCGTGCTCGTGGCGGGCCGTCGGTTAACAAGGGCTGAAACAGGCGGGAGTCTCTCTCGTCAATTGTAAAAGAGAAGGTACTGCAGATGTAACACACGGCGAGCTCACTCACGGAGATTAAAGTCGACGCATGTGCTCTCGATTGCTGGGCGAACGAACGTCTGTTGCAACCCGCGTATATCAACACCCGGGCAAAAGAATGGGCAGGCGTCCAGGGTCACGGCGCGACCGGGGAGCGGCCAAAGCTCGGTTCGCGACCTAGACCTGCAAGCTTGGAGCCCTGGATGGAAAGCCTAGACCGGAAGCTAGTTGGAAATGCACGCCATGAAAACGTCAACGACGAAAGAGGCTTTCTCTGCTGTTTACGCGTTGTTCTCGAACGCTTACGCTCTTTGCTTATACAGTCGAAATTACATTGGAACCTTGGACCTTTGACGGAAACGTCACAGCTGCTGAAACCTAAGCGCCGCGCTCGACAACTCGGTTAAGCGGTGGGGGCACGGTCATGGCTATGGGGCACGGTCATGGGTTCGATGTCGTGCGTGCTCTCGAGACGATACGTGACATGCCAAGGCTTTTATAGTGGAAAGATTGCCTGACGTCTATATGCAAATGCAATTCAGGCGAGCCAACAGACGGCCCGTCCCGTCCCGTCCTTTAAGGTTCGCACGTCTCCCCCGAAGTCCGACAGGTGATGTCCGGGCTGACTCACGCCATCAATTTTGCAACCTCGATCATTGTCCGACCGGCTCCTCTCCATCATACCTCTTGCCAAGCACAATTGATTGCAAGCTGCCAGCTCACGTACAAGTGCCCAGCAGCTGGGGTAACTTTTTTGCTGGGAGTTCGGTTAGCCCGCAGATTCGGTGCGGCGCGGTGCTATTAACGAAACCGGCAAAACATCCGAAGCGGTGGCGCAGGCCGAAGCTCAAGGTACATACATATCACCACGGCGAACAGCTAGCCGTGGCTGGTGAAGTAGGCTCCTTCGGGAAGCGCATCCATGGCCACGTGGACAGAAGATTAGTCCGCACCTCATGGAATATTCCGAATGGCGGCACTTGAGATGTTCAGTAGACCCTTCCTAAGATCCTCCTCCGTCATCTGCGCTTCTCACGCCCCACAACAAACCCTAACCCTCTACGCTTAGGACGCGGCTTACGTACCCAAACGTAATCAATCCAGATCTAGGCCTACACACTTCCATCGCAATCAAAACAGCAAGAAAATTTTCTTTTTCCTGTCGATGCGTTGGGCCGCGGAAGCCACCCGAGTGCGCGTTAGCGGTCGATCAGTGCAGATCATGACACGCAGCGCGTTCCCTTTGCCCGTATCCCGCCTAAACTGCTGGCCCTTATCAGCCCCTGTAGCCCCTGACGACCGGAGGAAATGAACGTATCGCCCTTGATCTCATGCCAGCTTAGAGTTTCCCCGCGCCCTTCGCATTAGCGTTTGTGTATCTAAGCCCTGGCTAGCTCGATTCATAGTGGTCGTGTGAGATTTTTACCCTCACGATATGCAACGTCAATTGACAATTGAATGCTTCGCGGGAGGTCCAGGGTCCTGCGGCCGATAACCATGATCAACGTTTCCGCACGGGATCGCCGCTCGACGACGGCGGCTGGACCGTCCCGTTGTCAGATCCCAGATCCGGGAGACATGGGACGATCAATTCACCTCAACGAATATGTACCACGCCAAACAACAATGCGACACCGCTTCTATGGACTGTGTGGCTTCCAGAGTTATGGAATATTTACCCTGGGTTCGAGGGATGTATGAAGCTGCGGTCCTCATTAGATATGGAGGTCTATATTGCATGACCTCGTTCCAGCGCACGACACTTCCATTCCCACTCCTCACGATTGTTTATTTGTTTGCTCGAGCGCGATCGTCCCATCAGCAGTAACTTTGCGCTAGTACCTGAACGAACGCAAACCGTGAGTGACGGTAAAAGCCGTGAGTGACGGTCAGTGTCAAGCGCCTAATCACAGAACGCCTTCTCAGGGCACGGGATGGATACCTTCCGACGGGCCGGGGGGGCGATCATTTGGCAATTGGCCCTGGTGTTTGAGAGTGGCCGCGGTGAGATTCGAAGTGCGACTGGGCGGGAACGTGACGGCTGGCAGCTGACAACGGGACAACGCTCTCCTATCCCGTTCATCTTGGCACGCCCCTATAGCTACACCTCCAATTAACAATTCTTGTCCTCAGCTAGGTCCTCTTCTTCGGCCGCCGGAACGAGTTTAAGGGTGTGTACCGTCTGGCGTAAAAACGAGGCGCAGTCCTCTCAGAGCCACAAATTCATGCATCGAACGAAGGCGAAATTTGGCGAGCTAGTACTCTACATACACGCGCGTGCGCACAGCTTAAGCTTGCTTCTTTGACCTGGGAACGTCGTGATTGTGGTGGGCAGTCGTTCTAGACTTTTGGTGGGGGATGAGCTGGCGGGTGCTGGTTCGTTCGTTTGTTCATCGGGGTGTACGCAAGTATTATTGGGTGGGGGAGATTGGGCGTGGGGGAGAGGGTTAAGGGTTTGCTATCGATCTAAGCTTAGATGTGAACGCGGGTAGATGATCTTGGCGAGAAACAGACGGGGCGGGCCGTCGATTTGTCAGATCGGAGCGGAGATAAACTCTTGGCAGCTCCACTAACTAAACCTCTCCCCCATGACCTGGGCCGTGGTCATCGGCGATCGTAAACGTAGCTGTGTGTACATAGCCAAGTGCACTTTCTTTTGTCCGTTTCGTTTAGTTGACGATCTGGATTGTGAGTAAAGATCGACGTGAACCCAAGTTCGTTGGTCTCTTCGTCATTCCTCTTGTCACCGGGGCTATGTTGTTAACGTTGCGGAGCTCGAGCTCTGCTGGCGCACTAGTGGCCTATCGATGAGAGAGCGTAGGAGTCAAGGTTGTTCGGCGGCGGTTGCGCTTGCTCAGAAGTTCGGTCCACGTGTGAGCATGTTTTGTGAGGAGGGGTGACTGGGTCGTGACGTGCTTTGTCGCGGCTTTGGGGCGATAAGGTTGAGGAAGATTTGGCTCCCGTTCTGGCGTGATTTCGACATGTGTGATTGGGGCTGTGTAGATGTGAAGCATCCCTAACTCCTTACGTTGCTCGTGACTAGGGTTTGGTCCCGTTCACCATCCAAATTGGTATCAGTCGCGGCCTCCAAAAGATTTTCCCACGGACTTTCATAGACGTCTCTCCAGACCACCCGGTGACAAAAGAAGTCTGAAGGGTCAATTGAAAACATAGCGGATAGGAGTATCTAAGATGGTACTCCTGGAGTAACGGAGGGCGGGAAAGCGGCTATCCGCATGTCCGTGCGCAAGCTGCACACGGTGGCGAAGAGGTCGGCCTCCAGCTTCAGCACCACAACAACCGAGAAATAGAGACGACGAGATCAGACATGCCCTGCTGAGTTCAAGCAAGAATATGGTATGTCGAGCGTACGATCGCCATGAAACGTTAGGTTTGGTGGGTCGAAAATGAATGCGCTGCACGATAGACGACGGGTCGAAGGTGCGCGAAATGGACACAAAGCGCTGTCGCTGACTGCTGATTGCTACTCGTAATGAGATGCTCTCGGTTGAGGTGAGGTTCGCTGTCAAAAGATTCTGTCGTGTCTTATCACTCATGACGTACTACAGACCTTTGAACGTCCATGGACGAAACCTCCCGTCAATGTTCCGACACTTCAATCGCGAAACAAACGGTGCATACGCCAGTATCGATGCCGCATGATGCTCACATCAGTCTATCCCAGTTTGGAACCGTCGCCCATCGCTTTCTTTTCTTGTTCCGTCCGTGATGTCAACATGGTCGTAAACGTCTTGTCAAAAACTTATGACGAGATCAGAAGCCCTCGAGAGCACCTGCTACAGTCCCAGCAACCCTTCGGGACACTGACACTATATTCCTGTCATCTGTCGATCTACAGCCGTTGCGTCCCCTTGACATCCTTTTCAAGCATACGCGGTAGCTATCATGCCCGCACATAGTTATTTATTCGCGGTACCAGAACATGGAGTCCATTCACATGCGTTGCTGTTGTCGTCTGTCAATTCATTGGTGCCGACCAGCCAAGTTATTGGGCTTTTCGCTTTAACAGCCGTAGAGGCTTGCCGTTCGGTGGTGCAGTGCAGCACTCATAGACTGACTATCCGCCCAGGGAAACAGCGAGCGAAAACCACCAGTCATGTCAAGATATAGCTGGTATGCTCAGGTCATCCACGTTTTTCTCAGGTTTGGTGGGCTCCGCTAGTCTGGCAACTTCAGGGTAGGTTCAGGTGACTACGCAATCACGGTTACCATGCTGGTGTCAGCGTCTGCACCTAAGTCGGTTGCCGTGGAAATGTGTACCCTACCTTACTGACATCATGTCGTTCGTACGTTCATCTGTCCTCGACTGACATCTTCCTTGCTCGGTACATGGCTTTCGTACGCATGCCGATTGTCATTATCGGCCGCTTCAGCACCTGCAATGGAACGAGAAGCAGTCTGCGTCAAACACTTCAGTGCACAATATGTTCCCAGTCTCTCCTTGTGCTGTGATTCTGTTTGATCTCACATGCAAATGTTTTAGGCATCTTAAACGCGGAAAGGTCCTGCAAGCAGCTTGTACAGAAGATGAGTCTCACAAAAGATATTGCCTCTTAATGCAAAATAAACCTCATTCAGCTCCTTTGTGTTGGATAAAAACCCCGTTGCTGTTGAGCAGACTCCGGTTTTGCTCATCCTTCCTGGTTTCTCCGCTAGGTACCTCACCGGGTCCGGCCTGAGACGCGAGCTCTGTCGGCAGGACCAGTACATTCCGATTGACCGTGAACAGCCTATACTCAGATCCAAGCTCAGCATACAATGCTCTAACAGGACCTTTCTCATTGTGGGACACAGCTACGGGGGCGTGGGAACACCGCACTTGCAATTGCCGAGCAACTTATCAAATGGGCATATATGGAGTGTATTCAATTTTGACATAACATCCATTTGAATATTATCTCTTCCCTTTTGTGACTCATAACACTACATATCAAGGCAAAACGAAGAAATCCTATCTTACTCCTCCTTCATAAGATCACACCCACGCTACCATACTACCCAACTTAAGCGTTCATGTAGGTAGACTGGTCAATCTCCTCAGGCATCTCCTCAATGTTAACCTCAAACCTCTCCTGAATCTTGTCCATGACCTCAGCATCCTCGCCACTGCTCGCAAAGGTGATCGCAAGACCAGTGGTACCGAAACGACCAGCACGACCGACGCGGTGCAAGTAGGAGTCGGGTGAGTCGGGCATGTCGTAGTTGACGACGATGTTTACACGCTCGATATCGATACCACGACCGAAGATGTCGGTGGCGACGAGGATACGCTTCTCGAAGTCCTTGAACTCCTTGTAGCGCCTAATACGCTCCGGCTGAGGGAGGGATCCGTGGATCTGAACGGAGGGGAAGTTACACTCGTTGAGGAGGCGGTTGAGCTCGTTCGCGCGGTGGACGGACTTTACGAAGATGACAACCTGGTTGAACTCGAGGGAGTCGAGGAGGTCGTTAAGCTTGCGGTTCTTCTCGTTCTCCTGGAGCTTAACGTAGTATTGTTGCAGACCATGAAGGGTAAGCTTGGTCTCATCGTCAACGAAGATCTCGAGAGGCTACAGAACGTGTTAGAAATAAGAATAGGGGAATCGAGGCATTGAAAGACGTACGTTCTGCATGAACTTCTTGCAGATAGGGCGGACCTCCTGGGAGAGAGTGGCGGAGAACATCATAACCTGCTTGCCGTGAGGGCAGGCACGGAAGATCTCCTGAATATCTCTTCTCATGTCTGTAAATATGAGTTAACACCACTGCCATTTGCGGTTTATCGGGCTATTTCTTACCAACAGCATCCAGCATCTTGTCACACTCATCAAGAACGAAGTGCTTGACAGCACCCAATCTTACAACCTTGTCCCTAACGTACGCGTTCAAACGCCCAGGGGTCGCGACGACGATGTGAGGGCACTTCTCCTTGCTTTTGAAGATCTCGGAATCGACCTTGGCGTCGGTTCCACCGAAAACGACGTGGGTGCGGACATTAGGCATGTACTTGGAAAAACGCGCGTACTCATTTCGGATCTGGTAGGCGAGCTCACGGGTGTGGCACATGACAACGACGCCCACGTCACCGTCAACAGGGTCGATCTGCTGAAGAGTGGAAAGGACGAAAACGGCGGTTTTACCCATACCAGACTTCGCCTGGACAAGGACATCGAGACCGAGAATAGCTTGCGGGATCGTGGCTGAAGAAGTTATAAACCCGCCGGTCAGTTGAATGTTCAATGGAATCAGGATAAAACGTGCGCCGCGGCGTCGACGTCGTAGGGATGGAATGGCGAACCTTGCTGAACCTCGGAAGGGTGCTCAAAACCACAGTCGGTGATTGCGCGAAGAAGCTCGGGCTTCAACAAGAAATCTCTGAAACCGGTCGAGTGGATACCAACGTAGGATCCCTTCTTGTCATCCTTCTGATCACCGTTCGCGCCGTCAGCAGGAGCAGCGGCATCGGCGGCCGCGGTCTCCTGGAGCTGAACATCCTCCTCCTCTTCGTAGTCGATAAGATCCTCGTTGTCGTGAGCAGACATTTTGCGAATTGATTGCGTTGTTTAGGTATGTACGTAGAGACGTGATCGCACCGTCGGTCGAGGGTCGAGGTACGCTGCAGAGACGCCTAAGAAGTGATATACAATGTACATAAGTGGCAGGACGGGAATATTCAAGATAATTCTGGGAGAATTCGGGCTCGCTTTTACTTGCGTATCGCCCATCATTGCATGGATGTGTCTACGTTACAGTTCACTTGTCTCGAAAGACGTCAATGTCATCAAAAATCACCTGTGCACGATGTTCGTTCCCAGAACAGTGAAGCGAAAGTTACCCCATGCTGTGCCGGCAGAACTACCTCCAAGGGCTTTACAGCCCATTTCCACAGGCTCAGTAGCTGCGCAGCCCGAGTCTTCTAACCCTGCCGATACCTCCTCGAAACACCCTCCAAGAGCTCCTACTGGCCCTGTGCAACAGCCCAAAAAGGGTCCAAATTACTCCGAAGAAGACCTGGCATGGAAACACATCGTGGCATTAGAGATGCTTTTCGCTCCGTCTTCAAGTGTCCGCTTCGCCGCCAAATCCATCGACGGATCATCCGGCTGGATCCACCTGTCGCACATCATCTCACATCGGTCAATCAGCAACCTACGACCTTCACCATCACAGATAGCATTAGCCACTGCATTGCGAACAATACCATCAGCATTAATCGAGGTTGGTCTGTGGAGTGTCCTGCTGCTTGAATGGATTGGACTGACATGCGCTCATAACAGTTGTCGGCTGACGGATATCATGTACGCCAACGAGAGTTGCCATTCAACCCACTGATTGGGACAGATGACGAGATGACTATCTACGTCGAGCCAGTTCCAGCGAAGCTTACGGACGATGCCCTAGACGTCGCTGTCGCACTACGGAAGGAGATGAGCGCGGAGGATCCGTGTCTGCCGATACAGCGTGTCTTTGGTCTAGGACGAGGATACGCGCTTGTACTGCTATCATCAATCGTGGACGAGAGTACTGTGAAGAATATCAAGATGCCGATGACATGGATGGTTCTGACGAAGTATGTTCTCACGTTCATCACATGCTTCGCGAACGTTGAACTAACTGAGATGACAGAGCCGAACACGATCGTCGTGATGTAGAATATCAACGACTCATTCAATCGGATTACGATGCTCTTCGCCGACGTAGACGCGTATCTCCAGAACCTCGGAGACGAGAAGAAGGACGCCTAACTCCACCAAGAGAGGTCGGACGTCTAACACCACCACCTTTGCCCTCCCTACCACCAAAGTCAAGACCAGCATCAACATCGACACCGACGCCGTACGAGAAGGGCTTAATCTTACACCTCTCACATCTGCATGAGGAGACCAACAAACCTACCATTCAATCATTCCTCGCTCAAGTCGCCAATCGGCAGCAATACTTCGACAAGAACCCTTCTGCCCAACTCGAATATGACGGAGCACCAATCGAAGACGCCACAGATACAAATCTAGTTCACGTCCAATACGTCGACTACACCAAACCCTCAGACACAGCCTACGTCCGTCTCTCTACCCCCGCCGAAGCAATACTCCTCGCTCGAGCACTAACCTTCCAACATCGCGTAATGAGAGCAAAAGACGACTGTAAAGGAACTTCGGTCGGCGAGAATTCGGAAAGGAAGTATGTCGTGGGAAATGTGCTCGAAGGTGAACGGGAACGGATATATTGGGAGATGCTGGAGGATGCGAAGACGAAGGGGAAGAGGAAGAGGAAGGCTGGGGATCAAGACAGGAGTAGGGCGGTTGAGTCTGTGGGTGAGGTGCAGCAGCTGGTTGTGAACAAGGCGAAGGGAACACACATGAAGTTCGACTGACGGCATCTGAGTTAATTGCGATATATGACGGACCGTGGGAAATTCGCCGCACGGGTAGGGGAATGCATGTATCGGGAAAACTGAGAGTGACCGGATACGATAGCGGTTCGTTGGGTAGTTTCAAGTAATTGCAACCTGTATCACTGAGTGGTTAGTTACTCCATACCCATCGTCGACAACGTTACAACTGCAGATAGATCAAGAACAAGATGAACACAAGCAAGTGTTGACGTGAATCAATGCGAACCTTTGTTTATACTTCCAACTATCGTACACCTAGGCATACCCTCCTGCTACTAATCACTTATTCAACTCAGCAGCCCTAGCCTTCAATTCCTCACTGCCCTTTGGCTTCTCCAGCCCCTCACCACTCAACTGTACCGGACCCGGTGCAGCAGCCGTATGCGCCCACTTCTTAGACCCCTCAGGCGAAGACCCCAACACCCCGCTTGGATGGTGCTGAGTAATGGATGGACCACCCTTCTGCTCTTGAGAAATGATGGTGTCGGGACCGGCTGCGGCGTCGTAGTGGAGACCTTTGGCGTCGCCGGCGGAGGAGGTACTGTGTGATTCGGTCAGCCAGTGTATATATGACAGGTGAAGAGCCCGAAACGCACCCTGATCCAGACATGTTCTTGTGGGTATCGATGAGTGAATGGAGTTTGTTGGGCGATGTGTTTTCTTTGTCGATGTTGTTGTTGTTGCTTGCTTGTTATCGATTTCGATTGCGATATGCGTGACGTCACCACGAAAGGACCCTGACAACAAGCATCTCCCAGACTCTCGCGATAATAATTTAAAATGTAGATCCTATTGACTTTTACTCCTTACGCATATTTCCCTGCTATAGCTTCGCCAGATTGCCCTTCACTTGCGCTGGCGTGGCTTCCGAACAGCCAACTCACCAATCCTCATCCTCCTCCTCATCACTATCATGCGCAACCTTCGCCTTCCTAGCCGACAACGCAGCTGCCAACGCCCCCGCCATCCCTCCCGCTCCCGCCGCCGCTGCCCCCACAGGAGGCGCCTTACTCCCTCCTCCTCCTCCCCCCTCAGTCGGTAACCCACTACTAATCTTCTGCTCCGTCGGATCAACCTTCTTGAGGGCGCCGATACCGCCTGCACCACGGATAGAAGCCATGAGGTTCACACGGACTGGGGCTGCGACGGCGGCTGGGACTGGAGCTGCTGGAGCCGCGGGTGCACCGCCGTCCATTCTAGGCGGCGGAGGTGGGGCAGGGGGTGCGGAAGAACCTCCCATTGGGGGTGGAGGGGGCGGTGGTGGAGGAGGTGGTGCACCCCCTCCGCACATAGAAGGCATTGGTGGAGGTGGAGGTGGAATTGGAGCGGAGGGTGCTCCTCCGAATAACGGCGGAGGAGGAGGAGGCGGAGGAGCATTGTACCCTCCCATCGGGGGGGCAGGAACTGCACGTCTCGCGGGCGGCGGCGGCGGAGGACCTCCAGCGTTCCTCGGTGGTGGGGGTGGTGGGGGTCCGCCCGCTCCTCCTCTGCCCGGCAATGCTGGTCCACTGCGTGTTGGTGGTGGGGGTGGGACGGCTGATGGTGCCGACGCAGTCGGTTTCATGAAGGGTGGTGGTACGTTGAATCGTGTCGATGGTCCTTCATCTAGTGGGATCTTCGCCGGGATGGGTGGCGCGTCGTTGACAGGTGCGAGATGGGATGACGCTGGTGCTGGTACGGCACGTCTCGAAGGCGGTGGCGGAGGTGCTTTTCGACTTTGTGGTGGAGCCGGCGGTGTACTCCTTCCTCCTGCAGCAGGCGGAGCAGACGGCGGCGGCGGTGGTGGAGCCCTAATCCTGTTCGTCGTGAAAGTCGGCGGTGCACTCGGCGGCGGTGGTGGTGGTGCAGCTGATGCCTCCGCTGCATTCCCAGCCGCGATGACAGCATCCACACCTCCCGCCTGCGCAACGAAATCTGCCACGAAGTCCTTGTTCTCCTCAATGATATCCCGACTGATTCCTTGCTTCGCCATAGCATCCACCAAAGCCTGCCAACTTGGGTCAATTCCCGTAGCCTGGAATCCTTGATCTGGCGTCCATCCGATATGCGACATATGCTTAAATTCCGCCGGTGCGCCGATCATGCTCTTGTCTACCTTCATACTCTTCCTCTTATTCGCCTTACTCGGACTGCTGGAGGGCGATGATGAGGATGGAAGGAGAGAGAGACGGTTAGATGTCGATTCGGCGGATTTCTCGCGTTCGTTAACTTTGCGGAAGAAGACCGCTGCGTCTGAGTCGGAGGTGAAGGAGAGTCCGGCCATGAAGCGTTCGAGTTCGAAGGAGTGGAAGAAAGTACGGTCTTGGAAGTATTGAAAGCCGTCGTAGAGTTCTTGGTCCCAGACTACACCGCGGTTTCCCTGTACGGCCTGTTAGTACACGTACTTGGATTGTAGAATCAGGAGTGAATGCAGACGTACATTCGAGATATCGACCATCTTCAAGAAGAACACCTTCCCTACTTTGTCATACGCCAACACAACCGCTCCGGTCTTCCCCGTATACGTCCACGCATTCGGATTAGGATGCGAAACATACAATCGAGCAACAGCGGCGGAGACAATCTTATTCGTCGACGACGGGATAGACCGCTTGATCCTCTCCCTGTCCTGGGGCGTCATGGATGACGTGGACGGCATTGCTGCAGTAAATTGATGATATGCGAAGAGTGTATGCTGTTACTGTGAATTGAGGACTTGTGAAGTAGGGTGTAGTGTTCTGTCTGAGCGTACTCGTAAGGTTGCTTCGGTATCGGTGCGCAGCGACGATGATGACAGCTGGCTGCCGGCATCAGGGACGGTAACCTCGGCATTGACGTGGCAGGATTGAAAAGCATTGAAGCTCTTGAGTTACATCTTGAAATAGAACCTTCAGTCTGCGTAACTTGTCCCGTCAGAACTGTCTGTTCATGCAAGTAGCCGGGACTCCGAGCCCCCGGTACAACGCCCTCGACTTCATATCGCTTCCCCAACCTAACTTCCACCACCCACCTCTTGCTGTAAAGCTTCACGATCACATCCGCAATGGCCACACAAACAGCCGGCAAACTCCTCTGCCTCCATGGCTACACCCAGTCCGGCGCAACCCTCCACAAAAAAACCTCCGCACTCCGCACCACCCTCCGCAAATCCCTCGCCCTCACCTTTTCCTTCCCCACAGCCCCCCACCGCGTCCAACCCTTCACCGAGAACGCCGATGACCGGGAATCATCCGCCGCGACACTGCAAGCCGACCTAGGTGACGAGGAAGGTCATTGGGCGTGGTGGACGCACGATGAGGAGGCGAAGACATATAAAGGCTTAGACCAGGGTATGGATTTCCTGGCGAAGGTATTGGAGGAGGAAGGTCCGTTCGTTGGTGTGATGGGATTCTCGCAGGGTGCCGCAATGGCAGCGATGCTCTCCTCAGCCCTCGAACGCTCCCTCCTCAAATCCTCGCACCCACCCCTAAAATTCGCGATTATCTACTCTGGATTCCGGGCAGGGTATCCACAATATGACAACTATTACGATCCGAAAATCAAGACGCCGACGTTACATGTAATTGGACAAATGGATTCGATTGTGGTGCCGGAGAGGTGTCAGAAGCTCGTGGAGGTGTGTGAGGGTGCGGAGGTTATGGAGCATCCGGGCGGGCATTTCGTGCCCAGTGCGGCGCCGTATCGGAAGGGCGTTGTAGAGTTCATTGAGAGGTGTTTGAAGAAGGGTTCTGAAGGTGAGAGGGCTACGCTATAGACATGATACACAGATTAAGATACATGATATACTCTAGCATCATACACAGTCACCCCATTTTCCCCACGTCTAATTCGGCATGTTCTCCGTAACTTCCTTGCTCACGTCCTCAGCGAACTTGACCACAACCTCAAAACACCTATCCAAATGCTCCTTCCTCAACTGCGGGCTCCCTCCGACGACCCTAATGACATCCTGTCCCCCAACAACAGAATGCGTCAAGAAGAACTCTCCGTCCAAATTAATTCTCTCGTACACTTTCTTCGTTAGTTCATTGTCGGACATCACTTCTGGGTCAGGTGAGCGGACTGTGAAGACAGTAAGTGCGTACGCCGGTGGTGCGATGATCTCGAACAAATCATCCCTGGTCCTGATATTGGCCGCAAACCCCTCCCCCAACTCAATCGTCCTCCGAACATGCTCCCGTAATCCTGCCAACCCATACGTCCTCATCACGAACCACACCTTCAATCCCCTAAACCTCCTCCCAAGCGGAACCTGCCAATCCCGATAATCAATCACGCGTCCACTTTCACTCGCCTTGTTCCGCAGATAACTCGGCGTTACAGAGAGTGCGTCGATCAGATGCTTCCGCTCACGGACGAAGAGGCAGGAGGCGTCGAAGGGGGTGAGGAGCCATTTGTGCATGTTCATGTCAAAGGAGTCGAAATGGGCGAGGGGTGGGGTTAGGTGTTGATATTCGGGGAGGATGAGGGCTGCGCCGGCGTAGGCTGCGTCGACGTGGATCCAGACGTCGTCGTTCCCTTCTTGTTGTTTCCACTCTGCGATTGCATCAACAGCGTCGACGGCGCACGTAGCCGTAGTCCCAATCGTCGCCGTCAGAAAGAAGGGGATCCACCCCTCCTCTCGTGCCTCATCTATCGCCTTTTTCAGTGCTTCACCACGTAACCGCCACGTCCCCTCCTCGACCGGAATCGTCCGATACTCAACTCCACAGATCAACGCAGCTTTCAACGTACTCGAATGCGTCATCTCACTCCCAAAGGCCATTAACCTCCCTCTCGCCTCCGCCTTCTTCCTCCTATCCTCCCCAAACCTGTCTAAATACCGATCCCGTGCCGCGACCATGACAGTCACTAGCGCTTCGGATGCCGAGCCTTGAATGACACCACCGCCATGGGCAGCGGAAAGGTAGCAGGAGGGGAGAGATAGAGCGCGAGCGAGCCAGTCTAGAACGATAGTTTCGAGTTCTGTCACGGCGGGAGAACAGATCCAGTTAAACGCGGCGCAGGTGAATGCGGTGGAGTACATATCACCCAAAATCCCGGGGAACGTCGCATTCGCCGGAAAGAACGCGAGGAAATTCGGGTGTTGCCAGTGCGTCAAGCCAGGGACGATCTTATCCTCGATATCGGATTGGATTTGGGACCATGCCTCGCCGCTGTCGGGCATGGAGGTGGGGAGGAGCGAGGCGAGATAGCCGGGTTCGACGTCCGAGACGACTTTGCGGGCGGGGAGGGTTTCGTAGTATTTGCAGATCTCGTCGATTGCTGCATATCCAGCCTTTCTGAATTCTTCTCCGTCCATCTTGCTTGTCCCTCTCTTCCACTCCACTGATGAAGGTACTATACCGGTAGCTGTGGAGGTCAGGTCGCACCGCTCGGCATCCTGTTCCCGGGGGGATTTCCCCACGCGTCCATCGGCCGTACGCACCGACCACACCTGCGCAAGTCAAGCACCAGACATTTCTCCCCCATCCAGCAACTCCAGCCGACCTCAAACCGGGGAAATTCTCGGTCTTCCGAAGCCTTCTGCAAAATGCATCGGCCTATTGGATTGAGGGGGCTGTGTACTTTGAGACCTAGGAGCTGTTCATTTAGGCTGAATGAGCTGTCAATTACAATTGACAATTGCGGCTCGGTTGAGGGGAACCGGGATTACTGTCGTGAGGATTTCGGGTCTGCCGTCTCTGCCTGATTTCCATCCCTGGTTTTGATGTTACAGCCCCAGCCTGATGATGCATGACACGTAGCATACAGCCAGCCAAACAACCACCCTTGACCCGACCTACTGTCCCGTCCTTAAAGTACCCTTCTCATTCGTCCACTCCCGTCCTGTTTTAACCCGCATTTACCTGCCAAGAACCCCCATCCACTTCACCCTTCCTGGCCCACCTCCGACACACTCTCGATCCAGAACCCGAGTTCTCGGGACGCGGGCTGACCCTCGTCCACAAGTCCACATGCTTCGGGGGCGGCTGCGCTACAACGCCCAGATCTCGCAGTTCTTGGCTTAACGAGGCGCTTTGGGCACGGGCGCGGATAAACCCAATGGAATAGATGCATAATCGATGTCTACGGCTCCTCGTATTCAGGTTTGATGAGATCTCGAGATACCAGGCGGCCGCGGATGGGAGGGTACCGGGTGCATTCATTCGGTGTCTGCGTTGATCTGCTCATTTCCAGCTTTCTGGTATGACCTTACTTCAATTGCTACACCAATGACAGCAGCCTACGTACCCAATTCATTCATGTTGTTCATTGTTCATTCTGCCAATCGATCGCGTGCTATATGATGACACAACAGCTCACGGGATGACACAACAGCTCACGGCCCCTCCTGGCGACGGCGTCACACTCTTCATGCAGTTTCCATCCACGTCGCGTCCGGCTTCGCCTTTCCTCGTTTCCCCTCTGCCATGTGTGATCACCCTTCCCTGCCGAACGTCCTCCATCCTTTGTCCTCCCTCGTCTCCCCCTCCCTCTTAGTGCGCGTCAGATGCCGATCGCGAACGTTACCAAAGGAAGGGGAGAAACCGATCGCCCGTCCCCCTCCCTCCATGGCCATCACGTTCGGTGCCCGAGCCGATATTATGGCCTGATCTGCGTACATAAATCTCGCTCTAGAATGCCCCTTTGTGGGTATTAATTACCCGGGGCTGCTCACGCTGCGTGGCCGTGGCCATGGCCGACCGCTCGGGGCTTGGTGTCAGGGTCAGTGTCGACTCGCGCTGCTTGCTTTGCTTTGCGTCTTCGTGGGACCTGGACCGCGCGCGCATGTGCTCGACGTTCCTTTGTCCCCCCATTGAGCCGTTTATCTTCGGCCCACACTCTTCCTTGAGCTTAGGGGAGTGGGAGTGGAGAAGCTTAACCTAAGGGGTCTCGGGGCGTCATCCGCACAATTCATGCAAAAATTCGGGGCGGCGCTTGGTCATTATTATTAAGACGGAGATCCACACGAACGCAGAAGCCCCTTAATGTTCCAGCTGAGAGGGGTGAGCAAATGAAGTAATCTCTTCCCTGGTGTCGGGTGGCATATGCCTTCGTACATCGAAATGAAGTGTGAGTTGTCGATGGGCATGGCAGGGGACGTGTACGCGTGTACGGTGAGGACGGAGGACGGAGAACTGAGGCCCGGGATTGGAAGGGGAAATGGACGATCGTATCTGATATCCCTTAACATCCGTCTGATCTGATTGATTGTGCGTGTGCGTGTGCGTCATCGCGTCGAGCTCGGAGGACAGCGGCCACAATTGCAAGCGAATTGACGACCAGCGATTGGTGCAGAGCGAGGAGGTCGGGGTTACCCAATCGGCCCGATTACGTATACATCTCGCTCTCCAGCAGGTAGAAAGATAAGCAACCGCAGCCGACGTCGGCCCATATCGTCCCTGATCAATCGAGGAGATAGGGAGGAGAATTCCTGCGCGGAGAATTACGTGACGCCCATCCCGCAATTCCTGCAGTCTGCGTGTTACACACCTCTTAAGCCTGATATTTCCTTACCTTTGTCGAGCTTCAATTGAGGAGCATACGGCGTGAAACACGCTAAAGAATTCTCCTAGCGTTGATGCGGATCTGCGCCGGAGATGAGTGAGTGTGGGTCAAGTTGCGAGTGTGTGGCCCGGTGTGCGGGAGGGGACAGTGTTCCATGTGCACGTGGAGCTTGGAGCGCGAAGGGCTGCTGCATAAATTCGGGTCGTCATTCGTTGCCTGGAAGTTAGGGGTGGGCGATGACGTGAGATTGAGGGCGGGCGAGACAGAGGATGTCGGACATAGAGAGACATGAAGTAAGTAAATAAGGAATGTTGCGGAACATGAAGGGTTCTCCAATTGATGTCAATCTCATTGCAATTGAATAATAAGACGCTGCTAGTCAGTTGGGTAATCGGTGATATGAAACGCGCGGCTCTCGCCACGTCGTCCTGCACACTCGTACGACACTCGCATCGTTCGGGCGCGGCGAGAACAGCGACCCTCCCAGATGCCTACCCCCCCTCCAACCAGCACCGCAGAGGAGGCAAATAGCACCCCAGATCGCGAGGCGGACACACACTAAAATGGTTTCGCCGACGTTTCGGTTTCGGTTTCTTTTCTATCAGGCATAGCTACAGCAGGAGCGAACTAGGAGACTTTTTGGGAAACGCGAAGGCCACGAAGGTTAGTTTTCGTTTGTCTTTGTTACGGTGGTTTTTTCCTAGTGGGGGATTTTAGGGCGGATCTGCTTTTTGAGTCGCAGAGACTACGCGCACCGTTAATTAGCCTCGGTGTCGCTGTTGCTGGGAAGGTAGTACTTGAAGCTGGAGCATTCATCCCGTTGATATATCTCGAGCTGATCTCAATTGCAATCGCCGTCGTCGTCTTCATCTTCAGCTTCGGTTTCTTCCTGCCTATATCAGATTTAACCTCGGTCCGCTTCCGTGCCGGCAAGGATTCGGAATAAAGTGACTGACAAGGGTCTACAGGGCAACACGCACCACCCAGGCCTCTCTCCTCACGCTTGCCCCCCCCAGCCCTCCATACCCTTGTCAATTGGATCTTGCCACAACAGGTGATCGCTCATACCAGATCTCAATATCTCTGGCCGCTTTAAATTTTACTCGTTGAGCTTGGGAGTGTTCCGTCGCCATCAGTACACATCACACAGCGCACACACACACACACACACGCAAACGGCAGAGCTTATACGAGTGTGCCGCTACCCTCACCCCATATATAACTGACACCTCCCCTCGCCCCCCAACCAGATTGTCAATTCACCATTGGAATTACCTCAACGCGAATTCTTCTATATCATATCAATCTCGAACCTATACGAACTCGCTCGGTTAATACCACGACTTTCTTCCATTGCCAATAGCAATCGCAAGGGCAGCAGGTTTAACTTTACAACCACAATCCCCCGCCGGCGGTGAGTTCAACAAAGTCGATCGTGAAGGCCTATCGGTATCGACACCTGAACGTCTGGCCCTTTCCGAAACAGCCGACGTACACCGCGCGGATAGCGACCACGATCCTCAGCAATCACACTTCCGTCGCATCGCAAATCGTTCTCGCTTCGCTGTATGGAAGTATCCTCAATCTCCCACAACTCCAATACGTCAATCTCCTCCTTCAGCAGCCGCAGCAAGACTCCGCATACGATCGGATTGCCTTCTCCACCGATGGACGACACGAAACCGCTTCTTCGTCATCACCAATTACAACAACATCAACATCATCTCAATCATAATCATAACTCGCACAATAACCACCATGGGTTTTCGCAGCCGCAGCCGCCGCAGCAGCAGTATGCCTCGAGTCTTCGCACGACGAATACGGGGCCGTCGGGAGCTGGGAATGGGAATGGGAGTGGGACGGGGATGATGCCGCTTCATCTGAATTTGAGCGAGCGGGAGTCTTCGGCTGCGATGTCGTTGATGAGTGGGATGGGCTCTGGTAATGACATGAGGAGCCATGGTGGTGGTGGACTCGGGATGGGAAGCAGCATGGGCTCTAGTCTCGGTAACGGCGATGGCGGAATGAGAATGGGCATGGGCATGAACCTGAACATGAACGGCGGAGGACACGATGACAATGTCAGCAATGGGCTCGGGCTCGGGTCTGGGTCCGGCATGGGCGTCTTACCACCTCCATCCCTCGCGACAACTGGATCGTCGAGTTCGACGTCGAGTATGTATTCCCGTATGCCGGAGACTACGACTGGGACTATGAGTGGGAGCAGTACGGGAACTGCACAGATGCAACATCGTCAACAGTCCCTTCCGTCGTTATCGGCTACGTTTCAACAAGGTCCTCCTCCTCCGGGTGGGAGTATGACTTCGATGTCCTCGCCCGCGAATCAGTCGTACACCTACTCTTCCCAACCTCAACATCAACATCAGCCTCAGCATCATAATCAGCATCAGCACTCGCCGCATCAGCAACGCATTACGCTTCCGAGTGTTAGGTCGTTGACGGCACCTTCGCCGATCCCTCCGCCTGCTCAGAACCTCAATGCGATGGGAGTCACGAGTTCGCCGTTTTCGCAATATCCGCCTCCACAGCCGACAGTATCGTCGACGCCGAGCTCGTGGAGCCAGAATCAGCAGCAACAAACACAACAGCAGAGCTACTTCCCTCCGCCTCAGCCTACGTACAACCAAGATCGGTACAACCCCTACTCCTCCCACAATAAGTCACCCATGGACATGCCACCCCAACGCACGCACTCCATGCACCACACGCCCCTCTCCCACGCCGGAGGCCCCCTCCCTCCCCGCCGCCCTCGCTCCCCCGACACTGCATCCCCCCACATCTCAACCTCCTCAACCCCGGCCATCCAAAGCGTAAAACCCAAACGCAAACGCGCTACAACAACCCAACTCTCCGTCCTCAACAAAGTCTTCGCAAAGACATTCTTCCCCTCCACCGAACTCCGTATCGCGCTCGGGAAACAGCTGTGTATGTCCCCGCGGACCGTACAGATTTGGTTCCAGAATCGGAGGCAGGGGTGGAGGGCGAGGTTGAGGGTTGATGCGGGACTTACGCCGGGGTCGGGGACGCCACCGCCGATGTCGGATGCGGATCGGGAAGTTGAGGAGGGGAGGGGGAGGCCGGGGGCTATGGATGATGAGAAGGGTGGGTGGGAGGTGTTGAGGGAGGTTCAGCAACGTGGAGAGTTGATTGGGCAACATGGCATCTCGTCGCAGGAATCGGGACATGGGCATGGGCATCATTCGAGTGGGAGTTGGGGACCACCGCCTCCGCCGCCGCCGCCGCAGATGGGAGGTGGTGGTGAGTATATGGATGATGGGTATGGTCACCAGCAGAGACGCCATCCTGGCCATGACCAGATGGGTGGACCCCGTGGTGGTCAGTGGAATGGCCAGCAGCAGCATCATCAGGGACAGTACCACGGCAACGACCGGAGGTACTCGGTCATGTAGAGATCTGATCTCAACGATACCCCGCATCGAAGAGAAACAAGATGAGATGAGAAGAGAATTTTTGGAGCATCGCACATCATTTATTATGGAGTTGGAAACAAAAGGGCGGCATATATTTTTGGGTTGGGACGACGGGAAGCAATCTTGAATTGTAAGGACAGATCTCAGCGAACGGGAAACCACAGCAGCGGGCTGTACATGGGTTTCGTCAGTTCCATACTTGCGGGTTTTGCGTATGGCCGGGAGGATTTCGTGTTCACGCAGTATTTGCTATTGTTTATTTGTTGCTATCGCTATGGCTATGGACGTATACCTATATCTTATGTTTTTGGATCTTTTGAGGAGGACGAAGAGGGACGACGACGAGCAGCAGTTTGAAGGATATCCGTTTTGACCAGATATATCCTCTAGAAGTTTATTTGCTTAGCTCTATAGGAGGAGCGACGAGGGAAAGCGCTTAAGAAATTGAACAAGTATCACTTTGGCAATTGTTTCTTCATCCCATCCCATTTCAACCTCGGATTAACCCAGGAGACGTTCATGACAGCTAATTTCTAGATGGTTTACCCGACATTCAGTCACTTACAGTTTCCTTTTGTCTCATGAAAGGTACAACCGACGAAGCCATTGGCGACATTTGCACCCGGCCATATAGCGTGCGGGGCTCCGAGATTGCAATTGAATCACGCAATTACTATCGCAACCGAGGTAATCTCATTCCGCTATATCAGATGAGAATGTAATCTTCCATAATCTTATTCAGATGCTCATCTTACGCTCCCGTCGGAAGTTGATCGCGAGATGAGCTGAAGGTATCTCCGAGATTGGACTTTACATTTGGCTACGAGCGGGCCGTGGGATCGGACGGGTCTCGGACGGCCTGACGAGTTCGGAGGTTAGCGATGTTGATGAGGCCGGCGATCCCTTAAGTGATATATCGTATGACTTCAGGGTTCGTTTAGGTTACACCTGCACGTGGCCATGGGATTCATGCGAACAGTTTGCCCGGGGACATCGTGGTCGCTGGATATATACAACGGCAGTCTCAAAATTTGTACATTGACATCGTACCGAGCATTCGGGTCATGCAGCGATAGGAGATTTCATGTGAAAGGGCTCTACTTCGGATCTCGTGAGGAGGCTCTGGACGTAACCCGAGACGGCGGGAATGAATGCGAGCCGCTGGGTATGTCGTGCGTCGATGAAAATGTCAGTACAAGATTTGCGACAGTTCATGTACATGTCAATGAAGTTTTCGATGCCTGTTCAGGTGTGTGCAGCTGCTGAAGGTGACTGCGACGGCTGGTCTAAGTCACCAATTGAAAGCGCCGAATTGCATTTCGGTCAACATTCCTCGCTTATTTGCAAGCAATTGCACCTCGCTTACTTGGCCTGGCATCAGGGCTACATGGTGGCTACCGCATATGTTATTCCAATCACCGAGAAGCGAGAATTGCGGTCCACGATCATCACTACCTGGAATTGGTTATGCGCCATGAGCTGAGACCATCGTTCATGTAACATTTTGCCGATGGGCGAGGCTGGTTGACGTTTCTTCGTGTCGCAGACAGACCATCTCTGTGCCCATCTTCATCTTCATAATGACGGCGTAAGTCGATACCCTTTGAGAGATTCTGGTGCCGATGCGGCGAGCAATTGCAATCGGAGGTGAAATGTCAGGACAGGCTCGTCAGTACGATGCGAACGACGATGTGAGCAACAGGACGCCTGCGAGCATGTCGTCAAACACGACACTGAATTCATGGAGGAGTTGCGCGCACGATGGATCAAGATGTGAATCAGCGGGCTCGAAACCGAGAGGAGGCAAGGCCTGTCTGACCGCATCAGCAGCTGAGAAGCTGTAGACATCAAACTACATTTAAGGCACTTGTCTGACAGCTGATACACGCCGCACATCCCCTAGTATCTGCGACTGCAACGAAACCAGCAGGGCATCACCACGGACGTTGCTTCGCAAGAAGCCTTGGCGTAAAGTCCGCACAGAGTCAATACTACATGTACGGAACGACCAGGCCCGGTACCCTACTCGGAAGTTTCTCTCGAGCTGATGATATCCTGGGACACGGCATTGCAGTCAGAGAGTCGACCGGGATACCAAATCTGGCCCTCTGTTCGTCTGAGAAATGGTTAAGAATGAACGTTCCCACCGTGGACGCGTCTTCCATCTGGATTCACCAACTGCGATTTCTTCATGCGGTTTTCTTCTCCGCCGGCGAGTAAGTAAGCCCCCAGAACAGTCTTCATAGGACCGAACCACGCATGATTTGATGTAAAATTCCTGTCGACCAGCTACGGTATGAGGACAGGGATTGTGTGTCAGATCATGTGGAGTTATCATACATTCAGATCTGATCGGGGGATCACACAAAGTCGAAGCGTGCCAGAGCGTCGAAACAGCACAATATGCTCGAATAAAGGCTCTCATGCAAACAAACACATAAAGATGCTGCAGCGATTTGTATTGCATCATTGCGCAGCTCCAGCTGCACCTACCCGTCCTTCAAGAGCCGGCCGCGAAACAGCCGTCGGCAAACTTGAGAACAACGACCTGCATCAAGACCAACTTATAGGCAATCATGGGTAGGAAGAGCAGAAGAACCGGCAACGACCTCGATGACCTCGATTTTCCTACCGAGAAGCTCCGTCTCAAGACTCCTCCTGCAACACCGCCTCAGACCGATGACGTTGATCTCTCAGATACACACTTGCCGCCTCCCCAATGTTCCGCTCCGATCTTGAATTTGCCATATGAGATATATTCCAAAATTTTCGACTACGCAGATCCAACATCAATCTACTCCCTCCACCTCACGCACCCCCACCTCCGATCGACAGCCTCAAACTGGGTACAATCACTCGTCTTGTCACAATCCCTGCCATACCCATTCAATCTGATCGATAATGACACATTACACAATTTTAATGGACTACGAGATATGCTGGAGACTTGTCTGAATAATGCAGAAGTGGTGGGATTGGAGTGGGAACCAACGTATGAAGCACGACGTACGGAGGATTGGGAGGGGTACGACTCCGACCGGCCGGTCGATGAACAACAACTCGAATTCGATACCCTTCGACGCAAAAGCAGCAAACCTATGGAATCCAGGCGCCATAGACTCTGGCGTTGGGATCGCGACCGCAGGCGTCTTGAATGGTTGCGGTATGCTGGGTTTGTGTGGGGTGTAGGATACGGTACTCCGTTCACGAAACACGGCAAGGTGAAGATGTCTGCACTGGCAAAAGCCCGGACCGAAGCCGCAACAAGCGCAGTCCGCCCCGAACACTACAACAACAACCGACCAAACACAGCCTGGGACACCGACGACTACCTCCGCGTTCTCCTCTCCTTCGCTTCCGACACGAAACATGATGTGAAAGCTATCGTGTTTCCGACGAGTGAGATAGCCGGGAACGGGAAAGAGGAGGGAAGGTTGAGAGTGTTATTGGAGAGGGGTGCGGAGAAGTTGGATTTGAAGGCCGTTGTTGTGGAGGAGAGGGTGGAGGGGGGTGGAGTGAGGAGGAGTTTGTTAGTGAAGAAGAAAGGGAAGGGACAGAGTGGGAGGAAGGCGGAGAGGGTAGCGGCGCAGAAGGGAGGCTTTTGAGAGAGCGGATTTGTTTTGATGCATTGCGGCTGGTAGCGATACTTGTCAACATAGAGGAATGTGTTAAACTAACGATCTGAGTAAATGGATTGGGTTAGTAAAGGTATATGTAATCCTCGGTCTCAATCTCCGCTCTGGTTGTGTTTGAGCTCCATCAGAGAGGAAGGGCATTTTACCACTCTCACTGGTGTCTTCTTCACAGGACCCTCATGTTTGGGATGCAACTTGTCGTTCTTCAACGTCTCGTTTGAAGTCTGCAATGCACGTATCGCGACTTGCAATTTGTCCAGTTTGCCGATTATGTCGCATATCATAGGAGTGTCTGCGCTATATATCTTGTTCAGTTGGATGAATTTGGCCTCCGTTGATGTACGCAACGAACTCAGTTCCTGTCCTCTGGCATTGTCCTTCGCTGTGACCAATTGAGTTGCTTTGTTGAACTCTACGTCAATGTCTTTCTTCAGCTCGCTCCTCAAATCACCAATCTTACGATCACCATTCGAGATCGCATTTTCTGAGGATGAACAACGACGGTTGACCTCACCTTCCAACGACGAAAGACGTCTCTCATACTGCGTCAACGTGTCTGGGGACTGTCACAAAGTCATGCAAAAAGCCGTGAACACTTCCAGTAAAGCATTGATCTCTCCGGCTATGACATTCATGCCATCGTTCACGTCGTCATTGTTGTTGAGCTGAGTCAGGAGTACGTGGTGTTTCTCCAAGCAATCAATCTTGTGTTCGAGTTCAGAAGTATCGCGAACCGATTCCATAAGAGCCACGGAGAAGAAGTGACACGACTTCTTATTTTCCTTGATCTGGACATCGTGGTTTTCGAATGAGTGTCACATCGCTCCACAAGGACCTCCATTTTGGTTTGGAGCGACTCCAACGACTCCTTCAAAAGACCCTTTTCCTGGGCCCAGTCACCTGGCACACTATGGACCGCATCTCTCAGGCTGATGAAGGACTATTAATGTGGTCACAGGACGGGGTTGGAGTACAGAACTGTAATCGGTCTCCGGATTCCTCGCTCACGGCTGAACGGGTAGGTGTCGTTACACCAGACCCGAAAGAAGAAAACTGAGCGTCCTCCTGATCAGTCTCGATTGAAGCACCGCATTCAGATCCTCTTTTTTCTACTGTTTCAACTTCATCTTCGCCGCAACTGCGTTGATGCGGTTGCGTTCCATGTTCCTTGAGTAAGCTCAACACAGCGGTGTAATCTTCCAACTACGATTGCACTTGATCAGAGGTTGACAAGACGGCCCGGGGTGCAAACATACCTACGCCGTACTTCCACGGGTTCGGTGAAGCAGACGTGCCGTGGGAAGATGCTTCAAGCGCACTCACGTTAACCGCCCAACGTACCTAATCTACAGACAGGAGGACCAAGACCTAGGATTGAGACCTCGTTGCTATCTTAGGGTTAGGGTCCATCCGCGTCATACGGCTACAGATCTTCCCAAACAGATGTAGTAACGGTGAATCTGACTCCTCGCTGAATGTATAGTTGAATTCTGTACTTGTGGTAGTAAAATGGGTGACCATGTTGCAACCCATGCCTCCTCTCCGACTCAAGTAGCTTCCCCGTGAGTACTTCCACCTTCAATGAAGCGTTGGTATCGACGGAGGAGGGGTCCGACGGACGACCGGTTTCTTCGACGTATATACGTAGGGATGGGTTTGAGACCGAAGTCACGTAAAAGTCGGAGGCCATTGCGGTGGAGACCTACCGGCGAGTGAGTGCATGCGACATTGTGACCTCTGAATACAATTAATTGAGTTTCGTTGTCGTTGATAGAGCTGAGAGGACAGTCACAACGCGTGTGTTGAAACAGGCCTAGAAGAGCCGTGAGAAATACTAGTAATGGCCCAAGAGCACCCATTTTGTACCACCAATCTCAACTCATAGGACGAAGCACTACTGAAACGATACGTGAACATTTCCTAATTACTTCCTGTTATCCCTATGGCTTCCCCTTCCTATATATCTGTCGGCGGGCCCCACCGCATTCCTCCTCTCCTAACCTAACATACACGATCGCTGGTTGTCCTATGTAACCTTCTTGTTGAACTCGTGTATCTTCTTCTTCAGATCACGCGTCTCCTTCTCCACCTTCTTCATTCCCGCACTCAACTGCGCATGCTGATCTTTGGGGGTTTTGTTCGGAGCTTGCAACGCTGCTAATTTCTTCCTGAGCGAGGCAATTTCGGCTGCTAAGTCGGATCGAGTCGTTTTGATTTGATGCTCAAACCCCTTTGACTCAAGCTTTTCGAACCTTTTGCTCAATCCTGAGACAGTCGCCTCTAGCGTCTCAATGATCGTCTTCATAGAAAACTCCAAAAGGATGTTTCGCTCCTTACCATTAACGTTGGCACCGTCCGTTGCCATCCGATGGCTCAGCGAATGTGTCTCCAGGCGTCGAAGTCGCTCAGCGTGGCATGCCAAAATTTCCGCCTGTTGCATATCCTGTTTGACGCAGCTCGTTTTCGCGCCATTCTTCTGCGTAGATACTTCGAGCTGGGCAGCTATACCTTCGACTGTGCTCGTGCGGCTGAACGGAGACGTGGTTGTAGATTCTTTCGCTCCGTCGCTGAACGTTGAACGGGCAGGCGTGGTGACACCGTCATCTGACGAACAGGATGAAATGTACGCTTGATCACCTTGGAACACTGCCTTATCAACAAGTACAGTCCCACTGGTGCCTTTCCCTTCTCTACCCTCGGCTTTCTCCTTGCTAGGCACCTTCCCTTGTTGGCGCGAGTAAGCCTTGCTTTTCTCCATCTCTTCCGATACCCTACGCAGGGCCTCTTCAGGCAGATCATGATCCCCGACAGAACGCTTGGAAGCGCTATCCTTGGACTTCTGAACGTAAATGCGCATCGAAGGGTCGGACACGGAGGTCACGTAAAGATCGGACACCACGGCGGTGGGGACGTAACCGGAAACAGGCGAATGCGACATGATCTAAGTTTGAGAATGTGTCGGCGGCTCGTGAGGTTTAGTCTTGGAAATGGTAGCTTGTCAGTGTTGGCAAAAGCACTGTTGCGACATGTGACATGCGTACGGACCGGTGCGTGTGTAATATGAGGGGCACCGTGGGAAATTCTGGCCCAGGCGCACACATTTCGTACCAAACTTAGGAGATTCTTATCACCAGTAGATTACTACGCTCGAGTCTCTTCGCTATCTTCTCTCCTTGAACATGTCGGCAGGACGTTACGAATACCCCGGGGGCATGCCCATTACCTCCCCTCCATTACCAACCGCTCCAGCACCCACACTCCTCGGCGTCAACACACCCTCCTCTGTGGTCGCCATCGATTCCCCACTCACGCTCTCGCTCCTCCCACCGCTTCCAGCTCCCTGCATCTGCCTCCTACTCTTCATCGACTTATCCATTTCCAAATCCAAAACCTTCATCTGAAGACGGCCCACCTCCTCCTTCAACTCTTTCAACTCCTTTGCCAACGCATCCCCATCGCTGGATGATGATCCAAGATCAAGAAGACGAGGGACATCGCGCGCGGGAACGGCGGTGACGGGAATACGCAAAGCGCCATACGTAACAGCAGTTACGTAGTAATCTGTTGGAGAGGAGGTGCAGACGTAAACCGGGTTGGCGATTGGAGTTGGCTGCTGGGCGTTGGTAGGCTGATTGCCCCAGTTGCGAGGCATGGTTGACGTTGACGTTGACGCAATGAATAGTTTGTAAAGGGCGGTGTCTAAGAGCTCCAGTTGATGACTGTGATATGTGCGGTTTGTAATTGAAAGGATGATACCTCTGCGTAACGGGAAGATCGCGTCGTGAAGCCTTCAAGAAGCTGGGCCCTGGGGGAGGCTTGCGCGGGCCGAAACAACGTGCTGAGTCCGAGGGACAACGAGCCGGTCACTGCGGCAGGTAACGGAGGGTTGTGAAAGATCAATTGCAAGAGCAAACGACTCTCGATATGTCTGTCGTAGAGTCAAAGACCGTGCGAATAAGAAATAGCAGCTCCAGTCCGTGGTAATGATCGTGTTAAGGTCGCGCTCCTCATACAAAATACCAACCTACAAAACAAAGAACTCGAGGCAAATGTGTAACAAATTGAAATACAAATCAAATTCCCGGTGCAGTAGGTATAGGCATCACCCTATCGTACAATCCATAACACTAAAAGAACGCCTTTAGAATACATTTCCAACATTCCCTTCCTCCATCTCCCTTTCACATCTCAGCCGTTTCACTTAGAGCTTCGCAGCCTCCCCCTGAACACTGGTAATCTCATCGTAAATCATAGTCGTCAAGAACTCCTCGAATCCCTCCTCCCCACCAACCTGCCCCGCCAAATACTTCGACGCCTCATCCCACTTCCTTCCCTGTCCTCCCGCCTCTTTCTTCAACTTCTCCGTCTCCTCCTTCAACAACCTCAAATTAAACTCCTTATCGACGGTCTGACCATCAGCGGTCTTGACCTTATGACGCGCGAGTTGCCAGAGAGAGACACGCGACAACTCGGCCGTCGCGGCATCTTCCATGAGGTGGTGGAGGGGAACACATCCCGTCCCGCGGAGCCAAGCCTCCATATACCCGAGCGCGACACCGATATTGTGGCGGATTCCGCCTTCGGTGACTTGACCGGGCGTAGCAGCCGTATTCAACAAATCAGCTTGCGTGACATGAACGTCCTCGCGGCGGACGTGGAGTTGGTTAGGGGTGGGCATGTGTTGGTTAAACACCTCCATCGCGATCTTGCCGAGAACGGGGTGTGCGATCCAAGTACCGTCGTGTCCGGCCTTGACTTCGCGGAGTTTGTCCTGGTAGACTTTATCCATCGCTGCCTTGTTCTTCTCCTCGTCGTTCTTGATGGGGATTTGGGCTGCCATACCTCCCATTGCGTGAACTCCACGCTTATGACACGTCTTGATCAACAACCTCACATACGCATCCATGAACGGCACTGTCATCTTGACATCATCACGGTCGGGCAAGACATATGCCTTGTGGTTCCTCAGACGCTTAATGACGGAGAAGATGTAATCCCAGCGACCACAGTTGAGACCGGCAGAGTGCTCGCGAAGTTCGTAGATGATTTCTTCCATCTCGAAGGCGGCCATGATGGTTTCGATGAGGACTGTGCCGCGGATTGTACCGCGCGGGATTTCGAGAGTATCTTGAGCGAGTTTGAAGACGTCGTTCCAGAGGCGGGCTTCGAGGTGGGATTCCATCTTGGGAAGGTAGAAGTAGGGTCCAGTACCGGACGCGACAAGGCCCTTGGCGTTATGGAAGAAGTAGAGACCGAAATCAAAGAGGGATCCGGACATGGGCTCCCCATCAACGAGGACGTGTTTCTCCTCCAAATGCCATCCACGGGGACGAACGAGCAAAGTAGGCAAGCGTTTATCCGTCCTCAACTTGTACTCCTTCCCGTTCGAGGAAAACTGGATATCCTTCTTAATCGCATCCCTCAAGTTAATCTGTCCACCAATGACGTTCTCCCACGTCGGCGCGGTCGAATCCTCGAAATCTGCCATGTATGTCGCGACATCGGAGTTGAGCGCATTGATGACCATCTTCCTATCAACAGGACCAGTAATCTCGACACGGCGGTCGACAAGGCCGGGGGCGGGGTGGGCACCTTGCCAGGTTGGGTCTTCGCGGATATGACGAGTTTCGGGAAGGAAGTTGGGCAACTCTCCAGCGTCAAGACGCTTCTGTCTCTCCACACGACGAGCAAGGAGGGAAAGACGTGTCTTATTGAACGAACGGTGCAACGAAGCCAAGAACGACAACGCAGCAGGCGTCAAAACCTCGCGATGGGCTTCGGACAAACGACCCAAGACCTGGATGCCCTGGGTGTTGGGGTGAGCAGTTGCGGGTGGTTCCATTTTTGATTTTGTGTAGTGTGTAATGGTGTTTAGGTTGTTGTCAGGGTGCAGGATGGTTGGTACTTATAGGTGTGGTTGGGTATCTCGAGAAATCGGAATGGTGGAGTGGAGAACGCGGGGGAGCGGAAGAGCCCGCCTGCGACTCGGTGGAGACCTTCCCCGGAACGTCACAGCAGCTCGATCAAGTGACAGATCAGGTGCGCATTACTCGGCCATAAATGCTACACGAACAACCCATTCTACCCTCCTTCTGCTACCTCCTTTACGGCGAGTCGCTGACGGGGTTCGCCCTTCACGTCAATGACCTCACTCTCTACCCCACAAAAGATTTTGCACACTTTGGGTTTAGCGCCGGACACCGTTGATAACCAAGAGCCTCTCCGATTGTCCGCGCATGAAACGGATATCACGTGCTGCACGTGATTGGGTGGGTGAGCGGAGGAACGTTGTTCCAGCTGTTGCGTGTGGGGTGTTGGGTGAGTCAGCTGAAGAGACTGCAGCTGGGACGTAGTGAGGGTTAGAGGTAGGTGTTGGAGTTTGTGCTGTGATCCGGAAGTTCCCACGGTCTTGACCTTCCGAGCTGCCAAGGACCTACTCCTCGGCCGCGGACTCAAGATCCTCCCATTCTCACACGTAAATCGTTCTTACTCCAACTCTGGTCGTCTTGCACAACTACCGAACTCCGGCAACTGTATACCCAGACCTAGGTTCGTGAAACCCGGCCCGGCGGCTCAATATCCGAGATGGGGCAGATCGTTCGGTGAAGTACATTTCCCTAAGGCAATGTACATGAACCAACAAGATAACTGCGAGTCAGTTGAGACAGTTCTGACAGATGTGAGATATTGGTCGGGAGAAATCGGATTGTGGGAGTGAGAGAACGTCCACAGGAAGGGGGGAGCATTGTAATGCGTGTGAAGATTGCGGAAAGCATAGACATGATACAGTATAACGGGTAGAGAAGCATACGCTCGTACGACGAGCCGGGTAAGTTCGATCAGTACGCCCGGAGCATTGCGACATTCTCGTTACAAGTCATGATCATAGCCGGGGAGTATGACTCCCTTGAGACCCTCGGCCTGTCCCGAACCTAGGCCCCGGGAAAGCACAGGTCACCGGTACCCCAACATCTACCCTTTCGTGCCGCGCGGCCGCCTGAACCTATCGCTATCGTTACAGCCTAAGCATACTCCAGATCCGTCATCACCCATGTCCACGCAATCGTCATCTGTAGCCAGAATAACGCGGCTGATGGGTACTCGTATGTGCCGTTGGAGTCACAGCTGCAGGTGGGTTCTAGTACGTCTTCTGGGCGAGGGGAGCAGCGCTCGAGTGTGTGAGTGCCCCGCCCGCCTGCAGGGTCTGGGCAATGAGTCAGTGGCCAATCGAGATGGAGCAGATCTGTGACGAGCAAAGAAACCAGGGTAGCAAGAATGGGATAGAATAGATAACTTGATCAACTTTAACGCGGCAGGATTTCGGGATTTTGACTGGTTGGTCCAACCCGCCAATCACACCGCACAAAATCAGAGTTCTAATCCCCGTGCGCCGGTTAATTAGGAGTCACCCAGCTATCGCCTCCCCGCCACTCCAAATCAGTCACTGCTCCGATCAGCACACCGAACCCGCAAGAAATATCCCTCTTAAGGTTGCGCCCTCCGCCTCCCCTTCTCCATTTTCAAACAGGGATCAACACTTCGTTCGCTTTCCTTGCCACCTGAACGGACGTCGAGGGTTCTTTATTTACGCCGTCGCATCCCCTTTGCCTCACTCGACCAACAAACCCACCACTCCATTCGCCACACATCTTGATCTGCGCAGCTACTTGAAGAAGCTGTCGTAGCAAGTCTCTCCATTCAACCTCCCCACTCAGTACTTTTTCTTTTATCTATACAGCCGCTATGGCCCGCTACAACTCTATCACCATGGTCGTCAACAAGGTCGTCGTTGTCCGCTTCTAAGCAACAGAAGGAGACAATCATCGCCATTTTTGAACTAGCCATCGACAAACGAAATAACGTTTCGGATTCCGGACTCTGCGAGAAAGGGAACTGCTGAAGCGAGTGCTTTGTCGAGAAATTCATACAACAATTACGATTCGGTTCTGTGTTTGAGGAGATCGATCTATTTTACTTTTTGCCTCTATCTGATTGAGAGAGGTTGAGACTTTTTACCTTTTTTATACGGCGTGTACGACGAAGAACAGCAAGCTATATGTCATACACAACTACCACCACTACCACCTACCCTCCCTCCGCTACCACCACCACCTACTACGCCCCCACTGTTCCCGTCCGCCCCCGCACCTCCAATTCCCAAAACCCTCCACCCCTCCAACGCGACACCGACCGCCGCGCCTCCTTCGTCGACAATCTCGTCGACTCCGCCGCCCTCATCATCGAAACCATCTGGTCCACCACCGCCTCCCCTCACATCCACCCCATCGACCCCAGAAGTGTGGACAAACAACATCCGTGTGGATTGGTGTTACCCCTGAGAACATTTATCCAGGAAACGCTGAGGAGGTCAAGGACGAGTTATTCGACGTTGCAGTTGGCGTTATGGTACCTGATTTTATTGAGGGATAGATGCGAGGTGAATGTCGTCGGGAAGAAAGGGGATGGACTTCCACCGTGTGGGAGGAGGAGTTTCCTGAGTGCGTTGATTTTGGCGAGTAAGTTCTTGCAGGATCGGAATTACTCTAACCGCGCATGGTCCCGTATCTCCGGCCTCTCGACGAGTGAGATCAATGCGAATGAGATGGAGTTCCTCAAGCGCGTTTCGTGGACACTCTTCGTCAGCGTCGAGACATTCAGCGTCTGGGCCTCCGTCCTCGCCGAACGGACCAGCGGCGTCGTTGGGCGCTCGTCCTGGGCGGCTAGAATTAAGCACGATGGGGTTGATGTCAAGCCACTCTCACCGGCTGAGTTGGAAGCTGTCCGGATCATGGAAGCCAAAGTCGAAGCCTACGAGAGTCAGAAAAGTATGCGTCAAGTCGCCTCAATCGCGTCGGCGACTTATGGCCTTCCTACCCCACCGAGTTCACAGGATGATGTTTGGTCGTATATCCAGATGGAGAATCACGATGAGCAACAGCAGCATGAGGATGTGGGAGAAGAGAAGAAGAATGAGGGAGGCGCGGTGGATAAGGGAAATGGACTCCTTACCCCCACGTTGACTTCTACCTCGTCTTCCCCTTCGAGTCGGAGTGATTCTGAGATGTTGCAGATGGTACAGCAGAAGGTACCATTGAGTCCGTGGTCCTTGCCTAGGTCATCCAGAAAACGGGTGGCTTCGGACGTTTCTGAGGAGACTTATTCCGGATCCGATGACTCCTCAAAACGTATGAGAATCTAGAGATCGAAGCAAGATTTGGAGGGTTTGTGTGTGTGAGAGCGGTCTCGGACGGAAGCGACGTGACGTGACGAGATGATATCCATACTTATACTTTACTTTGGCGCTTTTGGGCGTTTGCTTTTGGTTGGTTGTTCCTCGGGATACCGGGTGTGCGTGTGCGTGTGTGTGTCCTGGCGCCGGCGTTTACTTGTCCAGGAATGGGAAGAGCGAGGAAAGAGGGGAGTTGGAGTTGTGAGGGGGTGCGGTATACCTATAGCTTTTGACGATGATGGTCGTGCATGTGTGGACTTGGGATATGAGAATATATGTCCGAGTTTTTGTCTATCAATTGTATACCGTTCAAGCTCGGGAACCTCTTGACTCTCTGACTTGGAAGCAGTGAAATCATTTAATTTGCAGCAGCACATCATGAGCTGCTAGCAACTTTAGAATACAGAATCACAAAAGTGAAGCACTTCCTGCTTCATCACTGCAGCTGCTGTAAAATGTCTTCCAACATTCTTTGGAGAGTCATCGGTGCGTTTATGTTCTTGGTGGCTTCAATAACTCTTAGGTGGAGTGGAGTATCGACGCAGGGGAGGCCTCAGCATGTGTCGTTCAATCAACCAACTTTATAAAACCCAGGCAGCTCAAGTGCTGAGTTCCTGGTTGATTCATTGAAAAGGGTCCGTGTTCAGCAGCGCTTTCAGCAGCTTTTCAGTCAGGCCATCGCGCACCGGGCTCTGCAAGGAGTCCCATTTGAAGGCCTTAAAAACCCGAGGCTTTCTCTGAGATCGAGGGAGAACTTGCCTGAGTTTCTCCTGCAATAAATCGCGGTCTTGCAACCCAAACGCGAGCTCTCCGCGTAACCGTCAAGTCACGCTACCCACGCAGTCTGACGCGAAACACCAGATATGCCCCGCCAACCCATTATCAAACCTGAACCTACAGAGGATTACGAGGATGGTGAATATTCCCATTCACCATCTGAAGGGGATGAGGACTTCGACCTATTCAAGGGTGCGCTGCCTCATCCAAGTGCGATCAGATATAGGACCATTGATCTATTCGAAATGATGCAAGGACCTTATTTGATTCTTGATCCGCCATATCAGCGAGGTACGTCTGTCAGCCGCGAGTGTGGGGATGAATGCTGACAGTTGTACAGATGTCGTATGGACGAAACTGCGTATGTCCGGGTTGATTCATTCTATGTTGCATGAGTTCTACGTCCCACCGATCATCTTCTCCCTCTCGAGAATTCTCAACCAAAACAACTCAAAGCCCCGCATCACCCGCACCGTCGTCGACGGAAAACAACGTCTCTCCTCCATCAAAGCCTTCATGCTCGGTCAAATCCCCTACCTCGGCCGCAACGAGACGAAATACTTCTACACTCTTGAAAACGTCAGAGAACGCGGTGCCAAGCTCTTACCAGAGAATGCGAGACAAAAATTCAAGGAGCAGAGTTTGTTGTGTATTGAGTATAAGGATTTGAAGGCTGAGCAGGAGGAGGATCTGTTTCAGAGGGTACAGATGGGAATTCCGTTGACGAGCGCGGAGAAGTTGCAGGCTGTAAGTGGGAAGTGGAAGAGCTTCATTAAGGAGTTGCAGGCGGAGTATACTCGTGTCAACGACCGTGAGTTCTCCACCCTGTTCCCCCGCCGTGCGCGTTCGTCGCGCGGGCTGCGGGAGTACGTTGTAATTGTAGATGAATGCTAACTGTCGATGTGATAGTCTGTGAAGACAAGAGCGCAAGAGATTTCCAAGCTTTCGCAATCATCCTCTTCGTCCTCCACTGCACAAAACCAACCGACCTTCGTCCCGCCCCCTGGACAAACACCCCCTCCCGCCTTATGTCATTCATCAAAGACACACCGGAGCCAACCCTCGAATTCCGGGCCCGCGCTCGCGCCGTATTTGGTATCTTCGACAAGATGATCGAGAACAGTCCCGATGTCTTCACACACCAATATACGTTCTGGTCGAATCAGGTTGTGGGGTCGGGGAAAGGGAGTAAAAAGGAGAAGGCGGAGGTTACGCACGCGAGGAGGTTTTCGCCGATCGAACTTTATGCGACTGGGATTCTTATCGACAAGATGAAAGAAATCAAGACACCCCGCGCCTCTGCTCCCGGGAAGGGTCATGGAGTAGGTTCGGTGAGCGTAGAGACGATCAACGCACTCTCCCGCGAAGTCAATTCCATGCGCCAATGGATCCGTGAGAAGGCGCTTGATTTGAGATCAAATACCCAGACGTGGAACAAATTGTCGCAGTATATCACTGAAGCGGGGGAGAGGTGGCAGAGGTGTGTTGAGCGGGGGGTTCATCCTGGTGATGTCCGCTCGGAGGTTGTTGCTGATGGGGATGAGGATGAGGAGGAGATGGTGATTGGGATGACGGAGGAGGAGGCGTTCAATATGGGGAGTGCGGGATCTGCTGGGAAGAGGAAGGCGGATGGGGATGGAGAATGGGGTCCAGCGAGCAGGAGAAGAATGCAGATGTAGACGGTGGGCATGAATGATATGAACGCGTGAGACAACGTGTTGGGGACGAGAAGGGCGGATAAGCATCTTGGCATTCGCAACACCTACCAGGTAGTTACTTGATATGAAGTTATACAAACTCTATTTGTTTTGGCTTTCTGTACAGTATCACATGCCAGCTGGTACTGTAGTGGCCACTCCAGGACCCCAGAGCCCGATGTGAGCGTAGTAGAGTACAAAGCACAATAGAAGATATCAACCTATCCGTTCACGCAGCCTTCCCTTACCGCTTACTCTCACGTCTACGTTTAATTCCCGAGAATATCCTGTCGACCCTGCATCGTCCACTGCAAACCCTGCAAAAATGTCCATCCTAACCAACCAAATCCCTCCGACTCCGCGGAGCAGGAAGGACTTCGGCCATGCAAGCACAAGGATGCAGACTTCATCTCCCTAAGCCCCATTTACAGCCGGCGTGGCTTCCCGCCTTCGGCTCCGTTGCCGAGCGCCGGAATGAGGCATACAGGAGCTTGAAGCGGTCATTTCATCATCCTCTCATTCCCGGTGCAGGTTCGTTCTGATCGTTTCCAGTGCGTCGCTTGCAATGAATTGGAATGGAGATGAGCCTCCACATGACAAATGTGGAGCAGTGCCACTGAGGGGATCCCCCACTGCACTCCGCGATCGTCATTCCGCTCTGTCCCCCCACCCTCTCCCCATCAGAGACCCTGACTGCCTATACCCTCTAGACCCATTCCCTCCCGTTCTATGCCCCCATTTCGTTCGAGGATTACTTACGATTGGTCAAGAGGACCAAACGGGGCTTTTTTCGAGTGAGTTAGCTTTTCTGCCTCCGGAGCGATTTCGGGTTTTGGCGCGAGGCTGAAGGGCCGGCAGTGGGTTAACGTTGATCCGACGCAGCTGCTGTCCCGCGAGTTGATCTCCGGAAGAAGAAGAGAAAAGGTGAAGAAAGGGTATTTCTGGTGTCCTTGAGTGTAACGAACGTAAACTTTATGACGGTCGAAGTGTCGAGCAGATGTCCGGGTTGGTTGTGAGATGTACGTCATTGCTCTCATGTCCAGCTCACTCACGCGGCTGCAGCACGAATCTTCGACGCTAAACCGCCAGCGGAACCCCCAAGTAAAAAGATTCATCTTCCCCTCGTTCTGATCCAGCTTGTCAGATTCATTTATCACACATTTATCTCACAGGAGGAAACAAGATGACTTTGCTCGAAGAAGCTCAGCGCGTCGCGGATGAGTTTGAGTTTACGAGTGAGCAGTTGAAGACTGCCGTCGTCGAGTTTAGACGACTCATGGGTTCGTCTTCTTCCTCTATCCTACTCCCGGATACAAAGGTGCAGGTGTTGACATGTCGTGGCCGTAGATCTCGGTTTGAAGAACAACGACGAAGCCATGACCATGATCCCAACCTTCGTCTCCGACGTCCCAACCGGCACCGAAAAAGGCACTTTCCTCGCCCTTGACATCGGTGGTACCAACCTCCGCGTCTGCTCCATCCACCTCCAAGGCGACGGAACCTTCCACCTCGTCCAATCCAAATCCGCGATCCCAAAAGCCATGATGATTGGCTCCTCCCACGATCTCTTCTCCTTCATCGCAGAGCGGATCGAGTCCTTCATTCGCGAACACCATGAAGATAAATTCGATTGTACGGAGCCTGAGCATATGCTCCAACTCGGGTTCACATTCTCGTTCCCCGTTAACCAAACCGCCGTGAACAAGGGCGTAGTCCTCCGCTGGACGAAAGGATTCAACATCCCCGATGCGGTCGGCGTGGACGTCGTCGACCTCCTCCAACGCGCCATCGACGCAAAATCTCTCCCCGTCAAGGTCGCAGCCCTCGTCAACGACACCGTCGGCGCCCTCATGGCCCGTGCCTACGCCGCCCCCAAAGGAACCGAATCCCTCATCGGCGCAATCTTCGGCACGGGCACGAATGGTGCCTACGTAGAGAACATGGAAAACGTCCACAAACTCGAAAAAGCAGAACACCAAACCCCGACGATGGTCATCAACACTGAATGGGGAGCCTTCGATAACGCTATGCGTGTTCTCCCTGCTACACCCTACGATAACGCGCTCGACCACGCGTCTGTTAACCCCGGGTACCAAATGTACGAAAAACGCATTTCGGGGATGTTCCTTGGCGAGATCTTCAGACAGGCGATTATTTCGCTCACTACCGCCTCGGACCCTGGTATGGGCGGTGCGTCCCTCTTCAACGGCGAAGCCTCCAAACAACTCAATCTGCCGTTCTCGCTCGATACATCCGTTCTCTCCGCTATTTCGGAAGACGAGAGCCCCGATCTCGCGACGGTTAAGAAGGTGGTACAGGAACAACTCGGTGTCTCTGCTGGGCTTGAAGCCATCGAAACCCTCCAAGCCGTCCAACTCGTTTCCCGAGCAATTGGACGCCGCGCAGCCCGACTCTCCGCCATCGCACTCTGCGCAATCATCTCCGCCTCCGGCCGCCTTTCCTCATCCCCCACCTCCAAGGTCGACATCGGCGTCGATGGGTCCGTTGTCGAATTCTACCCTAACTTCGAGGAAATGGTTAGAGAAGCGATCCGCGAGGTTCTGGGCGAGGAGAAAGAGGGACGTCTGACGTTTGGGTTGGCGAAGGATGGGAGTGGGGTTGGGGCTGCGCTTTGTGCGTTGATGGCGAGGAAGCAGCAGGAGATGGGGATTAGGTATTCGGCGGATGAGTTGTTGAAGGAGAAGGGGGAGATTTGAGCTGGGAAAAGTGACCATGAGATTTGTGTGTGTAAGTATGTAGGAGCACGGACGTGGGATGTATGTGGTGTTTGGTATAAAGTAATTTCATTTTTCGTATGTTGTTCGTTTCGCTTGAGCGGTTTCGTGATGTGACGCGATGTAATAATTGTGAACCGGAGGTTGCGCTCCAGTACAGCAAAGTAAGAGTCTCAAAGTAGGCTATGGACCAAACATTCAGGTGAGGTTGTGTATGTGAAATCATGTCCATTTGTCTCCCTACCAATGGTATGCTGTCGTGATATAAATTTAAGATCTTCATTCTCGTCGCGCCGTTTATGATGTGGGCTTATTCATACATATCCTCGCTCCTTCATCTTTTCGCTCTCAAGTCTTGTTCATCCACAGTGCATTTGACTCCCCAAGCTTCACTGCCTCCGACTCCACTCCCGAGTCGCCGTGTCGGCGAACTTACGCCTTCAACACAGCCGAAACCTCCTTCTCAACATTCGCCTTCCCCAACCCATCCAAACTCTTCTTCTCCTCACGTCCCATCTCGTATCTGACGTACATCTTTGCCGGGACACCGAATGCCTCGCGTATCAGGATTGGGGTTGTGGGGTTGTGCTTTTTCATGACTGGGTAGGATTTTTGGAGGAATTCTCTGAGTGGCACCGTGACGTTAGCGGAGGTGTACCATAAGGAGGAGGGAAGAAGACGTACCGGACCCCGTTGGAGGTTTCGGAGGTTTGGCAGAAGTGGAAGCGGACTTCTTTGATAGCTTGTGAGAAGGCGTACTTGGCGGACATCTGTCGAAACACTGTCAATCACCGGAACCAGAAAAGGAGCAGGCTTCAACGCGTTCAACACACCTTGATGCTCTGGATTGTTTTCGTGGTGGAGTATTACAGAGCAACTGCCGTCGGGATTTGTGCGCCCCTCTGTGCCTGGCGCCGCGACCTGGACGGAGACCTCCAAACATTCTGCGTTCAGATCCATCCCTCCTATCCAACATAATGGCCGCAGCATCAGGTGCCTCCCGCTCCGCTTTCTCCTCCTTCTGGAATGGCCCCACTGGCCCTAGAACTGTCCATTTCTGGGCTCCGGTGATGAAGTGGGGATTGGTTATCGCCGGTGCGAGTGATTTTGCACGTCCGGCTGAGCAGTTGTCATTGAGTCAGAATGCGGCGTTGGTCGCGACGGGTACGATTTGGACGAGATGGAGTATGATTATCAAGCCGAAGAATATGATGTGAGTGTTTCCTGTGATCTTGATCTGAGACGTGCTCTTGGAGATCGGAAATAGGAAGGTGGGATAAGGCTAATGATGGTCATTTAGGTTGGCGTCTGTGAATTGTCTTTTGGCTACTGTCGGTTCGATCCAGCTTGCTCGTATTTTCATGAGCAGGCAAGAGGAGGCGAAGAAACCTGCCGTTATCCAGGCTCTTGAGGACATCAAGAAGTAAGTGGATGGAGCCGGATGTGTGAGGACTATTTTTGGGAGGTTTCGAGTTGGGATGATTTGATTCCTGCATTTTTTCTGAGGAGCGAATATACCTGTCGCGTTCAAGGGTTGAGCTGGGTATAGATGGGATTTTCGATGGACAATATTATCATCTTGTTTGCGTAACTGTAAGAGAAGAGAAATATCGCAGCTGCAGCCCTTGCCAGTACCCACGGCAAACCCACGCACACTCCCTGGCCATATGCATGTCTTCATCCACAATCCCGATACTGTTCCTCTCACCTCCGTGATCCGCTTCCTTCACTCCCAGTACGTCGTACTTTGCGACGCTGTCCTGCAGCGCTTGTCAAAGAAGCTCACAGTCAAGGGATCCGCGAGTTCCCAGGGAGTATTCGTGTCGTGTCGTCGAGCCCGCTGCCCGGCCGTGTGCATCGGGATCCGTGATCTTCCTCGTACAGTGGGCCGTACGCGTCCCATGCATGTTGAGTCACTCAATGCCCTTGTTCCTTCCGGATAGAAATGCCTTTTTTCGCTTGTGGGATCTCGATTCTCGTGGGCATCCCAATCACTCACCCTCACCCCCGACTTTTCCCTCCTCAGTAGGTTTCTTGGGCCGAACCCACCCACTCCTCCCTCAACCGAGCTATGCGGACATCCTTATCCTCCCATGGCCACTCCCCTCCTCCCTTCTTCCCTTAAGCTTGTTTTCTGGGGGGATGGACGAATTCGCGTACGGCAGCGGTGAAATGACGCATACGCTGCGCGATAGAAATGAAGTACCGTTCCGAGGTCGAGAGGAGGGGTCTAATATACGGTATACTCACCCTCAACCTCAACTTCAACGTCATCTTCTTCTTCCCTTCCTCTCCCTCTGCCTCCGCGTCGGTGACCGAGCCGATTGGGGCGTCCAATCGGAGTCCACCACACCAAACCGCGACTTGGGGGTGGAGGGGTGCGAGATCGTGATACACCTCTTGCGGAACCGGCGCGCCGGATGCGAGAGCGAGGTCGGGGATTGTGGGTGCGGCGGGGAGGAAGAATGCGGTGAGGTGGAGGATCATGGGATGTGCCGCCACCCTCCCTCCTTCACATGTCTCATCCTTTGCAACCTCGATGGATTCCTGTTTGTCGCTTAATAGAAAATTTTCGAGAGCCGAGTTGGATTCCGGGATAGCGACCGACTGATGCGAACACAATAATCAGAATCCACCACCATTCCCTCCGCTGCCCTCGCCCTCAACATAGACCACGACACGTCCTGAGCAGGAGCTTGTGGTTGCTAAATCCTCGTGTTCATGGATTACATCGAGTAAAGGAAAGATCGGGGCGTCGGGTGGCCGTGGCCGTGGCCTTTTGGGAAGGCGTTGGGGAGGTGGGAGGAGAGGGCGGTGAGGGTGTAGGATCTGCGGGAGGAGAAGGGGGTTGGCTCGGCCGCGGGGGTTGACATAATGATAGCGGTAATATGCTGAAGCAGTTGTTAACGAACCTCGACGTATCTCCTGATGTTCGAAGGTCCGAAAAATAAAGCTTTTGGATTTTGTGTACGGAATTCAGGCACTTGGTCTCGAAATCTCCGAAAATGCACGTCGACGTTACATCCCACAATTTCCTTTCTCGGTCACTCCCGTGATCCCCCTCCATAACAAATGCCTTCTGCCTTTCAATGGAAGCCGGAGCCCCTCGATGGGCAGGGTGCTCCATTCACGCCTGTTAAGATAGAGGAAGGATGGCTCCCGATCATCAAGCACGAAGCGAATTACCCCGTAGAGATCTTCGAGTTGATTCTCGGTGAACTCGTTTACCACCCAGGTTGGTCCCCCTTCTCATCCTATATCCGCAAGTGTAACTAACGTGCAGCCATTGAGAAAGGAACTCAACTTCGATCTTACGAGCCGACATCCTCTACGACTCATCCACCAGCGACGACGACGACGACGACAATGCCGACACCCCAATCCCATCCCAATCAAAGACCTACGAAGTCGAGGATTACCAATTGGTACGACGTGTCGAGCGGCTTCTCTTACCGCGAAACCCAAATATCGACAAACCTCTCGCCCAAACATGTCTCTTCTACCGCTCCATCCCCTCCGCCGCCGCCGCCGCCGACGATGACCAAGATCCAGCATCGCTCGTAATCTACCTCCCACACGTCAATCGCGCAGAAGATGTCCCATTCTACCACCCCCCCGTCGCCGGTCTCGGATTCCTCTACACCCCCTCTTCACGCACGATCTCACTCTCCCTCCTCCTCCTCCCCGACACCCCCACCAACCCCCTTCCCACACGACTGACGAGAACCGCTGATGCCCTACTACGAACAATCCACAAACATTCCCTCGGCCGCCAAAACGGCTACCAAAAACGGGTGCATCACGACCTTCTCGTCCCCCGCTCCCTCTTCCAAGATACCTACCTCACCCTCAAATCCCGACACGCAAAACATCTTTTCGAGAATTGGGTCGAGCGGACGGATCCCAAGAAACACGTGTTTGAGGATTTAGGTATCGCGGCCTTTTTGGGTGGGTTGTGGACGGAGATTTATGGGAGGGGTGATTTGGCGAGTGCGAAGGAGAGGGTTAGGTTCGTTGATGTTGGGTGTGGGAATGGGGTTTTGACGCACATTTTGTTGGAGGAGGGATGGAGGGGATATGGATTTGACGCACGGCGGAGGAAGACTTGGGCTGTCCTGGGAGAGACTGCGCAGGCGAACTTACGCGAAGCGATCCTCATCCCACACCTCATCCCCGGTGCCTCCGAAGTCGAGGGAGAAGGATTCGAGGTCGAGGATGGGCGGTGGGAGGGGGATACGTTCATCATCGGGAACCATGCCGATGAGCTCACGCCGTGGATTCCACTCCTCGGGGCTACCTCGTCGTGTGCGTGGGTGGTTATTCCCTGTTGCCCACACGCCCTCTCCGGCGCCAAACACGCTACCCTCAAAGTCGGTGAGGGAGGAAGATACCATGCCTATGTCGACTGGGTCGAGGATGTAGCTACGAGGGCGGGGTGGGAGGTCGAGAGGGAGGCGTTGAGGATTCCGAGTACGAGGAATATTGCGTTGGTTGGACGACGGCGGTGGAGAAAAGAATTGGATGTGGGAGAGGAGGGGGCTGTGGCTGTGGAGAGGGTTATAGGGGAGGAGGGGGGTGCGGGGGGGTTCGTGGAGAGTGCGAGGAAGGTTGGGGGGAGTGGGGTTAGGGGGCATTAGAGGGATAGAGGAGAGGAGAGTAGAGACGGGGAGGGTTGGAGGATGGGGGTTGATGGTTTGGGTAGTGCGCCTGCACCGGTACCCATACGACGTGGACATGACTTGATCCGGGCGTGGACATGGGCATGTGGAGTGAGTTTACTACCAACGCGGGCAATGGTGCACAGTAGACTTCCTATGACTGGTGATTTCTTTACAACTACAACCCTAAACCGGTATTTTCCTCGGCTCCTTCCAAAATCTTATCACAATGGTCGAGTCATCGGGCACATGCTCGGTTACACCGACTGGCCATGAGCCGGCTGTGGTCGACAAGCAGCAGGGCAAAGCTTGGAAGATCGACAGCCAAGCTTACCGCCGAGCCGGTCGCCGGATTTGGAGAGACTCCGACTCCGATACGGGCGCGAAAGATGAGCTCCTCATCCCTCTCCTGCTTCCCTCCATCATGACCATACGGCACAGTAGCTACTGCGGATCAAGAGAGGCGATTCGAACCCGGACGAATATAAACAATCTTCTCGAATTAATATTTCGAACGACTCTCCCTTCCAAAGTTAATCTCCGTCGTGCTCTGCGTATACGCGATACCTGCCATACGCATGACGTCAGCACCCCAGAAACCTTGCACTCCATAAAACTCCTCCTCCTCCTCCTCCTCCTCTTCTCTCCTCCAAAATAATCACAAGTACCCCTTCGACGAATACCAGCATGACTACCCACCAGACCCCACAACGCGAGCCGCCGTTGTCGCCTTTGCTCGCCTCCGTTCCAGTCCCACCACCCCTCCTCATCCCCATCGTCCAAACCACCGCCGACGCTGTCACCATCACGCATGCGCCGGCGCCCACCACGCATTACCTCTTAACTCGACCAGCCATCCGTGCTTCATCTCGACATTTCCATGATCTGCAGTTACAGCGCCTCGTCCTTCCCGAGGGCGGAGGAGCCGCGAAACATGTTCCTGTGTTGAATATGGAATACCACTCTATATTGAGACATACGAAGGTTAGGGACGTGCTCACAAACAAAATCATCGCCAAGTTTTCTCAGAAATATGTCGAGCTACAAGGCGCTGAGACGCGTCGAGCATCTGTCGGGATGGAGCGGCCGCACACGCTATCATTCATCTTGGGTGGGGTGGGTTCGGAGTGGAAGTCGTCAGGACAGCATACTTGGACCGGCGCAAACGGAAACACTCAACTCTCTCTCGAGGAAATCCATCCAGATCCATCAAACCCGTCCCTCGACCCCAAAGTCCCGTACCTCATTGTTCGGGAACCGGACGCAGTACCAGGCGTAGCCGCAGCGAGTGGGGCGGCGGATGCGAGTACACAGCAAGGCAGGGAGAGGGAGTGGGTCTTGATTCAGGCTATGTGGATCGCGTGGGCGACGGAGGAGGAGGTGTTGAAGGTTGAGATTGATGGGTTGGGGAAGAGGAGGAGGAGGTTGAGTGTTGGGTAACCAACTGTCTCCCCTTCCTTCAGTGTACGATAAATGAGTGGATGCGCGCGCATATGGTGTGGGAATTTTTCTTACGGACTTATGTTTTGTTTTTTAACTGGAGTTTATTGGTACGGGGAGGGATGGGTTGGGTTGTACATCATTTCATAGCGACGAAGGAATGTAGTCGATTGGATCTCTCTTGTCACTATTTTGATGCATGCCATGTTTTCCAAGAATCGCACTCGAGCTCCGGTCCAACAAGGGTTTATACTTCCATTACCAACTCCGGATCCTCGCACGTAAGCTACTTTTCCATATGAGCACAGCGTGAGAACGTGAATGGTAACACGTGTATATGATATGATGACCTGCTAAAGGGCTTTGAAACAGAACCCAAGCAATAGGGATAAGCAGTATAAATAGTATACGATTCGTGCGATCTCAGCATGGTACCGTACTCTTCCCACAACTCAAATCCACGCAAAAACTAATATTCCGGCAACCACCGTAGCGCACGCCCAGATCTCAACAGCAGCAAATAAACAAGACCGACATGAATCTCTGTACCACCACAGATTTTCATCGCCCTTCATGTTTAGTCGAGATCCATCGGTCACACATCGAAAAATAAAAAACAAGACACAAACACTCTCTCGAATCTCATACACTCCTAACTAATCGCACACCTACCTCCGTGACGAAAGCCAGGTTACATAAAGTACATAACTTGCGCCAAATCACCCTTAATAGGCGGCAAAGCCGTCACCTCCGCATCCTCCTTCTCTCCAGATCCATGCCCACTACTAACCGTCGTCTCCGTCTCGCTGTAATCCGAGGACGTATCATGGTACCTAACCCTAGCAGACGCCAAATGGGCGTAGTAAACGACGGGAACGAGGGACACGCTGGTAGTGGAACGAGCGTAGACGTAGGACATGTTGTAAACCAACGTCTGGAAGTGGTTGACAGAGAATTTGTTTTCGTCGTGGATGACGTGGTAGTGAGTCGGGCGGGCGGTTCCTTGGAGAGCGGTATGGGCGACGAGGACTGTGAGGACACGGAGTTAGCTCAATTCGAGAGACATATCACTCTTATATCTTACAGAAATCAAATTCGCTCGGGTGAGTGACGGTCCTGTCGACCAAAGTCCCGGGAACGGCATTGCCGTTCCTATCCGTCGCATTCTGGCTGCTCGGGAAGAAACGGGTATGATGCCTCTTCTGCACGATACAAACCGTAATCTTGGGCCTATACCCAGCTTCCAATCCATTGCAAGCCTCTATACCGCGGAGTTAGCTTCAGCTAGCCAGAAGATAATTCCATGATATACCAATGATATCCTGAATCTCTGTATCCATAACCTGCTTGAACTGCCCCTCACTGACACCATCACGGAAATACAAGACCCTCTTCGGCTTCTGCTTCGTGTTTTTATAAAATGAGCGGAGAAGGGAGGTGACCATTGCCTTCATCTCACCGACCAATTCCTGACGACGAGCCTGGGTACGGGAGACAGCGGCGTACTTGGTAGCCTGCAAATCTGTGCTTCCGGTAACCGTAGCAAACGACGGCTTGGAGGACCCAGGAGAGGGATGCGAGACATCCGCACCCAGCAAGATCTACGTTCCCATTAGTCACTGTCACCAAAAACATAGTCTCCGGGGGTGGAGAGAACGTACCGTCGGCTCCTTCGCATCAAGCGGCAACCCTCCCGGCCCAAGCACAACATTAACCCCACCCAACTTACAATTCCACTTCATCACAACATTCGCACAATACTGCGGTTTCGCCTGCATGACGTGTTTCCCCTGCAAAACCTGACTCGCCACCCCCAACTCAATATCACAAACCCGTTTAATCTCACCATACAACTCCGCCCCTGCAGAGGGAACGACAAACACCAACATATCCGGGCGAGCGTTGACGGCATTCCCGGCCGCGCGCCAGATATTCGTGATTTCCTGTTGGATGGAGCCTTGTGGGTTCGCGTACGCGATCGGCGGGGTTTTGTTGCCGAAGGTGAGACCCATATCAACAGCCACCGTCACAAACTGCCGACAAAAATTCTGCACGGCCTGTTGCGGCAACCGATTCGGCGAATCAAACACGAGGACACCCCACCCCTTCGTCAACTTCGCCTCAAACATCTTTTTTCCCTGGAGGTTCCATTTCCCGTCACGAGGCTGGACAACCGCCTCCCGACTCGCCTTCCCATACACGATCTTCGGCGCGGGCAACACCCTCGCCTCACTAACCATCATCTCCCCCGCAATCCCCATCCCATACTCCTTCAAATACCCATCCCTCTCCCACCCCAAATCCTGTACATTCTGCCTAATCTCGGAACCGCGTTCGTTGGGACGCGTACACGTGATTTTGATCATGTCGGATGTCTGCCTCTCATTTAATTTGCGGAGGTATTTTTGGCTGGGGGTGGTGAAGCACAACTCCATTGGGATTTTCTCTTTGCGCATTGTTTCGAGAATTGGGAGGGTTGGGTGTGCGAGGCGTTTGTTGTATTTTTGGAGAAAGTAGGCGGAGAGGGTTGATTCTGTCCCGCCGGCACCGGTATCGCGATCGGCACCGAGTTGGAATTTGGTTGTTTGCGAGTTCGTCGGGAGGACACGCTTGATTTTCTGGCTTATCCCCTCCGCCTTCTCACCCCTATGCTTCACGAAAAACCCTACGCCCTTTAACTCCCGATTCAACAACTTCATATCCCTATCGCTCATCCTCTGTAGATCCTGGGGGCCTCTACGGCCAAGGATGAGGACGGACAAATCGACGAGGGTGATCCCGCCGGACCAGAAGACAGTCGTGGCGGTATCGACGTTGACGGTCAAACACCCAAGCGTGGGACGCACACTCTGGAAAATCCCCTTCCAAGCCTCAACACCACCCGCCAAAGGCCTCGCACGACCACCTTGGAAGAAGTTACGGCCAACGGATTTGAACAATCGCGCAGGCGTCTGACGCAAAAGATTATCAAGCAAATTGATAGCCTGCAACACACTCTCATCCTTCCCCCACTTATTCTCCACGAACCTTTGTAAAACCTCGAGGTTGATTTGGTTGGTGTACTTGACCCTGACCTTGAACACGTTTTTCCTATCCTTGCCCTTCGCGTCTCCTCCCGCCTTTTCGGCGCCGGCGGAGAGGTCGACGTCTTTGGTGAAATCGTTACCGAAGGGGAGGGGACCGAGGGAGTATGCGATCTTACGACCATCGAAGATGACTTTTTTTTCGCCGAATTCTTCTTGGACGGAGGGGGCCGACCAGACTTTACGGCGGACGGCGGGGGAGGCGTCGTCGGAGCCGATGGTAACCTGGCAAAGCGAAGCATTAGCGAGCTTGTTCGAGCGTGAATTGCATTGACCTCTCCGTCCTCGTAGAACGTCCACGTACTCTGATGCCGTGTGCGATGCAGCGAGAAAGCTCAACCGAACACCAGAGGAACACGCGTACAGAGGAGTGGAGGACGAATGAGGAATACGTACATCATACTGATAAATCGTCCCGGTAGGTAACTTCGTGACCTTGTAGTGATTCAACTTGACTTGAGCCGCGGCTCCGGCTGTGCTGAATCCGGGACGGCGGTAGAATCCGGTTACTTGGATGGGAGCTTCGCCGCGGGCTGGCATCTTGACGTGAAGATGGATGGACGGTCGGTGGAGTGGGACGGGAGACGACGAGGGCGTGACGGCACTGCCCGTCTCTCCAACCCTTGCTCTCCTCCATTGTCGAAGAACGGCCCGTGCCCGGCTGCGTGTTGGGGATGTCGTATGATGTGCATGACGCTGCCGACGGGAAGGGAGAGGCAATCTGCTACGAACACGAACGACAACCTCCACCCTCTCGAACTCCCTTCCATCTTTATTTTTCAGCAATCCGGATGCATGGTCCCGCTCGTCCATCTCATCCCCATAGCAACCAGCATCTCGGAAGGCCCGTGCCGAGATGCGCAGTCGGCGGTTCGAAACTTTAACGCCGGACTAGATGTCCCCCGCTCTTCCTCGTAGCGAAAATCTGGGGTCCCCAAGCTCTACCTCTTCCATCTCCTCTGATTATTAGGATGGCGAAGCATGAACACGATACGGGATCAGCTTCGACGCTGTCAGTGGGCATGAACGACAAAGATTTACGAGATTTGGAGCTCGATCCGTTGCCGCAGCCGGCGCACGAGGATACCCCCGTCCTCCCCAACACGCGTTCAGAGAAAGTACAGCATCCAGTACTGACAACCACCGCCTCCGGATCTACCGAAATCAAAGCAACCGTACAAGACGTGCCACCAAACGGCGGATATGGGTGGGTCGTAGTCGCCGCAGCGTTCGGCGTTACGGCGAGTTCATGGGGTATCAACTCGTCATTCGGAGTCTACCTCTCACATTACCTCGCAAACGACTACTTCCCCGGCGCCTCCTCCATGGACTTCGCTTTCGTCGGTGGACTATCCGTATCACAAGCAATGCTAATCGCACCACTCGCTACATACCTCTCAGGCGTATGGCACTTCAAGGTCGTGATGACGATAGGGTTGGTGTTGGAGGTCGGTGGGTTAATCCTGAGTTCCTTCGCCCCACCTCGGTTGTGGATGCTTTTCCTCGGGCAAGGTGTCATGTTTGGTTGGGGTATGGGATTTCTCTTCGTTCCCGCCATCGGGCTACCGGGGCAGTGGTTCTCGACACGACGAGCGCTCGCGTCGGGGATCATGGCTGCGGGGAGCGGGTTTGGAGGTATGGCGTTTAGTTTGGGGACAAATGCGATGATTCAGCAAATCTCTTTACCGTGGGCATTCCGCATATCAGCGATCGTAGCTGGGGTGGTACTTGGGACTGCAATTCTGTTGTTGAGGAGTCGGGCGAAGCTGGTAGGGGATAAGATGCGGCCGTGGGATTTAGGGTTGTTGAGGAATACTGGGTATGTCGCTGTGTTGGCATGGGGGTTCTTGTCGATGTTGGGGTACATTGTTGCTTTGTTCTCGATCTCGTCGTATGCTGTGGCTACGGGGATGACACAATCTCAAGCATCACACCTCAGTGCAATCGTAACGGCGGCGATGGCGGTTGGACGACCACTGACGGGATACTACGGGGACCGTACGGGGCGCATCAACATGGGCATCGGAGCGACGTTCTTCGCTGGCTTGACATGTTTAGTCATCTGGATGTTTGGCAGGTCATATGGTGTGATGATATTCTTCTGTATCCTCCACGGCGCCGTCTCGGGAGTATTCTGGGTCCTCTGCACCCCCATCACCGCGGAAGTCGTCGGTGTCTCGAACCTCGGCGCAGGACTCTCGATGCAATGGATCAACATCGTCCTACCCACAACATTCGCAGAACCAATCGCCTTAGCACTCGTTCAGCGGATGAAAGATGATGGGAAGATTGGGGCGGATTCGTATTTGGGCGCGATTGGGTTTGCGGGCGGGACGTTCGTGTTGGCGGCGGTGGTGTTATGGTGGGTTAAAGTATGGAAGCAGAGGGAGGTTTTGGGGAAGGAGGCGGGGTGGAGGGTGTTGGGGAAGGTGTGACGGGGAGCGTGTTTGGGCAACAGCATTTTGAGACAGCATCATTCTCCTATCCAATACTTATTTGCAAGCATCTTTGGTTACTTCACCTGTTCAGCTCCTCACAAATTCAGCGGCTCCTGTTTCCCACGCGTTCGCGCCCGGCTACGGAAGAGGCCCGTGCGAATAGATTGCGCACTTATCACCCACCAATCAGGTCAAAAGGAAATAAAAGGTGAAGCACGGGGGAATTGACCCAGTGACTTTGCCACAGGCCAGAGGCGGCAGGAGGTGTCCCCCCCACAGGCCAAAGGCGGCAGCGCTACCACTACACCACATCGCCTGTACTGAGATATATGGTAAAACCGACATAAATAAACCAGGAAACCGTGCCAGATCAGGCATTGATCTCCCTCCCCGCTCCACCTGACAGGTAGGTACCTGACAACGCATGTCGTGTGAGCGATCGCGATCGCAACGACAGCAATCAGGAAGGTCACCAATTCCAGAATAAAAAATACAGAGAAATGGCACAACCGCCTCGTCCGGATACCTGGATGCTCAGCCATATGGACGACGAAAGGTTGTGGCAAGGCATGTCACTCCCATCGTTCGCTTTCGTTTGCGCGTCCGGGCAGTTTTGGACTAGCGTAGACGACCTTGTCCGATGTTATGTGTGGGACTTGGAAACAACCGAACTTTACCTGACGGCACTTGGTAATCAAAGAGAGCTGGGACGGGTCGAAGCAAGCATGTTGTCGTTCGTTTCAAGGCGTCTCTCGCCTTATTCTATTCAGGCCAGTGTGTGCCGTATCTCTCTCCGGACTGAAGCTTATTATTTCTCCAGAATGAGGCACTCCAGTTCTACCATGTTATCAGTCTCCCAGCACGCTTTCAGGGCATTGGTGCTGATACCCTTCAGTTTTCCAATATGGAATTCTCAGTCAGATGGATATAGACGAAACGTCCCAACCGCCGCTGCCGAGGGCGGAGAGAATTCCCGTCCCGCCTACATCTCAAACATCGATGCCGTACTGGGGGTTACATCTGGCGACAGGCGTGAACGGTCAGCAGGCGGCGCAGCCGCTACCTCAACAACAACCACACGAACAGCAACAACAGCAGCAACAGCAGCAACAGCAACAACACCCGCAACCTGCTGAACAAACTGCCCCTGCTGACCTCCACAATTCTGACGACGAGGGTTCAGGGCTTCGCCGAAGGCCTGGTCTGTCAGGGTCAGCTTGGCGTGCAATACTAAGGCACATACGCGGTTGACTTTTGAGCCGGCGATTAAGACAGCACAACTCAGATTAAGGTACAAGTATACAATTATCGGCACAACGAGCAGCAGTATATCTACAGAAACTTCGAAAAGACTTGTATGATCAATGATCAGGGTTAACGTTCGCTGAGGCGGACCTCTCGAAACGCACGAATGACTTCGTATCCCGCTCGTTTAGGGTGAGGAGGATCCGCATTGTTAGGACAGGTATGGGCGAAAACTCCTGCAAGATCTCAAAGTCCAGTACGCGTATGTTCAGGTGGAGTGATACGCTTCAAGTGATTAGTGGATAACGATGGAAGATCGACGACGGCTGTGCGATACTGAAAAACAAGAAAGTATGCGCGGAATATGAGTTTGTCGAAGTGTATATGATAGCACAAAGCGACCTCCCGCGTGGGAGTTGTAGAACCCCAAAGGAACACAAACGTACAGCCGCCACAACTGCAAGTGAGACCCGTAACCCCAGGAGAGTTAGCTGATCAATATTTGGGTCCACTCCACCTCACTTGAGGACATGCGCCTTCCGCGACAGGGGCCCACGGCCGCGATACCTGTCACGTACACCGCTCATGTATGAACGCTTCTATTGCAAGCCCAAGAAGTCGATCGAAACAAAGCCCAAGGAAAACACAGATTGCTCGACAATCCAAGGATGTGGCAGCGTATGTCGCTGATATTATATGCGTGACTCTGTTTGGGTCATAAGTGGGCAAGGTTTGCTGAATGGCTCGTGGCATACACGGGGGAGTTGCATACCACGAAGGATTACTTGACAGAACTTGCGACGATGCGTGAACTGCGTCCCGTTGAAAGGGATATGCTAGATCCTGTGTCGAATCGTTTGTCACCACGGTAGTGTCATCTCCACCTTGTACGTCTATAAGGTTAAGACTTACTGTTGATACTCAGCGCGAGATATATCAGGTCAACGAGGGTGCTCGCGTCGTTGAGATCCTCGCCGAGCGTCACCCGGGTGTTGCCGCCGACTTCCGTAACTTCGCACAGCTGAACGGATACATCGAGAGCGAGGCAGCTGTTGCGGGAACGAACCAGCAGCAGGGTTTGTTAAACGCAGAGAGTTCTCCTGATGATCCTATATAACGGCCACGCTCCAGCCTGAACAGTATTTCAACACCTGGGTGCCCAAACAGGCCGCCGCGCACGCTCAACACCCAGAACAGATTGCACAGGCTACCCAAGTTGAACAACCGCAAGAACCCCAGGAGCAGCCTGTTTCACAAGCATTCCCGCCAAATGGATCTAATGGGCAACAATGAGGCACCATCGCATTTGAGGACACATCTGAGATCCAACGCTTCCGTTTAGGGTATCGGTACCGAGCTATGATCAGGTTGAGAACAAGGATGGTTGAACGATAGTGAAGATATGAGAGTGTAAGCGAGATTCGAGCGATACAAATCGTATATGAGAGCACGTAAGGGGGGTGGGAGTTGTAATAAGTGAATTGCATTCATACGTTGTTTATGGGTATGTCGAGAGCGTATGGCGGTAAAATTCACAATTGTAGCTGAATGGGTTCATTGCCTATCTTTAGGCCTGAAATCTTAAAAGAAAATAATAACAGCAGCCACGGGGGATTCGATCCAGCGACTCGTCTGGGCGGTATGACGAGAGCGCGTTAACGCAGAGGCTTTATCCCCGCATAAAGACGAAAAGAAACAGGGCCACTGGGGTTCGATCCAGAGATTACATCCGTCAAGACGTGGAGGCGATTTCTCGCGACCGGCTAAAACATGCCCACAACCTAACCACTATAACAAACCCCAGGTGCCTGGTTTTATGTAACATACCAGATGATACCCGTGAAATCCATGAGTTTGTCCAGAGATAGCTGACAACCCCGACTCAAATCCCAGCAGGCCCATGCGGTACATGGGAAGAATCCTGTTTGAGTGACGTGTCCGATCAAGGTCCGACAAGAGAAGTAAACGAGAAGTAAAACGATCCGAAAAAAGAGCCTGAGGTACAATGGCGGATTTGCAACCGCCAACGACTTGGTTGCTTTCGAATCTCGACCCGGCCGCGGGCAGAGGTTGGACGGAGATGTCGTTGAGCTTTTTCGCATTTATTTGTGCTGGTGAATCCTGGAAATCACTCGAAGATCTCAAAGGCGCTTACATCTATGAATTGAACGAAACGAAGGGATATCTCATAAAGTTGAGCGACATTCGTCCCCTGGTAAGGCGTGAGAAGGAGATGCTGCGCTTTGTGCGATGGCGTCTGTCTCCTAACCCGTTCAATGTATGCCTTCCTATGATATCTTGAGCTCAGAACTGATCGTTCTTGGTCAGATGGAGGTGACGGTATTCAGGCATACTTCTTCTCTCTGTTTCCGGAATTCTGACTTCGGGGCGGAAGTTCATGATTTTACGTTATACGGCACTAGCCCCATGATGCTCGACATGAAGGAGCGCCGCCCCAGGGCAGCTGTAACTTCGTACCCTACCATACCTAATCTTGCGCCCGCGTCGAAGCCATTGTGGGGACCACCCGGTCCCATTACTGAACCGGCCCCCATTGCTTGGGTACCGGTGTTTTACTCGCAAGACGCACTGACGCAGCGACAGCCGGGCATGGAAGTACCCGAAGATCAAGGGACACCGGAAGCCCAAAACCAGCAAGCAGGTAATGCTCCTCACCCCGACATTGCCCAGCAGGCGGAAGAGCAAGCACCAGAAGCACCACCCGCTGCACAAAATGCCGAGTCCGACAGCGATGAGCTCGAGGGACCCCGGGCTCGCCACAAACGAAGACGTGGCGGTTAGTATCATATGTCGGAGTTTGTACTTGGCCAAGAGTTCTTACATCACTCACCGGTCACTACCAACAAGATCCACAAGCATCATCAATGGACACCCATCAGTAAGCTCGATGTTCGCGGACAAGGAGTTCTGCGAGAGGGTACACGACACTGTATTGCTATGTCAATATCGACGATGATTATTTATATTCGCATGAGTATCGAATGAAGAAAACAAAGACAGAAAAAGGTATTCTTCCAAACGGCGATAGCTACAGCATCATATAGGAGACGGTGATAGGGATCAGGTGGGGTGACGAAGGTTGTACGATACGAATTGTACGAGTACGGGATGTGACGAGAAGATGAGAAAAGGGTATAGCATATCTGTGCGTGAGTGAAGTAATCTAGCAAGTAAATGGTATCAATATGCTTTTTCTAGGTATATGGTCTAGCGGAACCTCGTATGGAAGGCATGAAGCGGTAAGCAAATGGTGTTAATATTCTTCTCTAGGTATATCGTATCGTAGCGAGTCACGTAGTCGTACATGCAAAACCTTCCGTGCCACAAACCTCAGAACATCACCGTCAACATCCTCGCCATCCCACCCGCTTTCCGCATAACGTCACCGTCTCACACAACATACCGGAACATCAAATCCTTATCCCCCCTCTCCGCCCTCTCAACCGCCCCCCCAACCTGCCTCTCCCCATTCCTAACCCTCTCCTCCCTCCTCCCATTCTCCCTTCCCAACATCCAACTCAACACCACACTCCCAACCAACGCACAAACCAAATACCCCAACACAACCCCATGTCCAAGCTCATAATGTGGCGCATCCCGCGCGCGATAGATATTTGAGGAAACGACCCCGTTGAGGTTACCCCAGGATATGGCGAGGGCCATGACGATGCCGCGTTTGTAGGAGCCTTCGGTGTTGTTGGAGATCCAGGAGACGGTGTTGGAGATGCAGGGATATACACCGGCGGCGGCGAGGAAGACGCCTGCGTAGCGGACGTTGGCTGTCGAGGAAGGGACGATGTTCATGATGTAGCCGATAATGGCTAAGGATACACAGACGATGTTGTAGATTCCGCGACGTTGGGTACGGTCCGCTGCGAACCCGACACCGACGGTAACGACGCATGCGACGACGTATGGGGGTACGGAGAGGAGTTGTGCGCGGGTATTTGTGTATCCGAGTTCTTTGATGATGGAGGGGAGGAAGAGTGAGAATGCGTACAAGGGTCCGTCGATACCCATGTAAATCACCATCGCCATCCATGTTTTCCAATCGCGTAGTGCGTCCCAGAGGCGGGACATTCGGAATGGTTCGTGGACGCCGGCGGAGTATTGCGCGTCGGCTTGGAGACGGGCGATTGTCATTGTGCGTTCGGTTGGAGAGAGGAATTTTGCGGTGTCTGGGAAATCGGGTACGATCCAGAATGAAGCGACACCCGCGACCACGGTCAAGAGACCTTCGAGGATGAAGATCCATGCCCATCCTGGTTTATTCCCGATTCCGTCCATTTTTGCGATGGCGGCTGCGAGAAGGCCGCCGAATGCGCCGGAGACGGTAGCGGCGGAGAAGAAGATTGCGGCGCGGAGGCCGTACTCACGGCGTTTGTACCAGCAGGAGAGGTAGAATGTTACGCCGGGGAAGAGACCAGCTTCGGCTACACCGAGGAAGAATCGAGCAGCGAGGAGTCCGGAGAAGTTTTCGACGAGGCCCATGAGTGTCATGCACGTTCCCCAACACAGCATAATTCCGGGGATCCAGATACTCGGTCTCAACCGCTTCAAGAGGATATTGGACGGGACCTCGAACAGTGCGTATGGGAAAAAGAACGCGGTGAGTGTCCAGAGGTATTGTTGGTCCGTCATGTTGAGGTCTTTATCCAGACCTTCGATTTTCGCGTTTCCGATGTTTGCGCGGTCGAGGAAGGAGAGGAGGTAGAGGAAGGAGAGGTAGGGGATGAGGCGGAAATCGATTTTGCGGAGGAGGGCGCGGTCTGCGGCCGGGTCGGCGAGGGCAGGGTCGATGGGGAGTTCGAAGTGGCCATGGTCTTTGAGGGAGGAGGAGTCGCGGTCGGGGGAGGTGGCGTAGGTGCCTTTCTCGTGGTCGAGGTTTTCGAGGTGGGTGATTTGATGTTTGTCGAAGTCTGACATGGTGTGCAGATCAATCGCGTTGAGCGACGAAGGGACAGCCGACGGATCAGCTACTTTATAGGGAGGAAGGACTGGCCGAGGCTAAATGGCGGGGCGACGGGGAAGGCAACGTAGAGCGGTCTGGGGAAGCAGCGGGGGGCGCGTGGCTGCCGACGTATGTACGATGCATAGGTGGCCGGCCTGCTTCGTTCTCCGTGTCCGTCATCGGACCTTGTGCGGGGAGTGCGGCGGTTCAAGCGGGTAAGCTCACACAGGCGAGAGCGCATCGAAGCGATCGCGGTGGTGGAGCAAGGAGAGACGTTTCATGGACGAAGTAGGATTGACCTGTCAAGCCGTTCCGTTCGAATTTGTCGTCAGATCAAAGGGACGGCACATGTCCAAGTCCGATTTAGCCGATTAACCCGGACTCCGCGCGTGAAGCCCCGGTCGCGGCCGTGCGGGGAAATGGTGCTGCTGAGTGGAGCCCCGTCCGGCCGCGTGATGGGATCGGTAACGTAACGTCAGGTGGACGTATGGTAGCCGAGGTGATCTATTACTAGTACATCGACGGGAATGTTCACCGTCAAGCTGTATCGCGACATGTGTAGCGAGTGTCATACCAGAATAAGAGTAGTATCTTGCTGATGATTATGGATGGGAGGAAGTCCCATATTTATATATAGTTGATATAAAGGAGTGCGACACACTCTACATTACTCCCCCCTCCCATCCATTCTTGGTCTAAGTCATGTGACTGCAGAAAATGCGAAACTCACCATGACCGGCGTCTGAACCACTTGCTCGGACAACCAGCTTGAACGTTCGAACGCCGCTCCGATACAGTTTGCTCGAGTCGGTTCAGATTGCACGTTTGCTCATCGTACTGTCCGCTCCGTTAGGGTTAGGGTTAGGGTACCCTAACCCTAACCCTAACCCTTCGATCCGATCCGATCCGATCCGATCCGGCCATCTTTTGCGAGCTTCGGCAGCGAGACGCCTGCGAGTGGATGGGTCGACGACTCTCTCGTGCTTGTCCCTGAAGTGGCGTGCGATGTTAAGAGTGGTTCCACATCGACAGAGCCGGCATACGAGGACGCGAAACTGGTCCAGGTCAGTGGTTGCTATCCTCGATAGATTTTCTTGCAAAGCACGATACATGAAGAATGACCATTACAATACAATGGATTAAAAACTATTGCTATCGTACACCTCGAGTGATCGTCCGTTTCATCCCACGCGGTTGCTCAATCGTTCATTGTACACCACATCGACTTCTCGCCTTCCACAAACACCTACTCGTTCGCATCAGAATATTGCTCTCCACCATTCCTGACTAACCCACCCCCAATGAACCTCCCGACCCTCGCCCTAGCATAATCCACGTACCTCTCCATACTCCCCTCATCCCCTTTCCACACCCCATCTCTCCCCTTCCCATCACTCCAAACAAACTCCCTCCCAACCCTCTCCCAATCCACAAAATACCTCTGCAACGGCACCCCCCTCCCAACTTTCTCCCACTTCGGCAATCCGGCAAGAATGAGTGCTCCACGCGTCGAGGACGTCCCGAACGCGTTGAAGAGGGAACAGGTGCGGAGGGTGTTAAGGACGTGCCACCCTGCTCCAATTTTGAGTCCGTATGCGTTTGCTTCGGCGGGTGGGACGCGTTGTCCGCTGCCGTCGCCGTGTCGGCCCGCGGCTTCGGCGTCCGCGACGAGATAGTCGAAGATGGTGGGGAGGGGGTCGTTGTCGAAGCGGAGGGAAATTGAGTCGATGTTGGAGGTGACTTGTTTGTCGTAGTGAGTGCGGAAGGCGTAGTTTCCGATGGGTGGGGATGAAAAGGTGTGGTGATGGATTTGGGTTTGGGTGTTGGGGAAGAGGGTGGAGAAGACGTGGGGTGGGGAGAGGAGTGTTAGAATGGACTGTGTTGCGAAACTGTAGACCCATTTGTTAGTCGCATCCCGCAAGGGGCATCAGACTGTTTGGACTTACCTCGCAATCGCACCACCAATCCCATATCCCAAGATCCAAATCTCAGGCTTCGCATCCGTTTTCATCGAAGCGAGCATAATACTCAACTCCCTCATGATCCTCGTCTCCAACCCCTCCGCCGCATACCACAACGCCCAGAAACCTAAATGTACATACGTACCCCCACTCGTATACTTATTCGTTCCTTGACTAACATCTTCCTTCTGCGCTTTCGCAACGATCCTCGCATACGGCAACGCAGTCGACGGGAATGGCGGCAAAGGCGCTGTGTCGGGGTTAATCTTGGTGAGGATTCCGTCGGGCGCGAAATCCGCAAACGACAGCTGCCCACGAAAGATAACGAAGATCCGATCCGCTGAATCCTTCGCGATAATGGCTTTGACCGCGTGCTCACCCCCAACACCCGTCGCGCCAATTCCATACTGCTTCGGAATCTGCCAGATCCTCGAATTGTAGAACGGACCCGCAGCCGAAACGAGATGGGTGGTAGCAGAGGAGTCATACCCAGCAAGCGCCCGCTGAGTCTCTAACTCGAAGGTGCGCGAATCCGCGGCTGCGGCGTGGAGGAGTCTAGAGGAGAGAAGAAGACGGCGATTGAGGTCTGTATCCATTGTGATTGAACAATTGATGATCGTGGTGGGTATATAGGGTTATCTGGGGTTATTCGGAGTTACAATTCACAGTTGGTTGATGAGGGAATAAGGTTTCGGTTGTGCGGACCCTGTTTGGACAGCTGAGGGCTTCATGCGACATGCGCTCATCGTGACGATTCGCGCTCGTTATACAGAAGGGGCAGGAGCGAGAACCTCTGCAAAGAGAACACTGCGATCTATCCTTTCCTTAGCTATGGGACCTTCAGCTGCTCCTTTCGCACTCGGTTGTGCTGGTTGCAGTGGTTACCTTTACCCTTTGGGTACCGGCGCGTCGGACTCTGTGGCGCATGTTCGTCCAGCCGCGGGCATGGGGAACCGTGCACGTCTACGTTACACGGTTTCCTCGACGAACAATTTTGGAATGCACTCACAAAGATCTATCCTACGAGCCTCCCGCCTACGACCAACGTGTCAACAACGATACCAAAGCACCCAACCAGTCAGCTCCCTCTTCGACGACATCTCCTCCTCCGAATCCCCTACCAACACAGCAGATGAATCAACACCATACGTGCCAGAAGACGAAGACATCTTCCCCGCCCAACAATATTTCGCATCAGCAATAAAAGCTGGGGTGTTGAAAGACATTGGTATCGAAGGTATCTACGATATTTTACGCCAAGCACGAGCAGCTGGTCTAACTGCACAACCTCTCTTGAACACGAAGGGGAGCGCCACTGATCCCTCCACGCTCTCTATCCTCGGCAAGATCCTCCTCCGGGCAAAATCTGCAGTCGACACCCCAGAAACAGCCTCAGAACGGAAAAAACTTGGGTACCTCTTGCTTCGATCCGCCAATACCCCCGAAGCAACAATCTTTATCTCCCGCTCCATTCTACGATCACCGACAGCCACTAAGGAGGAGACAGAAGAAGCAATCGCAACACTCTCCAAACTTGCCCAGCAAAAGCATCCCGACGCAGCCGTAATCCTCGGCGGCGTCCTCCAATCCCACGGCGACCTCACAAAAGCCTCCGCCCTCTACAAAATCGGCGCAGAAGCCGGTAATGCGGAAGGCTGGCTCGGCCTCGGCCGTATCCAACGCGCAAACGGAAACCACGACGACGCGCTATCCGCTTTCAGAAAAGCAGCCGACATGAACCATCCCTACGGCCACTTCATGCTCGCCATCGCGGACCCTTCCGCACCCGAATCAATGACCCACCTCGAAGCCGCCGCCACGAAGGGAATCCCCGAAGCTGCACACAACCTCGGTGAACGCCACCGCCTCCAAGGAAACCGAGCGTTAGCACAGGAGTGGTACGAAGTTGCCGCACGCGCTGGATTTCAGATTAGTATGGTCAACCTTGCCATGATGCTCAAAGATAATGGGGAGGGGAAGAAAGCGAGTGTATGGTTGGCGGCTGCGAAGCGAAGTGGGGGACAGGTTGCGGAGGATGCGCAGAGATATTTGGAGAAGTGGGGGCAGGAGGGGGAGGAGAAGAAGGGGACGTGTATTGTTATGTAGTGCTGCCTATGTAGGGTACCGATGACCAACCATGTGAAGCTCCCCGTGAACCTGCTCAATAATGTCTCCCGACGGGGAAGTTTAGAGCAACACCGCTCGTACATTAGGTGGTTTTACCAAGCTATTCTGAATACATGACTACGCCGCCCTAACCCCATACCAAACCAACCCCATCACGCTCCCTCCCACAACCGCAATAGCAGGCGGCACCTTAAACCACTCACACCCCACAAACGTCCCCGCAGCAACAACCCCCCACCACCCGTCCCCATCCAAACTAACCCCAACAGTCCCCACACCCCCCGGCGCATCCACCAACCATCCCACCCGCCATAATCGCCATACTGCGGTCCAGAGCAGTCCTACAGCGGCGGCGTTGACACCGCGGAGGATGGAGCGGAAGATGGGGTGTTTGTTGATTCGGGCGTAGACGGGGAGGATCGCAAGTTTGAGGATGATCCCTGGGGCAAAGATACCGAGGTATCCGAGGAATGCGCCGAGAACTGGGTTGGATGGGACGGCCAGGACACCGAGGTAAACGCCAAAGTTGAAGTTAGGACCCGGGAACGCCTGCAAGATCGCGAAACCCAATAAGAAATCTCGTGGGGCAACCCATCCGGGATCAACGGTGTACGAACGTAGGAGCGGAATCACGACAGGTCCTCCACCGAAGATGATGGTGCCGGCGAGGTAGAGCGAGGTGAAGAAGTCGAATGTGTGGGGTGGGTGTGGAAGGTGTGATCGAAGCGTCAGAAACAGCGTCAGCGACACCACAAACAACGCGAGGAAGGCCAAACCGCCGAAAATGGACAGGGTGAAGTAAGTGTTGATCGCTGTCGTTGGTGTAGCCTGCTTGACGGAGGAGGATGGATGAGATTCGGGGGGAGGAGTCATGGGGCGGGAGAGGGGGACGGAGCGGTTGCGGAGGGTGTTGTGAGGGGTTACGGTTGCCGGATCGGAGGCGATGAGGTTGTCTGGGACGGTGGTGATGGCGTCTGGGTGGGAAGCATTGGGTGCGAACGTATCGAGCTCGACCTCCTCATCCCTCTCATAAACACCCGACTTGCGTCCCTCCCCGCGCGACAAGACAGAGGAAGCCGATACGGACGTCGCCTCTTCCACGGGTGCGTTCTTGCGACGGATGGAGCGCAAAACCTTCTGAACACGCTCGTTGTCCCAGATGAAGGTCGTCAAACCTCCCCCAACCATCATAGTCGGAAACAACCACTGCGCCTCAAAACAACACGAAATAGCAGCAGCAACAAACAGCGTAACCCGCGTAACATAATCCGTAATCGTCGACGCACTCAAATTATACGCCGCAAGCGCAATCAACCCGACAGCAGCCGCATTGAGTCCCGTAAACAACGCCAACACGATCCCCGGCAACTTCTCCGGAATCTGCCTCACGCCGAAACCCAGAGCCAACATCCCTAAAGCTCCAGGTAAACTCCAGATCAAAAACGCCAATAAACCACCCAGAATCCCCGCTCGGACAAGGGCGATCGAAAACGCCAACTGCGTCGACCCAGGCCCAGGCAACGCATTCCCCAAACCATAGAGATCGTTAAAGATCGTCTCGTCAACCCATTGGAGTTTGTCGACGAAGAGGCGGCGAAGGAGGATAACGTGTACGCCTGGACCACCGAAGGAGGTGAATCCGAGGGGAGCATAGGCACGGGTTACTTCGACGAGGCGGTGGAGGAGGGGTTTGCGTGGTTCCTCCTCGACGGAACCCAGCTCATGATTCGCGACCGTCTCCATGCTGGCGATGGCGATGGATCAAAGGAGGAAGGAGATCCATGATGCCCAGCTGGTGGTTTATATGGAGAGCACAGCCACACAGCTTTCCCATGGCCGTACGCTCGCTGAAATGCCGCACATGCATGGACCCGCTCGATCGACTGAGCCACACAAATCCGAGGTTCGCCTCGCTTCGGCATCCTTATTTGTCGAAATTACTTTGGGTACACGAAAAAAACAAGTCTATAGCAATACCAAAGAAACCCATGGCCAGTTGTAACCCAGCAATCGATGCAAATGCTCCCAGCGCAAATCCATCATCTATCTCTAACCATGCACTTGCACTCACGCATCTATACCTCTATTCAATAACAACCCCACCCCCCTCCCTCCAAACCCCCTCCAACCCACCCCCCCTGCCCCCCACAAACACAACCTGCTCCACAACTCTCTCACCACCATCCTCCTCGACGGAGACCAAGGGATGATACTCCACTCCCTCCTCCCCATCCCCCTTTTGCTCATCTTTCTTCCCTTCAGTGATGTCGACGAGCGCGGAAGACGCAATAGTCGAGAGCGTAGGCACAACCCCAAAAAGGGACGCAGCACGACTCCTCACCATCGGCGTACACTCACCCGTGCCAAGTCCCGAATCCATACTATTCTGCCTCTTCGGAACGGGCGCAGTAACCCCCTGACCGCCCTCAGAACCACCACTTCTTCCCAACAGGGCGCTGACGGCCGTTAAATCCAATCCCAAAGCCTGCGCGTTCTCAGGGGAAGCACGAGAAAGCGACGTAGAGGCTCCATACCCCTCATCATCTGACGCCTCCTTAGCAGCCGACGGAATCCGTGCACGTGCGACAGGACCAACAAGGATCTTCTCATCAACACACTCACTCCCCATCCTACCCCCGCTCCTCGCTTTCCCAACCCTCGTCTTCCACTCCATCCCCTGTGTTGCTGTATCCTTGACATACCCATCCCTACACCATCCCTCCCATTTATCCTTCCCCACCACCACGGCGAAGAGGTACACGCGGGTATTGGTAACCCTCCCCAACCTCATCTGCTCCTGACGCGCAAACTCGAGGTCAGGATACGTCACCATTCCCATCCTACTCGTCAAATCCCCCCCACAAGCCCCCACACTCCCAACCCCACCCCTCGGGGGACTCGCCGTAAAATACGTATGTAAATCGGCCAACGTGGTAGGAGCGTAGAGTACCATGTCCTCGCCTCCATTTTTGTTAATGACGCGATCACGGACTTTCATGCGTTCCACGAAATGTTTGTTTTGGAGTTTCGTGCGTTCTAGCGCCGGAAGCGGTCCGTGTTCGTCGCGTTCGGGGAGGGCATAGAGGCGATCCGTATACGCCTGCTCAACCCCGACCCCCAACCACACACTCGAATTCGGAATCGGGGCACCGGTGAGCGACCACCAAAACTCCCTCAACCTCAACGCAAGAATGCCATGCGCGAGACCGAGGGGCGTGGTGAGCCCAAGTATCTCCGGCTCGAAGGGCGTGAGAACGCGTTGGATAGTGCGTTGATTCAACCCATACCCCTCCATCCCAATCGCCCAAAACTCCCTCTCGCCAACCCCCAACCCCCGTGTCCTCTCCCCCACCATTCCCGACCTGAGTGCGACAAACGCCCTCCACGTCAACTCAAACGCATGCTCGTCCATCTGACCCTCCCTCCCACTCTCCCTCTGAAGCCGCGTAAAAGACTGTGTAGCGCTATTCGACAACCCCAAAAAGGAAAGTTGTGCAGAAAGTGAGTTGGAAGATGTGTGTGTCGGGAGACGGATACCGTGTTGCATGAGGAGACGGGGGGTTGGGCAGTCTGTTGTGCGACGGAAGTGGCGGCCGGCCGTGACTGCTGGGATGAAGGTTGCTTGAGCTTGGGTTGGGACGGTTGGGGCGAGGAGGGGAGGGGTGGTTGTGGTGGTTGCGGTGGTGGTGGTGGAGGGACCGAAGGGGGGTGGGTTTCGTGTGGGACCGGTGCCGGAGGGGTGGTGGTAGGTCGTTGCCATCATGGGCCCGGGGGCGTACATCGGTGCGTGCGTGGTCATCTTGTCCGAGAAACTGTTCGTTGACGTTGATGTAATAGTTGAAAAAAGGTGTAGTGTCGATGGAGACAATTATCCCAACTGCTTCTCAGGAAAAGAGAGTTGTGTTTTCTCAGTAACGTCTCTAACAATCGTGATATCGGTCGCTGTAACAGATATGTGCATGAACCACTGTATGGTCCTTGTCCTTCTGTTCGTTCTATATGCTCTGCCTGTCGGGGATGTATGCTGCTTGTTGTTTTGCACAGCGTTGTCGTAGTCTCTGGGTGTGGTGTGTTTGGGGCAAAAGGCGTACTTCACGGGAAATTGCATGTGCCAATCGTGTCTATCACCGATAGCTGTAGCGCGCGGAGATGATGAGGGCGTGCGTGACTCTCTTGCCACGACGCGTACAAGCGTCGCGGGGAAGAGCCCGATGGAGCCTGTGCGAGTCCAGGCTGTGGTGAGCCTGTTTCTGCTGTCTTGCCGAGCTCAAACGGACAGACGAGGAGGGACAGAGGGTTGACGAGTGCAGTCACGTGAAAACAGTTCGGAAAGCACGGCAATGCGGCTGAGGCGCACTGCAGGAATGAAGGTGGCTCCGTTCAAATTTGGGGAAATTGCTTGGCCGCAAATTCCGCTGGGAAATTGTAGTCTATGTTACATGAGAGCCGATCGGATATATTTGGGCCATGGGCTGAACTCGATCTGCAGTCCCTTGTGATTGCGGGCATTAGGGTTCGTGCTCGGGATTTGTTACCCTTACACGACATTGCACGAGGGTTGGGGTTTTCCTGTCATCCGAGGGCCGGAAAAGAAAGGAGAGTTAGGATCGGTGAGTGGAACGACTGGCAATTTCCGAGGTTCGTGTTTGTTTACAGCTCGAGGAGCAATTGCGAGGAAGAGATGAACACACCGGACCGCCCATCGTACCGTACGTGCTGTTATTATAGATAGTGTGACATTGCGTACATGCATACAACGTTGAAAGAATAACTCTCACCTATCATCCGCCGACGACGAGATAAACGGGCCGTAGTAACGTTAACCCTACTCACACAAGCTCGAGCCTTGAGCCTATCTCCCTCGAGCCACGTCATCATTTGCGCGGCGGCAGGGGTTGATCCGATCCTGTTCACGCAACCGAGAAAGATTTCACTCGAACGCAACCAGCTCTTTCCGAGCCCGCAAATCCCAGGCCCAGCTTCATGGGAAACGTATGACGAGCTCCTCCTGCTCCGTCGTTATGATGTCGAACCTCCCGACCTTCACAGTCAGTCTAACTTCTCATCAATACTGTACCCCGACCAAACATCACCGTGAATCACCCTAGAACCCCAAGTAAGGCCCACGCTGCGGAAAAGGCGGGGAAAGAGCTCGAGCGGAGTACGCGTTACATCCACATCCGCACGCACGTTTCCGTGCGTGAAGATTAGATCATATGGCGCAACTCAAATCCAAATGACGAGCCTCGCTCGCTCGCGGGTAGGGCAGGTTCTGGAACTTGTACGGGTAGAAATGAGAGGGAGATCGTCATAGCAATAATTTTGACAGAGGGCAAAGCTACGCGTCAAAGTTGGATGGATGGGAGGACGCCACGTGGATGTATGACGTGCAGGCGCATGCTCGTGCATAAGTAAAATGGAGGGTGATGATTAGACCTTCTGTTGCGGATCGTGCGCGTTGTTATAGTGGACAAATGTCGATATCTCTATCGCTATGGTCTGTCATTCGTGAAGTCGTTCAAGCGCCATGAGTGAGGTGCCCAGGTACTCGTGGGAATAAGCGTGGGAAACCAGCTCAATCCGGGCGTAAATATGGATAATGTGAAGACTGTGTCGTGGATGCTTCCTCAAAGCTTCTATCTGTTCTAGATACTCTGAGTCTCGAACTCCGTTTGTTAGACGTCATCCTGACATTCGCCATATGTACTTATGTAGCCGCCATGCCCGCCGCCGCACAGGTTCTCGTCTCTTCTATGATATGGAGGGAGGGGGGCCTAAACACCCTAGGTCATAGGGGTCATAGATCATAGGCTATTGCGAAAGGTGAATGTGACTGAGGATGAAGGAGGAGGGGATGAAAGCTGACAATGGTTGGTGTCAGAAAGTATTCGTCACGCATACAACCCGCAACACACAGAGACTTCTTGGTCGTTCTCCTCGGAAGGTCAGTCAATGTCAATGCCTCAATTGACGCCTTGGAAGCGTATGCTAACCCCAACTGTGCTCGTGCAGTCAACAAAACGCACACCGTTGCTAATTGCTACACAACCCCCACATATATTCCAATATCTCGCTCCTCACCCGTCCTCGACTGCCCCTCTTGCTGGCAAACAACAACAAAAAAACCGCATACACCCCCAAATCACAACAATGCCCACCACGCTCTCCCCCAGCTCCCCCTCCTCCCCATACAGCTACATCTCCGACGCCCAAACGCTAAGCACCGCAAAACCAAAACCCATAAGCAGGCTGCAAAAAGGTGTTGATCGCGCCGTGTATCGGTGGAATGTCATGTTGGGGTTATATGTGTTGGATTCGGTTGAGAAGATCGTTGCTAGTAAGTCGTCTCTGTCTCTTTCCACTCCTTCTCGTCTCTCTTCTCGTTCTTTTCCGCGATTGCGGGTAGGGGAAGATGAGGGGAGGAGAGGAGAGGGGTGAGGTATATGCTGAATGAATCCGCGGGTACTAATTCCTGGTGTAGATGTCCTGATTGGATTGATTATCGTCATGCTCGGTTTCGGATGCTGGAAGCTTGCGTTAAGCTTGTATAAGAACGGCCGGCTTTTGCTCGCGTTGATGAAGTAGGGAGTCTGAAGACGATTTCACACGAAGTTTGGGATTGTACGATACACGAAAACGACGAATGGGGAGGAAATGATAACGACTACAACACGCGATAAATTCGGAGGAAGGAAAGGATAGAAGGGTAATGGAGGAGGTTCTCATCTTGATTTTGGTCGAGCCGAGCATTGTATGCTGTACCACTCACGACAACGGCAACATCTGCAACTGCCAACACATGGCGATCCTTTTACTGCGTGGGCTGTTTTGGATTGATTGGGTTTGTAACTTGTTATTCAGCGTTTTGCATTCAGCCTGGGATTCTTTTCCTTTCTCTTAGTATAGAAGTATCCGGTGAATGGTATCCTTTAGGTGGTTATAGATGGTATTGTTATACAGTCGTCCTCCTCCTTCCTTCACCCTTTCAGCGTCGTCGTCGGCTCATTCGATCCACGGATTCCCACCACCGAGATGCCACACAGCAATACCTCGCACCGGAAGCCCAACCAACGCATCAACCTTCGCCCTCACACTACGCTCATCGTTCATCACAATCGCCTCATCCGCTCCCCGCCCAAATCTCCACTTTTGGTGCTTATTCATACGAAGCACGAGTTCCATCCCATCCAGCTCACGTACACTCTCCTCCACCACCCCCGGCGCAATCTCAAGTATCTGATCACGCGTGAGAAGCCGCGTCTTATCACCCTTACGATGGTATCCATACGACGGAATCCCGACAAGGATTTTGTGCGGTGGGAGTTGTGTCAAAGCATACCCCACAAAACCCCTCAACCAACTCCTGGGCGTCACCGGGGTTGGTTCACCGTTCTCGGGGGTGAGGGATGTGAGGTCTTGTGCGTCGTAGGTCATTAAAACGAGCATATCGACACACTCCAACGCTCCCAATACGCTCAAATCAAAGTTCCGGGGTGAGGGGTGGAAGGGCGGGCCACCCCATGATGGGGCGCAGATCGATAGGAGCTTTTTGTGTGCGTGGAGGTGGTGGCCGAGGTCTGTGCAGAACCCTACGAAGGAGGTGAAGAGTTCGCGGGGCCAGGCGGGGTATATTTCGAAATCGAGGTCGATGCCGAGGATGGAGCTCGAGTGGGTGGTGACGAAGGTTGTGAGGGTGTTGATGCAACCCCAGTATTCCCCGTTCATATTATCGAAGAGGGTGGTGATCGCGTCGTATCCCGCCGAAACGGTCACCAAGATTCCTTGTTGAGCGTGAGGGTGGTGAGAGGGGTCAAATGCGTTTTGGGTATCGCTATGGTTGTGGGGGTCGTAGGTGAGGAGTTGGAGGCGGCCGGTGGGGAGGAGTTTGAAGTATTCGAGGTGGAGGATGGAGATGGAGTGAGAGGTGTAGGTGGATTCGGGGGAGGTGCAGGGGCGGCCGGGGTAGATGAAGGCATGGGTTTCGAGATGGTTGGGAGGCATTGCGGGGGGTTTTGTGAGATGTGGACGAATGGTAGGCTTGTCCTAACACACGGATATCGACAACCTTTGCAGCCAAGATATCCTTGATTCCCAAGCTGGTCAGAAGGGAATGGACTGAACGTGGCAAGAACGGTGTAGTAATGATCTAATACCTCGCCATGCAAGAATACTCAACACTCTCCCTTGCACTGGAGACTCAAGATTGCACCGTAAGACGTGTGCAACCGGCGATGAAGTATCCCGTTCTCCTCAGTTATGGGATCGCCACTGCAAATTTAAGACTTTCTAAGGTTGGAGTAAGATGGCGGTTTGTCTCCTTGTCTTTCGGTGAGACTCGCAGGTTAGAGAGCTTCCCGTTCACTGTTCCAGGACGGGTATCACCTTGTCGCAGGTCTTGAAACGTGACTGCTAGAGTGGTGATGGAAGACCTCACACAAGCTTTAAGGATAAGAATGAGGAGCTCGGGCTACTCGATGAAATGACCATTACTTACCCCGCGGGCCGTCGCCTGAGCAGCCGCAGTGTCAATTGGTTGAAGAGAAACCCGAGCAGTGCAGATGAGACGAGATCTCAAACATTTGACAGATACAGATTAAAAATGAGGTTCGTTGTGAGATTGGAATTGGAGATGCTGTCTCGCGGCTAGGGAGCGGCGTGGCTGTGTCTCTGCCTGTCGGGCCGTGTGGGGCAGACGACGACGACCACCTATTTTGGAGCATCTCTTGGCAATACGAAGGGCGGCTCGGCGAGTATGAAGCCGATTTCCCGTCTTGTTTGCGAGATGGGAAGCTGTGCCGAGAGTCCGTGCGGCACGTCTGGCTGCATTAGATGATGGATGGAGGATGAGGACTCGTGCACCTTTGGTATGTTCGATCCCCGGCGCTTGTCTTGCAGGACAACAGATCAGAATCAGATCAGCTTGTCGCACTGATTGACTGGGATTATACTTCGAGTTTCGCGCGTGGAATCGATACGAGGTTTGATCTTCGGGACCGGCTATATCGTCGTTTCCGAGAGGGAGCAATTGCGGATGAGGAGAGTCGAAACCTTGCACGTGTGATGTGCAAGATTCACCCGCGGGAGGGGCATCCGTTGATGGTGTGAGGCGTCATCCGAATGTTAAGGGAATGTCTCGGGTCGAGTATCGATCGGGGAAAGTTCGATGTTACCTTGAAGCTCTTACTCTTACTTGGCATCGCGATTGCGATGGACAAGGCGGGTTCTCGAGGTTGGTGTCATCGGGTCCAATAATTATGGACCTCCATGGGGATGCGGGGTTCAAGGTGTATTCAAAGTTCGTGTTGGAGGGTATGTGTGTGATTATGGGGCACGGTAGATCTGAGAGTGGGGGACGTGGGTTCCTTGAAAACTCTTAATGTTGTACGCGGCAACGAAGGTTAAGGCAAAGAGACGGGAGGCATCCTATGCTACAATGAGCCTTCCTTAGTGTTCCGGGCAATGCGGTAAAGGAGGAGATATGCCGTCCCAGTTATTCCGGTTTGAACACTTTGACCATCGCCCTCGCCGAGGTGCTACGGCCAAGAGGTCCTTGAGCCGCACTTTACGAGGATCCGCGTGCAATAGATGACTTCGAGTCCTTATTCTCGAGGATGTTGGTGTTGAATTCGCCTCTCGTTCGCTTCAGTATATGAAGTGTTCGCTTGCTTCTCTTTTCGAGATGTTCAGCATCTTCTCGATACGAAAGCAACGATGGCAGAGGCACAGTCAGAGTATCGGCACAACCTCGACTCGCATACGGCGAAGTTGATCTTGGGTGTGGTGATCGTGTTGTCGCTTGCGGAGTTTGCGGTTTTCCTTGCGACGTACGGTTATGAGATGATCCTCGCCATTCGTTATCCGGAGCCTGGGTCGTCGCGGATTTTGGGTTTCGTGATGTTGGGGATGTTTATCGTTATTCGGTCTATGTTCATTCCGACGTATCTTCAGTACAACCCGTTATTTTCGAATGGCAGGGAACACCATGCGAGTATCGTGTTTGAGGTTACGCTTTGGATTTTGGTCGTTTGGGCGATTGCGGTGTTGAGTATTCCGCCGACGTTGACGATGTACTATTGGTGGAGGTATGGGTTGGGGTCGAAGAAGTTGGAAATTGGGGATCCGGAGAAGTTCAAGTGGTACAAAGTGATAGTTGTCGTTCCTGTCTACCGCGAGTCTGAGAAACTTCTCAGAGGGTTGATTCGGAGTTTGGCGGCCATCGACTATCCCGAAGATATGATTGAGTTTCATATCGCATTTGATGAGGAGTCGATTACACAGGAGTTTGAGATCGTGATGGATGCCCTTGGTGCTCGACAGGAGAAGAGGGATGACTATCTGAAGCATACCGACTTGCAGTTCAGCGGCAAACAGTTCTATGTTCACCGTTGGGCACATGGTGGGAAGCGCGAGACGCAAGGTAAGACTTGGGGGTATATCTCGACGCTTCATGCGATGCATGATCCGGAGGATATGTGTCTTATGTTGTGTGATTCGGACAACGATGTTTATTCAACTGCCATTCATAACTATGTCGTTACGATGAACCGCGAGTTGATTCCGAGGTCGGGCAACACGAAGGTTGCGTTGGCAGGGTATATGACTTGTATCTCGTCCGGGAGTGGGAGGTGGAATCCGATGAGGGTGTTGCAGGATACTGAGTACGTTGTCGGGGAGATCTGTCGTACATTGGAAGTCATGCTTGGCGATGTAAACTGTCTTCCGGGAGCAATGACCTTTCTCAAGTACGAGGTCTTGCAAAGGTTGGGGCCGATTTACTTTGGGGGGAGGGAGGAGACGAACTTGATTGATGCGCATCGTCGGGTGCTCGGTGAGGATCGATACTTGACGCATTTGATTCAGCAGTATTATCCGGTGAGATCGATTGGGTTCGCACCGGCTGCGAGGGCAAAGACGGAGCCTTGTGCGACGTTACAGTCTCTTGTTCGTCAACGGCGTCGGTGGTTGTTGGGTGCAATTTCGAATGAGTCGTATATGCTGATCAACCCTGGCATGTGGAGGAAGATGCCGCTGTTGTTGGCGGTGAAGTTGATGATCTTCGGATGGAGGTCATCGATTATCTCGCAAGGTCTCATGGCGTTCGGGTGTATCTACGCGTACTTTGTCATGCCGTCATCTTCAATTCCGAAGACCATTCCCGCGACGTTTGTGCCTTATGCTATCGGGTGGATTGGGATTACGATTATCTCGATCCGAATCAAGCATTATAAGGTTCCGTTTATCTGGCCTTTCTTCCTGTTGTTTGGGCAGTTTTATCAGCTTGTGATTGATGTTTACACGACGTTCACCTTCACTAAGATCGCCTGGGGAGGAGCGAGGAGCGCAGCTGCTTCTGACAGCAGCGCCGTATCTGAAGCTGGTACGGATGAGGTCGAGAAGAAGGATGGCGACGATATCATTTCTACCGTCGTCGAGCTTCGCTCCCCAACCGACTCGGCTTACGGTAGTAGTCCAGCGACTGCTCAAGTCTCAGCTCTCAACAGTGAGCCACCGTCGCCGAGAAAGGAGACGCAGGTCTTGACGGGCGAGATTGATGGGATCTCCATTATCTCCACAGATAGTTTGCCGGCGATGATGGGTATGGGATTGGGTATCACGATGCCTGAAGAGGCGTGCGTCAATGATGCGTATGGGAATGCAAAGGCGGAGACGGGATCTATTGCCAGTGCTGATTCGAATTCGCCGATGGTGGCGAGGGTGGACTCGAATCAGGACGCCGACGTCGACAGTATTACCGGTAGTGGTGGAGGACGTCGCGGCAGCAAGTTCAAAATGGGAAAGAATTGCATTGTTATGTAGGATTATACCAGGTTAGTTTTTCTCTGGAGAATTTTCTGGCAGATTTTTGGGAACATCATATACATCGAATATCTTGCTAATATCATGGATCATACAATCATTGTTTGAGCACAATCTTCCAAGCTCAGTATGCGTACATCAAGAATGACCGACGCAGAGGGTATAAAAGGTATCAGTATTCTACAACATATCTCACATAATATCTACTACATAACCTCCCCTCTCATCACCCACATCCTCTCACTCCTTCTCAAAATCACTCCCATACCACCTAACACAAACCTCCCTCTCCTCTAACCCCTCAACCTCCACAACCCTCTCATCCCCCGGAAACACATCTAAACAATTATCACCCCAGTTCACACCCCTATCATCATCACCCACCACATCGAGCCAAACGCCCTTCGTCGGACGATCGGCGGTGACGGTGACGGAGGTGCGGTCGGGAGAGATGGTGAGCTGGACGTTCCGGGCGGGGAAGAGGCTGTGTTTGAAAGGTTGGGGCCAGGAAGAGGTACATGCGAACGCGGCATCGTCTTCGGGGGCGAGGAGACAGGCGTTGTAGACGACGTCTGTGTCTTCCGCGTCGATTTCTGTCAGGATTTCGGTAGAGGAGTTTGGTGCGAGCGTGACTTCTTTCCGGAGACGTAGTGCGGGGAGTTCTTCGCCGCTCTTGATTTCGTACGCGCGAAGCTGTAAGATGGCAGAAACGGACTTGAGCGAGGCATTGCACGCCCACGCATTCAACACAACCTTCTTCTCCGCATAATCAAACGGTTGACCCGGTTGCCCATCCACCGCACCCTTCACCACCTTCTCACCCTCTGGCCCATCCCTCTTCTCCACCCGCTCGACCCCAACAGAAATCGTGGCGAGCTCACGCCGGATTGTGAACCATGCCATCTTCGCCCTCTTCTCATAATCAACGACAGCCCACGACGTACACGGCCAACAATCATTCAACTGCCACACCAAAACCCCACCACACTCCTCCCTCCCCTCCCCCCTCCACGCACGGCGCCAATGTCGGTATGCCGTTGACAATGCCTCAGACTGCAACAACTGAGTTGCGTAGGACCATCCGGGTATATCGTCCTTCCAACGGAAATTCTCGACGAGGTACCCCCCGAGCCGCTTTTCGTGGCCATCGGCTTTGTTGTGGTGGTCCATCACTGCGCTTTGGGGGTATACCTCTCCCTCACTCATGCCGTGTGTGAAGGATTTGATGGTACGTGGGTGTGGGGCTGCTTGCATTCCGAATTCGGAGACAAATCTTCCGCCTAGGGCTGGATAGGTTTGATACGGTGCCTGCGATCCGTGCCAGACGTTCCACTGATGTAGATCGCCTCCGTTTGGATCCATCGTATCTTTCCCACCCCACGGCGAACCGGGGTGGTAATCGATATGCGGCGCGACATCCTCAACGCATTCCGGTAACAACTTCTCGTATATCCACCTTGCCGGAAAACTCGTCTTGAGCCAATTCTCGGGATTCGTGTCCTCGGGATCATACTCGAGTTTGAGTTGTTCCGCAAGCATGTAATCCTCATTATTCCCACACACCAAGACGATGGACGGATGATGTCTTAACCTTCCCAATTCCTCCTTCACCTCCCTCTCCACACTCGACAAGAACTCGGGGTGGGTTGGGTACTGCCCGCATGCGAACAAGATGTCTTGCCACACCAAGACACCCTTCTCATCACAGGCCCGATAAAACGCCTCGGATTCGTAGATTCCGCCACCCCAGACTCGGAGCATGGCATGCCCACCCCTAACCGCCAAATCAACCCAGTCCTCGTAATCTTTGTCGGTGAGACGACACGTAAACGAATCAGCCGGGATCCAATCCGCACCGGGAACGAACATCGGAACACCATTAATTTCGAAATGAAAGGTCGTGCCGGGCGCGTCGTGTTTGAGTGGGCGCTGAATCAGCTTTGCGCGGCGGAGGCCGAGGGGGCGGGTTAGGGTGTGTGTGGTGGATGGGGAAGTGGGGGATGTGAGGACGGCGCGGAGTTCGTAGAGGGGTTGTACGCCGAGTGAGTGCGGATACCACAACTCCGGATCCTTCAGCGTGATTTCCGTCCTTCCCTTCCCATCCTTCCCAACCCTAACATCTTGCCCATCCACAACCAAATCCCCCTCAGGGCTAAACAACTGAATCGTAACAACATCCCCACCCTCCGTCTCGACCTCAACATCAAGAGTCGCAGTACTGAGATTATCGGTAACCTCCACCTTCGCAACCACGTCCACCAACCTGCCCTCGTACCTCTCAACCCTGACCTCCCTCCACGGTCCACACGTCATCAACACGGGCCCCCAATCCCAGCCGTAGTGGTAGGGCGCTTTTCGGACGTAGAGGCGGGATGCATCGCCGTTCCAGAGGGCGCGGTTGCCGTGCGTGTGGAGGAGGGCGTGGCCGTGGTGGAGGGCGGAGGAGAAGGTTAGCGTGAGGGTGTGGGTGCGGCCGGGGGTGAGGTTGGTTGGGATGCGATGTGTGTGAAATTGATTTTCGGATTTGAGAATCTGTTTTCCATCCAGCCGGACTGTCGCGAACGTATCAAGTCCCTCAAACACCAACACTGTCTTCAGATCGTCATGATCAAGTTCCGGAATCTCGAATTCGCAGCGATAAGTCCAACACCTCTCCCCAATCCACTGTAGATCTTTCTCATTCATCCCTTCAAACGGATCAGGGATCTTTCCGGCCGACAACAGCTCCAGGTGGATCTGCGAGGGAGAGTGAGCGCAGGGGAGCCATTGATCTTCGTAGTTGAAGGACCAGGAAGCGGACTTTAGGTCGAGGGTTTGTGTGTACATGGTCGTTGCGAGGAGGTGAAGTTGGTCATGGTAGGTGTATTTATGGTGTTTTGCGGTGAGCGGGGTATCTGCAACTGTCGGGGGTAAGTCTTCCTTCCGCGGTACATCCGGAGCGCAGGGTCCCGCACCCCGTCACCGTTCAACAGTGGGTAAAGCGCTCAACGACAAACACCTCACTCTCCTGACATTGTGAAGGGCCTCGCCAATTAATCGCTCAATTGACTCAGAGGGATCATGGGGGATGGATATAACTTGTGGTGCCTCGGGCTCAGGATGGAGGGCAGAACGACGACAAGAACAAAAACGACGACATGACTGATATCATGAAGGGGATGCTTCCCCTCCCGAAGCTCCTCGCATTCAAACACGCAATCACAAAACCCTTCAACAACAACGGCTTCGCAATTCCCCTCCCCATGGCCACCGAATCCGGTTCCCTCGCAATCCGCATCCCGCTCATCCTCCCCCTTGCCCTCCTGGTTTTCATTGTGCTCTGCTCCATCCCCGCAACGAAACCATACATGAAATTCGCGTACAACTGCTTCATCAAGCCTCATGCCAAGGATGTCGAGGGTGGCGTGATGATGGGGCAACAAGCGAGTTTGGAGGGTTTCTACAAGGGACAGGCGGATGTTTATGATTTGACGAGGGGACGGTTGTTGAGGGGACGCGAGACGATGTTGAGATTGGTTAGTGGTGAGGTTTTGGCGAAGCGTGTTGCTTCCCACAGTTCCGAGAAGAAGGTTTGGATTGATGTGAGTTTTGTTCCCTGTCGGCAGTTTGGTGTGGGTGACATGCTAATGAGATGAGGTGTAGGTTGGCGGCGGTACGGGCTGGAATATCGAGCAGATGTCCAAACACCTCTCGATGCCCATCACCCAATTCTTCGACAGGATCTACTTGGTCGACTTTTCCCCTTCCCTCTGCGCCATCGCGCGTGAACGCTTCGATTCCCTCGGATTCACGAACGTCGAGGTCGTATGCGCTGATGCGGCACAATGGACCGATACGTCCGTTCCAGATGGGAGCGTGGAGTTGATCACCTTCTCCTATTCATTGAGTATGATCCCGCCATACCTAAGCGTGATCGAGAAAGCGAATCGACTGTTGAGCGCAGACGGACTCATCGCTCTCGCGGATTTCTACACCGGGACCTCCTCCTCCTTACCCTACACCCACCCCTCCCGCTCCACCCCCGGTCACCACGTCTCCTGGCTCGCACGTACGTTTTGGCGATTATGGTTTGAAGCGGACAACGTCCATCTCGAGCCCGGACGTAGAGCGTACCTGGAGCACGTATTCGGGACCGTGAAGGTTTTGAATGGGAGGAATAGGGGCTTGGGAGGGATCCCGTATTGGGTTTGGGTTGGGTGTAAGAGAGAGAGGGGATACGGCAACATCGGGCGCGTCGACGAGATCGCTACTGAATCGCCGTATCTCCGCCCCAAGGGTTTGGTGGAGCACGATGCATCCTCAACCACGGCGATCGTTCACACCAAAGCCTACGATGCCGCGATCGTGAATCTGGCGGCTGGGTTGCCGTTGCCGAGTTTTTATTATCAGAGTCATTTGTGGCGGATTCCGTATGAGCAGGAAAAGGAGAAACATACCCAGTTCGATACGTATATCTATGCGTTTACGTGGGAGGATCCGAGGGAGGATTTAAACGTCCTCAAGGTCAGGGAGGATGACGTGATTGTCTGTATCACCTCCGGAGGCGACAACGCCCTCGCCTACGCCCTCGGCGCGAAGAAACCGAAGAGGATTCATTGTGTTGATTTGAATCCTTGTCAGAATCATCTCGTTGAACTCAAGTTGGCGGCGTTTACGGTGTGTGGGTATGAGGAGTTTTGGAGGTTGTTTGGGGAGGGGTGGCATGTGGATTTTAGGGGGTTGTTGTTGAAGAGGTTGGCGCCGCATCTCAGTGCTCCCGCGCTTGAGTTTTGGGTTAGGAATGCGGGGAGTTTCGCGAAGGTCGGGGGGTTGTATGATTCGGGGCATTCTGGTGTGGCTATCAAGGCTGCGAGGTGGTTGCTCCGGATCTTTGGGTTGGGGGGTGCGGTGAGGGAGATGTGTCAGACGAAGACGTTGGAGGAGCAGAGAAGGGTTTGGAAGGAGAGAATTAGGCCCGTGTTGTTGAGTGGGTGGGTCAACAAGGTCTTATACGCTAACCCGGTCTTCCTCTGGAAAGCGCTCGGCGTGCCGATCAATCAGTGGAAGATGATTTTGGCGGAACAGACGATGTTTGAGTATGTCGCCAACACGTTCGATCCAGTCATTGAGAGTACGTTGTTGAGGGATGACAATTACTTTTATTTGTTGTGTTTGACGGGGAGGTTTACGAAGGAGTGTCATCCTCATTATCTTGATGAGGAGAGTCATGAGAAGTTGGGTCAGCCGGGTGCGTTGGATATGTTCCGTTTGCATACGGATTATATCGGTGATGTTCTCCGTACTCTCACCCCCGGAACAGTGACGAAGGCGGTGTTGATGGATCATGCGGATTGGTTCGAAGAGGGAGGTGATCGTGCTGAGATTCGTGGTGAGTTGTCGGTGCTCCGCCGTGCCATGAAAGTCGGGGGTGAAGTTCTTTTCCGCTCTGCGGCTATGCAGCCGTGGTATGTCGAAGAATACGAACGTGCCGGGTTCAGGTGTCGTCCGGTCGAGGTGAGGAGTAAAGGACGGTGTATCGATCGTACGAACATGTATGCCAGTACGTGGTTGGCGGTGTTGGAGGATAAAGAGGAGAATGCGATTCCGAGTTTGAGGTTGGGGGTGGGGATGTGTGAGGACAGGTGACTATCTGATTGTGGAATTGTTTTTGGGGATAGATATTGTCGCGTGGAGGGTGATATCGAGAATTAACGGTTTCGGAATATGTGTTGAAGATAGGGATACCCAATGTTTTGCTATGTATGCTAGCTATACGAATGGACTTACTGCATCATAACTCATTTCCTCCGCCGTCCAAGAACGACTATGGCAGTTCATGACAACACCCAACCCGCACTGCCCGTCGCCATTCCAATCCACCTTCCCAAAACTTCAACCAACGGACTCAACGCCCTCGCTCCAAACAACCCCGCGACTTCGATGACAGGCCAAGCAACCATAACATCACCCCTCTCTTCCCCCCTCCTGATTGCGCGTGCCATCTTTTGAGGATGTCCGAGCGTGGGATGAGGCGTCGTCATACCCGTCGCGAGCATTGTCTGCGTCATACCCGACTCGATGAACCCCGGCGTGACCGTAGTGACCTGGATATCGAACGGCGCGGCAATAGACACGAGTGACACCCCCAACGAGTACAAGAATGCCTTACTCGCTGCGTAGAGCGCAAAATTGGCCGGAGCGAAATACGCCGCACTACTCGCCACGATAACGATCTTCCTCGTCGTTCTCTTTTTGTTGTGGGGGAGGTGCTTGGCTTGTCGTAATTTCATGAGGTCGTAGCAGGTTAGGATGAATGCGGAGCAGGCTTCGACGTTGACGCGGATCATGCGTTCGGCGGTTGTCGCGCCCCATTCTGAGCCTTGTGTGATGTGGGCGTAGCTCTCTCTCAACAAAGGTTCGGACTCATCTGCGCTCTTCGTGGGTCCTCGACGTCCTACGACGTCTTCGCGGTGTCCCGTGATTCCCGTAACGGAGATCGCGATATCGATCCCGCCATACTCTCTATCAACCTTCACGAGTAACTCCTTAAGGGCGACAATCTGGTCGTGTTCGAGGAATTCGAGGGAGTGGGTGTTGACAGTCGCGCCGAGTTTGTGGGCTGTGGATGAGACTTCGGAAAGGCGGTCCTTTGAGCGGGCGAGGAGGATGAGGTGGGTGTGTTCGTTGGCGTATTCTTGGACAAGGGCGGCGCCGATGCCAGAGCTGGGGGATAGGCGTTAGATGGCTTGTATTAGGCAAGCTGGAAGGAGTGTGGACTTGCTTTGCACCGTTGATGATGACGCAGCGTCTTCCGCGGCCAGCGGCTGTGGCCTTTTTGTTCCCGAAGATGTGGATCAGCGTACTCCACACACTCTTGAAAACACCCAACGGAATCAGACTGAACAGCGTAACCAGCCCAAGAACGCTATAGAAGACTGCAGCGATGCTAAAGACCAAGTTCACGATCAATTGAGGTAGACCGGGTATGGCGTGCCATGTACGGAAGGGGAAGGTGGTGAAGGGGGAGTAGGTGTTGCGGGATTGGGTGGTAGGTGTTTGAGGGTTGTAGGAGGCTGGGTGAGATGTTGAGTCGCGAGCTGAAGGGTCTTTCTTTGAGATTGTAGACATCTTGGATGGTTGTGGATTGAAGATGGATGAGTGTCGGTTGAGAGCGCAATTAAGGTTATCGCTCTGCATACTGTACCGGTATCGATCAGTGGACGTTTGCCCGGCAACCGGGTTCGTCTGACTTTGACGGGATGTATGTGTGGAAAGGTTTTGTCTATTGTAAGAGAAAAGACATCTGAAGTCCCAGCTTCATCCAATAGCTATCGTAGCTGTTTGAATACTACTTCATGACGCTCTCAACTGGAACACCAAACGAACGAAAGCAGGAAACATATAGACGGGACAAATTTTTTTGGAAATGCAGACATTTTTATAACCAAGTCTTCTAATATACAAAACGACGTTCTAATAGGAGATCATTTTTATCCAAATAAAAAAAGTGCCAAAAATGCTAAACAAACGAGAAAAAACCAAAGGCCAATGACATCCTACGCGTCGTAAACTTTCTCTCTATCATGACTACATCACACCATCTCTAGTTGTTCTCCATGGGACCCAAGACACATGCCAACAAAGCCATGCGGGTGTACATTCCGTACCTCATCTGCCTGAAGTAAGCAGCACGGTGGTCACCGTCGACCTCACCGCTGATCTCAGCGTTGCGGGGGAGAGGGTGCATCACGATCATGTGCTGCTTAGCGTTCTTCAACACCGCGTTGTCAACGATGAAGGTATCCTTCAAGGTCTCGTACTCCTCAGGGGACTCGAAGCGCTCGCCCTGGACGCGGGTAACGTAGAGAACGTCGGTAGAAGCCACGAGCTCAGGGGAGAGAGCAATGTGCTCCTTGATGGTCATGGTCTCGGTGTTCAACTCAGCGACCAAGTCAGCAGGGAGCCTAAGAGCAGGAGGCGAAACCAAGTTGACGTTGACGTGGTAGAAGCTGAGCAAGCGGATAAGGCTATGGATGGTACGGCCGTAACGGAGATCACCGACGAAGGTGATGGTCAATCCGTTGACGGTACCGAGCTCCTCACGGATGGTGAAGAGGTCAGTAAACGCCTGAGTAGGGTGCTCGACGCTGCCGTTGCCAGCGTTGATGATCGGTACCGGGGAGGACTTAGCCGCCGTAGCCGCCGATTCGGCCGACGGGTGTCGCAAGACAATAGCATCAGAGTACGAAGACAACGTACGGATGGTGTCGGCGAGCGACTCGCCCTTTGCAACGCTCGAGGCGCTGGCAGTGATGGCAAGGGTCTTACCACCGAGCCTCTGCATAGCGGCATCGAAGGAAGCCGAGGTGCGAGTAGAGGGCTCGTAGAACATGGTAGCCAAGACACGTCCCTGCAACAAGTCCAAGACACCGTAACGCTCAACCTGGATGCGGATCTCCTGAGCGACACTGAAGAGAAGGTGCAAAGCCTCGCGGTTGAACTGCTTCACCGAGATGACGTTCTTGCGGAAGAAGGGGGTGTTGGAAACCATGTCCTTCAAGGAAGAAGTGCCAGACAAGGCGGAGGAGATGGAGGGGATCGCCTCGAGGTGGCTCTGGGCAGCGAGGATGGGGGAAGCACCGAGCGCCTCACGGGAGACAGACTTGCGAGCACGAGCAGGAGTACCAACGGTAGGCTTGCTCAAGACGGAAGCAGACATGTCCTTTCCGTCGGTACCAGCAGAGGTGAAAGAACCATCCTGGAAGACGGCCTTGGACTCGAACTGGACGTTGAGGATCTTACCAGCAACCTTGCGGCCCTCGAAAGGAGACCACGCACCAGCAGACTTGAACTCGTACTTGCGGTCAGCCTCAACAGTGACGGAAGAGTCGGGCTGGTCGTGCAAATCGAAGATCTCCTTAGGCTTGTAGTAGAAGCGGGAGGTGACATCGTCCATAGACAACTTACCCTCAGCAACGGCACCGAGCAACAAAGGCAAAGCCTCAGCAATACCAAGGTCAGCAGACAAAGGCTTGTTGAGAGCGTGAGCAACGTGGTAAGGCAAAGAACCAATAGAGAAGCAGTCAACATCGGCGATGTTCTTCCACAAAGCCTCCTGGTCCTCCACAGTAGGCAAACAGGCAACCTCAGGGTAGTCCTTCTGGGAAAGGAACAAAGCGTAAACGGAGACGTCGCAAGTGACGTTCAATCCCTTGCTCTTAGCGAGAGAGATGAGAGCCATGTCGTCCTTGGTGGTCACGTTAGTGATGTGAACGGGGCGGGACTGCAAGCTGGCCAATAACAAGATGGAGGCCAGGTCAGTGGCCTTAGCGTCAGAAACGATAGGCTTGGACTCGGGCCAAACACCGAAGTGGGAAGCGACGGCAGCAACCTTGTTGACATTACCAGAGAGGTGATTGAAGGGGATGAAGAGAGATCCAACATCACCAGCAAGCTTGTCAACTTCGTCAGTGTTGCTGGAAGTGGCAGCAACAGAGAAGTTGAAGTCACAGTGAGCGGCACCCTGAGCGTTGCGTTGAGCAATAGCAAGCGACTTGGCATCCTCGATGGAGCCAGCGGCACCAAGAGGCATGACACGAGCCATGGTGAAGCCGGCAGTAACAGAAGCCTTGGTCATCTGCTCGAAGTCCTTAGTACCCTCCTCGACGAGTCCGGGGACGAAGGCAGCCAAGTTGATCAGACCAGGAAAAGTCAAGGTCTGGTGGCTGGACTGGAAGTCAACAACGGAGACGTCGAAGTCGGTCCTGCGAGCGAAAGCCTCGATTAAGATCTTGGCGTTCTTGACGTTGGTCACCAAAGGAATGGAGAAGTCAACGGCCATACGACGGGTACGGTAACCAGTCGAAGTGTAGGAGGCAGGACGACGGAAGCGGTTGGAGGAAGGCAAGTTGATGTAGAGGTCGATCAAGTTGTTAGCCAAGTGCTCGTTCAAGGAGTACTCAGCGTTCTGCTCAGCAGAGTCGGGCAAAGCCTCGAGGTAACGGACGGGAAGACCGTGCTCCTTGATGAAGTCAGCAGTACCAGCCGTAGCGTGCAAGGTGAAGCCGAGCTTGTGAAGGGTCTTGATGGAAGGAAGCATCTCCATCTTCTCGCGGAAGGAACCGATAGAAAGAAGAACGTTCTTCTTCTTGGGGAGCTTGAATCCAGTGGAGATCAAACCCTTCAAGTAAGCCTCGTACTTGTCCGCACCGAAACAAGCAACCTCACCAGTGGAGGCCATCTCGACACCGAGAACGGGGTCAGCACCAGCCAAACGGCTGAAAGAGAACTGAGGCACCTTAACGGCGACGTACTTCTTGGGCAACTCAACCTTGGGGTAAGGAGAGACGGGCAAGCCCATCATAGCCTTAGTAGCCATTTCGATAAGGTCAACACCCATCACCTTCGAGACGAAGGGGAAGGAACGAGAGGCACGGACGTTACACTCGATGACCTTGATGTCATTGTCCTTGGCGATGAACTGGATGTTGTAGGGACCGGTGATGTTGAGAGCATATCCGATCTTGGCAGTAGCCTCAGTAATACGCTGCATGGTAACAGGGTCCAAGTCCTGAGGAGGCAAGACAAGGGTAGCGTCACCAGAGTGGACACCAGCGTTCTCAATGTGCTCGGAGATGACGTGGAAGATCATCTTACCGTCCTTAGCGACGGCATCCATCTCAATCTCCTTAGCGTTCTCAATGTACTTGGTGATAACAACAGGGTACTCCTTAGAGACGGCAGCAGCCTGCTTCAAGTAGTTCTCGAGGTCATCCTCGGACCAGACGGTGTTCATGGCAGCACCAGACAACACGTAGGAAGGACGGACCAAGACGGGGTACGTAACCCTGTTGGCGAACTCGCGAGCCTCCTCGAAAGAGGTAAGCTCCTTCCACAAAGGCTGGTCGACACCGATGCGGTCAAGCATGCGAGAGAACTTGAAACGGTTCTCGGCGGTGTCGATGTTCTCGGGAGAGGTACCGAGCATCTTGACGTTCAAACGGTGAAGAGCCAAGGCAATGTTGTTAGGAGTCTGACCACCCATGGATCCAACAACACCAGCAGACTGCTCCAACTCGTAGATATCAAGGACACGCTCAATGTCAATGTTCTCGAAGTAGAGACGGTCAGCCTCGTCGTAATCGGTGGAGACGGTCTCAGGGTTGTAGTTAACCATGATGGTCTTGACACCATGCTCGCGGAGAGTACGGACAGTGCGGACAGCACACCAGTCGAACTCGACGGAGGAACCAATACGGTACACACCGGAACCAAGGACCATAACACCACGGTCCTCGAAGGTGATGTCGTGCTCACTAGCGTTGTAGGTCACGTACAAGTAGTTGGTGTAGGCAGGGAACTCGGCAGCGACAGTGTCGATCTGCTTGACGAAAGGCGTAATACCGGCCTCAACACGCATGCGGCGGATCTGCTGCTCGTTGGAGTTAAGCATGGAAGCAAGCTGCTTGTCGGAGAAACCCATCTGCTTAGCGCGACGGATGTAGGACAAGGGCACGTTGGTGAAGTTGTACTTGCTGCGGACAGTCTTCTCGAGAGTGACGAGAGACATCAAACGGTTCAAGAACCACTTGTCAATGCGAGTCAACTCCCAGATGCGGTCGACAGTGTAGCCAGCGTGCATGGCGTTGGCAACAGCGAACAAACGCTGGTCCGAAGGGAACTGCAATTCCTGGTCGATCTTGAAGAACGCGGGAGTCTCAGTGAATCCAGGGTTGGAGTAGTCGACGGCACGGATAGCCTTCTGCATGGCTTCCTCGAAGGTACGACCGATGGACATGACCTCACCAACAGACTTCATGGCAGAAGAGAGCTGGGTAGAAACACGGGTGAACTTCTTCAAGTCCCAACGGGGCATCTTGACGACACAGTAGTCGAGGGAAGGCTCGAAACAGGAAACAGTGACCTTGGTGACGGAGTTCTTGACTTCGTTCAAGGGGATACCGAGACCCAACTTAGCAGCGACGAAAGCCAAGGGATAACCAGTGGCCTTGGAGGCAAGAGCGGAGGAACGAGACAAACGGGCGTTAACCTCGATAATGCAGTACTCCTTAGAGACAGGGTTCAAGGCGTACTGAATGTTACACTCTCCGACAACTCCGAGGTGACGAATAACGGAGGTAGCGGTGTCACGCAACATGTTGTAGTCATCGTCAGACAGGGTCTGAGAAGGAGCGACGACAATGGAGTCACCAGTGTGAATACCGAGAGGGTCGAAGTTCTCCATGTTACAAACTGTAATGCAGTTGTCCCTGCAGTCACGGACGACTTCGTACTCAATCTCCTTCCATCCCTTCATGGACTTCTCAACCAAGACCTGAGGAGAGTTGGCGAAAGCCTTAGCGCAAAGTTCGACCAACTCCTGCTCGTTATCGGCGAAACCGGAACCAAGACCACCAAGAGCGTAGGCGGCACGGATAATAAGAGGGTAACCGATGTTGTTGGCAGCGGAGATAGCCTCCTCGGTGGTGTTACAAGCCTCAGACTGAGCGCACTTCTCGTTGATCTCAGCCAAAGCGTTGGCGAAGAGCTCACGGTCCTCAGTGACGATGACAGTCTGGATAGGGGTACCCAAAACCTTCACACCGAGACCCTCGAACTCGTCCTTGAGGGCAATACCGACAGACAAAGCGGTCTGTCCACCGAAGGTACAGTAGATGGCGTCAGGACGCTCGTGCTTGATGACCTTACGGACGTAGTCGGGGGTTACGGGCAAGAAGTAAACCTTGTCCGCAAGACCCTTGGAGGTCTGAATGGTGGCAATGTTGGGGTTGATAAGAATGGTGTAGATACCCTCCTCCTTCAAAGCCTTGATAGCCTGGGAACCGGAGTAATCGAACTCACCGGCCTGACCAATAGACAAGCCTCCAGATCCGAGAACGAGGACCTTCTTGGGGTGAACACGAGGATACTTGGCAACGTTCTCCTCGATGGTGCCACCGGGCATCTTCATCTGGACGAGCTTGCCAGAAGCAGCGGACTCGACGACCGAGTTAATGAAGACATCGAACAAGAACTCGGTGTCACGGGGTCCAGGAGTGGACTCGGGGTGGAACTGAACAGAGAAGTAAGGGAGCTCGGTGTTGTAAACACCCTCGTTGGAGCCATCGTTGGCGTTAATGAAGAGAGGCTTCCAGGGAGCGGGAAGAGTCTCAGCATCGACGGCGTAACCGTGGTTCTGGGAAGTAATGTAACAACGTCCGTTCAACAAGTTGGTACAGGGGATGTTGTGACCACGGTTACCGAACTTGAGCTTGACGGTCTCAGCGCCAGCGGCACGGGACATGAGCTGATGTCCCAAACAGATACCGAACATGGGGACGCGCTTGGCCTCCATAGCAGTACGGATATGCTCAACAGTCTCCTTCATGACAGCCGGGTCACCAGGACCGTTGGAGATGAAGAAACCATCGTAAGGCTCAGACTCGTTGTTGAAGTCAGCGTTCCATGGGACGACCTTCAACTCGACACCACGGTGAACGAAGCACCTGATCTGGTTGTACTTCATACCGACATCAACACACAAGACACGAAGAGTGCGTCCGGAGGGGTGCTTCAACGCGGTAGCGGGGTCAGGCTTGTAAAGACGAGTCTCCTTGACAGAGACATCGGCAACCAAGTTACCGGTGTTGGGGTCGGAGAAGGGGATGTACTCGAACTCGGACCTCCAGGCCTCGGACTCCTTACCGGCGTACTCGGCAGGAATGACCTTCTCACCCTTGTTGGCCTGCAACAAACGACCCATCATGACACCCTGGGTACGGATCTTCTTGGTGAGGGCACGAGTGTCAACACCGTAGATAGCGGGGACACCCTGCTCCTTCAACCAGTCGCCGAGAGACGAGGAGGCGAGGTAGTGAGAAAAGTCCTCGTAGTAGGAGGACACAACAAGAGCAGCGACATGGATCTCCAAAGCCTCAAAGTGGGCAGGAAGAGTGTCGAGGAGAGCATCGTAGGTCTCGCGGGAAGGAACACCGTAGTTTCCGACCAAAGGGAAAGTGATCACGAGGATCTGTCCACGGTAGGACGGATCAGTGATGGACTCGGGGTAACCGACCATACCGGTCTGGAAAACCAACTCTCCGGCAACAGTCTTGTCGGCACCGAAAGAGTATCCAGTGTAGCTCGATCCATCAGCGAGATCGAGGCAAACCTTGGGAGGCTCAGGCCCGAGGTTCGTGTGGTCGCCATCCACCAACATCTTGAGGCAAGCAGCCGTAGCAGGCGGCGCAGGCCACTTCTGACTCTGCATCTTCGGCGCATCGGAGCGGTGAGGTTGCTCAGGCGTAAGCGGAGCAACCGGGAAAGCAGAGCTCATCATAACAGGCGAAGTAGGGCTCATCAACGGCGAGGGAACGCCCGTAGAACCCTGAGCAGCCATTCTTCTATTCTTTTCTTTAGGATCTGAGCGAGGAGAGTCGTAGGTTCGAGATATAGGAGAAGGGCTGCCGAGATTTCCTCAGACAGAAGTCTGAGGAGAGGAGAAGAACGTAATGTGCGGCCGCGCAACCATAAATTTCGCCCGGGGTCCCAGTGGGCGCAGTAACTGAGCCGCAATAAGGTGCATAAGGCAGATGAGGCTAAGATATTCCATGGAATATGATTCACGGGGATGAGCCTCGAAGGCGAGTTCATGACTCTTCAAACGCCTAAAAAAACTTATTCCTCGAAGCTTTTTCGTGCGCTGCTCCTCCTCGTTCATCTACGTCCACTCAAACACCGAGGAAGCGGAAAATCTTCCCATCTCATTAATCTCATCTGATAAGGTTTCCCAGCATCCGCGGATCTTACTGCAAAGCTAAAAAAAACGCCTCCCTTCTCGTGCCTGCTGCCCCTTCCCGTGCCAATCGTTTTCGACATGTTCCCCATTCATCCGTTCGCATGAATTTGAGAGGTTCGTTGGCGAAGCTGACATAGTTCGGGAGGAGATTTCTGGCGAAAAGCTCGCATGCGGTAGGTGTGATCGGCAGGTGCTGGGAGAGGACGGTTGAGACGTTGGGCTTTCGAGAGTGTGCGTCAGGTACGGCGGCGATGACTTTGATCCCGATGGCTCCTCCGGCGTCATCATCTCTTCTTGATCCCTCATTGGCTCTGTCCATCTTCATTCGTTTTTGCCTACTCGTTCTCGCACGTTCTAGTCGTCCTAGAATCAAGCACTCATACGGCTTCCTCATCCTACTATCCATATCAAACATGGGTTCACCTCCCTCCGTGACCTTTACCCACACCACCTCCCCGACCTTCCTCATTCCCCATCTATCAAAGAGCTCCTCCTCCACGAAATTTCTGTACTTGACTTTATTCGTAACCCAGACGCCGACGACACTGTCTTCATCCCGTAACCACCGGCCAGCGGGGATGTCGAGGAGTGAGGCAATGTCGATTTGGGCGTAGTTCTTCGTACCGCGCTTGACGGACCTGTTTGGCCATGGCGGATCCATGATGATGAGATCGTAGCCTGCCAATGTTGCGGTGGTGTTCGAGAAGTGCTCGATTGAGGTCTCAAAGGGTGATATGAAGAACGAACATCCCCGGGGCATGTGGTAATCGTGTACCTCTGACGACGGCTGTCGAATGCGAAGAAGGCGTGTATGGGGGGAGGAATTAGTGACCATTCGCCCGTAGATGTCAGACAAGTCGTATATTGTGTCTTCAGCCTGCTCTGTTATGGTTCAGTCATGACCAGCAACGACACCTCCGTACGCGACTTACCGGTCAGATCCACCAACGTCTGATCATCGTAAGCTCCAAACCCCCGCATCGACTCCATCATATCCTGCCATTGTACCAATCCCTTATCCTCCTTGCTCAGATCCCGCACCGTCCTCTCGAGACACCACTCCCCCTCCCCCACCACCCCCCTCAACTCCTCCAATCCCTTCTTGAGGAAAGGAGCCAATCGCTCATGCACCGTCTCCAACTCCCTCGTTTGTCTCAACTCCGCCCCATTCTTCGGCTCGGGCAACGCGTATGGCTCCCTCAACGGCTCACAACTCACCGGCCTCACTCCCTCCTCGAACGACAAGGTCGCGGGTATATCGATCACCACCGCAGCCCCTGACGGCGTTTGATAGATCAGCTCACTCATGAAGATTGAGATGACATTACGGTTACTCGATAATTTTGGGGGGTTCCTGCTTTTGGGCATAACTCTATTTAACCCCGGGCCGACCCTAGCGTGTCATACCCGAGCGCGGGGTCCTTATGTACATCAGCACCTCCATCCCCCTTCCTCCTCTTCCCCAGTAACACCCAATTGACAATGGCAGCCGAACGAATCCCCATCGAAAAGTACGATCAAGCCTTCGGTCCAACAAACATCGACCTCATCTCCGCCCCCCTTGGCGGTAAGATCATCGCTTTCTCCGACGAGTTCTTCGCCGCCGCCGAGAACCTGATCCAATCTCACCCCCCTATCAGACGTGCCGGATACTATGTCGAGGTTTGCTGAGTTCTCGAATGTTGCTCACAACAGTGGCTAACAGTCTGCAAACAGACAGGAGCCTGGTTCGACGGCTGGGAAACCCGCAGGTAGTCCACTTCTTTTGCAGATCTGCCACATGGGCTAACAAGATCTGGACAGACACAACCCAAACCCAACAGACTGGGTCATAATCCGCCTCGGCGTCTCCTCCGGCCTCGTGACAGGCACCGAAATCGACACAGCCTATTTCTCCGGAAACCAAGCCCCCGCCGTCTCGATCGAAGGCTGTTCTCTCCCTCTCGGGACTGATCCCGTTCCCGGGGACTCCACGGTCTGGAGTCCAATTCTTGACGAAATTGAATGTGAACCGTCCACGAGGCATTTGTTGAAGTTAGTGGATCCACCGAGGGAGGCGTTTACCCATGTCAGATTGCATCAACACCCCGATGGCGGTATCGCGCGGTTCCGGCTTTACGGGTCGCCTATCCCCGTTTTTCCTGAGGACTTTGCGAGTATCATTGACCTCGCGCACGTCTCATACGGTGGTCTCGCAGTCTCGTGCTCTGACCAGCATTTCGGCAGAAAAGAAAATTTGCTGTTACCCGGTCGTGGTAAAGACATGGGTGATGGGTGGGAGACGAAGCGGTCGAGAGGCGCGGAGCACGTAGACTGGGTCATCGTCAAACTCGGTCACACCGCCGAAATTGACTCGATCGAAATCGATACCGCCCATTTCCGTGGTAACTTCCCACAAGCAGCGTATATCCTCGCTTGTTCCTCCCCTCACGTCATACCCGCCGAAGACACGGAATGGATTGAGGTTTTGGGGAAACAGAAACTGAGTGCGGATAAGCAGCATGTATTTGGGGATGAGTTGAGAAGTGTGGAGGGGGTGGGGTATACGCATGTCAAGTTGGTTATTGTGCCGGATGGGGGGGTGAAGCGGTTTCGGGTTTACGGGAGGAGGAGCATGTAGTGAGGTCGGGGGCAGAGAAGTAGATATGTCTATACAAGGTCTATACAAGGTCTATACAAGGTCTATATAACAGAACTGAAGTCGCCGCTTCCGAGTTCCCACGGGGGGTTCAGTCCTGCGGCACCTCGATGTACCGCGATGCACCGCCATGCAACCGAATTACATACCTACACCAGCTGGGAGTCACCTTCAACAGCACAACACCATGGATCGATCCCGTCGACAACCCTTCATTCCACCTCTAAACAACCGGGACGGCCCTCAGGATCCTCGAAAATCCAAACTACTGCCTGCTAATGCCGCGTTGACGAGGAGTGGTAAGAAACAGCCCGGAACGTGGAGTGAGGCTGATAAGATGAAACGTATGTGGTCAATCGCGGAACATTCAGTTGGGCGGGACTAAATGCTACTTGTGTAGATATTCTTGGTGATTCAGCAGCGACTTCATCAGTGGAAACGGCCACGGCTGAGGAGAAGAGGGAGGATGAGGATCCCAAGTGGAGCCAGAGCGGTAGCCAGAGAGGCAGTCAGAAAGCCAAAGGTTTCGGTGCGAAGCGGACATACCTCCACACCGACGGATCAAGAACGGCGCTGAATGCTGCCCATGCCAGGTCGATAGGACAACAAGTGGAAGCGGAGGACCTGGACGATGTCGACGAGGACGAACCGTCCAAGAGTACGACACCAAAACTCAAACTCCCCTCACCACAACGAAAACGACCAGCGCCCACGCCCATTTCCATCCCAACAAACGCCCCTATTGCCGCGCGAGTACGTACTTCCCCATCACGAGCCGCGTCCCCGCCAAGGAAACTCCAAATCGAACAAGTCCTCGGCATAAAGATCCCTCCCAAGCACCTCCCAACAACAACGAGCCCATCAAAGAAACTCAAACTCCCACCACGAGCACCATCCCCACCCCTCCCAACCCTCATCATCCCCAAAGCCGGCCCATCCTTCCAGCGCTCCCTCGAAGTCAAATCCAGCCCCCCACCAAGCTCACCCTCCCAACTTAAACTCTGCCCGCTCTGCTCTGAACAACTCCCCGAAGACCTCCAATCGAAAGTGGTGAAGGGCATCTCAGTGAAGGAAATGTACCGCATCCACCGTACCCATCGCGCACAATCAACCATCTCCTCCGGCCTCAAAAAAGGATACCCCGAACACATTGCTTGGTCCGGTCTCCGCGCAAATCTCAACCGCCTCCTTCCCGATCTCCGTGCAATCCTCGCAGGTAATCTATACTCCTCATTCATGTCCGACGCCAAAACAGCCTCAAAACCAGCATCCCAGGAAGGAGGGAGGGGGAGGGGGAGTGGAAGTAAATTACGAAACCAACAATCCCTCGCCCTCCTCGCAACCGACTTCGAATCAAACCTCCCAGGGTACTACGGCCCGCACGGCGCCCGCGTAATCGCCTCTCACCTCCTCACCCACCTCGCCCCCGAAATCCGGTCCACCCTCGATTCTGATCCTAATTTAGCAGCGATGGGATTGAGTTTGTTTACGCAATCCGTGTTGGTGCCGGAAGCTGGTGTGCGACTCATTATGGAAGATCGAGGGTGTGGGTGTGGGTGGGAGGAGGCGAGGGAGGTTATGAGGGAGAGTGTGGAGTTTGGGGATTTGGTGCATGGGGAGAAAGATGGGATTGAGGAGGGGGAGTGGGATGAGAGTTTTGATGTTAGTATGGCTGTTGAGGAGGAGGGGGAGGGAGAGGGGGATGGGAGTTATGATGCGGGGAGTGTGTTGGATGATGAGTTTGGGGAGGGGAGGTGGACGCAGACGCAGACGCAGAAACCGAAGGGGGAGGAGAGGGTGGAAGGGGAGAGGACTATCTTTGTTTTGAGTGATTAGACGACGGGTACTGGGAGGGTTGGGTGATGGAGTTCATGCATTTTACCATGATCGTCTCAAACAGATTCTAAGTTTAGCATTGGCGTGCGTTTCGTTGCAGTGCAGTCGCGTATGTGGCAGAATCTGGCTACGCCTAACTTAAACCGATCTACGTTAACGCGAGCCACTTTAAGCTTGCAATTGGGGGACACTCGCAGAACTTGGACTTGACAGAGTGTACCCTCCCACACACAGGCGTTGAACCGAGCCGAGCGTAAAGGGTCCGACGACAGCATTCATTCTAGCATTCGCCTAGAGTTAAGACGCGTGTACCGTGTCTTGAGGGCAGCATTCATTCGCTTCTGTCCATCGTTTTCTTTGTTCGCATATATACCGGCTCAATCGCTTCTACCGATACATCCAACGCGTTAACGAAACGCAACGACGGCAATGTTCGGCAAACTAAAGCAATTATTTAAGCGATCCTCATCATCAGAACACACCTCCAAAGCCCGAGACTCCTTCGACTCCTCAACAGGCGAAGACTTCCCGGACTCAACGACCTCCTTCTCACATCCCTCCATTCCCTCGCATATCCAGTCTCCGAACCTCCTACATGTACTCAGTACATCTGGGTTTGATGATGCTATGATTCCGGTGTTTGACGAGAAGCAGCAGAGGGAGGCGGCGGCGGATACGCTTGGACGGACTCTGAGGACGGGGAATTCGAGGGGGTCGGTCTATGGACTTGCGGGGTTGGTAAGGAGTGATACGATGAGTACGGGGAGTGGGGCCGGCCCCAATGGGAGTCGAGGGAATCTGTTGGCGAATGGAAGTTCGAGTTCGTTGGCTTCTTATCGGCCTTCTGAGGTATGCTAATATCTGGGAGTGGTAGTACGGGAGTGTATGCTAATTGTCTCTTTCGTAGGGCTGGAACGACCTCCCACCATCAATGCTCGAACAATCCCATCGTCGATCAAGCACGCCTCGGATGTCACCTCGCCCTTCTGGCCAATTCGCGCGTCACTCACCCCACCCATCTGGATCCTACAGTAACGGACAATCTTCTCCCAGCTCTTCCGCTAGCCCTATTCCATCGATTTCGAGTGTGTCGATGGGTCCGCCGCCGCCTGTTGCTGGATACCGGGGTCCGCAAAGAGGCCAGGCTGTTCAGTACCAGGGTGCTCCGCGTGATCCCGCGTCTATGAACCAGAATCAGAACCAGAACCAGGGACCGCCGCCGGTTCCTCAGCATCAGATGTTGCGAACGGGACCGGTGAGGCAGCCTTCTATGGCCTCTAAGAGAATTAGTGAGGAGGTTGGGGCGGAGGAACGGGCTGAGCAGCTCCACGACGAATCGAAGGTCGAGGCTGAGGAGGAGAAGGAGAAGAAGGAAAAGGAGGTCGCAAACGTGGAGAGGAAAGAAGAGGCAGAGCAGGCACGGCCGGAGATTTATACTCCTTCCCTCGTCACGAATGGATCTTCCACACCACCCTCTTCGATCGCAGAGCCGAAGGTTGAGGTTGTGCTTGAGGGGCCTGTGGAGATGGAGACCGAGAGTTCAGTTGGGTCGTCGGAATCTACGCCTGAGACGTTGGTGAAGGAGGTTGTACACACCAAGCCGGAGGAGGTGAATGTGGCGAGTGAGGAGACGAAGATGGCACCCCAGGCTAGGGTGAAGGAATTGTTGAAGGCGAAGAAGGCGGAGAGAGAGGCTGCGAAGAGGGCGGCGGAGACGCAGGCGGCTTAGATGTACCTATATGGTCTATGATTGGTCAGAAGAAGTGGCGTTAGACGTAATAGTGGTGTTACAAGGGAAGAGGATGGCAAGAGGTAACAAGGCCTAGGGAAGAAGACTGGGGTTTACACGGCTCAAGAGAAGGCTTTTAAGCAGAGAGAGCAGATGGATACGGGATGGTTTTCTTTTTACACAATGAATGGGCAAGCGGGTAGTTTTTCTGTTCGTTCATCATTCTTACCTTACCTAACAATAAGACTCATGACAACTCGAGCCTCTCCGTGGATATCGATGACTGGTGTTGCAAACGTGCGCTGGCCTGCAGCTGCCATGATGTAGGCCGCGTCTTGACTCGAAAAGTTTGGCCGAGATTCAAGAATCAGCATTTATTCACCAGCTTGTCGTGATGGGTCCTTCGATGAGCGGTAAGAAGCCGAGTAATATTTTTCATCCGGATGCGAGTCGGAGGAGTTCGAGGGGTAGTGGTGGGAGGTATGTCAAGGCGTCCACTTACGACGACGAAGATGCGGTGAGTGATGGTGGGATCGCTACCCCAGTCGCTGCCCCGGCGAGACGGAGACGGAGTGGAGGCGAGGCTGCTGAGGAAGCGCTGAATGGGAAACATCTGTCAAGCTCGTATCGGAGACCGAGTTTCGTGTATGGAGGCGCCAGACCGAAGTTGCTGAGTGCGGATCCGGTTCCGGCAAATGCGCTCAACGAAGAGGAACGGGAGGATCTGGAGGAGGAGGAAAGACATATGGTTAATGAGTCCAAAGCACTTCTCAAGGCGCAGAAGAGTCCCAGAATCGGTGGAGGTGCGCCGGCGAACTACGGAGCTATTTTGGAGCGGGATGAGGATGGGGATGATGGTGCGGCAGTTTTTGGATCTGATGATGAGGGAGAGGCACGAATGCCGTGGGAGGCGACGGAGACGACATGGAGGCATGAGCTTGGTGTATTGGTCAAATACGCCGTTCCGATGGTCATCACCTCCACGCTACAGTATTCGGAAGCTATGGCGTCTGTCTTCTCCACTGGACATCTGGGGAAGACGGAGTTAGCTGCGTCTTCGCTTGGCTCCATGACGGCTGTGATCACGGGTATCTCGCTGTTCCAGGGTGTTGCTACTGCACTGGACACGCTTGCTGCACAGGCATATGGAGCTGGTAATACGAAGCTTTTGGGGTTGCATCTACAGAGATGTGTCATGCTGTTGATGTTGATCTGCTTTGGACCTGTTGCCGCGATGTGGTTGAATGCTGAACGATTACTCCTGGCGCTTGGACAAGAACCGGCATTGGCGCATCTGGCGGGGAAGTACTTGAAGATTTTGATGATCGGAGCACCTGGGTATGCCTGTTTCGAGGCGATGAAGAGGTATTTGCAGGCGATGGGTCTCTTCAAAGCGGGGACATACATCCTCTTCATCGCCGCACCGTTGAACATCGTCCTCAATTACGTCCTTGTATGGCATCCAAAGGTCGGACTCGGGTTCATCGGCGCACCCATCGCGGTGTCTTTTACATGGTGGCTCATGGCCATCCTTGGCGCCCTGTACATCAAATTCATTGATGGCAAACAAGGCTGGGATGGATTCAAACGCGAAGCGTTCAGTGGTTGGGGTCCGATGATTCAGTTGGCTGTGCCGGGGGTCTTTATGGTTTGTTCTGAGTGGTGGGCATTCGAGATTTTGGCTCTCGCGGCGAGTTTCTTGGGGACAGCATACCTTGCTGCACAGTCTGTCCTCTCGACCACGACGAGCTTGACCTTCCAGATTCCGTTTGCGGTTTCTGTTGCGGCGAGCACGCGGGTTGGAAATCTGTTGGGAGCGGGATTACCGAAGCCCGCCAAGACAGCGGCGAATGTGGCGATTTTAGTTGCGGTTGCTGTGGGAGCGTTCAATAGTTTTTGGTTGGTGATGGTGAGGCATCGGTGGGGGTATCTGTTTTCGGGGGATGAGGAGGTCGTGACGATCGTTGCGAACGTCCTTCCACTCGGTGCATTCTATCAGATTTTCGACTCCGTCACCGCGATTTCGGGTGGTGTCCTCCGAGGTCAGGGAAGGCAGAAGATCGGGGGATACGCAAACGTTTTCGCATACTACGTCATCGCCCTGCCGTTGGGTATCCCACTTGCTTTCAAGGCCGGGTGGGGGTTGTACGGGTTATGGGCTGGGATCACGATTGCGCTGGTGGTGATTGCAACGTTGTTGACGTATGCTGTGTTTTGGGGTGATTGGGATCAGATGGCAGATAAGGCGAAAGAGATGAGCCAGGAGGAGGCTTGAATTTGGATTGGACATTCTGTTTTTGGAGCACAAGGTATTCTGGATCTGGTCATAATATGATACGGTCATCGACTTAGACGTACATGTACTGTAATTGAAACATAAACTCCATGAACCCCCGTGTCCATGAGGTATAATAAGGTTACACTTCCCGAACGAGAACGGCAGAGCCTTGGACAATGCATATCGCTAGTTTCTGGTAGACTCTAAGAAAAAGGGTGGAGGGGGCATATGTAAGAAGTGATTAATCTTGATTCATTACGTATTGTTAACTATCAAAGTCCAGGAATGTCCGTATAACGTTGACGTTATCCCATGTTGTAAAGCGAACCATCCCACATTATCAAATTTTGACCAAAAACAAAATGTCCTTTTATATCACCATCTGCTCCTTCATAGCGGAGTAACAGTAGCAGTCACACTGGCCACCGTCGACGACGCCGCCGTGCTCCTCACATTCGAACTAGCACTTCCGCTGGCACTGGCACTCGCACTCGCAGAAGCCGAGCTCGCCGCACTACTCGAACACGAGTGAATATCACAATAATGCTGCGCCTCCCCGTTGTTCGGACACCCATCCTGCTCAGGCCAAAAGTCCGCACTGTCCCCAGCCAAACATCCATACCCACCCCAATAATCCGTAGCATTCGTGCTTCCAAACCCACCATCAATTCCCTCCCACTCCACACAATCAACTTCATACCAGGAGCAAAGCACCATATCATGTGCAGGGTCAAAGAACGCCGGGAATGAGCCGGTGTCTTTGCAGAGATCGAAGTTGGCGAGTGCGCCGTAGCTGTTGAGGGGAGTTTCTTCGGTTTGGGAACAGAGAGGGTCGAGAGAACCAGCTGGACACTTATCCGTGACCTTAACCACAACCGCCGGCGTACCCAACACAACACCCGGCTGGAAAGGGTCTTCATAACCCTGCAGCTTAAAGCACCTACCACATGCGCTTCCATACCCCGCAGCAGACCCAAAGAGGTAAGAGGAGAGAGCGGCGGTGTAACCCTTCACAGGCTGCTTACCACATCCGTTTTGGGAGTTACAACCGGTGTACCAGGTACAGGTTCCGTTCAAGATCTTGGAGCCGGGACCGGTTTGGGGTTGGAAGTATTTGCCGGGGGAGGAGTAATCAGAGGCGGCGAAGGAGAGGGGGGTGTCGGGGTAGGTCACGCCGGTGTAGGCCGGGTATTGGGCTGAGCTTGATGCGGAACTGACAACGGAACTGACAGCGGAGCTTGAAGAGCGAACGGCGGAAGAAGAAGAGGAGACGCGGACGGAAGAGCTGGAAGCAGCCCGGCTGGTGGTAGAAGACCGAACCGAAGACGTCGTCGTAGGCGTAGCAGGACAAGTCAACGCCAACTGCCACACCGTGAACGTACCCGTACTCGAGAAACTCTTCAACTTGATCGAGGACAACACATTCGTGGTGGGATCGATTCCGACCTGGTTGAACGGGATACTGATCCTCTTCGCGTTCGAGGAAAGCCCGGTAGCGGTCCAGGTGACATACTTGACGGAAGAGCCAGAAGAGCATGCGCTCGAGGAGGCGTAATACTCGAGTTCGACGGTAACGGCGCCACCGCTGGGTCCCGCCAAACTAAACTGAACACCAGTAAACTTGGTAAGAGACTGACACCCAACATCGGAGTACCAGTACGAAGACGTAGTCGACTTGGGCACGATTTGAATCTTGTTCTTCCCTGAAACAACAGCAGCCGAAGAGCACGTTCCGTCATCTCCAGTAGCACCACCGAGGTCGTTGGTAGACTTGACAACATTAAAGTCGTCGATCAACCCGTAGTTCCCACTCGCGGCACTCGTACACGTCGCGGCCTTAACCGTGGTCTGCGCTGGGGGAATGCAGGTCAACGCCAACTGCCAGACCGAGTAGGTCTGTTCCGCAACCGAGAAGTTCTCCAAGTAGACCTGGGAGACGATATCGGTAGAGGAGATGCCAAGCGTCGTCCAGGGGATGGAGATGCGCTTTGCGTTAGAGGAGAGGCCGGTGATGGTATAGGTAGCGGATTTGTAGTTGGCGGTACCGTAGGGGGCACAAGTGCTTGCCGAGTTAAAGTAGTGAACGACGACTTGGACGCTTGCGCCAGAGGGTCCAGCAACGGAGAACTGGAGACCGCTGTAACCGGAAACAGCCTGACACTTCAAGTTGGAGAAGAAGTGACCACCCTTCTTAGGCACGATCTGGAGCTTTCCGCCGGAGCCGGAAGTGACGATTGAGAGCGCCGCGGTACCGTCCGAGTTGGTCTTGAACCCAAGGTCGTTCACTCCGGAAGCCAACTGGGATGCGGAGTTGTAGTCATCGACAACCAAGTTTGAGCAAGTTGTTGCACGCTTAGAAAGAGCGTGATGCTCGTGAAGGGGCTTCGCAGAGACGAGAGCGCCCATGAGGGCTGTGCCCAAGAGAACGTCGAGGATACGCATAGTTGTAGCTGATCAGGTATGTCGCTGATGAGTATATAGTTTAATCGAGAACGAACGTCGGTGATCCAGTAAAAAGAATGACTGAGTGAGTGACCTATTACCGAACGTTGCTCTCCCTGCGATGCGGTACCGTCTTCCGAACATCGGGGTCCTCTGCCGTTTATGAAGAGTTTCACAGCCCAAACCAGCTGGTGCCGAAGCAGCCGTCGCCACCCCCTTGTGCAACGGGCCTTTACCCGATGCAAGCATCCCTCATAACACAGGCAGCCATAAGCCAGCTGAGCCTTAAACTCGCAGGGTCTTCCATCGGCGCCGTTTCATGCAAATGAACATATGGCCGCTTCAAGATGCGGATCGCCCCCTAACTCCCTTCCCATCCGTGAAGCCTTCCGCGCGCGAATTGCTTGAATGCTGCGCAGGCGCGCATCAGTGCACAGAGAGCAAAGCTTAGCCGTTGACGAAGTGTAAACAACGGAAATCTTGTCGATGAAAGGGGGTTGCGATTGTGGAGGAAGTAATTCTCCGGCTGAGATTGGGTTGCGTGGGGTGCGGCTGCGCATACGGAAGGAGGAGCTGGAGTGATGCCTATTGGTGGAGAGGAGGGCGGAGGGCGTCGGAGAATTTCTCGCAGTTGCCATTCGTGCGCTTCATCCCGATATCTATCTCGTATTTGCAACTGCTCTCTGGACCTGGGCGTTCGCATTTTGGCCCAGAAGAGGTCGGATGATGACTGCGCAATACTTCATACCGGCACGCCTTCACAGGGTCATTTAGCTTATTGTACAAAACATTGCGCCTCATGGATGGCGCATTTGTATAGGTATGGGTCCTCTTCATGACCCTTGCGGACATTCCAAACGTCAATTGCAACGTCGTCGCGGATGACAGAGACGCGGTCCATCGCAGGCTGTACGCGCTGCCTGTGCGCACGCCCAGTCATACCTTGGCCAAAACGTGGGACTGCTTATCATCCAGACTCTTTTCCGTTCAATTCAGGTTGTTTCTCGTATCCGTTGCCGATTCCATTGTGTTCTCCCAATTCGTCGCGTATCTACGTTACACGTCCCGACCACTCAAATGCCGAATTCGTTCACACGCACACCTGCACGTCGATGCAAGTGAAACGCACGCTCGATCACATACAGTACGAACGAGTCGTCATTGGAGGCGAATCAACAAACACTCCACCATATCTTTCACCTCAAGCTCTCCAGCTCGGGAAGTCACAAACGCATTCGCCGTTTCAACTTCCTCCATCTTAGCAATTTTACCGTTCAATAGCTTTATGCAAGATCACTCCAACACCGCTTTCGAAGAACAAGATTACCCAGAAGTAATACCCACACCCTCTCGTCGCCGCAACTCGAATTACAATCATGGATCAAGCTCAACAGAATCATCGCGCTCTGCGTACACCACTCGACGCCGATCGAGTACCGCGTCCGAGAGCGCAAGTTGGAAGGCGAGTAAAGGGAAGGGGACGAATGGAAGTGGAGGAAAGTCTCAACCCGCGGGTAAATGCACGATAAATGCTACTCCAACGGGTTCGTTCCTCTTTCATTGACCTTCTTGTGGTAACTTATCGTTTTGGGGACAGAGATCTTACTGCACATCTTCACTTTTCTCGACCCCCTTAGTCTCAATGACGCAATGCTCGTCTGCCGTCCTTGGTACCACCTCATCAAAGACGATTCAGCATGGCGTGCCGCATTCCTCCGACGCTTCGCAAACATCACCTCATTCCCCTCTCTCGTCTCCACCGGTCTCTGGCGAGACGAATACTGCTCCCGCGCCGACCAAATCCGTAAATGGGAACGTGGACGTGGCCCATCAAACTCTCTTGATTCACGCATCGGACTAGTTGATTCCTTCCATGTCACGGAGAAGAGTGACCGCGTCATCATCGCCAACGGACACGGTATCTTTTCCGTCGCAGATTACACCACCGGTAAAGTGGCCAAAGACCTCCTCTTCGCCGGCGGCACCCCAACGAGCGCGGTAGATATGACAACCTACTCCCTCGCCCCCTCCGCCATCGCCTGTGGCTTCTCAAACGGCTACGTCGGGTGCCACTTCCTCCAATCCAAAGCCACGGAACGGACATGGCGCTACTTCGCCGGTGGGCATTTTGGACCTGTGACAAGAGTTTGGGCTGCGTCGCATTTTGAGAGAGGGAAGGCGGGTGTTGTTAGTGTGGGGGCTGTGGATGGGTTGGTGAGGGTTTGGGATGTGTTTTCGGGGACGCAGGTTGCGCAGTACGACTTGGGTGATCAAGGCCATTACCCGGTTACGGATATTCTGTATCATGAGGAGAAGGAGGTGTTAGTTCTATGTAACACCGCTGGTGAGGTATATGTTATGGAGGGGAACCCTTGCAATGGCGACGGGGTGTTGAGGAAGGTTACGCCGCCGCTTGAGACTCCCGAGGATGGTGCGCCGCTCTCGAACCACACAGCTCCCTTCGTCGGTGTGGATTTTGAGAGGGGGTACGTCTTCGTTACGACTGGTACCGTGACGCAACGCGTTCCGATGCAACCCAAAGTCTCGACGAAGATCGTAGAGTTCAAGGGCGGACACGAAGCCCAGATCACAGCCATGTATGTCGACGAATCACAGGATCTTCCACTCCACGGGACATCGACCTCTAACCCCGGTGGCGGCGCACGATTCTTCGCGACGGGAGACGAGACTGGCGTCGTCTGTGTCTGGAACGCTCAGGATGAGGCGGAGGACGGGGCTACTCACATTAAACCCAGGGTTATTATCCCGGCACATGATGCTGAGGTTACGAGTTTACATATGACCCCGTTGGTTTTGGTGGTTGGGTTTGTTGATGGTGTGGTTAGGGCATATGATCCACTCACTGGTGACCTATGCCGTCAAATCAACAACAAGCTCTCCAAGAAATTGCAGAGGGTCATCGAAGCCAACGCTGGATCTGCGTCGATGAATGACCGGTTACGTTTCGCAGCGAGGTGGGTTCGGGCGTGGGGATGTAAGGGCGTCGTCGCGATTGGCTCGGATTTGAAGACGTGGGATTTTGGGGTCGTGTATCGGAGGCAGGGGAAGCGTCTCCCGCTGGGCAAGAAAAAGAACTCGAACGGCAACGGCAACGTTTTCGGAAAAATGAAACTCCAAAAAGAGATCTCCATCGACGAAGCCGAGCTCCGTACAAACATGCAGACCGAACGAGGCGCCCGGGAACGCAGGGAGAAGGTCGTGAAGAAGTATAATGGAGGCTTGGGGGATGGGGTTGAGGGCATGACAGAGAGTGAGATGATTGCGTATGTGACGATGATTAGTGCGGAGGCGGAGACGGACAGGACGGTGGCGGGAAAGATTGAGGAGACGAGGTTTGAGGATGAGGAGGAGGGGTTGAGGGAGGCTTTGAGGTTGAGTGCGTTGGAGGCGGAACAGGGGTCGAGTGCGTCGTCACCGCATGAAGAGGCTGCGGATGAAGTGGTGAAGAGTTTCGTGGATGAAGAGGTTGATGAAGGGGAGGAGAGCTTCGACGAATCGGTTTACATCTTCGATCGGTCACAACACGACACCCCGGCACCTTCGTCACCTCCTGCCTCTCGCTCACCATGGGCAAGTCCATCACCTGCTATACGCTCACCACCCGTCGCCTCTAACCCCGCAAGACAACAAAGCTTCAGTCATGTCACTGTCAGCCCTGATCCGCGGTTACGAAGGGGCAAGACGACGGAGGAGGAGGATTTGGAATTTGCGCTGTTGCTAAGTCGCATTGAGGCGCAGAGTTTGGAGGAAGCAGCGAAGAGATAGACTGGACGATTGCATTATGATACCGACATACAGCCTACAGGCATCAATGTATAATACATAGGTGAGTAATGGAGAAGATTATTCACAAAACGCGCATTCCAAGAAACTCGGACGAAACTCGTTTGGTCGCGTCCTCATCCGTCACTTCCTGCGGTAAAACAAGGCGACGGCGGCGAGACTGCGGAAGATGATGATAATACTGATGAGAACGGCCTATCATTCCATGTCAGTTCCCGTCGAAAAGGAAAGGTGAAAGGGTACGTACAAACCACTCCCATATCTTGACATTACCATACTGCAGTGACTCTAAATAGGTGTCACCGCTCCACTTACAGTGTGCGTTCAGAGCGTCCGCATATTGACAGACACAACCAGCAGGCGTGGGCGTGCACTCGAACTCTCTTCCGCCGAATTCATTCACTGCAAGAGTTTCCCAGACATAACGCTGGTAGTCTAAATTCGCGAAGGTGTACTTCCAAAACTTGGGCAATAATGGGCGACTCACCAATCCCGCCAATACCATCCAAAGACCGTTTAAGAAGGCGACTTGAGTGAGCGCGATGACGAAGTTCGGCATCATGGATGACACAAAGACGACTTGTGCTTCGGCTGCGAGGAAGTTGAGCCAGTTGAACAGGAGGAAGATGAGGAAGCCGGAGGCGGTTTCCTTGAGTTGAACGCCCCAGTACATCACCAGGGTGTATCCCAAGATAACGAGCAGCACGAAAGGAGAAGACACGAGGGCATTAGCAACACTGAAGTGCAGGACACCATACTGGCCATTTGCACGCTCACGACAAAAAACGGCTCTCTCCTCGAGAAAGGCGGGTACACCAGCGACGGACATGAAGGAAGCGAAACACATCCCGAAGTACATCGCGTGGTAGCGATCCGGGAAACGTTCTTGCGTGAGGGGTGGGTGGAAGAAGGTTGTGCCCATCACTACGCCGAGAGCCATGTACATGACAACGCGAAGCCAGTATGCCAGCATGTTCCTCATTGCGTTGAGGGTTGAGCGATGACAGAGGACCCAGAGGATATACAGAAAGGAGGGTCCGCGACGGGTGGGCACCACTTCCGAATCATTAGCCTCGGTCGGAGTACTCGGCGAGGAAACTGAATGGACGATGAGGGTGGTGTCATCCTTCGTACTTGACGGAATGCTGAGTGAGTTGACGTAACCCTTCCAGCTGTTTGTGAGGTTGTTCAGGCGACGCTCTGCTGCGCCTTTGTCGACCGCGAAGTCGGTGTCGATGACGGAGAGGTAGACCTCAGCGAGGTTTGCGTGTACGGCGATCACGACATCATGAGCGGCAAAGAAGTCTTCAGACCTACAGATGGTTAGCTCGGTGTATGACGGGGGAAGTGTGAGACATACTCTTCGCGCTTCCCGCAGTATACCGTCTTCCCTTTCGACAGGAGAAGCAAGTCATCGAACAGGTTGAAGACCACGGTGGAGGGCTGATGGACGGTCGCGATGATGATCATGTTGAATTGTTGAGCCATTTTGCGCATGTCACGCATGACACAGAAGGCAGCTTCGGAATCAAGGCCAGAGGTCGGCTCGTCTAACACTCTGTCAGTCACTTAAATATCGGCGGACCTCTTCCAACAACGACTCACCCAGGAAGACAACAGGAGGCAAACTGATCAACTGGCTTGCAATCGACACTCTCCTCTTCTGACCTCCACTGATACCTTTTTGTATAGCCGTACCAATCTTGACGTTGCGGACATCCTCCAAGCCGAAGATCTTTATCAAGCCATCCACCAGCTCCTCCCTCTCCTTGCGTGTTACGGACTTTGGAAGGTCGAGCTTCGCTGCAAACATAAGGGTTTCGCGGACAGTCAAGACGCCGATAAGGTTGTCCTCCTGTTCAACAAAGCGGCAGACAGGCTTGGTCGTTGAATCTGCGAACACCTCACCCGATACGGAGGAACCTTTGACTCGGGCTGACAAGATATTGAGCACTGTACAAGGGGTCAGTACGCGAGTATCCAAGACGTGCACGATACATACAAGAGGTCTTGCCGCATCCCGAAGGACCCATAATCGCCATCAGGCTACCTGATTCAGACGTCAGCCGGTGAATCTCAATCCGGCAGAAAATATACTCACCACGCTTCACGCAGCCAGAGATGTTGTCGAGGATCAACTTGTCCTTTACATTATAGGACACATTGTCCCAAACGAAAGAATTGACAGTTTGGTGTGCAACGTACGCCTGCATCCCACCCTTCTCAGCCGTGCAGTGGCCCTCAGTCACGGCGGGGGATTGCATCTCGAAGGAAACCATGATCATGGACACTGAGCTGGTATTGGGCTCTTAACAGCTTATATTTGTCTTCATGGCCCAAAGCCCTCTTAACACAGATAACGCATTTTCTTTGCGTGTGGTCGAAGCATATGATGGATACTGCCTCGGCTTTCCATATGATTACGATAGCAAACAACCCGACCATGCGCCTTTCAGTGGAAAGAACCGAGGATGAAGTAGTGATCACTCTGTTCTTCAAACCACGCTCCCTTGAGTGCTTCCACGTGCTTCGGAATCCTTATGGTAGAGAGACCTGTGCGGGCGCAGATACCAGAAAAATGGCGCTTCCATGAAGACCTTATTGTCGTCATGACGGGCCAGTGATATTCCCTCGGCACAGAGGACTTGGCGGCTCGGCACACCGATATCCACAGAGCTTATGCAGAACAACACTCAAGGAACCTCGTCCCGAACGATCACGGTCCTTCCGGACGACAGCGTTCCATCAAGCTCATGCCACCCTACACAGAGAAAGCTTATCGTGCTTAAACGTCCATAATTCTATGATAGGTTATCGCCGCGTGCGGCGTTTCGTGCCGCTTTTGGGCGTCTTCTAAGGTGACGTTATCGTAGGTGGGCAGACATTAGAGATTCTTCGACACGGGTTTGGATTTTTGTCTATGTACCATAGCTTCGTACTACTACTTGGTAATCGCCTTAGGGCAATATCCGGTTTACAAATACTACTACTACTACTACTACTACTACTACTACTACTACTACTACTACTACTACTACTACTACTACTAATACGACTACTACTACGTATGCACGGCCCAGTGTGATGGAAAATTCGTCAAAGAAAGCACGCATGTTGTCCGTCCTTGCTTGCACAAGGTTACTTTGCAACGTCACCATATGCACGGCTGAGCTTCGCTGACATGAGCCTCTTGTGGGCCGGCCCGGTACCGGTGTTCAAAGCGGTACAGCTCGATCGTAGTGCTGGAAAAGCCGGAGAAAGTGTGGTCCGTGCAACTCACACTCGGTTACTTGGTAACTCTTGCGCTTATTACTCCGGCTCGTGTCTGAGCCGCCGAAAGTCCTTCCCTAAGAACTGCGCTGAAAGGCGTGAGACGAAGATGGGAGATCCACACACGCTAGTCGCACGAAACTTGCCCAGTATAGGAAATTTGCGCTGCAATACACTCGAACTGGTTACCTCTTCCAAACCTTTTGGAGAAGTTTACAATTCGCTCGCTTTGTCGCGAGATTAGTAGTGGAGAAGCTGAAAGCCTCAAGCAGCTGTACACATGGAAAGTGAATGATAATATCGTATCAATTAAATAACTGCAGAAAGACAAATGGTATATGTGTGATCAACACACTCTTACATCGAAGCACCCTGGCTCGACTCAAAACCCCGCTTTATGTAATCCCAACCCAACCACCTTCATAGCCTCATTCCACCTACTGCTTAGTCTTGACAGCATCAACCTCAACTCTCTGCTCCATAGCACCAGCAACACCCTGTCCAGCCAACCCTGGCGCCTCATAAGAGATATCATCCCAAGGATGCCTGTAAAGCCCAGTCTTCAACCTCTTCTGATCCAAATGGTGTCCAATGAAACCAATCGAACGTCCAAGGACGAACATTCCGTTTAGAACACCAAGCTTCAAGTACTCCTCTCCCTCCTCGGGCGTGAACGCACCAGACGAACGCAACAAATCAACGACACACACGGCGATAGCACCATCGACGTTGAGGATGAGGTTGTCCTTCTTGGATGAGGTAACGGCCTCGACGGCGAGTGCGTAATCCAAGAGCTTGGTGGAGGGGAAGTTGGCCTTGACGTACTGCTTGACCAACTCGACACGCAAGTCGGGGTTGTTGCGAGACTTGACCTTGTGTCCAATACCAGGGATCAACTTGTTCTGCTTACGCATAGTGTCGACGAAAGCACGGGGAGAAAGACCCTTGTCGAAGGCGTTCGAGAATTCCGTCGCGGCACCATCGAGGGCACCACCGAATCGGGTACCGATGGTGAGGAGACCGGAGACGAGGGAGGAGATCAAGTCTTTTCCGGCACGGGTGGTGACGATGGTGTTCAATGCACCAGAGACGGCGGGACCGTGATCTGCGGTGAGCATGAGGACCATCTCGAGGAACTTGGTGGCGTAGGATGGGAGACGGCGACGGAACCAGAGTAGTGAGATGACACCACCAATACCGATGTCCTCCTCGAAGACCTTGGAGATGGGCATACCGGCGTAGAGAAGTTCCTGACCACGGTCATCGGAGATGGTAGAGATGAAAGCAGCAGGCTTACGGATGAGACCGAGTTCCTGGGCCCATGCGTAGTCGATGGGGATCTTTGGTGGCTCGGGCTCGGGTCCGGGGGTGATCTTGCCCGCCTTGACCAAGTCGTCGTAAACATTCTTCAACACCTCAGGAAGATCCTCGAAAGTATTGGGGACGTGGATACCGACTTCCCTCATAGCAGAGTTCTTGGCAGCGGCAGTCTCGAGCTGGGAGTTGGCGAAGGAACCAGCGTGCCCGAACTGGACCTCGGTGGTGAACATACCGGCACAGGTACCGATAGCCCATGCGACGACGGGCTTCTTGATCTGTCCGTTCTTGACCATCTCGACGACGTGGTACTCCTCAACACCACCGACCTCACCCAACATGACAAGGATCTTACACTTAGGGTCGGCCTCGTAACGCAGCAAGTGGTCGGTAAAGGTAGTACCGGGGTACCTGTCACCACCGATAGCGATACCCTCATACACACCATCCGTAACCTGAGAAATAATGTTGTTCAACTCGTTCGACATACCACCAGACTTAGAAACATATCCAACGGATCCAGGGCGGTAAAGCTTGGAGGAGACGATGTTGTCCATCATACCACCCGTGTTACCGATCTTGAAGCATCCGGGCTTGATACCACCGACGGTTGCAGGACCGATGATGGTGACGCCCTTCTGACGCGCAACCTCCGAGATCTCACGGGCGCGACGCTCGGGGACACCCTCGGCAATGATGGCGATACAGCGGAGTTGGGGGTAGTCCATCAACTCCATGGTAGCAGAGTACGCAGAACGCGAGGAAGCAAAGTTGACGACAACATCGACGTCGGGGTGGTTCTTGACGGCCTCGTCGACGGTACGGTAGACGGGCAACAAAGTTTCCTTGGTACCCCAGTACTGCTTCAAGATGAATTGACCACCGAAGGGGTAGATGATGGCGGCGACGGAGGGAATCTTGCGGCCACAGATGTAGTCGAAGTCGAGCATGCCCTGGACGGCACGGGGCTGCATTCCGTAGACGAAAGCACGGGTCTTGGCATGGAAGAGCTCATTGGGCTCGTTGGAGGGAGTAGCGGTCTCAGGGAAACGCTCAATGAGGTCGTTGGCCCTGCGCTGCGGAGGGGTAGCGGTGCCGTTTGGTGATGTGGAGACCATTGTGTATATGTCTTGTCCTCTCACTTCGTTTTGATGATCAAGAGTAGGTGTGGGGAGGGAGGAGTTATAACGAGCTCACAAGCTGAACTGGTCGGAGCGCCGAGAATGGGGGGTGGGGAACGACGGGTGGGACGTTGTGAGGGGTTGCACGTTTACTCGTACGGGAGAAACAGACGGCACCTTTGTGTTCTCGCTACTTGGAACCATTCCAGGCGTTGGGGCCGGCCTTCGCAGGACGCGCACAAATCAGCGTACGAGATGAGATGCACCGGGAAGCACCCCATTTGACAATTGGAGGACGAACCAATAACGTAGAGGAGTGCCTGTCGTAGATGAGGTACGTTGGGATTCCAAAATGAGTGATCATATGCTCCGATCAGCTGTTGTAATTGCTCTTCTCCACCTCAATTCGTCGGGAATAAACGGTTCTGTTCCCCACCGCTCTGCCCTCGTCGCTTCATAAAACTCCTTTATCCTCCACCTCGAAGTCCTCCAAAACAAGACACCGGGTCAATCGCATCAGTACAATGTCTGCCAAGTCCATCAGAGAGTACGACGGAAAGTGCATCCTTGCCCATTGGCTCAACCGCGCTCCTGCGGTCAACTCCACCGTCGAGTACAAGACCCCCTCCCAGGTCCCTGCCACCAAGCTCGCCGCCATCGCCTTCCCCTCCCCCTCCGACTTCACCACAGAGGACAAGTTCGACGAAGCTGCCTACGCTGCCCGCGTCGAGGAGATTCTCAACAACGTCGAGAAAACCCACTCATGGGTCAAGACCGACAAGCTCGTCGCCAAGCCCGACATGCTCATCAAGCGTCGTGGAAAGGCCGGTTTGTTGTGCTTGAACAAGGACTGGACTACCGCCCGTGAATGGATCCGTGAGCGCGCTGGTAAGGACCAGAAGGTTGAGCACCTCAATGGTTACCTCACTCAGTTCCTCGTCGAGCCCTTTGTTCCTCACGAGTCTAACACTGAGTACTACATCTGCATCAACTCTGTCCGCGAGGGTGACTGGATCCTCTTCACCCATGAGGGTGGTGTCGACGTCGGTGATGTCGACGCCAAGGCCGCGAAGATCCTCATCCCCGTCGATCTCGCCTCCTTCCCCTCCCGCGAGACTTTGATTTCTACTCTCCTCTCCAAGGTCCCCGCCGATGTCCACGACGTCTTGGCCGACTTCATCATGCGCCTGTACGCCGTCTACGTCGACTCTCAGTTCACCTACCTCGAGATCAACCCCCTCGTCGTCATCCCCACCTCCTCCGGCGCCGAAGTCCACTACCTCGACCTCGCCGCCAAGCTCGACCAAACCGCCGAATTCGAGTCGGGAACGAAGTGGGCCATCGCCCGCTCCAACACCGCTTTGGGCCTCGGTACCCCCTCGGACAACGATCACGGACCCGAGATGGAATGGCCCGGTCCTTTCGGACGCGAGAAGACGAAGGAGGAGTCGTATATTGCCGATCTTGACGCAAAGACCGGTGCTTCCCTCAAACTCACCGTCTTGAACCCCAAGGGCCGCGTCTGGACCCTCGTCGCCGGAGGAGGTGCCTCCGTCGTTTACGCCGACGCCATCGCATCCGCAGGCTACGCCGACGAACTCGCAAACTACGGCGAATACTCCGGTGCCCCAACCGAAACCCAAACCTACGAATACGCCAAGACCGTCTTCGACCTCATGACTCGTGCGCAGCCTAACCCCGCTAAACCCTTGATTTTGTTCATTGGAGGTGGTATTGCGAACTTTACGAATACGAAGAAGACTTTTGATGGTATTATTCGTGCGTTGGGAGATTATGCTACGGCGCTTAAGGCTCATGGTACCCAGATTTGGGTGAGACGTGCTGGACCTAACTACCAGGAGGCTCTCAAGGCCATTCGTGCTTGCTCCGAGGCTCTCGGTTTGGAGATGCAAGTCTATGGACCCGAGATGCACGTCTCTGGTATCATCCCTATGGCGTTCAAGGCTCCTGCTGCCGAGACTCAGGCATAAGGTGAAGTTTGCCGAGGATGCGGGTGGATGCAGGGGTGAATGTGCTGGGAGCCGTGGGAGGATTTACGTTTTCTTGAAATTTTGGACCTGAAGATGGACATAGAAGTCGTGAGTACGGTCGACAGTTAGTTTAAGTGCCTGAAGGTGGGACATAGAAGTCTCGAGTAAGGCTGGATACCCCGAATAATATCGATTTGACTACGCGAATTCATTGCAGAAATATAATAATCTCTGAATTCCTCTTCGCTCATTCCTATCGCCTTCACCAGAGTAAGTCGTTGTCCATAAAGCATTGTATATACTGGGCTGTAGCTCACGTACGTACACGTACGCGTTTTTTGGTAAGAGATACGGAGGAATGGAGTTTACGAGGTTGCCTACGATGAGGAACATTCTTCGGAATGCAAAAAAGTGAATTAAATGCAGAGTCTTCACGTACCATGACGGCCTGTCGGGATTTAGGACGCGTCAAACGAGAGACTCCGGAGAGAGGCTCCTAAATGACGGAGAGCCCCCCTCGAGAAACGAACAAAGTAAAAAGGAAAACTAAGCCCATCATCCCATCTCCTCTTCATATCCCTCTAACAAGCCTCCATCCCGATAACCGTAACCCTCCCATTCGCGGCCTTCTTCATCTCCCCACTACTCATCCTCATCCTGTGCACATTATTCCAGTGCTGCGCATACTTGAGCGGCGGCTCTTCCTCTTCGTCCTCGAGTTCACTTTCGGTGAGGTAAACCCACTTACGTGTCTTCTGGTCGAAGAACTCATGGAGTTTCTCTTTCTTTGCCTTGGGTCTCTTCGCTTTCTTCGCAGGCTTGGCCGGCGCGTTGAGAGGGGTTATCTCATCGGCGGTGGACGAGCGAGAAGGAATAGATCCTCCCGTCGAGTATGCGGACGAGGTCCTTGAACCCCAGTTGGTAGACGCGTCGGATACAGGATGTTCCACGGTCCAGTTGATACGAGTCTTGTTCAACTCTCTTTCGCGTTCGGCCTCGGCAGAGGTGGACTTCCTGGCGAACAAGCTGCAGAGAGCTTGGGCGGGGGCAGTGAAGATGGTAAAACAGCCAGCCATGTTATTGATAGTTGCTTGAGCTTTGTTAGATGTAGCAAGTGTGATAGTCGTACGTTCGGATGACTTTTGGTCAAGAAGCTCGAGCTGGCTGTTGGTAACTTGGTAAGATGGAGAGAATGAGAAGGTGGGATGGGAGGGGCTTTTTGTGCACGAAAGAATCGTTCGATTTGTTAGATCGTTAACTTTTCGCGATTGTAGTCTTTGCGGTGACGTGTGACCTGCTTCTCACGCGCCTTCCTAATGCGGCAGTTTGGACGCGACCGAAGGAAATACGCGCAAAGCTTCGAAGAAGTCTAAGAAACATTCTCTATAGCAATTGGGCTTAGTGAAATGTGTCTCTTTGTTATTTCAATCTTCCTCACCCTCTACGATGTTGAGGCTTCATAATCCGTCACCGCTCACATAGCAGGCCATTCGAACGCGAGCCGATGATGCGTGTTCGGAGGAAGACGGACTGGACGCGAGCGCTGCAACTTCCACGTGAGGCAGCCGATGCTCTTCTGAGGCACGATTGAGAGCAGATGACGATACAACTCAACCTGATTTCTTGCCTCGCGCTGTCTCATGCAGTGGGACAGACAAGTACATCGCCCTAGCCTGCCTATTCGGGAAATTTGAACGTCTTAGCGCTGTCGACATGACACCGCGCACACGATTCCGCCCTGGAACACACACGCTCAAGTTTCCTGAGTTCCTGAAAAAGAGCGATGACGTCTACAACAGGAGCAACTGCGACCAAACTCTGTCAATTCCTGGCGCGCGACTGCCCAAACGCGTTTGGGCCCTTCGTTAATTAAGAGAGCGCCCCATCCCACCCAGTCCACCATCTTGCCAACGCTCGTCTGACAGCAACAAGCTCAGCAGAAGGCTACCGCTCTCTCCCAAACCACTCTCTATACCTTATCAACTCTCTCTCACCAACTTCAACAACGTGCCTTCTATCCTTTCCTGCTGGGCTCCAAGCACGCAATCGAGGAGCACCGCGACGGCTATGTCATCGACACCAACACCCGCCTTTCCTCCATCGCCAGCGATCACTTTGCATTTGGTGACAGCCCGAGTGCTTTGACGGTCAACGGTAGCTCCGTCTACTCCCGTCAAACCTGCACCGTTATTGGCACCACGCGTTCTACGCCCTCCTCCTGCACTGCGCGCTCCACTGCTCACCCGTCTACCATGGCTCCTTTGGCAAACGGCACGGCGCGCTCTGTGGTCAGCAGAACCAGTGAACCGTTTACGAAACTATTGCATTGAGAAGCACTTGTACCGGTCATGAGTCGGTTTTGGTGCAGACGGAATTCATGCAACTCACTGCGGGTCGAGGAAGGCAAGCGGTCCCGCGGCTGAATTGTCGGGCGGCACTTTGCGGACCGCGCGCAACTGGGAGTCCGGGGCAACGAGGCTCCCAGGGACATGTGCCCCACCAAGTACTCCACCAAAACCCGGGGATCCCCTACATGCTCCGCGTCATATCAACACCAACAGGACCAACTCCCATCGAACGGATCATTGTACCCCGTTTGATCCGTCGAATTGATTCACCAAAACACGTGTATCACACAAACACAAACACCCATAGCCTGGTCCCGTCAGCTTAGGCAGCTGCGTGAGGGACTTCATCAACCAAACTTTGGCATGCGCGTATGCAACCCAGCAGCAACAACTTTGACTACTCGTCTTCTTCAACAGGCGCCCAAGCTGAGGTTGAGCGGATCGAGAACAATGGTGGACAGGTATCAAGCACGGACCACCGCCGCCCGAGCCCCAAACGGCGCAAGTCCTCAGCGGCTGGATCAAAAGCAGTCATGAAAGTAACCGCCGATCCTGGCTCTGGTTCTGGCTCAGGCTCAGGCTCAGGCTCAGGCTCAGGCGAAAAAGATAAAGACAAACTCCCGCACGCCTGCGACGAATGCAAACGCCGCAAAATGAAATGTGACGCCCTCCATCCCCGCTGTTCGACCTGCTCTCACTATTCTCGCCGATGTACGTATTCTGCGCCGCCGAAGCGGAGCCCGGTTACGAGAAAGTATATCAGTTGGTTAGAGGCCAAACTAGCGGCAATGAGGGCGGGTGGGGGTCTAGGGGGGATAGGCGGGTTAGTGGAGGAGTTTGAGGAGTGGGAGAGGAATGGGGGTGAGCCGCCTGAGCCGCCTGAGCCCCCTGTGCTGCCGCCCGTGGAGTTTGTGTATGGGGATGAGAGGAGTGGACATGGGGCACTATCTGTGTCGCCCGTGGCTCCCGCTGCACATCATTCGTTTGACTCTGGGTCCGTGCATTCTGTCAATTCGCCGGAGCACACGATGCCCGGGGTGTATGCAGTTCCTCCAGCGCCTCCAATGCCTTCCCCGGCTCCACCGTCGATTCAACAGCCCGCGCCGCACGCACCACCCCCAAGCGTCACCACTACGATTTTACCACCCGTTGGAGAGGACACGACCGCCAGTTTCGAGGACGTCCTGCCCATTCCGTTCCCAGCGCATCTCGCCTGGGACGAACGAAACGCAACTCCAGACCTCCCCTTCACCGACCCCTCCGACGGCCTCGGCCTCCTCCCAGCCACAAACAACGGCTACCTAGGCCCAACCTCAGCCTCGTACTACCTCCGTTCCCTCCTCCCCAACCACTCCATCTCCTCTCTCACCCATTCGCCCTCCTACCGCGCCTCGTCCCCTGTCCTTCCTCACCTCCCCACCGCGCCCATTACCTTGACCCCCACCCTCGAACACACCTGCGTAACAACCTACTTCAACCTCTTCCACCCCCTTTACCCACTGCTTGACGAATACTCGTTTAGGACGCGGCATAGTCGACAGGTCCGGGGTGGTGGGAGGGTCATCGATATTGACCCGGGGTGGGCGGGGGTAGTTTGTGGGGTCTGTGCTGTTGGGGCGTGGGTTGGGGGGACGGGGGGTGTAGCGACCGCTGGCGGGAGTGGGATTTTGGGAAGCCAAGGAGGAGGAGGGATGCTTGGGGTTGCGGAGCATTTCTATGACCGCGCTATCAAGGGGCTGGATACGTTGACTCTTCTCGGGACCGGTACTCTGCAACTTTTGCAGCTTTTGCTTATACTCGCCAAACTGGCACAAATGCGTGACCAGCCCAACACTGCGTTCGCCATGCTAGGTCTGGCGAGGCGTATTGGCGTTGGACTCGGGTTGGGACGAGGGAAGGGGATGGATGAGGAGGGGAAGAGGGTTTGGTGGGCTCTTGTGGTGATGGAGGTGGAGTTGAATCTCGCTCTGGGTCGACCGATCGTGTTTGACCAGGCAGAGATCGCGGAAGTCAATCTTTCGGCTGTTGTCAGTGATGGTGCATGGGATGGAGGAGGGACGATGGCCATACAGATGCATACACTCCGGCCATCCGCACAGCTCGCGACCATCACGACGCGAGTCTACTTTCGCTTCCTTGCTCAGCAACGACCCCCCTCTACGTCTTCATATTGGACGGAACTGAACGCGTTCGACAACGAGATCAAAGAATGGAAGGACGGCCTAACAGGTTACCTGAAGCTCGGCACACTTTGTCCAGAAACCATAATCCTCCCCCGCGCACTCCTCCACTGGCGTGCCGACCATCTCCGCACCGTCATGCTGCGCTCCCTCCTCCTCTCCCCAGCCAGTTCCTCATCAGCGGAAGATCAAGGAGACGACTGGAAACGAACCTGCCTCCAGCTCGCCAAAGAGACGACCGTCTCAATCCATGCTTTCCGCGCCCAACACCCCGCATTGGCGAGGGTCCAGGTCGCGGTGTGGTATACCACCTACTTTCTCTTTCACGCCGTGCTCGTCCCTATCGCATACCTGTTACGCTCGCCAGCTATGAGGGGGAGGGGCAGGGAAGAGGAGGAGTTGAAAGACTGTGTTTGGGTTGTGTTGGGTATCTTTGAGGAGATGGAGAGGGAAGGGTTTGGGATGGGACGGAGGTGTGCCGGGGTTGTGAGGATGTTTCTGGAGAAGGTACAGCATCGAGACCACCCGCGCGCTCCGGATCAAGCAGCCGGAGGACCCACGTATACCACTATACCCGAGGGAGGAGGTCTACAAGTACTGGCGGATGCGATGGAGGTGGATGGGTACGGAGCAGGGGAAGGTACGGGGGGAATGGGATGGGATGAGTTTCCGTTGAGTAGTGCGCAGGGATTTTTCGGGATGTAATGCAATCACCTTTTTTGATTTGTCACGGTCTGTCAGGTGATGACGTCATGGGCGAGCGGGACCACCGCCAACGTCCAGCCTATAAGACCGCCCTATCGACCACCAAGGTCATCCCACACAGCAAATCACCGCAATGGTTCTCTCTGGTATGTTCCAGCAGCTGTGCTGCTCTGCAATTGCAATTGGCTAACAAGGTACCAAGGACACTGCCTCTGCAAAGCCGTCACCTACACCATTGACGTTGAAAAGCCCGATCTCGTCGGCTACGACCACTGCGACGATTGCCAGCGCCAGTCCGGCTCCTCTTACTCCCTCGTCGCTGTTGTCCCCAAAGCCAAAGTCTCCATCAAGGGACCCACCAAGTCGTACGCTTCCCCTGGATCTTCCGGAAAGGACGTCCACAGGATTTTCTGCTCCGAGTGCGGAAGTCCGATCGCGCACGACCCCGATGCCGCGCCGGAGATTATTGCGATGAAGGCGGGAACGCTCGATATGGAGCAGAAGAAGAAGTTGGAGCCGCAGGCTGAGATTTGGTGTGTTTCCAAGTTGCCGTTTGTGCAGGAGAAGTTGGGCAAGCAGTTTGACCACATGCCGCAGTAAACATCTGCCATGGAGGATGTGAAGGATGTACGAGTATGAAGTGTGATTGATACTTTTTGGAAGATACCAATGATCGATAGGTTTGGTGTGATGTGAAACCCGAATATACCCATATTTTTCTGCAATTGTTGCATGTTCCAGAATTCTTATTATCAGGTTTGTGCTTGAGTAAATGACAGAAACTCCTTCTAAAACGTAAATACCTTATGCTATACTTTGGGTAAATACCAAGAAAATGCTGAAAGAATGTTTTCATCCACTGCTCTTCCGTCCTCCTTCGCTCCGTTCCTCCAGCTTATGTGGGCAACACCTTACCAAGTAAGTTGATAGCAGGCCCAAACCCGAACGTCCACCTCCGGACTCTGACCATGTAGATAAAAGCGTACACCAACACCCAGTTACTAATCGTAAAGCCAAGGAAGATCGCAAAGTACGGCCACTTGTCACTCGCCGAAACATTGATCGCAGACAAGTAGTTATCACCAACCGAGTAAGGGCAATACATACAATTACTCGTAGCACTCTGGTCGCCCATCAAGTACCCGACAGCATTACCACTGTTGAGGTACGTTGAAGCATAACTCAAACAAGTCTCACCGGGAGGAGGGTTGAAGTACCCAACCTCAGACGACGTGCACTCGACCGGCTGTCCAGCCAACGTACTCGCCAACACACTCCCAATCCAATACGTAGACGGATTCAAGTAATACATCCAATACTTCCAGAACACCGGGAGGGACGCATATGGACGTACGACTCCGTTGAATGTGGAGACCATGACGAAGAAGAAGGGGAGGACGTTGGAGATGACGGTGTAAGAGGGAGCGAAGGCACAGATCCATTGACCCCAGGACGCCTGGAAGAAGTTCCAGAGAAGGACCATGAGCCAGACATGAGCGGAGACGCGGCCATCGTAGGGGAGGCCGGCGGGGAAGTACCAGAGCAAGAAGTAGATTGTTGCCGTGACGAACGCGTAGGGGATCTCGCAGATCGTGTTGGCGAACGAGAAGGCGAACCAGTTATAGATCCTGGATGGGTTTTCACGGACTTCCCACAACGCTCTGTTCATGAAGAACTTTGGTACGGTTGCGTTGACGATGGTTGGTGGGATCATGAGGATCAAGAAGACGCTGAACATCCTGTTCTGCATATCCTGTGACGAGTTCCCGAGCATGTAGAACGTAAATCCGTTGAAGATCCCAACCATGACAGAAGTGAAGATCTTTCCGTATCCATACGAGGAGTCACGCCAGTAATTCCTCCAGGTACGCTGCGTAAGGATCTTGCACTGTTCCCAGAGAGGGGCAGCGTATTCGTGTTGAACAACGTTGGCATTGGGGTCTGCCGCATCCTTTCGAGAGGCACAGATATCCTCGATTTCTTGCGCGATAGACTTGCACTCCTTCGATTCGCGCCAGACCTTGTTCCAATTCTTCTTCTCATTGCCGACACGGACATTGCCAACACCGACCTCGAGCAAGAACTCCGCAACGTTGGCGTTAGGATCACAATGAGCCCCGTGCTGTCCGAAGTACTCGATGACGTCCTTACCGTTCTCACCGATCGGGCCGAAGTAGAAAGTGTTTCCACCAGGGTTGAGGGCGAGAACACGGTCGAACTGCTGAATCAAGATTGATGAAGGCTGGTGAATCGTACACAAGATAGCCTGTCCTGAATCCGCCAATTTCCTCAAGAACCTGACGATGTTGTACGCAGACTGCGAATCCAACCCAGACGTCGGCTCATCCAAGAAAAGCAACAGCTTGGGTTTGGCGCACAACTCCACACCGATGGTCAACCTCTTGCGGGGCTCGACGTCAAGAGACCCAACAATCGCATCTTGAATATCCTCGAGCTCGAGAAGCTTGATAATGGTATCGACATACGCCAATTTCTCCTCACGCGGCGTATCCCGACTTTGCCTCAACAATGCCGAGAACTCCAAACTCTCACGAATCGTGGCGGTACCCTCATGCAAATCCATCTGTTCACAGAATCCAGTACCACGCTGGAACTCGACACCGAGGGCACGTCCGTCTACGAGCATGTCACCCGTGACGACACCGACTGTTTGACGTTGCGCGAGGGTGTTGAGCAGCGTTGTCTTTCCTGCTCCGGAGGCACCCATAAGTGCGGTCATTTGCCCAGGTTTGCAGTAGCCCATTACGTCGTTCAACAACTTCTTCTGATTTCCGCCACCGATGGGGACTTCGAAGCTCAAGCCCTGCCAGGTAAAGACACTCTCGCTCTTTTCCAAACCAGACATCGCAGCCTCGTCGCTCTCGCCCGCAGCCCCAGCATTCGGCCCACTCGTTCCAGCTCCACCGGATTCCTCGTCAGAACCGGAGGTAGCAACAGCCTTCTTCGACCTCTTCGTCTTCTTGAACACCATGACACTTGCACCAGGAGGAACGAACGCAAGCAACTCGGAGGCGATCATACCAACAAGAATGTACAACACCGTAAACGCAACCACAACACCCCAGTTCCTCCACAAATTGGATCTCGAGTAGTTATACGCCGTCTCGATATACGCCGCACCACTAACAACCGGACTCCCAACCGTGGACCCAGCGAGCGTACACCCCTGATACGCCGGGTTCGTATACGTCGGTCCCACGGGTACAGTCTGCGCATCCGCACACTGGATGTTGAGGTTATAGAACTCGTTTGCGACGACACCCTCGAATGCGTACGCAACCGGGTTAATCCACAACAACCACCCAAACCAGATGTAGTTATTCAATAACTGCGGTTTGGGGATGACGTATCCCGTGAAGATAACCAACAAGTTCAACGCGAGTCCACTGAACCGGATCGCACTGACGATGTCAGGGCTGAGGGCGGCGAACATACGGTAGAGTGCCGTGATACAGATCGTGGTGGTGTAGACGAAGAGGTAGTAGATGAAGAACTGAGATGCTGTACGCTGGAAGTTGCACATAAAGTACATCACAACGCAAAAGATACTGACCAACACGAACAAAATCGGTAAATCGGCAAGGACACGAGCGACCGAAACCGCCGAAGGCCTGTAGAACGCATAATCCTTATGCCGCTGAATCACGATACGTCCAGAGACAGCATCCATGAGTTCAGACAACTGCAGCCATCCCAAAAAGAGGATAGAGAAGAAAAGCGCACCACCCCTCGAGAACGCACCCGTCGAATCAGGCGGTTGACCATAGAAAAGCGATCCAATAATGAGCGCAATCGAGACCGTAATGAACAGCTTCGTATACAAACTCGTCTTATCATTCCACATCAACCAGAACTGCCTCTTCGTACACGCCAATACCTGTCGTGGAAAGCTGACCGTATACGGACTCTTCTTCGCAACATGCTTCGACTTTCCCTTCACCACGCTCTCCTTGAACTTCTCTGTCTGCTCCTTCCCGGCACCACCAAGTTCAGCCTGATACGCCTCAACATCCCCAACCAACCTTCTATACCCCTCACTCCCCCTAAACGCTGCCTCCAACTCCTCCGCCCCCTTCGGCGCCCGTCCTTCCCATCCCTTCCTGAACCTCCTCTCCGCCGGATCCGTAACCGACGTCAAGAAATCCGCGGTGGTCTGACGTTCCGGACACTCGTACCCTAGACTCTCGAACCACGGTTTTGCTTCATCACGGGGTCCGGAGAAGATGAGGCGGCCTTGGTCGATGACGGTGACTTTGTCGCAGAGGCGGAAAATGCCTTCGCCGGCTTGATAGAGGGTTAGGAAGGTTGCTCGGTGGGTTATATCGGTCATGACTCTCAAACTCCTCACGAAATCGACGGCCGTACTCGCGTCCAATCCACGCGATGATTGATCCCAACAGACGACTGCGGAACGTGTGGTCAATGTTTCGGCGATCGAGACACGTTTCCGTTCTCCACCAGAAACACCACGGACATACTCATTCCCGACAACCGTATCAAACGTATGCGAAATCCCAAACATCTTACCCAGAGCCTCGAGGATACTCTGTACCTCCCCCCGAAACTTCTTTGGTGTCTTCAGCTGTAATGCCAACCCAAGTGTCTGCCTCACCTTCAACGTCGGGAAATGGATATCGTCTTCGGGATTATAATTCACCTCTCCACGATACCGCTTTGCGATTTCGGCGGGCGTCATACCGCCATACTCCACAGTCCCGTTCACACCTGCGAAGGATTCACGCTGATTGGCGATGGTCCGCAGAAAAGTTGAACAACCCGCACCGGGACGCCCCAGGACGAGCATCATCTCCCCACCCCTAACGACACCCACAAAGTCCCTCAATAACTCCCTCACCTCAGGCCTCGCACCACCGAAATGCAACTTCTGAAGTGGCGGGACGAAATGTTGCAAAAACCGCCAGAGATCAGGGCCGAAAGAGCCGATGATCGCGTCTGGTAGGGTTTTCTGCATGGTTGCGCCGGAGCCGATACCGAGGACCGTCAAATCCTTGTAGAGAACGCCGATCTTCTTATCGGGGAGACCGCGTTCGTGGTGCAGCTGTACACGTCCTTTGAGCCATTCCTCTAAATGGAATTCATCGCCATTATCGACAGCGGACTTTTCCTCGTCCTCGGGGATAACGGGATGCGACGCCCGTGACTTATTCGTCAATTGACGCCGCAAGTCCTCGAATGCGGATAGCGACTCATCGACATCCACCCCCGTCCCCGCGATCTGTTCTCCGTACCGGCCTTGGTGAACGTCTTGGCTTTGGGACGTTGTTCGCGTAAGGTGTGCGTGGTTGTCGCCGAGAGTGCCGGATGAATCAGAGCCGGAGCGTTCGTCGCGGTGGTAGTTGTGAGATGGGTCTTCGTTGAGGTGGGTAGAGCGGATGTTGGAGTGTGGATGTGATGACGCGCCGGCGGGGTCGTCGTGGTATGCCTGGGACGAGGCAGCCTGCATCGTTGGATCCGTATTCTCTTGTGTACGGGAGGCCATTGCAAACTATAGCAGCCTCCTAACTTGAATTAGATCTCTTTTCCTAGAATTCGGACGATGGAGGTTGGAGGTCTACAGGTGGTGGGGTCGCGCTTTTGTACCAGGCGGGTGGTGTTGTGCGAACGGAACTCGGCCAAATTGTTTTAACGTTTTTTTGTTTAGTAAGCGACGGCGAGTTCAGTATCGCCTAAATATCATTGCGGGTGGCTGCTGCTGGATGGCGTCACTTCTTGAAGGAGATGCTCGGATGGGAGTTGCTTCCGAGAGAGTTTGCGAAGGAAGTTGCGCGATGACGACCCGTGTCGGTCGACTGGAACTCCGATTCTATTTGACGACGAGAGGGCTACCCCCTCCTCTTGATCCTCTCCCTCCTTTTGATCCTTTCCCTTCGTTCACTCTCCCACTCCCTTCGTCGCCTCGAAACTGTACTCCCTCAGCGTGCAGATCAACCGAACGCCCGCGCGCCAAACCGTTGAGCCCACCCAACAAGAGCGGGACACTTGGACCCTGAAGTCGTCATCATTGGAGAGATTGGATCGGGGCATGTGTCGGGCCGACTGGACACGCGTAACAGTAGATCAATTGAGGCCCATGCGGCAAAGGGCCATTCCGGACTGCGGTGTTGGTGCTGGTTGTCCCCGTACGTGAGATCTGCACGTAAGATTCCGAAAATCTCGTTGCCGGCATGTCAAATCGGTCCGAGGAATCTGAACGCAGGTCTCGCCAAGGCGGCAATTGCGCAAACAACGTCTCATACATCATAACGCGACTTCAACCCAGCGTGTGAACGTGGATGGTGTTCTCCGGTCATAATTCCCAAAAGACCAAAGCAAAGAACGCATGGCTCTGCCTGTCTCATTCGGACTACTGCTCTAATCTATTCTCCGACCCATCATCATCCTCCCTCTTCACTCGTTTAACCTTTACCCTCTCAATAACCCTCCTACTCCTCCTCTTCCCCTCAACAAACACCGGCCCCTCAACCGCCTCCTCCTTCACCTCCCTAAAAACATCCTCTACTTTCACCTTCACGTTCACATCCTTCTCCACCATCACACGCTCGTCGTTATCCTCCCGCTTGATCACCTCCTGCTTCACCGTCACCACCACCTCCTCCTTCACAGTGACGCTCTCTTCTCGTCCATGATCCGCAAAAGCCCTCAAATCAGCTGTGAACACCACAGACTGTGCCCACCCCGCATACGGGCCCCACAGCGTTCTAAAGAACTCCCCAACGGCTTCGCACGTTGCTTTGTTCATCGTTCCCGTCCCTTTGCCTGCGCCTTTTGATCTGAATTTATAATCCCGTACTGCGATTTGGAAGACGTGCGTATCGACGGGTACTGCGGAGTGTTGGTCCAGACTCATCAAGCAAACACAATCCGCCACTTTCGGACCGACGCCGGAGAGTGTTAGCAGACTCTCATGGGCTTCTTGATACGTCTTCGTACGCAAGTCTTCGAGCCAATTGGGTGGATGGTCATGAGCGAGAATTAGCGCAGTCTTCGCAATGTATTTTGCACGATACCCAAATCCCATCCCTCGTAACTTCGTCTCCAAATCATCCTCCCCAGTCCTCGCCGCAGCCTCCGCGAATGTCTCAAGAGTCGGGAAGTCGTAGTATGCAACGCCGTCGAGGTCACCGATGTAGGTACCATAGTTGACGCAGAGTTTGTCGACCATCTGGGTGATACGGGCGATATTGTTGTTTGTGGAACATATGAATGAGAGGAGGTTTTCGAGGGGAGGTTGGCGGAGGATTCGGATTCCTGCGAAGCGTGGGGCGAGTTTGGCAAACACTTGATCGTCCCTTGTCCACTGTGCGTAAAGATTTTCGAGATTTACTGATAGGGCGAGGTAGTCGTGAAGAAGTTCTTCTGTGTCGTCCAATGGTGGTACCAGTGGTGGAGAGGAGGATGGAGGGTGGATAGCTCGGTAGTGTATTGGCGCTGCTGGCGCAGTTTGTCGTAGACTTATGATTCGGTTTCGTAGGGCTATTGACCATTCATTCTCACCCGAAGCTTTCCACCGAAAAGACTGTCCGCACTTCAATGTCGTCGCTGTTCTCTGAATTAGCAAAGCGCTTTAACGAATATCAGTTCAGCGAACCTAGCGATAGCTCATTCGCAGCGGTCTGCAGTAGTCTCCATCCGTTCATTGTGCGATTTTCGTTTTCCATTTCGCGAAGTCGAGGATGCTCGGGGAGGAGTGTGGGGGCGAGATTGACTACGTTACAATGCATTGCGGGACATTGCTTGAGGCGATACCGGATAAGGATGCAGCGTTTATCGCCAAGAGACGTCACACAACACAACACCATATCGCAGACCGACATTACCGTACTCCCTGAGCGTCAATTGTTCTATTCGCCATGGCTTCCTCCATCTTCTACTGCGGCATCGCTCGCGGAACAGGTGAGGGAGTTGGAAAACTGTACTCCGTACATGCTGACAACGCCTCACAGTAATCCTCTCCGAACATTCCTCCCCCTCAACATCCTCCGACCCTTCCTCCGTCGCCGCCCAAGTCTTCCCGAAAATCACCCCCGGCAGCAAACTCACCTACGTCCACGGCTCAAACCTCATTCACTACATTTCGTCCCCCGCGACCCCGACTTTACCGAGTGGTGTTACGTATCTGTGTATCGCGACGGAAGATGTGGGGAGGAGGGTGCCCTTTGCATTGTTGGCTGATATTAAAGCGAGGTTCACGGCGGAGTTTGGGGAGGAGGAGGTGGGTGCCGCTGAAGTCTACGGAATGGCCTCTTTTAACTCCACGCTTCGGGAGCGGATTCTGTGGGCGGAGGATGGAGCTCCTGGGGCCGGCAACGTCGGTGGACCCGGAAACTCGGATCGTGCGAAACAGGTGAAGGCGGAGATCGACCAAGTTAAGGACGTAATGGTGCAGAATATTGAAAGGGTCCTAGAGAGGGGCGAGAGAATCGATTTGTTGGTGAATAAGACGGATCAACTCAATAACCAAGCATTTCAGTTTCGCAAACGGTCGACTGCGTTGAGGAGGCGGATGTGGTGGAAGAGTACGAGAATGGTGAGTTGCCTGTGTAATCATCTAGAACAACGACTGACATCTCATAGCTTGGATTACTGATTGGTACGATCGTCTTCTTGATGTATCTCGCTGTGGGGGCTGCGTGTGGTTTACCAGGTAAGCCTATGTATAGTACCCTACACTTGAGAATGGAATGCTAACACTCCAGACAGGTTGGCAGCAGTGTAGGAGGTAATGGATGCTTTATAACTATCTTAGTTGATATACCCTCATATTAATATGCCATTTTCCTGCGGAACAATAGGCGTCGACGTGGGCTGCGTAGCTGGCACTGGCCATGTCATCGGCATCTGTTGTGACGCTAGCATCCCACCACTAGCCAGACGAAGTTTATCATCCTCTGCCTCTCGTATCGCCTCAGCCAACTCTTCTGCCGTCAACCCATCCCCAGCATCCTTCTTGAAGGTTTCTGTTAGATCAATCCGATAAATCAAATCCCGATTCTTCTCCACGACCTCATCCAAGATACTATCCTTTCCCTTGATCTCGTCCATGTTCAAATCCAGCTCAGACTCAACCGTCTGAGCTTCAGGTAACTTTGAGAACAATTTCCTCAGTTCCTTGCGGGCTGCTGCGGCACGTGGGTTTCGGGAATCGACGACGCGGAGGGAGAGTCCGAGTTTGTGGAGGTTGGACTTGAACATGCGGTCTTCGTAGCTGCCCATTGTTACGAAGCGGTAGACGTAGACGGGTTTTGTTTGGCCGAGGCGGTATGCGCGGCCGACGGATTGTTCGTCCCAGACGGGGTTCCAGTCTGGATCAAAGAGGATTACGCGGCTTGCGCCGGTGACGTTGAGTCCGATTCCGCCGGCTTTGGCTGAAATGAGATACAAGGTAGTGCTTTGATCATTGTTGAAGGCGGCGATGTCGTTTTGCCGACTCAAGATTGGGGTCATCCCCGTCAAACTCTTGCACTGAACTTTGTTGCCTTCGGCTAGACGTTGGAGGTAATTCAACGTCGCCAAACTCTGTGAGAACAAAAGAACTTTCTCTTTCTTCTTCTTCGCACCCAAGATGATCTGAAGAAATATGATACATTTCGTGCTGTGTTTGGGATCATTGGGATTTGGCGCCAGTGCCGTATTCGCCGTTTCTACGACCCAGTTTCGGAAGCGGGCGGTGATATCGCGACTGAGGTCGATGGAAATATCTGCGTCTTCATCGTCTGCGGCGGCTTTCTTGGCTCGTTTCCTGCCGGCTTGGGTGCTGTCATCGAGGATGGTTATCGGATGACTGCAGATGAGCTTTAAGATAGCAAGTCGACCCAGTAGGCCTTGTGTCCCTCCATCACCACTATCAAGATCGTTTTGGATCTCGCCCAAATATTGGTCGTAGAATAATCGCTGGGCAGGAGATGGTGGCATGGAAATGACGAATTCTGTCTTCGAGGGTAGGAATTCCTCGATGGCTGTGATGTCCTTCCGGTGTACTTTACTCTCGATGATCTTCTTTAGCCCTGCCAACTTCTTCTGAGAGAACTTGCGTTCGTGAGGTGTACTGTCAAGGAAAAGTCCATCGTTGATTGGAAGCACGAAATGGTTCCTGAAAGCAGCGGGAGTACCCAGGAAGCCAGGATCGATCCACTCGATCATCGACCAGTATTCCTCAAGATTGTTAGCAAGCGGTGACCCCGTTAATGCGATACGAGAGGCTGTTTCAAACATCCTTGTGACAGACGAGATCTTGGCATCTTTGTTCTTGAACTTATGAGCCTCATCTGCAATGACGAGTGAAGGACCCGGTTTAATGAGCCACTTCTGTAGTGCTTCAGCGTCCTCGGCTTCATACCTCTCCCTAGAGTTCAGGGCAAGAATCCGAAAGGTGTCGTAACTCATCAACATAATTCCAGCGTTCTCATACCATTCGTTGATGACGTCGAAACGCTCATACGGATCCGTAATTGCGTCGATCGTGTAGATCTTGCCAAGCATGTCCCCATCACTCCTCGGAACCCACTTCCGCAGCTCTTCTTGCCAGTTTCGTACCAAACTAGCTGGCATGAGAATCATAACTCGATTGGCAAGGAGGTGTTCCGGGATGTCTCCGTTCCGTAACAGCACTTGCTCTTGCAGTGTGTACAGAAACGAGACAACCTGCAACGTCTTACCGAGACCCATGGTATGCGCAAGTAAGCAGCCTTTACTTCGATCACCCAGCATGAGCACTTGCTGCCACATGAACCTCAATCCCTCCTTCTGGTGCTCCTTCAGAGTCTTCACATAATAGTCATGAAGAATAACTTCCTTCTCGCCAGTTTTGTGACCAAGGTTGATAATGAAACGACCACTGTTGTCACCTCTCTTCGCTGCCTCATCCGCACGTTTTTGGATGTTCTTGAGGAGGAGAAGCTGTCGTCTCTGGTTGTCCGCAACCTGTCGATCCTTCTTCACGCGAGGTTCTCGTACTGCTGGTCTTGTTCTAATGTTCCGGCTCCGTTCATGATCGGAGCCATCGGAATCACTATCGTCATCTAGCGTACTGTCTTGCGTCCTTCGCTTCTTGAATATTGGGTGAACCTGAGTAGATCGGTCGCCTTCTGACATATCACCATCATCCAGATCATCAAACTCGCCCGGAAAGGCTTCTTCACGTGGTCTCGACCTCTCCGGCTTCATTCTCAACTTCTTCAGCTTCCGTGGAGCCCGGGGCTCATCCGACTCAGGACGGTGTTTCTCCTCGACCGGGTCAAGATCAATACCCTCTCGCCGCAAGGAACCCTTCCGTTTTCCAAGATAACCGAAGAACGTGTCTTGTTGCATAATCCGATCCGCTTGCCAATTCGTAAGAACAGTATCGGGCATGTGCTCGGCGCACTCGAGCGCGTACTCACTCCAAATCGTGGCGAATGCCTGGAGTACTTCTTCCGACTCCCCGGGTAGTGTGAACGGCTGTCCGTTCAACGCCTTGTAGGTCAGCTCGCAAATAGCACTGAAGACAGTCTCGTCCGAAACCTGGCGTAAGAGATTACCAACCCTTCCGTATACTCCAGATACTTTCAAGTTCTCATCCTCTGTTTTCGCCGGTTTCAGGGGTTTCTGGGATATCTGCAAGAGAACCGTACTCGCATCCGGCAACTCATCATCACTCAGCACCACTTTCAGTACCCCTCGCGGTGATGGGCCACCAATAACCATCTCTTCATCACTATCATCAATCACAATTGGTTCGCTTTGGAGTCCCGTACTTGGCCATCGTTCCCGACCTCCATCAGTAGGTGTACCACCGGTAAGAGACGTTCGTCCATCAAGATCTTCATCATCGTCAAATGGAGATGACCTGCGCGCTTGCGGTGGTGGCCACGGGACTTGCGTACCGACCGGTGGCGACTGCGACGATCGTAGACTGGGTGAACTTGGCGTTGATCGTAACGGAGTGAGTATATCCTCTGCGGCGTCCTCCACGATCTTCCTCGTTCCGACTCCCGTAACCGCCGTGCCCGCTCTACTCGCCCTAACCCCCTCCAGCGATACCGCCGTTTCCCGTTCCGGCGACGGCGACGACGCGAACAACGGCGCAGGTTTCGCCTTTTCAAGCACCACCTTTTCACCCCCACCACTCTCCTCCCGTTCCCTCGCCCGCTCCTCTTCCTCCATCTCCCTCAACAACTCCTCATCATACTCCCCCTCACTCCCACTCTCCCCATAAATAGGCAATACCCGATCTCCACCCTCCATAACCTCATACTTCCTCAAACTCTCCCAATCAAAGTCGAAGTTTCCGATTTTGTCGAGTGCGTTGTTGGGGTTGATGGGCGTGGAGAATTGGATGGTGTAGGGGGAGGGACGGGGGCGAAGGAGGAGGGGGGGTGGGGGGAGGCGAAGATCGGAGCGGGTTGTTTGGGTTAAGGTAACGGTTGGGGTTTGGTCATCGGGGTCGGAGGAGAGGGAGTAGAGGACGATCGGGGTGAGTTCTGGGTCTTCGACGGCAAAGTCATGCACCGGCTGCACGATCCACCGTTTCCCAGGCTTCCCGCGTTCTTTGGGTACCCGCTCCGGTATCGATCTCCGCCAGAGAAATCCCTTGAGGAGTCGTTGAGCATACTCCAGCTCCCCGACATGATATTGCGTCTCGATCCCCGCGCTGGAAATTGCCCAATCATCCTTCAAGTCACCAATCTCGCCGGTTAGCGCATCTTTGTGGCCGAAGAATATTGAGTCGGGGGTGAGGGTTGATTTGCGGCCGGGGAGGAGGGCTCGTTTGAGGCGGGGCGTTTTGGTTGGTGGTCGTTGTTGGGGTTTTTCTGGGATGATTTGTGCTGTACCGACTTCCGGTCGTCCCTCGCCTTCGGGGGATGTAGGGTTTGTGTCGATATTTTGCATGTCTTCATTATCGAATGCTTCTATCACCTGGCCCAAATCATCCATAGATAGATCTCCATCACCGTGCGCTGCCCTTTCCAGAACCGGTGACCCCACAATTTGTGCCCGCGCCGCAACAGGTATACTCATCGCCAAAGGCGCATCATCAAACGGATGCCGTCCCCCCGAAGAATACGGCCACCCCACCCCTACCGGCGTCTTCACCTCCCCTCCCAACACCTCCATCCCCATCTGTGCCGGCGTCTCCATAACAGAACCCAGCGTCCCAAACAACTGCACCCCCCTCGACTGCCTCCTCACCTGCCACCCCCTCCACCCCACACTCCCCTCCCTCAACTCCTCAATCGCGTCCAACAACCTCTGTCGCTGCCCCAGACTTCGTAATCCCAAATCATCCCTCAACGTGCCGTTATCTAGCCGTAGAAAGACGCGGCCATCAACGTCGTTGGAGGCGAGGGCTTGGGTGAATGCGGGATCTGCGGCTGAGGTTGGGAAGGTCTCGCGGACCCAGTGTTGAACCTGGGAGAGGGTCCAGGTCCAGGGGTCGGTTGGGAGAGACGACTGCGCTTGAGCAGCAGCTGGTGACTCATTATGGTGATTGGCCATGGTATGCGAATGAATGCTACCGCAATTGCAACGCGAGAGTTTAGAGCATCGTTTCTGACGCGTTGCCGAGGACTGGGGAGCGGTCAGTTGCGGGTCCGGCGTGTTATATTGCCCTCAATAGATATAACAGCTGTAGTCTCAACAACGGTTACGTCTCTTACGACGCAGTTGAATGGACCCTCTCTCCAAATCCGGCGGCTTCTCACAGCTGTACAGGCCCCCGTGCACGTGATTCTATCATGGGACGTCGGACCGACTGACCGAGCGCATCAGATTAGATCTTGGCAGGGACGACAAACCTCCAGAAAACAGATCAGATATGACCATGGCTGTCCCTCTTCGATCTGTCACTCACTTGCGAGAAGCTGTTGCGATTGACTGGCGAAATGCTGCTCACACGTTCCTTCCTCTCACTCCTCCTGCCATGTCTGGCAACCGTGACTGTTGTTCCTTCGGCAGCTGCTGATCGGCTGCCCAACGCCAACCACATCTTCGCCGCAATCCACTCCTCCATGCGCCAATTCGGCTCCTCCCTGAACCACAATGGTATGTCATTCTTCATCGCGACGGTTCCGGAGGGTACGGAATTCTATCATGGGACGTCGAAGCGGGAGAGAGTGAACGGGATAGAGTGGTTGGCGTTTGAGCCGGAGCATGCTATGATTTTTGCTAGGCCGGGGAGGGGACGTCGTAGACCTGGTGGACCTGGGAGAGGACCTCCTGGAAAGGGAATGGGTCATCCTGATCTTAAGCGTGGAGGACCCCCTGATCTGGAGAAACGCGAAGAGTCCGACAAGTTCGGCCCCCTCTTCGCCTACCAAGGCGCCTTCGAATCTCCCCCCACCAAAGAAGAGAAAGATAAATCCTACGGTTACCTCCACACCTACCGCACAACCACCCCTCTCCGCCTCCTCTACCTCGACGGCCAATCCGCCGCGAAATCCTCCAAGGGCACACTCGATGCGCAAGACCTCGTTCTCCTTCCCGGACTCATCGATCCGGATGTAGGGATGGGCGGTGATAAACAGCGCGCGGATGAGATGTGTAGAATTGCGAGGGAGAGTGGGGCGTGGAAGGGACGTGTTGATGGGGTGTTGAGGATGGAGGGGGGGTTTGAGGTTATTTTGTGTGGGTTTGGGGAGAGGTTGGATATTGTTTCGATTAAGCGCGCGAAGGAAAGTAATGGGCATGGGCCGCCGGGGAGTGATGGGGATAATGGGGATGGGTTTAATTATTATCGAGCTGTTGCGGCGAGGTATGACGGAATTGGCGGCGGGAGGGTGACGTTGGATTATGAGCATTTCGTGACGGCGTTTACGTTTCCTGATGCTATGTATTGGGACCACACCGGACGCCCCAGAATCAGGAATGAGACGGAAGCGAAGGAGGAAGTTGAGCGCGTGACGCAGGCTGTCACACAGATGATCTTGAACGAAGAGACGAAAGGGAACAGTGTGGACTGGCAGGGTGTCGTGGATATGATCATCCAACGCTACGCCGATCGAATCGAGTATCTCGCCTCTGGCCACTTTACCACACTCGAGGCTTTCCAGGCGGAGGTTGACAGAGCGCTGAGGCCATTTATCGACTACGGCGCTCGAAATGGGACGTTGGAGGTGGAGAGGTGTGCGGCGCAGTTCATCCCCTCCGATGCGGACACAACGACGACAGCGTACCTCGCAACGACTCAAATCGCACACCACATCTGCTCAACACTCTCCTCCGCCCTCTCCACCTCCTCCCTCTCATCCGCCCTCGGCCTACTGCAAGACCTCAAATCCAACCTCGGCTGGACGACCTGGAAGCGCTGTCGAGGTTGCGATGCCCACGAGATTTGCTTTTTGCCGATTTGGCCGGTGGGGAGAGAGGAGGATTTTGTGCAGCCGAGGTGTCGGGGGAATGTTAGTTTAGGACCGGGACAGGAGGGTGGGTATTGGGATGGTGGGTTTGGGAGGCCGCCGAGGGGACCTGGAAAGCCTGTGTGGGGTCGTAAGGAAGGAGAGGGAGAGGGAGTAGGTGTTGGATCGGAGCAGCTTAATGAGGAGGAGGAGGGTTAGAGGATACATCTGGATACCAGCCGAAGCTTGCGATTCTTCTTTCCGTTATCGTAATAATTTTTTGATACCTGTCCTCCTTTTCTCCACCACGGAAACGCTCGAGCTCGAGATCGTGAGATTGGCCGTGGACTGGCTTCACATGCACCCAAGCGTACACCGGACCCATGACGTGTTTCTCTCTATGATCATGATTGTTTTGCTATCAATCTTGAAAGATAAGGCAAGATACTCTCACATCTCAATTGTAAATCGTCCGTTCATTACGCCTAAGAAGTCCATATAGTCCTTCACATCCCTTCCCCCTTTAGTTTTCCAACTCCCCAATCCTCATCCTCGGCAACCCATACCCCTCTAAATCCAGATGCCCCAACTCATCAACAGCGATATGAGCCCCATCCACCCCCAAAATCTCCTCATCCTTCCCCTCGAACACAGCCTTAATCCTCCCATCAGGAACCCAAACAACATTCATCCCCGCTGCTCTCCCAGACTCAACTCCCAGTACTGAGTCTTCGAATACCAAACATTCGGAGGGGAGGATTGGGGTGTGGGAGGGGTTGGTGGAGGCGAGGGAGGTGTTGAGAGTGTTGAGCGCTAAGAGCCAGATATCCGGGTATGGTTTTCCGCGGCCGGTTGGGATTCGTGGATCGTCGCCTACGATGATATGCTCCCCGAAATGTGCGAAAAGTGTATCCACATGTGCCGCACTCTTCAACTCGAAATTCCTTCGATGAGAACTCGTCGCCACCGCGATCGGAACACCGTGCTCTTTGAGGTGTTGGATGAGTTCGACTGCGCCGGGCATTGCGCGGACGGCAGGCCAGAGTTCTGTTTGGCGTTTACTGGTTTCGGCAAAGTATTCGGATGCGGTGACGGGGAGGTTTGCCCAGTCGATGAGGACTTGGGCTGCGTAAGGGCCTGGTCGGCCCATCATCTGTGCCTTAATTTCGAGGGGAAGGTTGGGTTTGCCGTAGGATGCCAATAGCTCATCTGTAGGGTTCTAGTGTTAGAAGAGGGAAGAGGAGAGAGGGGGGAAGGGACGGACTCGTTACGTCGGTGTAGACTTGCTCCGTGTCGAGGAGGAGACCTGTAAGATGTTGTTAGCCGTGAAAAGACAGGCTAGATTGCAATATCTCACCATCCATGTCAAAGATGCATGCTCGGATTTTAGGGCCCATTGTTGATCTTAGAAGTTTGGAGGTTGGGCGAGGAGGATCGAGGTTTGCTGGGTGACGGGTTCCTGCGCAGTCAGGCGTCACCGGTTCGGTGGAAGTACTACACCAAGACCATTGCCATCCAACCACCTTGATCTGGCCTATACGGACCGCAGAGTGCTCAGATTTGCCGAAGATCAGTCGTTACGTTTTGTCCTCTTCCACAGCGTTCCAACGACACCAATCATGAAGGGCTTCCTCAACGACCTGAAGGACCTCAAGAACTCACTCCCTCGTCCAACACCAGCACCAGGCTCCACTCCTCCAATCCCCGGAAACCGACCATACCCACCGCCTCCAGCCTACGGAGAAAAACCTGCACAATTTGCACTGACGGCAAATGGACACCACGCTCCGCCTGAAATTACCTCGATTAAGAGTGGCGAGTGGGTACATCAGGTATGCTAACAGATGTAGCAGATGGCATATAATGTAATTGCTGATCGAATCAACAGCGAATCCTGCTCGTTGAAGGTCGTGCGGGACCACATGGGTCTACGTTCGATGCCAGTATTACTGTTCAGCATCATCTGAATACCTTTCCGTCCCAAGTTTATCCGGTCACCGACTCGCATTTCAAGGCACTTGTCCACCTCGTTCCTGGGCCGAATCAAGTCAGATTTGTGTTTGAGGGTTTGGAGACGATGTTAAACGTGTCGTACTTGCCACTAACACAGAACCCACCCCTCCATCTCGCGATCTTGGTCGCAAAAGACAGTCCCCACAAATTCGACACCATGCCAAACCGAGGCCCAAATGACCTCGAAGAAGCAAAGAAGAAGCTACGAATGGCGGGGTATGCATACAACATGTGGTCGTCGCGGACGAATTGCTAATGTCTACTCATAGATACCTCTGGCAATCTTTCACTGCGGAACAAATGCACCGTAACGGCATGGGCCGCCGGACTTTCCGTCTTGACGAAGAGTGGGGGCTGGATACGCTGTCTTCACCTCCAGCTCTCCGACAAACCGCACGGATCCATGTCATCCGCACCGACAAAACCACGGCTGAACTGCGACACCCTAATCGCGCGCAACAAAACCCCCAAGGCAACGATACGGGCGCTTTATTCGGCATTACCCTTGATGCCCTCCGCGCCGCCGGGATCCCATTCACCAACGGTAAAGTCTGGGTAGCATGCCTCCTCCTCGACGCCCACTGGGACGGAAAACTCATCACGGCACATGCCGCCCTCGGTGGAGGCGCAGGAGACACTCAACTCGGTATCTTCGGCTCTCACACACTCTGGTCATGGCCTTCTCAACTCTCGCACGTGATCCCAGCATTCACAGATACCTTCCGCACAGACACGCGCTACGTCGCCAACGACGCGAATGAATGTGGGACGGTGTGGGAATGTGCGAATATCGGTATCGGGGCATTCATGCATGAAGTCGGACATGCGCTTACGTGTCCTCATCAACCTGATGGTGTGATGTTACGGGATTACGTTCGACTCAATCGGACGTTTTGTGTTGGTGAGGCACCGGGGGTGGCGAGGGGACGGGAGAAGGGGAAGAGAGTTGTGGGGAGGGAGGAGGAGTGTTGGTGGCATAGGTTGGATATCATGGTATCCCACGACTTCGTCCTCATCAGTTTGTGACGGTGCTAATTTGTTTGGGTACAGAGGTTTCGGTACCATCCGCTTTTTAGGTTACCGGGTGAGGGTGCGCCGATTAATGATCAAGGCCCGACGTACCATCCTGTTGAGCATGGTGTGCAGGTGACGTCTAATGCCGGTATCTCGTTGGTTGAAATTTATGTCGATGGGAGGTTTCGGGCACATCACGAGTTCCCAGATCAACCTGAGCAGGAACTGTTCCTCCTCGAATCCGAACTACGAGAGAAAGCGGGTACAAAAACGGGGAAAATGAAGCTCGAAATCATTTCCGCGAATCAGGGACAGACCACGATCGAGGATTTCGATGGTCTGTTACGTGAAGGCGTCCTCGACATCTCAACCCACGACGGCCATCCCATCCTCAAAGCCCAGAAATTCGGGTTGAGCGGACTACCAAATTCAAGACCAATCCAAGTCATCTTCCCCGATAGCCCAATCACAAACATAACCGTTTTCTCCGGCAACTCCCTCGACGGCCTAGAATTCACCTTCGCAAACTCCTCCCGCCTCCTCTTCGGTGGACGCGGAGGGTCCCCGCACCACCTCCCACTCAACGGTCCCGAGGGCGAGAGGATCAGCCACTTTGTAGTGAGGAGTGGGGTTTGGGTTGATGGGGTTGAGGTTTTCACAAACTGGGGACGGAGGAGTGGGTGGTTTGGTGGAGGAGGGGGGAGTTTGCATGAGGTTAGGTGTCCGGAGGGGTATGTGATTGTTGGGATGTGGGGGAGTTTGGGGCAGTGGTTGGATGGGATTGGGGTGTTGTATAAGGCGGTATCGTAGGGAGGATGGAGGATAGAGACGTGGGACATAATATATCGAACAATACCTTGTAACAGCAGCGTTTCAGCTCCACGGGTCGGAAGTTTTGTCGATCTACCGACTACGAGTAAGTATGAAGAACATAGACAACTGTCCCTGGAGTAAACATGGAGACGACATCGACAAGAATTAAGGCTACAAACCGCTTTACATTACGAGGAAGGACAACTGAACAGAGAAGTCGGAGAAGCAATGATAATTATTGTAACCCAAAAACCGTTTATCCAACCGTAAACCTACTAGTCGTACACCGTATCACCATACAATATCAAATCGATCTTTCAATAAACATTCAACGCTTAAGCACCGAGCTCATCCAACTTCTCCTGAGCGTGCTCCTTGGCCTCGTCGGAGACGTTGGGGTTGTTGAGAGTAGCCTTGTATCCACCGATGACGTTACCTGTGTTCTTCATGGAGTCGTCGTGCTTGGAGGAGGAGGGAGCGGACTCGAAATCACCGGAGTCGAGCATCTCCTGAGCGTGCTGCTTAGCTTCGTCAGAGACGTTGGGGTTGTTGAGGGTGGCCTTGTATCCACTGGAGGAGATGTTAGCAACTAATCAGGATGCTTGATAGATTGAGGAAGCGACACACCCAGCGACGTTTCCAGGGTTAGCCATTTTGATAGTAGTCGTTGTTGTTGTAGAGGTGTTGGGTTTGTATTTAATCCTGGATCAAAGGCGGCCGGGGACGGCGGTTTATATAGGCATTCCCCCTCCCCTACCCTCGCTTACTCCCTTTGACATCATCTTCCATTCTCCCTCTGATCAACCAGCCCAGTCATCATCATTACGTCTTTCAATCTATCACCTTGTTCTTCACTTCCATCTGGATTACGATCACACGACACGCACCTGTAGGTATTTCTCCGGCGTGATATTCAATAAGACTACCGTTTTGGGAATAGCGCATGTTGCGGAATTTCCCCATTTGGGAGTTCTCGTCATTTGGCCGTAAAGATGTGCAGTGCACATCAACGATTTTGGGGGGAGGCATGAGGTAAGGAGTTCATTCCTGGAAGCATCGATGAGGTGTTCTATGGGGGGTAAAGGAATCGATCAGGGTTCTCCGGAGGTTTGGAAAGAGACTGATGTGTTGTCATTTGGGATGTGTTCGGCCGGAAGGCGGAGTTCCGGAGGTATCATGCACTCCGGGGAATTCGATGATTGGTAATGATCAGTTCGGTTAACCTTGAAAGTAATGGAGAGATAGGAGGTTCGATTCATGCCTGACCGGTAACACAGGAAAGCTTCGAAGTGCTGTAGCACCTGTTCTCTCCCTCAGCTCAGCTGCAATCTTCCCTTAATCCATTAATCCATAGGGCGGTTCGTTTTTTGCCTCCTTCACAAATCGCGATGACCTTAAGTGCACAATCACGATCCTCTAAATTCTCGATCATCTCATCGTCACGATACCGATCCCCCAAACCACGCTAACACCGATTCAGCAACTCTATTACTCCCATACATTCCCACCACGTATCGAGGGCTGCTATTGAATTGTAGAGTGTTATGACGAGGAGATTGAGGAATTTCATGACTCTTCCAAAGTGAGAAAGGTCAGGGCAGATGATCTTCGCGACGTCCCGATCTTAATCGCACCTTGTGTGCTCAACCGCGTTAAGTGGTGACGGGGAGAGCCGAGAAGCTCTGATCCCTTCCCAGTTCTTCGAATATGTCATGAAAGCCGGTCACGAATTGACGTCAAACCACTACGCCCAACCTCCCCGAAGTCTCTTCTGGCCTCTTGTCCCCTTTGATCGCGACATCCAAACGGAGACCACGTCTTCCACGTCCATCATGATCACCCACCAGCTCGATCTCCTTCGTCTATAAGTACCCCCTCCCTCCCACATCCTCTTCCACACTCCATCAACAACCAAACCAAACCACTCTCACAACAACACCCCTACTACTACTATCAAAAATGACCCAAGGAAACGTCGCCGGCGGCTACAAGGCCACCCTCTCCAACCCCAACACCTCCGACGAAGCCAAGCAGCACGCTCAGGAGGTGCTCGACAATGGTCTTCAGGAGCAGGTTGATGACCAGAAGTTGGCTGATGAGGAGGGGACTGGTGCTAAGAACACCGGTAACGTCATTGGGTAAGCCCTCATTAAAGCAGACGGACATGAATGGGGACTAATGAAGGAGGTGTAGTGGATACAAGGCGACTTTGAAGAACCCCAATGTTTCGGAGGAGGCGAAGGAGCACGCCCAGGACAAGCTTGACGAGTTCGGTGCTTAAGCATCCTTCTTTTTAACTGTCACAAACTGCTGAGCGTGAATGAGGGTGCACGATACTGGGAAGATACACGGACGGGAAACACGGGGGACAGGGTTTTAATCTGGTACGATACACGGAAGAATACCGCTGGTATAATGTAATACACGTCAATACAGAAACTCATGCTTCCCTCCCCATACTCGTATATAATCACGCATTCGGGTATCCAGATCCTCCAAGGTCTATAGCAATCCCAACCCAATCAAAACAGCATGCACACCACTTCACAAGCTCAAGGAGTATACAACTTACTAAAACTAACAACATTCTTCCGACAACACGGACAACCCTTAAACTTCTGCATCGCAAGACTAACCCTGCACTCATCACACAATGCCAGACACCTACACGGCCACAAAACGATCTCGCGTGGACTTGCTTGACAGACGACACACAATCTTCCCTCGGAGGGTTCCGCGGGTTGGAGGGTTCGGCGTTCGCGGATGATGGAGAGGAGGATGGCTGCATCGTCGGAGTTGGAGGAGGTGGACTGGTGGGGGTGGGTATGGCGATGACGGGATCGGGTTAGGACGCCTGCTGAGGAGAGGTGGGACACGAGGACGCTGCTCGACTCCGCATTCTCACCCGTGATAATATCCGCAAACGACCTCGCATCCGGAACCAACTCATGAAACGCATCTTGCTCCTCCCCCTCCGCATCCGAGTTAATATCAGACGCCCACTCCCCCTCGTCGTCAGTGGGTAAATAATCCCGATCCTCCTCTTCCGCGAAATACCACCCACGCTTAAACTTCTCATACACCTCCTCTTCCTCTTCCTCCGGGTCCCTCGTCCCGGGCGCCGCGTTCCAATCCCAGCGCACCATCGCATTCTGCAAGGACTCGTCCTTTGGTTTAGGCTGTGGTCTCCATCCACGTCTAAAGAGTCCAAGGAAGAGGTACCACATCCTCTTCATCAACGTCCACGCCGCTCTCCATTTCTTGAAACGCTTATGCTGGCGTTGTTTCGTATCCTGAATCACCGCAGTCGCATTCGCATCCAAATCCGTTCTCTCGATCTGTAACCCGGTTGATCCGGCCGGGACTTTGGGTAGTCGCTCTTTCTTGTTGTTTCCTTTCTGGAGCATTTGTTCCAGGTAGGTCATATCCGGCATCTTAATCCCTTCTTCCTCGTTCATGTAGGTCGCTTCATGCGCGTCCTGTAGCAACACATCTCCAGCCTTCAACAACAGGACGAAAAAGTCGTCGCTGGTGTTCATCTCCAAAATCCTGCGCCAACTTCCATCCATGAAGGGGTTGTTCCGCATGAGGTTTGCAGGGTTGTTTGGTGCGAGTGTAAGACGGGCGAAGAGCGTGACCAGAAGGGATGCGACAACGACGATCCCGACAAGGAGGTGTGGGACGAACCACATTGCGCAAAAAGTGGGAAACTCGAGTAGTCGTCCAACAGCCACGCTGTACCCGTAAAACCCGAGGAATGATGCACCCCACAAAGTACTAGCATACAGTCGGTATTTGTCGAGATTGAACAGCGCGAGAATGTGAACGCTCAATGCACCCAAAGTCCAGATGATTGTCGTCACGAATGTCTCGGTTGACGGGAGATTCTTGGTAAGTTCCCAAAATGTCTGAGCCTCCCAGAATGCCCAGGAGTACTCGCCGGTGGACATAGAGAAGATGACGGTAGGGTGCCGGCGCTGAAGTGCAGCTGAGAAGAATTCGATGAAGTTTGACTGCATGTCACTGTGTCAGCGGCAGAAGCACCGTGAATTGCTCAGAAGGACGTACAAAGCACAACGTTTTGAACACAGTCCACATAACCTTCGGGTCATTATCCCTTTCGGAGCTCAGTGATGCCGGTAGCCAATCCGCTGCCAAAGTCGACTTGTGCCGCATCAACGACAACACCAACATCAAACTCCTCACCAAGAAATATATGGCGGGCAGCCTTACCACAATCCTCTTCGCCGTCGAGATCTGGTACGGTTGTCGTACCGCCGCATACAATAGCGTCCGATTCAACAAGATGGCCATGACGAAGACCAAGAGTGAGTACGGACTACTCAGGTATGTGAATAAGCTGAACATATTCCTCCCATCGTCCAGATCAGTCCCATCGACGACCCCATCCGCCCCACCCAGAATTGCCCTCGCCATCACGTTCCACACGCGATCAGCAGCATAGATCCACCCGTCCTTCGCGAGCTTCAAAGGCTGGATGGCGAACGACATGGCTGATATGGTAGCATTCAGGGTCCCATTCGTCGGCAAAAGCGACGACAGCATTGCTGTATCGCCGATGGACTCGAGGGGATTCATGGTGTTGGGCTTGGTGGGGCACGGCGTCGACTGGATCTACGTGATGGCTGCAGCATCCTGCATTTCCCAGGTTGAACCCCGTGGGAAGAAATTCTGGGTAATTCTGAGTACAACTACCACCCTCCCTACTTCATCTCCACCACCTCCCCCTTGTCCAACCTCACAACCCGATCAATACACCCCGCCACTTCCTCCTGCACGTGCGTCACAAACACCAGCGCTTGTTCCTCCCCCAGCTTCTCGTCCAACCACTTTTTACACTTCGACACCATCCCCTCATCCATCCCCTGGAACGGCTCATCCAAAATCAAGAGTTTGGGTCGCGTTATGAGTGCGCGGCAGATCAGGACGAGCCGCTGTTCTCCCGTCGAAAGATTCCCGAATTCCTTATCTTCGAGACCCTGGAGGCCGAATTCTTCCAGGAGTGCACGAGCGGCGTCTTTTTGTTTGGGGGTTACTGAGGATTTGGCGACATACCGGTTCTCATACCACCCCCCAAACACCGCCTCCAACACTCTCATATCCCGTGGAAAATGGTTATGCACCTCCGGACTGACGTGTCCAATCTCCCTCTGTACGCTCCACAACGTTTCTCCCGTCCCTCTCCTTCGTCCAAACATGGAGATATCTTGGGAGTAGCATTGAGGGTGGTCACCGAGGATGAGGGCGAGAAGGGTCGTTTTGCCGGAACCGTTGGACCCGAGGAGGGCCCAGCGGGAGCCGGGGTGAATTGTCCAGGAGATGTTTTTGAGGATTTGGAGGGAGCGGTGGGTTACTGTCACGTTTTTCAGTTCGACGGGTGGTGTCGCAGACGGAGCAGGGCCTGGTGTTGGTCTGCAGGAAGCGGGTTTGGTGGGTTTGATGGTAACCTGCTCCTCAACAACCTCCGGTGCGAGCGTGGGCATATCTTCCACCGGCCCAATATGCCCAATCTTCCCCCGTCCCGAAAGTTGTAGCGTATGCGTAACCCAACTCGGCACCCGATCCATCGTCCTAAGCGAAAGAATAACCTTCGTCTCCCCCGTTTCCGCAAGATCCCTCAACACCTTCGACACCGTCCTCCTCTGATCCGGGTCAAGACCCATGAACGGCTCATCCAACAACAAGATCTCCGGTTTCGCCAATAACGCTTCCAGGATTCGTGCACGTCGACTTTGACCGTTGGACAGGTTCATCAGACTCCCATCCAAAAGATGCGACAATCCTAGCTTCTGCGCCGCGTCCTGGATATCTGCGTCCGTCGCATCTGCGTCTCGGGTTTTGACCCATTGTCGTAGTGTCAAGTCATCCTCATCACGATACGAATGATATCGTTCTTGCATATACGCAGCCGTACTCGCCGTCGTCTCAAAGCTCACGACCTTGATCAACTGACTCGGCCACAAATCACGTCCGTCGTTCTTCTCTTCGAGTCTCCTGATGAAGTCGTACTTGAAACTCGCAGCGGGTAGCACCCTCAGTTTGCCTTGAAGGGCAGTGAAGAGTGTGGAGCGCCCGCTGCCGACGGGGCCGATGATTGCCCAGGTCTCATTAGTGCTGAGGTGCCAGGTTAGGTCTTGGAAGAGAGGGGCTTCAGTTTGACCGAGGCGGTAGATTGAGGCGTTGGTTAGGCGGATCAACGACTCAGCGGGAGGTGCGGATGCGGTTGCGGTGGAGGGTTGAGCAGTCGCAGTCGCAGTCGCCGTGGAGTTGAAGCGGACTGTTCCGAGAAGTAATCTCCGTGATAGCAATCCTCTTCGTGCTGTTGATGCAAACTGCCGTACTGTCATCGTCGTTGTCGTTCCGAAATTGATATTCTCGAACTTTGAAGTCCTCGAAACCGTGACGCCGGCAATTGCGATCGGGTGATGTGTAGCCGAGACGACCGCCACACGCACCCCGCCGTACGCGTACCGGTATATATCAAATGCACCAGACTTCACCCGGACAGTCATTTGAATTCGAGACTGTGAAATGATGTTACCTTCATTACAACCAAAGAGACCATCCATTCAGGTGGACCTGTTGGCCGTTGATATCTGGATGTCAACTAACAAAGCGTCTACAGGCGCCCCCTCAATCCTCCGGTCCAAGAACGCAAGATACATCGCGCACTCATCCAGTCTTTTTCACTCAAAGAAGATTATCGAGATCGGAGTTGCCTGTACAGTTTGACAGTGCGAAGACGAGTCCGGTGTTCTATGGGTATAAAGTGGCGAAAGACGGGGAGGTGAAGCTATGACACCGCGGGTCAGGAGGAAACGGGTTGATGTACGGTATAGGCGGATAGATCAAGTGGGCTCATGGAAACGGAAAGGATCAGTGAGGCTGTCAGCGAAGACTAGCAATTACAGAGGTGGAGGATCAATCGTGGGACGGCAGCACATATACCCTTCATACAGCAAAGAGCATACCGCAAACTTTTTGATCGTACCGCCTCAGCCGAGCCCTAACCTGTGAAACGAAAGCTTTGTATTTTCCCATATTCAACTCAACGGACCTCACATTCCATCATTTCTCATGTCCCAGCTGCCGTATACACGCGTGCCTGCAGAGGCCGCACCTGGTCCAAGCTCGAGATCGTTGCCTTCACCAGCGATACATCTCACCCATCCACCAACCCTCCCACTCGATTCTGAACAAGACATGAGTGGACAGGACACCCCAACAAAACTCGGAAACGACCGCTTCACAACATCTACCGAAACTGTCGAAGAGAACATAAAGCGCGACACAGTCGGCCTCGTCACAATCGATGAGTTTCGGAAGAGAAGGGCTGAGATTCAAAATACGAAGGATCGGGAGGAAACAAATCCCGGGAATTCATTCGCAAGTCATGCAAGCGCACCCGTAAAGAAGAAGGCGAAGAAAAAGGCAAAGAGCAAACTCTCCTTCCTCGGCGACGAGGAGGAAGGCGAAGACTCCTCAATACCTACCAGCAAAGCAACCACCCGATCCGCAACGCCCGCAGATCAGCCGACAAAGAAAGTCATGAAGAACCCGGACGTAGACACCTCCTACCTCCCCGACCATGTCCGCGACTCCGCTCTCCGCGATCAACGCGAAGCCTCCCGCGTGGCCCTCCTCGCACACCACTCAACCCTTCGCACTTCCCTCGTGACAATCCCCTACCTCTTCCACTCATCGTCTCCCTCATCCTCCTCCGGAAATGGAAAGGTGGAGAGAGTCGAAATGAAAATGGGTGATACAGCCTACGAGTTCCTAGAGCGGGCACGGCGACCGAAGGAGATGAGAGGGGAGTGGAAACGGGTTACGGCGGATGCGTTGATGATGGTGAAAGAGGATTTGATTATTCCGCATCATTATGAGATTCACTCTTTTGTCAAGGAGGGGACGAAGACGAAGAAAGGGTTGTTCTTTGAGTTTGGAGAGGATGGGAAGATGGATGAGAGTGATGAGGTAAGCGAGCGACCCTTGAGATCAGTAGAGTGAAAGAGATGCTAATGTGATGCGTGAACAGACTCGGCTGGTAAAGGTTGTGGAGAAGAGTTGGTATGAGAAGAATAAGCATATTTACCCTGCGAGTAAGTGGGAGGTGTTTGATCCAACTAAGGATTACAGTACGTATACGGCGAGGGATCCGGAGAAGAATGCGTATTTCTTCAAGAGTTAGACGGGGTGGATAGACGAAGAGACATTGAAAGATGATCCATTAGCAAGAATGCGAAAAGGAGGCGCAAACCGCTTGATCCATGGCAGCGGGGCGCAAGGAACACCAGGATAGATGGACGCAAGCCAATAGGGCAGCATCACAAAGCAATGAAAAAGGGACGAGATACATGCCACTCACGACAAAACACCCCTCCTCTCCTCCTGATCACTTCCCTCCTCCTCCCCATTAACCCTCCCCCTCGCCTTCCCCTTCCTAACCCTCTCCGTCCTCTCCTTCCACGCCCAACACAAGCACATCACCAATAACACCCCCTGCAACCCCGCCGTAACCGCGAAAATACACCACGTGCTCCAGTCCGTCCCAGGTCTTCGGGCAAGTGACCACGCGAACAGGAATCCCCCGGGTGTTTGGATCATCATCATTGGGATTGAGAGGGCGGCGACTTGTTTGATTCGCCAGGTGCGGTAGAGTTGGGGGATGTATTGACCAGCACTCAACGCAGCCCCACAGAGACCGAGGTAATTTGCCCAGAGACGCGCGGTGTGCGTTGAGTAAGCGCGGACGAGGATGATGCTAACCCCGGCACAGATGACGAAGTGGAAGAAACAGAATAGTGCAACGAAGATGCCGAGGCGGAATTCGGAGGTGGTTGTGGTGGATGCTTTGAGTGTTGATGGGAGAAGGGGTGTGCGTTCGGGGGCGGCGGGGTAAGCGTCGCCGTATTCGCTGCTTGGGGGGGTTGGGAGGGAGATTGCTGCGAGGGGGAGAGGAGAGGTGCGAGGGAAGTAAAGGAGGAAGAAGACGAGACTGTAGCACGTAGGTTAGTGACATGTATGCTGGCATGAGAGGGGATGAACGTACATGAGTGTAAACATAACCATCTGCGTACAGAGATGGACGACTCCTAACGACGCCGCGAAACATTGCCCGAATGACTGTGGGAGCAAGTCAGCCCATATCCTGAAAGGTTGTCAAGACGAGTGTTCATCTTTCCCACATACCAGAAACTGACAACATCCAACAACCTTACTCTGCAACACAACGATATTCAACGTCGCGCACGTTCCACTCGTAACCCCCAACAAGAGAAACCACGGACTAATCCCCTCCGAGCTCTTACGAGAGATGATACGGTAGTGTTGAGGAAGGTATGAGATGATCATACCAAAGTAGAGACATAATGCGACGATGAGGTTGTGTCTATCGATTTGACCGATGTCGGAGCAGTAGGGAGGTGGAGGCGGAGGAGCGAGAGTTGCGATCATGACGGATGTGATAGCTTCGAACTGAGAGGGAAATGTAAAGATACCTGGAGATGACAAAGGGGATTGAACCGTATATAGGGGTCGGTGTAACGTGGATAGATCCGAGGGGTTAAGAGGAGTGGAAGTTGCCTGATCCGGCAGTGTTTGGTTGAAGCCGGTCAAACTGGAGCGCGCGGGGTTGGATAGGCGATAAGAGGCATGTGCTGGTGAGGAAGGAGAAGCGGAATACGGGGGTCTTATAAGGATCATTCTAGGGTATAGAGAGTGGTACAATAATGACCTTGATCTTACAATCTGTTCCTTTGACAAGGGACGCAAGCGAGGATTTGACAGCCCTCACACCTGAGGAGATAACGAGGAAGGTGATCCCCGCAGTGATCACACGCACCACCTCCCTGACGCAACCTCCAACTATCATGAGCACATTCATGGTCCTCACGCAACGCCGCCGCAACTGTCTGGACGCGCCTCTCACGAACCAAAGCGGGAAGCACAGGTGCTTGACGATCAACTTGCAGCGCTGCCCGACGATAGAGATAGCGCTCGTCCCATTGAGGGCAGGTACACCTTTTCCATTTTTCTCCACAGAGGTAGCACCACTCAGCACGACAGCGACACGTGATGTGAAAGCAGCCTTCGCCGAGCTGGACCATCGTATGACAAGACGTACATTGACGCCAACCTTCGCTCTGCGCCAAATCAAGTGTGAGCTGCGTCGACGGATCCTGAGGGCAATCAGAGTTCGTGTGCGCAGTGCCCTTGCACCGAGTACAAATCTTGGTGTTGCAAGCCGGACACGCTGCAACATCCCCTTGGATCATCTGCGGAGGGACGAATGTTGAGCAAGTAGGGTGAGTACAGTACAACTTATCGACCGTCGCAAATTCTAACCTGCGAGCTTCGAAGCGGGCACGTTCTTTGGTTGACAGGATGCGGTCGCCGACCGATAGTGGGATGTATTTCTGACAACATTTAGGAGGCATGAGGGTTTCGTCATCGGTTGCCTTGATGAATAACTCCTTCATGCATTCGAAGTCGTAGTAGTGTCCGCAAGGAGTCCTGAAAGCTTTGCTGGCGGGGTATGTGTCGAAGCAAATGACACATGAGACACTACCATAAAGTCAGCGATGATACCTCCAAGGAGACGTGAACGGACCGTTCACTGCCATGGGATGATTCACCCACTTCCTCATGGTGAGTGTGGGCTTCTTTTCCCTCCGCAGACTGGAACACCGTCGTCAACGGGACTGGTTTCATCGACGCCGCCGTCGCCTCCTCATGAAACGCCGACACCACCGACGCACTCCTACTATAAAACGTCGGCGGCGGCGTAGGATAACTGTTCACGAACTCCGCACTGTTTGGGTTCTTCCCACCCAACGTGATCGCCATCCTCCTGTCATTTATCGCCCTCAATTCCTCCATCGCCAACCGCTCAACCTCCTCCCCATCGCTTCTCACGGCTTCAGCCATACTAGTTGCCAGTCGCTCGCTGTCGAGGCGTCCTAGAAGGGCCTCGACTTCGTCGACGTACAACTTGTAGGCTGAGCTGGATGGATGGGGTTGATCGGCGCGATTCTTGCCCTTGGAAGTGCTCTCGAAAATGGTGATCTCTTCGAGCTGGAGACGGAAACCGAATTCTTCGTCGAAGGAGTAGTCAGTAAGGGCAGTCATGATCGCATATAAGCAGCAGCACGAGACAGCACAACGGCTGGAACGACGGCGAACAGCAGTCTTGATAGGTTTATAGCGTCTGGGAGCTGCTTATCTTGGCCACTTCATTTCTCCAAGTTGTGGACATTGCGCCGGTCCGTACGCTGCTCGGCAGTGAATGTCGGGGAGATAGGCAAGCAATCACCCGGGTTTGCGATGAATGGCATGGCCCGTCGCCTTATTCTGTCTGCTCAGGAATTACAATATACAAACTCTTTCTCTTTCTCTCCCTCACGGCGGTACTGGGCCGTTACTGCTGGTTGCAAAATGCCTGTCGCAGGGCCTAAAATCACCCCTGCGCGTCTGACATCGACACTCCAACAAAACGCGTCATAACTCCATCAATATGCCTCCTAGGAAGCTGAGAGGAGCAGCCAAACAATCAGTTCAGCTCAGGGCTTCAAGCCGCACCCCCAAACCCCCGCCTAGGCTCGAGGATGATTTGCGTTCAAGCCCCCCCGTCAAAACCACCCACCAGGGTTAAACGTACCAAAACAGTCATTGATCTCGAAATCGAAGACCCAGAACCTGAACTTGTGAGTCAATACGATGATTTCATGGTTCAGGTAATCGTTACTAGGGAGCCGAAATTTAGGTATGCCCAAGGACCCTTCATGGTCGACCCCCTGAAAGAATGGGACTTTGTTCAACCACTATTGCTCGATCTCGCCCTCGAGGAGTTGCGTCAGGACCCTGTGGT